TTCAGCCGTTGGAGGGGTCAGGATACAGAAACTTTGCTCGAAATCTCATCAAAGACGGGGCAATCAGATTAAATCATCATTTATTTATATTTTACTATAAAACGAATATTAGAAGAAGAAAAATTGTTTTAAGTTCACAAATTTTAAATTATTACAAAATAGTCAAAAATATATAAAGAAAAAAATGTTTACGTAAAATGACCAAAACAGTCTTATTTAGTCGTACAATATTTTCAATCAAAATGACAAAATTTAGAACCCGTTGATATCTATCCAGAATGAAATTGGGTACAAATTAAAAAAAAAATGAATCTTTCAGTTTTAAATAAAAAATATACTTGTGTTGTATAATGATGATGAATTTTCGTGAATTTTTCGTTACAATTCAAACACAGATCAATAGCCGCCATCAAAATTCAAATTGCGAGAGCAAACTAATAAAATGTCACTCACACGCAGATTTTTCCCAACTCTCAATTACCCGCGGAGTCAAAACCAATTTGGTTCATTTACAAATTTCCCACCCCCGAGGCATTTCAAAATTCAATACTGTAACTCAAAAGGATCCCGCCACATTTGCATATTCGTTCGCGACGTTAGCTCCTGCGGGACTAATAATCATCCCCCAACGCAAACGGGGAAGGATAATTCATTTTTCGATGCAGTAACTGCCAAGAGTAAAAATGATAATCCCTCGTTGGCCCGGCGGCGGCGACTCTTGCCGCCATCAATAAGGTGGGTTACTTGGACGTTAAGATGTTTAGGTGCGGTTGCCCGTCCATCGATCACGGCCGCGGTTAAGCCCCTAACAACATTGAATTTGAATTTATATTGCCGTGGTTGCGGCGCCGCGCGATAAATTTCACTCAACGACTTTGTTCGACGTAGAGAAATAAAGTCAGCTTATGCAACGCGCCGAGCGGCGGCGTCGGCCGAGATGCATAAGCGAGACGGTCGCAGGCGCTTCTTCCACCCAGCTGGAACTGCTGGAGAAATGGATGAGTTATCGCCAAATACGAATGTCTCTCCGTCAGATTTACAGGATTTTCAGCCCTAACTCTCGTGGTAATGGGAACGTAAGAGGCTTTCACTGCACTTAGCGCTTTTTCCAATTTGCAAGAGGGTTGCAAGAAAATTTTGCAATTTATTGATTTGTGTTTGAAAGAATAACTGAAACTGAATATGACATTTGGAGCTATTTTGATGACATGATAATTGTTTTTCGTTTTTATGATAACCTCATTCCTCATTAAATATTCAAAAATATCTTTGGTTGAAAAATACTATTAAAAATACTAAAAAGGAAAAACATCCACGCATGTGTCTATATAAAAATCAATTATATAAACAAGCTTTTTGAACATTTAAACTAGATAGTAGTTACAAAAATATTGGATCTTCACAGTTATTGAAGCCACATAGAGAGCTAAATTTTAGAGGATATATTCACTATTTCTTACGCAGCAATACACCCAAAGTGCGTTTTTTCCGCTGCCATTATGCTCCTAATTCATTTTTCTTTCATTTGTAAATAATTGTAAAAAGTTGAATATTTTGTCTCAAATTTTGGGAAAATTGCCTCTTAAAATAAAGAAACTATTCATTATTATTTTACAAATTCTAGCAAAAAATGACACAATCATTCGTTTTAATTTTCAATGTAAAAAAATTATTGCATTGAACAATTTCAGAATTATCTGAAGAATTTCTAGGAAAAAGTGCAAATATTGGAATTTTAATATTTTTCTTATGAAAACGCGTTAATACAATTATTTTCGAAAACCACAACCAACGTTTTTGGCTTTTTTTAAGTTATAAATTTTATCATGTTTCCATTGTTAAATTTTCCAATGGTTCCAAAAATCCAGTATAAAATTTTGTTTTTAAAGATAAATTTAACTTGGAATAGTAAATCTTCAATTTGGAATTTAAATTTGTTTTAATTTAATCCACGCTAATATCACCTTCAGATGTTGAAAAATAATTTTTATTAAAAAAAATAGAAAATCTTGTATTTTTATCAGTTCCCTTGAATGAAAGGTTCCCTTCAGTTTTTGTTTTTATCATTTTCTTCATCTTTCTCCTATCCTCTGTGATATTTTCTTTGGGCCCACAACAATGTCAGCAGAGGCGCAATCGACAGAGGGTGACTTTGCTGGTGTGTAATGAAGAGCATCAGCGTCAAAGTCTGTCAAAAAACGAGACAGGAATTTCGAGGGACGCGGGTCTTTATTCGGCAGGAGCGGGTCCAGATCGGCACACCTATAATAAATGTGATTGCTCTTGATGGCAATAAAGCGGTGCCATTTTGTGCGGTCGGCTCTCGAGATGCAGCCTCTCCAGGGAGCGACGGCGGATCTTTTCTCAGTCGGAGAGTTAAAAGCAAGCCACGCACGTACGCACGTCAGGAAAGAAAGGAACAAACTAACGTGTGTCGCGAGATCAGGGGTCCAAGTAAGCGTGTAAGCAAGATATGACGAGGAAACAATGACGAGCAGATGCAATAGATGAGATAAAAGGCCGCTTGCTTTTCCTCCTGCTTTTTTTTACTTTTTGCGCGAGTGCCGCTTGTTTCCAGTGGCAGCGCACGCGGATATAAAACGTCGAGAGTGAGAGAGCGCTGGCTTAGAACGGATTATCTGCGTCACTTTTTGTGCGGATATGTCAACCGACGAGAGGTAATTCAAAACGCCTTAATGGAAAAGCGAGAGAGTCGCAGGAAAAATGCGACAAAGAGCAAAAATGCGATGTATACTTAATAAAGCGAACCACTTTTCCGATGGGGATGAGAGAGAGACTATGTAGTAAGCGAAAGAGCTTTTTACACGCTTCGCAAATCGCCACTTAAGGCGACAAAACGTGCAGATTTGGTGATATTCCAGCCAGCAGGATGAGAAGTGGAAAATCATTTCGGGCAACAAGGTATTTCGGAGAATAATCGCTAATCAAGCAATCTTAAAATTACTTTACATATAAAGTACACTAATAATTAAATTTTTTTAAATGTTTATCTGCAAAAGTTTTGAATCGAATTTTTCAATTGGCAGACTTTCATTTAATTATGTTAATCTGCTATTATTTAAATGCCTTTTTACAGCGCTTCAAGAAATGATAAAATTTGTTTAATGCTTTATTATTTTTAACTACTGTAAAACAAACAGTAACTCCTTTTGGCGTCGACGAGATAATAACAATTTGCCAGAGCCGCCGTCGCGGTTTTTGGCCGCAAATAAAGTTTCATCTGGTGGCCCAGGAGAGAGAGGAGTAAGAGAATTTATGTGCGTTCCGCCGCGTATGCAGAGTTTATCACGAGCGAAATAAATGACTCGGGCAATAGAAAGGGAGTGGTAATAAATAAAACGCGCCTGCCTGCCGAGAAGTGGGAATCTCTTTATAATACAACGCCAAATCCTCTCTTACCCTATCTTCTTGTTACTTCCTGCGCGCGCTCTCCCGTTACTTTAGCTGCCACATTACTCTTCTGATTGAGAGTGTAACGAGCAAAAATCCGTTTGTAATGAGACCATTATTATACTCATCCTTAAGAGGCCGGCGCGTTTATCGACTCCTCTAGGGAAATATCCGGTCCGAAGTATAGTCCGAAGCCAAAAAAGGGCGGCCGGAAAATAATAATAATGGAATGACCTTTCGATGCAATCGCCCTGCCTCTCCAATGGATTTCTCTTAATGTATATTGACGTTGAGAAAATGTATGTGAAGAATTAAAAAAGAAAAAAAGAATTTCGATTGTAATTTAAATCCGTGATATTTTTTCTCATTCTCTTTATTCTTTAAAACTTAAAAACTCGTTTTGCTCACTTTAAATTTGAAACTGCAACGGTGGTATATTTTTTGGACTTACAAATTTTGTGGCATAATAAAAAATTATCCTTGTATAATTATTTAAATATTTATATAACTTATAAATTTGTTAACTTAAATTTCAAAATGATGCACTTTCGCAAAAATTTAATGTACATTTTTAAAATTTTATTTTTGATTTGAAATGAAGACTTTTGCAGAATGGCTCGACAAAAATTTTTAACGAAAATAACTTAGCAATCAAGAAGCACGCTACTATACATATATAAATATTTTATTTTTATTGAATATCACTTTTTAATTATCAAAAGTCACAATTTCAGAGGTTCCCATGGCGGTTCAACCTCCCATCAATTTGATTCGCGAATCCTCTCTTTCTCTCCAAAGTACTCCGGCCCGTATTTTATATATATGCAAAAGCAGTAGCCACCCGACAGACCCCTGGTGCTTTTTCCATATTATAAAATTTTTACAGCGGAGTACATATATACGAGTGTGTGTATCTATCCTCTTTTGAGACTTGGGTACTGCATTAGGTATAACCGTGTTGCCATGCTACGTGTGTGTTTCACAGACCGGCTGGCTGGTTGGCTCATCCATCCCCCTGCACACTCAGGATATGGAAAGCTTTTGATCTTTCACCAGTCCACGGCTCTCCACACTTACGAATGCAAATTCAATTTTACTTTAGCCAAAATATGAACTACTAAACGATAACTTTATTTATTATTCATACGCCGGCAGTATCTCTCTCTCTCTCTCTCTCTCTCTCCGTCTCTTTCCTCTGGGCGCGTGCATTTATGGTGGCTGCCTCGCTGCCTGCCTGGCACATTAGATTTCGGACCATACAAAAGCATCATCATCACTTTAGCGTCGGCAAAAGGGAGTTACATATTATTATATTCCGCGCGCACAGAGAGCGGCTGCAGAGACGGATGAGAGAAAAAGAGGTGCCGCTGCGCGCCGCCATAAAAGCAACAACCCCTGCCGTCCAAATTGCCTTAATCACCCTTATGTGCTGCAAGGTGCCGTTCATTTGCCATGCAAATTTTATTTCGCCGGCGCCAATTACGTGTGTATTGCTGCCGTTGTACCGACCGCGAACGTTGCATCATTATAATATTCTTACGAGAAATAAAAAGGAGTTCAAAAGTATTATTTTGTATGCATGGAACGGTTTTTATTTTTGCAACCAAAAGTGTACATCTTATTGAAAATATATTTTTTTCTTTAATTCTTTATTATTATAAGTGGTTGCTATCAGCATTCAATTTAAAATAGCAATCTGAGGAAAATTCCAACCAGCAAATTTCTTTTAACTGATACATGTAAACAATGTTTTGAGTTTAAAGATTTAACTAGTTGGCAAATCATAGATAATATTGTCTGACTGTGTGCAATATTATACTTTAAAGGAGGATCCACAATTTATATTCACGACTTGTAAAAAGACAAACCAACAATATCAGTCACTGTGTTACTCGCATTTTGCATTATCAAATGCAAGTCACTGTCAGACCAAAATACATTTTGGCCAATGTTGCTGCTGGTTTTGGAAGGCACTGGATCATTGTGGAAATATTCAACTGTAAGGGTATACAAGATATTCTCTTTGATATGAACCTCAATTGGAAAATGGAGCCAATTTTGATTGCTTTTCAAATTTATGCCTTTGAACAAGACCGATGCAAGGACTCTAGGTGAGGAAGCTTGGGTTAGTTTGCAAATGAGGTGAACAAATTTGGTTGTTTGGCTAAGGCATTGCAATTGAACCCCTCTCAGATAGAATCTGTTGCATTTTTTGATTGCAAATGTGAAAACTGATTTCTCATTCTTGCTCACAGTTGCATCCGAGTCAACCGACTTTGACGAGCCAATAAGAATAATTTTGACATCACTTCGGTTGAGTTTCCGATGATTTTGAATTACTGAGAAATTTTCTGGCAAGTGTCTTTTGTCAGACAGGTTGATGCTCATGAAAACTTTTAACCTATCTTTTTCAGTCATTAGTTTAGCGCAATCTGAGTTGCAGAGTTCTCCAAATTTATCAGAGTCAATTGTCATAAAGCGAATTAATTTTAAAGCATCACTTGTCTTGGCTCTAATAGCGTCTTCATCAGTAATGGTTTCACCTGTATTGCCATCAGCAGATCCCCAAGCAAACAAAGCCTCAAAGAGCTCCTCCTCTGATCCAACTTTCAAGTATTCCATTTTAAAGATTTCCAAAACTGTTGATGAAGTCGATTTCAACCAAGCTGCAGACTTCAGAACAGCGCTGGTGTTGGCAGCAATTATCTACAAGCAAAGAAAATACAAAATAAATCAATTTTTGACTAGCATATCAAAGGCACGCACTGAGAGTAGTTTTTCCGAGTGGGAGTGATCATTGAAGGTTTTGTACATCTCGTGCACAGTAATGACATCATCAGGGCTGGGATTTTTTAGAAATTCTGAGGCAGCCGTCATTAAACTGTTCAACAGCCACTCATGAGCAAATCTGTAGACTTTGCAAGCTGTTGGTACATCTTGAAAGTCAGTTTCACCACCATAGATGTATCTGCAATTATATGTGTAAGAATTTGAAATAATAAAAATAAAATAAATAAAACAATATTTTGTTTTGTGATTGACAAAATACTAACCTCATGGCAATATCAAAAGCATTGGCTTCAACGCTTGTGATTTGGATAGGGTCATCTTTGTCTTTTGACGACTCGCTGAAGTCTCCATACAGCATTGTAGCAAAAGGGACGCTTGCTCTGGCAAGAATCAATTTGTGGCACTTGAAGACCTATATTTGCAAAAGAAGGAATGTGAGATGATTTGCATAATTAAATTATGGTTCTTGGATAAAAATAAGTTTTCTTATAAGATTTATATAAAATTAAATGATAAATAATTTAAAAATTCAGTCAGATATTTTGTTCTTTAAAAAAAAATGATGCCCCAACAAACACAAACCTTTGATGTTGTCTGAAAGGCAACTTCGAAAGTACAATCGTAGAAGTAGCTTTCGGTATACAAGGCAAGTTCGTCCTTCAAAATTTCACCAGTCCTTGATGGCCACACATCAACACTGCTTTTGGAAGACAAAGGTCGATTGCCGCCGTGCCTCAATTATTAAATGAAATAATTTATTTTGAGAAAATTGAAACCAGGCGAAATCCACACCTCATGCATAGCATTCAAATTATTCAACTTCTATTATGGACTAATACAGATAAATAAAAATCACACCAGCAGGTGTACTTATAAGTATATTAGCAAAGAATATAAATAAAATCAATGCCCTCACTTTTCACTGTGCATGCTTGCATATGGATGCGATTTGCAACGAGAAGTACGAGAAGTGTGCTTATTGTTAGTTTTACCCGACATCTCTCACTAACTCACTGATTGATTTGACTTTCACCTCTCCTGAGTCTCCTGTCTCATCACTGATATTGAGTCTCGTTTCGTTTCCCTCCTTTTACTTCCAGTAAGTCACAGTGTGCTGTGCTCATTTTTGCCTTTGCCCCTCCTGCGTCCACACACAAAAACTAACATGTTTAAACAGAGCACAGAGCGAAGTATGTGAATATATGACGAAAATCCTTGAGAAGCTTTTATAAATTCTCTTCTTAATAAATAAAATGAAAAATCTCTTTTATGCTGCGCATAACATTCCCAAGAAAATATTGCAGCTAGGAATACACACATAATATGTACATGTGTGATAATATAATATGTGATAATATTATTCATTTCTTTACAATGGAAATGTATCAATTCAATTATTTTCTCCTGTCACTCTTCACAATAGGTCATAATTTTTCTTTATTGATAGGGTGCTGGTTTTTTTAATAAAATTTTGCGGTTGCATTTAATTTAATAAAAGCGTGGCTAATACTAAATTGTATTAGTGATAATAATTTTAAAATTAATTATCTTTAAAAGAATGATTATTTATGAATGCGAAAATTTCAATTATAAAGAATAAAAATTGGGAGGTGCCTTCTGCTCTGCACCATTTACCCGGATGGTGTGCTGCTCTGCTGATAATATATCTCTAGATTTCTGGCTACGTTTTAATTCGCTTACTAATTCTAAATCTAAAACGCCAGTCAGAAAATGAGATACATTTATTCTTAATTATCTTGACTTCTTCATTGAGTGAAAAAAATGACAGCTGCAGTAAATCAGTCGGCATGACGAGAGAAAATAAAATTTAAAATTCCCTTCACGCGTTTCCCGTTTTTTGCTCTGCCCGAATCCAGCAAAGTGTTTTCCGTTCGTTGCGACGCCAATACATGTGTATCACTTTTCCTTCCTGCACCAATTTGTCGGTTTAAATTCGGAGCGAGAAGATCAAAAGGAAGGGAAAAGTGCAACTCGGGCGTAACGAGATTTGCAGTCGTCAATAAGGTGGCCATGTTTTTGCTCTTTTAACAACTTACTGGCCCTGCAAAATCGCGCGCTACGTGACGGCAAAGTAAAATTTCGGACGGCGCTTCAAATAAAAATCACAATAAGAACAAACCTCTCGCTGGGTTAGTTTCAGCCAAGTTTTGCCACTATAGAGTGTAAAAATTGAAATACAATAAAACGAAATAATCTCTTTTGCATAAAATATTGGACTCTGAAATTTTTTCTATGTCCTATGGTGAGATTTATGTAGAATTGAGACTTGATACTTTTATAGTGCAATTTACTCTGCACTTATTCAAATTAAAATAATTATAAGAAGTGATTTTTACTTTCGAGTGGAAAATTTTTTATTATAAAAATTTGAACCTTCACTAACTACATAAAACATTACAACAAATAAAAATAAAAAACATGACTATTATTTATTTTTAATTTAATATGTTTTATAATTTAGTTATTTATCTAATTGTAAGACAAAATTGAGTAATATCTCATAAGAATACTTTTTAAGTGTTTTTTTTTTTTAGTTTTCAATTCTTTTCAAATCAGATACAAATTAAAAATCCACATTTTCTCTTTCCAATACTGGACCAAAGCAATTTTTTTTTTCAAAGAGGAAAAACTGAAGGGCGCATGAAACGTAATGACCCGCTCTGAATTTTGTCTGAGCGAATAGACCCTTTGAAAAGTAAATTATGCGCATTTGGCTCGGCAATAAGCGTAACAGAATATAGCCGTCGTAAGAAACGGGGCCGGTGGTGGCCAGTGAGCGAATATGAGTGATCGTCATGGCCTCTCTCGCTTCCGTTCGATGCCGGCGTATAAAAGTAAATTGCCAATACGGATCGCATTTATATAAAAAGATGCTCGAGTGGTAATGCGAGAGCGGCGGCTATTTCACACAAACGACCGGCCGTTTATCATAAAACGCGCGCGCCGATTATTATTGTATGAGGCGTAATATCTGGTCATGAATCAATTTTATGCACTTCCTCTCTGCCGACGCCGCCCGCCGATTGAAATAATGCGCTGAGATGCACACGCGCGTGCTAAACGCACTTTATACACTCTCAATTTCATGTGCATAAAAAAAATGATATTTTAATGCGAAATCCGACACCGATGAAAAAGGGATGAACGCTTATGAATTTTTACTTCTGATAAGTTCAAAGGATAACAAAATTTAATAATTAGCGTATGAAAGTTTTTTTTAAAATTAATCGACATACATATTAATTATATTTGATTTCCAGATTCCAATCTGAAATTAAACATAGTAGATAATTTAAGGTTTTTTCTTTGTCAACATAAAAGTTGATATATCACAATATATCATAAATATAAATAGATCAGTAAATTTAGAAATTTAATTCCTCGTTTTTTTTCTAAAAATTATGTAACCTGCGAAACTTGGAATTTTTTATTTGTTTAACGGGCTACTTTGCTTGAGATTTTTATTCAGAAAATCTTGTACACTTGCGCCATCAATTAAAACTGTGTCTAATCGATTTCACTGCTACCTGATAATTAATATATAAGGGGGAATGAACATGTTGCTTGAGGAGCAGAGCGGAACCAATTTTGCAACATTAATAGCCAATAACACAATATTTGCCGATCCGGCGCAGATGGATAAATATTTCAACGACAAACAAAGCTCATTATGATTATAGGCAAAGGAGTATCTCTGCTCTTCGCTCTTCCGCACACAAAACACACACAATAGATGAGCTCGCACGTAAAACGAACCTTACTATTATGATATGTGCTCTCAAAATCTTGCTCCCGCTCGATTGCCTTCGAAACTGCCACGCAGAGATGCATAATCGCGGTTAACCACATGTGGTGTGCCCGGCAATAAAGACGTGTTAAATATTTGAACACCGCGCACCCATGCTAATAATAATAATGTATCCACATGACTAATCGCTATCTAAAGTTTGTCAAATCGACAATGGAAATTAAAGGGGTGCTTCACTCGACGAGCGAGGAGGGTTTATTTTATGACGTATGATGCTCCTCCGTACACTCTCGCCATCCCCTTTTTCCGTTATACCAAACGACGGGGTGCAATTTAACACCCTCTCTGCAAAAAATACTCTTAAACTAAAAAATCTAGTGAATTTTGAATAATTGAAATTTTCTGCAAATCTTGCTGATTTTATTTATTTACAATTTCTTTTTCCTTATTTTAAATTTAACTCCTTTGGTAAATTAAATTCACATTGAAAAATGAAATTAAAAGATATCGGGGCTTACTTTATTAAGGAATAGAGTTTATAGGAAATTAAAAATCAATTTAATTTCAAAAATAAATCTGTGATTAACATGGCAGCTTATTATTATTTCGATTATTTCTGGTTCCTAGTTTTTCTACCCTTGATTACGGCAGTATTTATATTGTTGTTATTCATTTCCACCCCCTCGTAAGTAGCTTTATAGCGTGTACGGTTAGATGATAGACACATAATACACTTCTACTTGTGAATATGCGTGTGTGAGTGTTTGCGTAAGGGATGCTGAGCGGGAGGGTGGCTCTCGCGGGCAGAGCAGATGGTGGTCGGCCCCGCACACGCACACACCAACCCTCCCGCTCGCTTAATCCACCCCCAGGGTGCTCTGGCTAATAATAATCTGTTAACACGACAACTGATTACTCCACTAATGCAATTCGCGCGCGCGCACCCGCCAGTGGAGAGACTTGGACGATGGACCTGCAGCATCCAAATCTGGCGCTAATTCTGTCCTCGCCGTGCGTCTAGAGGGGATTCCGATTGATTGATACTGACGTTAATTCGGTCGATTAGCTCGCGATAATTTGAACCCTGACAAGTCTCGCCAATCGGAAGTCAGAATGAAGGGAATAATTATTTTCTTTCTGGTTGCAAATGAAATGCATTTGATTATTTTATTTTAGTATAATAAATATGTTGCAACACTAAATTATTCGGCAACATACGTTTTGCTTTCATAAAATAAATCAATAAGTGACTAAAAATTGCGCCAAAGCTTCTCAAAAAAACATTTATTTCTTGATCAGATCTGGTTTTTTTCTAATTAAATAAATAAAAGAAACACACACACACTTGTGTATTTCACAAAATTGTTATGAAGACATTTCTATCACAAAATTATCACAATTTTATTGCAGTGCTGATTTAATTTCAGATAAAAATGTATTTAATTTTTTGTAAATTTTACTGAATCGAAAAAGCCCCATTTGTTGCAGTGAGCCTTGGTTGGTGACTTTTACAATATATGCAATCTGATAACTCTATAATAATTTGTATTTTGAAGATTTTCATTTTTTTTTTTTTTACTTTGTTACTCATTATATTTAAAAAGACGTTTTATGAAATTGGAAAAAGAAAAAAAAATACACTCACACACAACAAAAGCTCTAAAATACAATGTAGTCAATGTAGCTTCATCAAAACAAACAAGAATGCAGACAGCGCAGCACACGTCTTTCGCGCCATATTTTGCAGCTTCGATTATAGCAAGCTGGTATAACTAGTATTCAGCGCTGCCGGTAGAGGGCAAGTACTCCCTGCTTCGCTTTTTATCTGGAATATCTGGATCTGTTTTTTTCTCGGCCGACGCGAAATACGCAAAGCAAAAGGAGAGCAAAACACGTGGTGATTCACGTATCTTCTTACTTCTTTCCTCGAAGCCGAAACGCCGAATTTCTCTGCCAAACAGCACCGACATCCTGTAAAGGTCAAGATGACGGAAACAGAAGCTGCAGCTGAAAGCCAGAATGGAAACGAGACCAAAACCGACGACACCTCGCCCGAAAACCTGAACAAAGTCGAGCGCCAGATGAACGTGAGTTTTATTTTCGCAATGGTTGTGTCAATGATTGTCATTAAACTTGCATTCGTCCTCTCCAGTACTACTTCGGCGACTACAACTATCCGAGGGACAAGTTCTTGCAGCAACAGGCGCAGCTGGACGACGGCTGGATTCCTCTCGAGGTGATGCTGAAGTGCGCCCGGCTGAAGGCGCTCACCGAAAATGCGTCCACGGTATTGCTCGCCATCGCCCAGTCCAAGGAAGGCCTGCTCGAGGTGTCCGAGGACAAAAAGAAGATTCGCCGGGCCCAGCCCGCCCCCGACGTCAACGAGGAGGCCCAGCTGGCCACACAAAGCCGAACTGCTTATTGCAAGGGATTTCCGCTGGATGAGAAGCTTGACAATTTGCTCGAGTATTTCAAGCAGTTTGGAGACTGCGAAACTGTGCTGGTTCGTATTTTTAATATTAGTGGTTCTTATTATTTATTTTTGTGACGGTTTATAAGTTCAATCTAAACCAAAATATTAGATTTAATTGCGTCATTTTTCTTTCCAATGTAGTTTTTAATAAATAATTAAAAATCATTGGTTTGTTTTTGCAGATGAGACATTACAGGGACAAGGAGGCAAAGACAATGAAGTTCAAAGGCTCAGTATTTGTAGTTTTCAAAACTGATGAGCTTGCCAAGAAGTTCATGGAACTTGAGAGTGTCAAGTTCAACGAAACTGAACTCATCCGAAAGTGGCAGTAAGTCTCTTTACTTTTTATACTATTTTTTTTTTTTTAATTAAAGTCATCCACTTACAGAGTAGACTATTTTGAAGAAAAGAAAAAAGAGAGGATGGAGAAAATAGAAAGCAAGAAAAGCAAACCAAACAAACCTGTTGAGCGCGAAGTAAGGAGTTTGTGAGATTAAAAATATAAACTCTAATAATGATTTCGCTATAGTTCAAAGAGGAGAGTGGCAACATATCCCTACCCAAAAACAGTGTGCTGAAAATCAAGGACATTCCTGGAGATGTGACAAGAGAAGACATTAAATCTGCCCTCACACTTGCTTGTCCTGATGTGAAAATAGCTTTTATTGAATTTGACAAAGGCAACCCTGAAGCATTCATCAGGCTTGCTGACGAAGGTTCGTCACCAAAGGTATATTAAACAAAATTAAATTTAAATTTAAAACTCTAAATTTGACTCATTCCAGGCTATTGAAGCTCTAGGAGAGGGAGGCAAGTTGGTTGTGTGCGGAGTCGAGTTGGTGGTCGAAGCTTTGTCGGAAGAAGACGAGAAACCAGTTCTCGAGAAGGCAGAAAAGTTCCTCAACTCGAGGCGCATGTTTGGTTCAAAGGGCAGAGGTGGCTTCAAGAAAGGAAAGCGCAGAGGTAAATTTTGTCTAAATGCAAAAAAGATGAGAAAACTAATCAGATTTTCTGTAAATCCAGGACGAGGTGGATTCCATGGTGGCAAGAGGGCTAGGAATGACTAGAGTTTAGTTCCAAATTTTAAGCTGTCCTCTCAATGTGTATCCTGTCGTGGAGAAAATTAGTTGTAATGAATGATCTATATAAGAATAAAGTTAAACAATATTTCTTTTCTAAATGCGGTTGCTGACTCTTATTTCCCTATTTTAGACATTGGTTGCTATGGCAACAAATTTTATTTTAGTGTATTATGAATTTGGTTTTAGATAGAATCTTACAAAATGGTGAAAAAGGGGTCAAAAAAGTCCAAGAAGGGAAAAAAGAAAGAGTCAATTGAGTTGAAGGAGGAAATAAGTGAGGTGGACAAGGAATACTTCCAAATAATCATTAACGACCTTCAAGCCCAAGTTGCAAAGTAAGCGGTTGATAATTTTTTAATTCAACACATTATTTTTTGTTTGTGTCGGCTACATAAATCACACTTCTGGATTCTAACTCGCCGCTAAATTTCTTAAATACTTTCAAATGACAGATTAACAGACCGCTGCCAACAACTTGAGACGCATAACACAGGACTGCAAGGTGACTTCAGGCAGCTCGACGAGAAGAGCGCTAACGTGATTGCGTTTTTGCGCAGGCAGTTGGACGAGAAGTGCTCTGAGATTGTTGAACTCCAAGAAAGACTCACAGGACTTGCCCAAGTACTTAAAAAAAGAAATATAATTATACTCCAATAAAATACTTTTACCAGTAATTGAAGAAAATATAATTCGCTTTTTAAAATATCTTTTTGCAAAAAAAAAAAATTATTTTTATCTAAATTATAAATAGGCTAGAAAGTCGGAGGGTGACGCATTTGAAAAAAGAATTGCAGACCTCCAGCACACGGCTCAAGTAAATGAGGAACAATTGTCTGCAGAAATAAAGGTTCTTATTTATTGATAATCCTGAATATCTTTTTTAATTCATACTATTTTTTTTCGAAAGTTGCTGAACGGAAAGTTGAATTCGCTAGAGGAGTTTCGTCTGCAGAAAAACGATCTGAACGAAAAATTTGCGAAACAGGAGGAGGAAATCAAGCAAAAAGACGTCAACCATGAAAACGCACTGCAAGAGGTGGAGAGAAATTTTATATTGAGCAAAAACAGGTTTTTTTTTAAATATCAATTTTTTTGAAAATAATAAATATTAATAATTTCTAGATTGAAGAAAGAAATGGAGGAGCAACTTTTGAGTTTAAGCGAAAAGTTCCAGGCGGCCACGGCCACTCGGATGGCGGCCACCACTCAAAGGGCGGTTCATGAAAATTTGGCGCTGACCGCCGAAGTGGCGCGAATTCGCGCTGACGCTCTTTTCCAGAGAAGTTTGACCCAGACGCAAGAGACGAAAATCACCGAGTTGAAAAGGGAGGTCAAAGTCCTTAAAGATTTGCTGCAAATGCAAAGTGGCCAGAACAGCAAAGAGAAGGAAAAATGTAAAGTGAAGAAATCAAAGTGCGCGGATAAAAAGACGCAGACTGAGAAGAGGACGGCGAAATTTGATGATTTCATTCATGAGGTTTGTATCAAATATAGACTTTGTTATCGCGGTTTTATTCTCCATTTAAAGGTAGATAAGAAGGCGGAAATTTAAATTCGTGACGTACACGACATACTTATTATTTACAGCAATATATTGTTAAAAGTGCTTTTATGATAGTCATGATCTTGAGATATTCGAAAAACTTTACAATACAAATGCGTCAACTTCCAATAATCTTCAAAGATGAGTATGTTTTATTATTTTCCTTTAGGATTGCGAAACTGCACCGAAAAAATTTGAAAAAGAGGAGTATATTGAAGAGGATGAAAATAATCAGAGTTTTGACGATGAAACTGGCTCTCAAGATTTGGGATCCAGCAAACCGGCCTACTCACGCGGCAACCTTGGTTTTGTCTCAAAATAATAATGTAAAATTTAAAGGATGAAAATAAATTCATGGTCTCAAAAATTTTCATTTCTAAATGCAAATGTATTTTCATTGTACAGTTAGAAAAAAATATTCCACATAAATTGTAACACAAATTGTTGTAAAAAGCTCAAATGTTTACGATCGAGGAAAACATCTATAATAATTAATAAATAAACCGAAGATAAAATTTTCATTCAGCCGAACGTTGTTCTACCTCCATTAACAAAAAAGATTAAAAAAAATAATAAAAAATTTAGTATTGATAAAATCAAGATTCAAAATTATAACATAGACCTAAAACGACAGCGAAATAAATTCCTTTACTGTCTCACTTTTCATACATTACAGAAACAAAGATTATAAATCAATTCTCCAGTTAACAATTAACCTTCAAAAAGCGAACCAAGCGTGTAGAACAAATTAAATTTATTGCAAAAATTTATCTCGTTAACAATCTGGCGAGCAAAGGTCTTTCCCAGTTCCTTCCCAAAGGGCAACAAAATCAGTCCGATGATCAAAATAATTGCAGATAATTAGAGGCTTGGCAGAATAAATATGCAGGCGCGAGACAAGGCCGGCCGAGTGGGGTGTCCATTCACTCCGTCAGTCAAGTGCGACGGCCCGTTCAGTCTGCGTCTGGCCTCCGATCGTGCACGACGGCCTGAGTGAAAAACTCTCTAATTTTGTTTGTTTGTTTGTGTCAATGAGAGTGATGCTGTGAGAGCGAGACATGGCACCGGGACAGCACCTGGTGGACGACACGGGCGCCTGGGCTGCGCCAGGGGTCATCCTCGGCTCGGGGGGCAGCGACCGATTTCTGCAGTTGGCAGTCACGCCGCGCACCTACAACGCGTTCGACGATGACGACGGCGGCGGCATCCACATGCCCTCCGAGTACGACCGCTTCATGGCTGACGTCTGGGTCGGGGTGGTTCTCACCCTCATGGTCTTCAGCTGCCTCTGCTGCATGTGCTCCTGCATGCTGTACCACCGCTTTCAGGAGTGGAAAAGAGGAGGTGAGACAATTTAAACCATAAAGAATAATGCAAGTTTATATATTGTATTATTCAAAATCAGCTTATATGTAATTATTATTATTTAGTTTTTTCAACCATGCAGAACCCATTATTTTTGTCCAAAATCCTTATTCTAGAATTTTAAGTAACATTATTTTTATTTTTACTTATTCATGTACGCTAAATTCTTCAAGATTTAATAGTCATTTCACATATCAAATAAGAAGATATTTCAACTCTTTCGTATAACTTTATAATGGTTTTTAATTAAATTAATGTACGAATATGTCCGAATTTAAAAAATGACGTAATACAGGAATATCCCAGAAAATACATGTATAGAAAATTTCGGAAAATTTAAATTTTCAGGATAATGAGAAATTGGCAAGTAAATAAGTTTCCTAAAAAAAATTGAAAGCGGGCCTTATAAAATGGCATTAAAAAGTTATAAAAAATTGCAAAACCTTAATTATATATTGCATTGCATACTTAAATGATAACATTCTCAAAAGAATCTTAAAATTGCAATTAAAAAATTATTACTTTAAGATAAAAATATTTTCATTTTGTACTTCTAAATGATTTTATTTTTATATTAGCTCGTATTAACTTGTTTTTACTTCTTCAGCGCCCATGGTCACAAAGTAATAATTTAATAATTTTACTTTTGAAAAAAGCTAAAATTACACCTGTCAGTGTAACACAGGAACTAATAACACATCCGAGCAGCGGCGAATTTGCTCCCCCGTTGTGACTCACATGCAATATGGCCCAGTTTTTTTTTTAAACAGGAAGGTTAAACAAAACGTAAATTTCAAAATTGTCTAACCTTCTGCGTCGCCGGTTCTGAAAAGCGGCGGACACAATTAATATTAATTATAATCTTTCCTGCTTTTTCCTCTTGATTGTGCGCACCTTGCGTGATTTGTGTCAATGTGGGTGGGTGACGCTCTATCTTATCAATCACACTCGCGCGCATTTTTTTAAGGTGAAATTTTCCGCAGGGTCGCGGAAGGTGGAAACTTTCTGCGTCTCAAAAATTGTTGCCGAGTAATTTGCAGAACGGATTTTTTTTTCAACGGATTAATAATTAATTATATGCGCATGAATAATTTCGAGCCTTCCCAAGCAACCTCGAAGAGAAAAATAATATCAAAACAACCGCAGGCGGCGCAGATTAATGCAGGTTGTATGTTAATTTATCCGCCTGCACGCGTTATAACTCATTACGCTTCAATTTGTGGTTGTCCTTCCTCTCCACCAACCTGTACGCGATCTATCGTGAGGTCAGATTAGTAATTTAATGCCCCTTGTTCACGGGAGGAGGTACGACGAGACAACAGCCAGCGTGAATTGCTCTTTTTCGAATGTCTTTATGCACTAATTTTCACCTGCTTTGCCTACGATTGCAACATATTACTTAACAGTAGCTATATATTTACAACAATGTCAAAAGAAAAACATAAAAATGACATTACATTTCATTCTATGCAGTTTAAAGATAAAGGAAGAGATTTATTTTTTATTACAGACGTTTACTGCAATTATATTTAATATATTTAAATTTATTATTTAAGAAGTAGTGTATTAAATATTTTAAAATATTATTTAATTAAACAAGGTTTTGTGACAAAAAAGTTTTGTTGAAACGATTGTAAAGTCGGTAAAAAAAGTTAAAATTCATAAAATTATTTAAAATATTAAATAAAATTAAATAAATCCAATGAGTATATTTTTAAAGTTAAAATTACATTAAAAAAAGTGATATTAAACTATAAAATTATATTAAAATATTAGTAAATATATAAAATATTTATTTTGCAATCAAATTGGGGGGAGAAAAGTATTTTCGTCAAATTGTTTGCAAACAACAGACAAAAAAATGAAAGAGCAAATTCATTTGCTGGCAATTTTAATTTGATGTCATGGTGGAAACAAAGTATAGGGATAAAATCCCAGCAAACATTGAGGCAACGAAAATAATTCTGAAATTTGAAAAATTTACAATTTACATGTTTTGAAACATTTCTGAAAATAGAGAAACTGGAGTGTACATGACTGATAAACGGGAAATCCTGACTGAAACTTAATGCCCCGGCCGTGCTAATGCACTCGTTAAGTGTTGGTTGATCTTAATCATGAGTGTACGTGCAAACATCACTCAGGAGCAATTTTATTTTATTTTTAACCGCCGACTTGAACCTTGGCCGCAAACTTTCAGAACCTTGGCTGAGCCACTTGCTGCTCCAGAGTCAGTTTTTCACCAACAATAATGATAACCATAGCACGTGCGCATTGTGATTCGCGGAGAGGATTCAGATTTATGCAGAAAACGCCACAGGCAAGGTGAAATCCAGACAAAAGCGAAATTAGCGCGACATTTTGCCACACAATACAATGTAGAAAACGCGACCTAGACTATTAAATAATATTATAGACTCGGGTACTTAAAGATAAAATCAAAAGAAAGGTTGACTCATATAAACAGGACCATCAAATACGAAATGCACTAATATTTAAACTATCCAATAAAAAAATCGACTGATAAACTCTGAAGTTCAGGCGATTTGACGATTATTACATCAAAAAAGAAAATATTGTAAAAAAAAAAGCAATTAAATCAAAACTAAGAAACAAAAAAATTAAAATTTGCTCGATTTTTTTAATGAATCCTTTAAATTTTGGAAATTTCATTATTAATTGTTTGTGCTATTTATTATTTTTTCTTTTAATTACTTAGTTTTCAATGTTCCATTTAAAATTTTTGTTTCAGTGCTAGCGGCCGCGGCAGCGCGCGAGGGAGGTGAAAACGGCCCGCTGCCTGAAGAGGCCCTTCCCAATTACACACTAGTCTCCGGCCTTCCCAGTTACGACGAAGCCCTGCAGCAGTGGCGAGCGGCCCGCGTGCACCGAAAAAGTTCAGTGTCCAAAATGGCCGAGGCCATCCAGGTGGCCGCGGCCAAGACGCCGCCACCGGCGCCCCTCAGAAGACTGTCTGTGTTGGAGTTTCTGCTCAACTACAAGGGCCAAAAGACGGTGCCCAGTGTGGTCAACAGACACATAGCAGACGTGTAAAGCTCAAGAATTGAAAGTGTTATTTTGCGCTTTGCCTCACAGACAAAATTAATACACGAGCAAAGAATCAACTCGAATTTTTTTAAGTTTATAAAAAGTGTAAAAAAAATAAGAGGGTCTCTAGATTATTTTATCGAAATTAAACAAAATTTATATTAACTCTGATTTATTTTTATAAGAATTTGATTGATTTGGTCCTTTTCAAAATTATTTGTCAAAAAAGAAAAATAATGAATTTGCTTCAATTGAATTTTTTTAGTGCAAGCATTTGAAGGCCAAACGTCCCACGTTTTTAATTACTCTTTACCTTACACGTAATGTATAAATATTATGAAAAAGACTGATCGATCTATGAGAAAATCGGAATGTCCCACGTTCAGAGTTTGTTTTTCGAAACCGTGCGAATGTGAAGGCGCGCTGCACTCGACTTGTTTCAAAGCCGTCCGCCTTGTGAGAAGCCGATCTGACCAAGGAAAAGTGCAACCAGTGCAAGACACTCGACCGACATTCCGTTCAATTACCTTGTTTGTACATCAACTTATGTAACAAGACGAATAAAACCAAATGCTACAATACAAAAACCGCTGCGGCGCTTGATTGAGCAATTTGTTATTTTTATTTTCCTGAACCGAGCTTTTCTTTTAAATATAAAGTTAAAATATGTGATGGTCCAAGGTCTGTGGCCGGCCGAAATGTAGATAGACTCGGAGAAAAACGCGCCTCACTTGCGTCACCACTTTCACCTTCCGAGCAACACGCCGGTCATCCGCCTCCTCTGCGGCAGAGACCTTTGATGCCAAGCAAATAGACCAAGGTCACCGCCGGGCGGACCTTCGCGGGAAAGATCTGAAACCCAAGGTGCCGGCAAGGATCGCCCGCGGCTCTTTCGGCAGCGCCCAAATATGCATTTTTCAATCGATATTATTTTATGCCTATCCAATTAAAATCCTCAATTTTAAGTCATTATTTTCAAAATCTTTCTTTAAATTCTTATGCAGATTTTTCTTTTAAAATCATTAGGGTTTTTTTTATATTTAGGGACAACATGATCTTTTTCTATTTTGGTACATTTTTATTTAACACAAATTATGGTTTACAGCTGATACATAATTATTGTGAAAATTTTGTTGAGAATTTACGTAAAAAAAAAGAAATGGACGTGAAAACGGTTGTTTCGTTCAACAAAAACGAAATTGACGAGTTCCGCCGTTGGACACCGACGTACAAAATAACCAATCATTTCTTTTGCTGATACCAAAAATTTCCCATCGAGGCTTGAATTGGGATGAATTTCTGTAAAACTTCCAAATAATGGAATAATGTTGAGGGGGTTTCATGAGGGACACGGGGATATGCATTTACACATGAAGGCGACGTTTTAACCCAATCACGCTAGAATTGTACAAGTTTCTTCCGTTCATGCTGCAATGCCAAAGAATCGTCTCGTTTGAACATCGTGCCGCTAGATATTTTTTCATTATTCTCTATATTTACCGTAGGAGAATCAAACACTCAGAAATCAAAAGGTAGGTAGTATGTACATTACAAAGCGACCATTCCCACCGAGAAGGTACGATTTTTTTTGTAAGATTTTTATCAAACTGTGTGTGTTTGTGGTGTGTGACACTCTTGGTGAAAACTAAACCTACTTAGCGATCGTTTTAAAAATACAAAGGCCCTTCTCAGCCGTTGCAATAGAATATATTATGTATGGACCTATGCTGGAAAACACACACAAAGTTGCAATCATTCACCCAGAAATAAAAAATTACACCGGCTATCTTTGAAGAAGAGCAGCGTAATGGTAGGAAATGTGAAGCCATCCGTACAAGTCTAATTCGAATTTGTTATTTATTTATATCGTAGTTTTTGTTAAATTTGCAGCTTTGAATTTTAAATCATCTTCTACTGTTCTCAAAGACTTTTTACAAATCGCGCGCGGTCCTTCAAAAAGTTCGATAAATCAGCCTTCTGTTTTCTCGGCAGCACATGCGAGATTCCAATCAGGCTTTGCATCGGACTCAGAGGAGCTTTGGAAACTCCATTTTTTATAAATTAAAGATGCGAAATCAAAAGCTCAAAAATACATACCCTAATCTGATCAAAAAGATAAGAGAAAAAACAAAAACACGGAATTCCCAAAGCGCCCTGATTGTTTTTTTTTTCGTTCATACCAGTCGGACCGGGCGCAAAGAATCGATAAAATCTAACTTGCCACTGCAGTTCACCCATCCAGCTTCATCTTCTTGCTAGGGATGCCGCTGTCGTCCTCGTTCAGCTCTGGGGTGATGAGCTCCCCTTCCGAGGGGTGCGACTCTGTCTGCTGCTCCACCAGTTGGAAGCTCTCGCCGTCCTCACCCGCCTGCAGCTGCAGCACCTCGCCGGATGGGGTGACTGCCACGGTGGTGCCCTCCTCGCCCTCCTGCACCACCGCCAGCACACCCTCCACCAGGTCGCCGTTGTCGTCAATGTATTGTACTATTTGCTGACCCATTTCGCCCTCAGTCATGATCATCTGGGTGCCGCCCTCTTCAACCGTCTCCTTTTGCACCTCGCCACCATCTGTGCTTTCCTCTTGGACCTGAAACAAATAAAAACAATTTCAATTTAAATTGTTTCAAGATTTTATGGTACATTCATTTTCTTGAAAATATCAAAGGTTACATGCAACTCCAGGTTAATTTTTTGCATAAAGTTAGAAAATTTTATCAAACACTTAAGAAACTTCTTCACTTTACAATACACTATAAGAAGAATAAAACAGGTTTACTTACTTGAATGACGCCACTGTTGACCATGTTCATGAGAACCTCCTCGCTGATAGGGACATAGTTGCCATCCCCACTGTCCATAAGAATAGGCATGTCTGCGGGCAGACCGGCAGCTTTCAGCACCTCCTCATAGTTACTCATGGCAGTGCCTGCTTCTCCTTCGTTCAGCTGCAAAGTGATCTGGTCACCATCATCCGCCTTCTCGATCTTCGTCTCCTTTGGGGGTGTCGGCGCCACCACCTTCTCTTGAGCTGCCTGGGCGGCTGTGGCAGCAGCAGCAGCCGCTGCTCCCTTCTTCACGGCGGAGGCTTGGTTTGGGGGAATCCTCACCAGGGTGGACTTCATTACCAGTCCACCGGACTTCTGAGGAGAGGCGGCTTTCTTCTCAGCGTCTTCGTTCATTTGCTTCTGCAGAGACTCGACGGCGCGCTTGCTGGCCTCTGCCTCTTTGCGGAGAGCAACGTCAGTGTCGGCAACAATTTTTTCTTGGTACATCAAACCCATGTCCTGTTTGATAGGTCTGCCCCGTTTCTTTGGTCCAGCCTAGGGCATGACGGACATTATTCTTATTTAATTTTTTTTCCTTATATGTTGAAATGAAAAATTATTTCACGCCAAATGAAAGACCCAACTTGAACTGCGAAATGATAGCAAGCTAATTAATCATGCAGTTGAAATTAAAAATTTTGTTAAAATAATACAAAGAATTGCATTAAAATCAGTCAAGATTGAAAACGGCCAAACTGCTGATATTTGTATTCAGCTAATGAGTTAATTGAGATTAGGAGCATTTCACAGTTGAAGTCCAACCTGATAAAGTGGACTGGAGGTTCCAACCTGATTAGGTACCAACTGCAGCGTTGAATCTTTAGCAGCACCCATCGGCTTTTGCTCAGCAGCGACGACAGGCTTGTTCAGGGATAGCAGCAGGTCAGCCGCCTTCAGACCAGGACTCTCACGGAACTCGTCAGCCTGGATGGTCTGTTTGGTAGGAGTGGCCAGCTGAGATGTTACTTTGGAGGCAGCAGATTTGACAGTTTGAGTTGCTGCTTTTGCTGGTTCTTTTTGAACATCGCCTGAAATTATTAAATTAATGCAACTATCAACTTACAATCGAGAATCAATGAGGTCAATGGAAATGGATCATATTTAAATTTGTAGACATCATAAAACTGATGTAAAAAAATGTAAATGGATGCAATTTTGCTAATCAGTGAAGATAAATTATTTTTGTATTTACTGTTTTCGTTCTTCAATTTATATTTCAACTTTAATTTTATTTATAATTCACTGCATACCGATTGGTCTATGAAAATATTTTCAATGTATAAGAATGACTTGCAGAGATTCCTACCATTAACTTTTGGTCTTGTTGGTTTACTCGTAATGCCGAGCGCCTCTTTGCTCATTGACGAAAGGCCCTTGACTTGGAAGAAGCGCGCCGCTTGCAGCAGAGGCCCAAGATCTTCATCTGTGACATTAGTTTCCCCACAATACATGAACTCAATCATGCTCTTTAGTACGGAGAACTGCATGTCTTTAAGCACAATTAAGGGGTGCTGGGACAATTGTCGTTGTGCAATGTTCTGGAGTAAGTTCTCAAAATAGGGACTACAGGCGGCTAACACACAGCGGTGAACTCGCAGAGTGTGGGTGTTGCACATGAGTGTGATGTCCACCAGGGTCTGCGACTCGAGTAAGTGTCCCAGCCGGGATGCCAGGTGGGCAGGGTGTTCTTCCCATTGCACCACAAACCGGGTTGGTGTCGGCGCAGGTTTAATGGCGTCTGCCATTGTCCTGGAATGTGAGACTCTCGTTAGAATTGAATTTCAACTGGGTTTCGTTGGGTTGGTTGTTAAATAGGCTGAGAGAAAATGGGGCAAAATTGCCAGGACCACAAAAAAAATTCGTGCCGGTCAATCCGACGTTGACGGAGTTCACAATATTCAGGGGTGAAAAGGTCGCAGAGTTGATCTAGGTATGCTTTTATGATAAAAAATTTGGATTGTAGCGCCTAAAAGTAACTTTTTTTAATCGAAAATTGCGACCATATGAACGGCACAACAACAACACAGCCGGAGTGCCATCTTTTGTGAAAATGGCCGATGCACAAAAGCCTCCCCGGCTCAGTCAACCTAGGCGATAAAAACTCGCTTTCGGGGGCCTTATTAATGTTAAATGCAACTGAAGGGGTTGTTACGGCGTCGCTTTGGAAGTAACTCGACGCACGCATTTGCCGAAATTAGCGCAAGTCAGCGCAAATAAGCTCGGCCTCCGAAAATGGATCGGGCGCCCTCACAAATTGTGCATCAAAACTGCGCCATTTTTGGGGCAGGGCAGGGGTCGCGACGCCCTAATTCGCGGAATCCACGCAATTACCTGCGTTTTAATAGCAAAGGTCGCTAACAAGAGGATGTAGATGGCTATCTAAATCGAATTTTCGGCAAATTTTTCACGTCCGGCTTTGGAAGCTTTGATAACCTGGAAACATGCGCTTGTAAACATGCAGGTAGCGCTCATTTGTTGTAGGAAGTCGCCAATGCCAACCAAACAGATTTTTTTATTAGATAACTATTCTAGATTGATAATAACTTTCCGCAAAATCTTAATTTTTATTAATATAAATTTATTATAAAATGTAAATTTATAATTTTTGTGTTATAATTTCTTTTTAATTACCTTTTTCTTGAATTTCTAAGCTATTGGTTTAACTTTATTAAGTTCTTTACAATACTTATTACCCCCACCCTTTTCCTAGACCACATCGGTGATTAGGAATTTGGCGGCAAGAGGGGCAGGATTTGCGGGAAAGACAGCTGGAGCCGACAGAGTCAAGATAATCTTCCCTCTTATAAGGAAGAAACATCAACAAAGTTCCCGGAAACCTTTTCTTCTTTTAAAAATTAGTAGAAATTTAATGTCGTCCAAAATTTTCAAGTTCATTTAGTCGTGGATTGCTGAGAAATCATGGATTTTACGCGGAATCCCCGGCGCAATTTGCAGAAACAGGCGGATGTTGAACTCGACAGCCAATATCCGCACGACCTCCAGTTATATGACAAAATTCCAACAAATTCCATTCTCATTCATGACTTTGAAGAAATCGCCCTGGAGAGACTTAAAGGTATGACTTTTATAATGTAATTTTGTTATTAATAAAATTAAATTTATCATATAAGCTATCGTTACTATTAATCCTATTATGTATGTACACCATAAAATCAAGAAGATGAGAGATGAAGCTATGCAAATCTTAAGTTAACAGTCACTCATAAAAGTTCCAATTTCAGCTCTTCGAATAATTGAGACAGTGACCCTGCGAGGCTTTGTAAAGTATTCTGAGGAATGGCGTAAAAACTTTCATGAAGAGCTGAAGAAGCAGGAGCTTAAACCCCTTGCTAAACTTGTAAGCAGGAGATAAAAAGAGAAAATATTTTTAAATTGAGTGAAAAATTTTTTTTTCAGTACTCCAGTCCAGGCGTCTCTGGAACAACACCAAATTATGAGGCTAGAAGAAGGGACCACATTTCGCACTTCATTCTGTGTCTTGCGTTTTGCCGAACTGATGAACTCCGCAACTGGTTCATCAATAAAGAACTTGATCTCTTTATGGCCAGGTTCGAAGAGCTGACAATTGATGGCCGAAAGGATTTTTTGCAAATCAACAACATTGATTTCAAACCTGTACGCATGAGGTTGTCATTTTTCCAGAATGCATAATATTTATCTTTTTATTTTATAGATTCCAGTGGAGGAAAAGAAATCAAAATTGGCGAAGTTTATAAACACATTCCAGCTTATGAACGCAACACAAATAGATTTGTCCGACTTCTACAAAGTGCCTTTTAGACGAGTGCTCGACCTTGTGAAAATTCGAAGGGTCTACTTGGAAAAGGGCCAAGCATATGTTGCCTCTGGTGATTTGGGAAACTTGATTGCATCCAAGCTTCGCCAAGAAATCTCTCATTCTCTTGCAGTAAATTAGAAGTTGATGAATGTAAATTATGGATAATAAAGTTTGTTTGCTTCTAGGTAATGAGACAGTGTCTTCCTGAAACTACAGCAGACATTAGACTGGATTCTGTCTTGAAGTGTTTGCTGGACCAGTATGAGTCTGGAACTTACAAGCCCACTACAACTTCATCTGATTCACTAAGAATTGAAGATCTAGATGATGTGAGTTTTAAAAATTATTTGTTTAATCTGAGAAAAATTTAAATTATGTATTTAAATGTTTCTTTAAATTTTAGCTGTCAAAGAAATCATTCCCTCCTTGTATGAGGAGAATGCATGAGACCCTGCGTCTCAAGCATCACTTGCGACATGCAGCTCGAATGCAGTATGGCCTATTTTTGAAAGGCGCAGGATTGAGTCTTGAGGACGCTCTCAAGTTTTGGAGGTCGGAGTTTGTGAAGGTCATGGCCGTGGAAAAGGTTGATATTAAAATTCATTGTTAGATTTTAATATTTTTTTATTAATTTTTATGTCTAGTTTGAGAAAGAATACGGCTACAATATTCGCTACAATTACGGAAAGGAAGGAAAGCGGTGTAACTTTTCCCCGTACGGCTGCAACAAAATCATCAACAGTCAACCTGGCCCAGAAGATGCAAGTGGCTGTCCATTCAAGCATTCTAAACCTCTAGAGCTGCGGAAGTTGATTCTGAGTTACGGTATCGACTCAAACCAAGGTAGTACATTTGGTAGCAAGTTATTTGTTTGTAATCAACAGTTTCTTTTAATAACTATAGGTCTTAAGGATGTCATGGAGTATGTCAATACTCAGCAGCCTGTGCTTGCCTGCCAGAAGCTTTTTGTCCTGTCACAACCTGGCAAAGGCGTCGAATTTGGTTTGTGCCACCCTAATCAGTACTTCACTGAGAGCAGGATGATTATTACTGGAGCTAATGTAAAACAAGAGCCTGCATCTGAAACAGGTAGATTTAAAAAAACCTGCCTAGCCAAGCTAATTTTTATATTTATTTTTTATAAATAATTTAAGCCGCGACTCCGTCCACAACCTACAACTCTCCTGCCAGCACTTACGCTACTCCAAGCCCAAGCAATATCCGCAAAAATATTAATTCCAGTTCGACCCCATTGAACACAAAAGCTACCACTGTGGCCAGAGATACTCCAGCCTCATCCCGCAAAGCTCTAAATGTGAACAAAGCAGGTAAGGCCGAGCCGTTGAGCGATGTTTCTGATTGGCTTGATGAAATGGAGGACAATGATTTGTCTCAAATTGAGGCCATGGACACTACAGCCTAAACTTAAATTACTCGATTGATGCTTAATTTACAAGACTAGTGGTAATTTAGAGCCAATAGTAGCAGCAGAAGTCTCGTACATGTCTGGGACTAACAGTGTTTCATACTGCTGTGATCGAGGTACAATGATTGGCAGACTACTCGGCTGTCTGGGCTGAGCACCTTTGTATGCACCTTGAAACTCTGTTTGCAGAGGCCTGCATCGAAAAATAAAATATATTTTTAAGCTGACATTAAAAGTGCCGAACCAACCTCACTGTGACACTTGCTGGAACGATTCTGAATTCTTCTTCAAATTCATACACTTTGTCGTCCATCATTGTTGCCTTTCTTATATAACTTGGGCAGACCCAAGTGTCTTGTCTTGCAAAATTCCAGGACTATAAGTAAGGAGCTTTGATAAATGTTTAAGTGCCAACCTAGATTACCTTTGGTTGCATATTAAGATCATAAGAAAAAGTAAAATCATCTTTTTCCCCTCGAGAGATTTGGGAAAAATTCCTCTTTGTCTCGCTTATCCAGACGTCTTTCCAGCTAGGAAAAATTGATGTTGATTCATTTCTAGCCTTTTTTGCATATCCTGCGCCCTTTCAAATTAAAAAAATGTTTTTTAAATAATACACTGTCTATAACAATTTTAAAAAGTTACTGAAAAGTGAGCCAGAGTGTGGGGCTGTAACAAATTTGGTGACAAATATTTATTGTCTACCGGAAACCTTTCGATGTTCCAAACATTAGGTCTTCTTGGTCTGTATTGAGCTTTGTACTCACTCGGACCCAAAACTGCTCCTCCAACCCACCAGCGTTCAATCTATGAATTTGAAAAAATTAAATCCTTAATCAAAAATTTTGATGTAACCTGTGGAGGAACGGGAATGTTCAATGGGTCATATGATATGTGCTGGTGACCCATATCCTGGTCATCAGATGAGTACCCCATTATGTGCTAATCAATTGTGTTTGCAGCTGCCCCTTTTACTATTATACTCTAGTGCACAAATGAAGAGAAATCCAATGGGGTTGCCATGGGAATGATTTTCAATAGTCTCTCTAATTGTAATCGCATGCAAAGGAAAGGTGCCTGTATAAGACTGGTGCTCATCTAGCTTTACCAACATGCATCCCTCAAAAGGTATTATACTTTTTGTAACATTATTTTGCTTACAGTTATTAATATATTTTTTATAGAACATCCAAGTCTCGATGACAAAAAACAGTACTTGCACCTTCTGGAGTTGCAACTGCGGTTGCTGGAACTCGAAGCCAACCGTCTCAGAGCTTGCTGCAGTTCTTCTTCAATTTCTTTTACTTCGGTTGCAAAAACTAACTTGTTAGTATATTTCTTATTTTAGAAACTTCCCATTCCCTTGGTATTTACTTTAAGAGCAAGTAATCTTGGATCTGCCGTCTCTCTTCAATCTGCTACTGATGTCCATTCAAGACCTCCCTCTCCCTTGGCAAGCAGCAGTTCTTCGCCTCACAAATTTCTACGCAGCTCCCCAAGAAGTTTTGACTCGCATAGCAGCAATTCCGACTTTGAAAGATACCCAAAGTATAAATTTGCTCAAAAAAATTCCGAGATTGTTCAAAACCGTCACTTTTGCAGTTTCTTGGGGAAAAAGTTCCTTCTGAATCTAGCCGAGGCTGCCTCGCAAGAATTATTCAGAGACCTGGAGGCACTCGAGCTAGAGAGTCAAAGATCTGCGTCTATATTGCTTGGAAAAATTGAGGCTTACAAGGCAGAAACGCAAAATTTAAAAGCAACAAGAGATGCTGCTGAGAAATTTGGATCAAAAGTTACTTCCGGAGATGGACAACAGTTTTATCGGTACAAGTTTTTTTTTATATGTATTTTTATTTTGGATTAAATCTTTTATTTTCCAGGTGGATTTCTAAACACTGGCTGGGTAACACCGAAAGAGACCTGAGATGGCTGAAGCTCAAAATTGTTTCGGATCAAAAATATCAGAAACTGCGGCAATTTTCCCAACGGAGCAACGCCGACATCGATCTACAAATGTCTGGCAATGCGAAAATGGAGCAGCAACTTTCAAACGTAATTTCCTCAGTCCAGAAATTGTACGAAGAAAACTGCCAGGATGCTTTAAGAAATGAAGTGCTGTGTGATTCCACTACAAACCTGTCGGACAAGGTGGGCTACCTTCAACGAGGCATTCTGGACAAGCGGAGGAAGAAGCACGAAAAGGAAGCCATGAAATTCACCCTGGAAATGCGCAACCAGGGTTTGGTTAGGCATTATCTTGACATCGTGGACGTCAACAAAATCAATGCCCAGAAATTTGGTCTCCAATCAATTCCAGACATTGAGGTTAATTGAGAATCTGAATTTTAATTAATCTAATTTCTAATATAAAAAAATAGTTCGTTTCAGTTTGGATGAAATCAGTCGGTCTTGAAAGGAATTTGCAGCAGGAGCTGCAAATCAGCCAGAGGCGCCAGTCAATGCTGAATTTCCAAGTAAAGCGAACAAAGGCCAAATTCCGAAAGTCCCAGGAAATGAAGATGGGAGGTCCTCACTGCTCTCCAGCCGACACGGTGCGCCTGAGCACCAAGAGTGGTGCAGGACGCACATCCACTTCTAATATGACCACAGACGATGGCAGCACACCTCTTTAGCCACACCAGGTAATTACCAATAATAATCAAACTGTTTAATCTGATATTTGAAAGATTTTAATTAACAAACCTTAGAGGATTATAAATTGAGTGCTTTTTGTAACTAGTAAGAACACGCAATTTACAACGAAACTTAAAACAGTCTGATTTCTTATGGAAAATAATATAAAAATAATGAGATTCTGTTATTAAAAGATTTGCAATAGTTTCAAGAAATTTAAGGAAGGCAAATCAATATTTTTCCGTCATCAATTTCTTCTTGAATTCGGTCACTTGACATTGCTTTGTCCGCTAGTGATGACAAAACGGCGCATATAAAAGTCCCGATGATGCCCAAGAGTGCCACATAAAATGACCATCCTACACATTAAAATATTATCAATGAATCACAAATTAATTTAATTCAAAACTTTACCAAGAGTGCAATCTTCGAGGTAAAAAACCGCCGAACCATGGCCGCACAACCTCTGCACTCTTTCCGACCCAAATCCGAACGGAAACATCATCAGGCCCACAACATACAACAGTCCTAATAAAAAGTTATAATCAATTTTTCAGCAAAGTTTTAACAGCCGTACCTGCCGCCGCTTGAGCAGCCCCAGCCACACTGAACAACGACTTCTTTCCGCACACAGCCTGGACGCAGCAGCCGAGGAGAGCGGCCATCGTCGTCACAATTCCAGTGAGCACTCCAAGGGTCAGGAAGACCAGGGCCACTTGCCAGGGTATGGGAAAGCCGGCACCACCCTCTGCTTCTTTTAGTCCAACAAACGGGGCGCAGTGCTCCCTTCCTTTAATGAGGGTGCATCGGGTGAAGATGCCCAGAGTTCTTCCATACCATTTTACCTGCTCCTCAACTGAAAGGTAAAAAATTAAATATTTTCATTTTCATTTTTCCCCTTATTTATTGATGATCTTTTTTAAATTTTTCTGACTCTACACAAAAATCGGAGATTATGATAGAAAAAATTAAAAACTACAAACTAAACTGATTTATAAAATTAAAGATTATAAGCTATTATTTTATTTTTAGTTACAAATCCACTTAAAGATGAATTTTTACGTTTATTTTTTATATATATATTTTACCTGCATAACTCTTTTTTGAATTTATCTCTGTGACCGTGGTGACATTGTAATGGTATTTGTGCTCGGGGCCCACTAACCACCTAGCGGTCAGAATGGAGGACAAGACTGCCAAAGTCGACACCAGGGTCAAAAGAGTCCAGAGAAGGCTTCGGGTCGTGATGATCACAAAGCACTGCATCTACAAATAGGGCGTTTTGAACGTTTAAAAATAATGTTCCTCTTCTGAATTTTAATGAGGCAGAGATAAATTATGGATGCTGGACGCGCATCACTACTTCTTATTATGCGAAGCAAGGCAAATTCGTCACTTCCGGCTCGCAATCTTTTGCATTCCAAATTCTGATAATAATGTTCATCAGACGATCTTGTGTTTAATTTACAAGATTTTAATTGCCAAACGAGTTTCACTTCTCATTAGTATGTGGTAAACGAATGAAAAAATCTGCTAAGAATTTATTCAGTAAATGTTAATTCTTGAGTAATTTGAGCTCGCAGTTTGTTTAAATTAATGGAGCGAATTGAAGTTGACGAGATGATCAATAAAAAGGCCAATTGGTTCTGCACGGCCTGCTAATTTGCACAATGGGGCGACTTTATTTTTGGTGTTAGATTGCAATCTGGCTTCTTTCTCGGCGTGACCTCATCTCCCGATTATTGTGCTGAGCAAGGCTGCGCTTCGCTCTCTGCATTGGGCCAATTTTGTTCCAGGAACTGACTCATATTATATGCCGTAAAGAGCGCGTGGTTCTCGTCTCTTTACACAGGAAACTCGGCAGAAAAATTATACATAGCGCATTTCTAACCCAGACAACACAAAAATTTTCACCAAAGTTACATTTTTTATGTAAAAGCTCAAGTAAAATTAATGAGGATTGAAATTAACTTCACAACTTCCAACTCGCAAGTTAAAAAACAAATAATTTATTGATTTCAAATTTTGGTTTTTTGAAACATCAATTTTGTAAAATAAATAAGGTAGACATTATTGCTTATTAATAATTAATTGTTGTTATTGGGACGGACACTAAAATTTAAGTCATATGATTAAATTATATCTATTGTAGTTTAATTTTATTATTTTAGAAAACCGAATCATGAAGGGTTTAATTTTACCGCTTTGAAATAAAGCAATGCTGAGCTCTTAAAATTAATATAATATTTAAGCTAAGGAAGGATTTTCTTAAATTGATTATACTTTTTTCAATTAATTTAATTTTGTTTCATCCATTTCACCAAGAAAAAATTTATATTATTTAAAACTTTCAGTTATTTTTTTTTTTTTTTTTGCTATTCAAGATAATTTCATATTACTACGTATTAACTCATTCTTTGCTTTTTTTATAAGAAAAAATGGATTTTTAACTGCAGGATAAGCATTATTTATATAATATCCGTGATATCCCATTCACTAACAATTTTTTTTTTATTATTAAAATAGGGAAGAAAAATACCAAAAGGTCCAAATATTCTGGATTAGAGCAATTAATGTCTATTACAGTAATTTGATATTTAAGAAAAGATGAACCCAAATTTACTAAATTTTTTTATAACCACCGGGCCAGCTTGTAATTTGATCAATGCTCCCGCAGTGCCCGCATAAATGAACTTCTTAATTCAATTAGCTCTGTTTTGGTACTAGGGTCACGACAGAAACCTTCTTGCTCATTCACGATTGCCATACACATGTAATTTGAAACGCGCGTTGAGCACTGCTCTTCTATTGAAAACAGATTTTGTGCGGGGACCACTTGTGAAATAATTACAAAGCCCCGAAATAGCTCTGAAGTGGCAACATTTTGACATTTGTGTGTTTCTGTTTCGCTTCGATACATATATCGGAATGTGCCTTTTAAAGGCGGCTCTCTTCCAAATTGTTTTTCGGCCCCTAAACGCGTCGCACGCGCGCTCCAAAGTCGCTCTCCCCCTTTGACTCATCCTCATAAATTTTCGGGGCTGGCTGCAAAAGTCACCCTAAACATAGACAAAAATAAACTTGTGGCGGCGCCTGAACACGCAGGCAGGCAAATATAAAAATGGAAAACGGCGGAAAGGACCCGAGACTAGTTTTGTATTTGAACTAAATCAAATCTATTAACCAGGAGGGGAAAACTTATTTTATCTATAACAGTAGCAGAAAAAACAGAAAATTATTTCCTCCTCTTTTCTTTTGGTTAATCTCAAAGAAAAATAGCCGCGCCCTCGTAAAATTCTGAAAACGCCAACTGCATTCGAGCACGCGATCTTTCGGAGGATGTGGTGGTGCATATGTGAGCCCAGGCTTATTCACTAATTGATGACATCATATGAAATCTCAAAGAGTCACACAACTGCTCTTTTTATTAATGAGACGAGCATTTACGAGCTCGACAATTTTTCTTGTCTGTATTCCCGACTTGACATATTCGAACTAATCAAGAACAAGCTCCTCAAGGGTGTATTTTAAATATCTCGTTGAGATGATTTTTCTCACTCAGAGAGACTTTACGGCACGTACATTTATATTAGAGCTCTCCACTCTCGCTGTCTGGCACTTGAAGAGCCGATAAAGAAAATGAGTATTGGACTCAGTTAGTTCTGGTATTAACTGATTGTATGGACAACAAAAGTGAGGAGAGGATTTTAAAGAAAATGTCCGCGATTAGAATAAGTCGGCTGAAAACTTTTTAAATGAAGAAGGAACAATTTGGAAAAATTTCTGAATATCGCAGTGTTTATTCTCTCAATAAAATTTGGACATTTTTATCAATCAATTAAATTTTTTGTCCAAGGATTTTAATTTAAAGAAATATGCACAAGAAATTTACTGATGGTTGGAAAATTAATTTTCATGAAAATCCATATTTGTTAAGGCGAGCCGTATTTAATTCATTCACAGGACGCCCTTTGTATGGGTAAAGGTGCTAATTTATTTCCCTGCTACCCACTCCGAACCAACGATACAGACGAAGCTCAAATATTTTTCTCTCGGTGAGAAACAAAAAATAATGACCAGCGATTTTCCATCACAGCCTTTTGGGGGAGACAAGACTACGCATAATTCAATAATATTAAATTGACCTTCGTGATAGGCAGAAAAAAATAACTTACAATTTAAATTGTGGAAATTTTGTTGCAGATGAATCCAGTTGGGGGGCAGAATGCGTCAAGACATGCCGCTTAAATGGATTTAATCCCTGTGAGATGTGCTCTGGGTGAGGTCGCGTGCTCGACTGACAGCTTCTTGGTTGCGCTGCCGCTGCAGCGCCGACTATTAAGTTGCTGTCTGGAGGCGCAAGACCAAAGCAATCGGCTGGGCAGGCGGGCGAGACCAACGACTTCCGCTGCTGCTGTGGTGAGTCCAGCAACATTTTATTTTCATTTGCTCTCTACATGAGAGTCCATTGATGATTCAGCGCTTGCCTGCTGTTATCGCGGGGCAGCGATTGTTTCGAGAGTGGCGTTTATTATTTCCACCTGCCGCCTCTCTACAAACAAAGAAGCCGAGGGTGGAATTTTCCCACCATCAAACAAATCTCAAATGTTTCGCACTTCATTCAAATCGTTCTTGTACTTCTTGTTACATTCATTAGAGTGAAATATTATGTAGAATTTTAGCTTGTTGATGGGATAATTTTTCTGCTGGATTACAAAAAAGCTCTTTTTAGCTGAAAAATTCATATTTTAGATTTTCAAAATATTTATCTAATACATTAGAAATTTATCAGAATAATACGATCAAAATTTGCAATGTGCTGATAGTAAAATAAATTTAGAAAATTTAGAATTATTTTCCAGGATGTTTAATTCAGAAATGAAAATTTAGAACCGAAAGCTTATCGTTTTTCAGTAATGTATACGTTTTTATTGCACTGCATGCTCCGAGAGTACATGCTTTTTAGAGCACCGCAGACAGACTGAGAATTATTTTATAACTATTATGAAAATTCGACAGAAACATATAATACACAGTAATTATCTTGCGTCACTATTGTGTAATAATATTAATTATATTATAAACTCCAAAGAACTGGTAGGAAACCTGATCAATATTTTTATGCAATATTTTCCTGTGTTTTCTATTTGAAGTGAGGTAAACGGGGCTCAACATTATAGTAATAGAGAAGCAAGCAAGATTTACAATTTTACCCCATCACATATGACTCATCAAAGCGTATTTAAGGTTGCACTAAACTAAAAATTTCAAATGTGTACTGCAGAATATACAAACGTGCTAACGAGTTTAACGTTTTCTTAAAATTTGGCATCTCTGTTTTCCATCAATCAACACCTTTTTGCAGTCTTACATCTACAGTTTTAGTGCCCAAACTGATTTACGTCAAAATGGTGCTCAAATCGAAAAAATTTGGCACGTCCTCGGTTATTTTTACTACAATATTCAATTACGAAATATTAGTCTGAATCACGCTACGACATTTGTCATTTTTCCCTTTCTTCTTTTGGACATAACAATAAATATATAATAATGGTAAATTTATATACGCTTGAGAATATTTGGCATTGTAGAGAATCATTTCTTGTAACACAGCGAGTCAAAATTTTCACGAGAGGCTTCTTTTTCCTTCACTTTGCGCGCATTTTTATTATATTTTTTTTCTCATCCAGCATTCATTCACTCGGTCTTTAGCCACAGGTGATTTTTTTTCCTTCCGAATTTCTTTTCGTAGACCCCGCGTTGAGCTGGTCTGTCGCATGTACGGCACGCAGCACTGATCAACGAGCAGCCTAGTTGCTCTGTGCAGCAGCCGACCGGTGGTTCTTGGCCCGTCTCCGGCGTTTGGCACGGCTTCGGCCGCCCCGGCTTGGGGCGGAAAGCAAAGATCATTGAAGCCCATTGCTTTGATTGTGGTGGACAGAGGCGTCGTCGCGAGGCAGATCCTCAATATCAGCAGCAGGCTCATCCTAACATAAAAAAATCACAAATGTAATTTATATTTTTAAATGATTACAACATCTAAATTTATTAATAAGAGGTTTACACTTTTATTAATATTTACTTAATTCATTTTTAAATTGTGACCTTGTTCATTTTAATAATATTTGTATTTGTAACATATTTTATATTAACTTGATATTTTGAATTTTTTTTTTAATTTTGCCTAGTTTGCAAAAATAAAATTGCAAAATGAGATTGGATAATGAAATCAACATAAAAATTTCAATAATTTAATAATCTTTTTTCCCAATTAAGACAATAATTCAAAATTAAATTAAATAATTTTAAATTACCAAGTCTTGTGCCTCTGCTTGGTCATCCATTCCAGACACGTCTGCTGACGTCTCCTCTAAGCCGGCGCCGTCCTCTGCTGCTGCTGCGCTTGCTGGAAGATTAAAATTAAACTCAATTACCAAGACTCGGATTTATTTTATCTAAATTTTACAGTATTGATTGAAAATATAAGGAATTTGATGTTGAGAAAAGACATTATAAATTATATTCAAAAGCCCTAATAAAATAGTAAAATTTAATTTTACAAAACTGATTCAAAATGATTTATGAATTTTATAAATTTATAACATGAAAAATTTAACAATTTAGAATAATAATGCTAATTAAGCTAATTTTATATTCACCTGTTGTGTAGTTGGTGACCGAAGCTTCATCACCACCGTTGGCCTCATATTGATTTCCATTCAATGCTCCCTCTTTCAATACTCCTAAGTTAATTTATAGGTTTTGTTATGTTAAAATACATTCAATTTTTAAGTTAAAAGAAAAAATTAAACTCACTTGTTTCTTCTCTTGCTTGAGCTGCAGCGTGGGCTCCATTTTGCTGTCCAGCCTATAAAAATAAACGAAATGTAAATGAGTGAATTTCTCGGCTATATTAAATTGAAAAATTGTCAGCAGTTATTCACATTCATGATTTATTTCCAATAATTCCACACATAAAATCTGCAAATAAACCAAACTTTTGTTAGTTAGAAGCCATATATCATTGGTTTTTTTTTTATTAAATAAACATGCAATTATTTCTTTTGACGGGATTAGCTGCAAAAATTAACAAAGATGTTAACTTAGGATGGCTCTGAAAAGGGCCAGGTTTCAATCAGTGTAAATTTGAATATAAAGCAGATTAAACTCTCTTCACAGACAAAAATCAAAATTCAAATGGCAGCTCACAGCAGCAAGAGCAGCAGCGGCAGCGGCCTCGGCAGCAATCGCTTCAGGAAGGTTGATAACAGAAAGGGTCATTTTTCCACTGAGGATCACAGGTGGCGCTTCTTCGTCGAGGTCCATGTCATCAAAGTCGTAGTCGCTGACAGGCGTCGCCTCGCACTCGGAGTCGGAAACGAGAATTCCGTGTCCCCCTTTGGTGACAACAAAGCAGGTCAACAATGTTTTTTGTTCATTTTCTGGTTCTCGGCTCAGTTGACCTACCTGGCAGGTGACCTTCGACCACGAAGCTGTGGGTGGGGGGAGGGGTGGCACTCAGAGGCCTCTGCAACGGGGTGCTGCTTCTGGGAGGGGTCATCGAAGTCGGGGTCGCAGGTCTTGACCACCGATATGCAGGGGAGGGGGTGTACTGCTCCAGGGCGTACAGGGGGAAAATGGGGGTGATGCTCCTCGGGGGCGTGGAGGGGGTCGGAGGACGGGCCATTTTCTGGCCGTCCTCATACCGGGCTGTGGTTTCCATCCCAAGGACTGTGACTTTCCCACCACCTTCCTCCTTTTCATTATTTTAAAATAATAAAAAAAATCTAGTAAAATTTAAAAAAAAGAAAAAGTCAACTTACAAGAAGTTGTTGCAGCGGAGTGCTGCTCCTTTCGGGGAGGTGACCGTTGGCCTCCAAAAGGGCATCGGTGACCTTGACCTCCTCCGCCGGATCCTCAGCAGTGGCTCTGACAATTTCCTCCTCGAGAGGCTCTTCGACCAAAGGCTCTTCAGCTTCCTCGTCGATTTCCTCGAGCTGTTCTTCAACTTCCTCTGCTTCAACTTGCTGAGGAATTTCTTCATCCTTTTCAACTTGCTGAGGCTCCTCTTTGGTAGCTTCAATATTTTCCTTCTCAATTATCTCTTCCACTTCTTTTTCTACTTCTTCTTTTTCTACAGGTTTCTCTACAGTCTCTAATGTTTGCGGCTGTTCTTCTTCTTCGTCACCCTGAATCAAATTGAAAATTTGAACATTTATAAAAATTTTTAGAGCGTTTTTTGGGGAACGAAAAAAAATTAATTTTTAACAAGGCAAAGTCGATAAACAAAGCGCTATAACTACAGCAGGGCAAACAACATGCAAAAATGGGACTAAAAAATAATTTTATCTATTTTAATGTTTAAAATATCTCATATATTTAAAGTTGTCGTTAAAAACTGTCCTTTATTCTTTACTTTTTAGTAATTAATGACCGTTTTTTAATTATTCCTATGTACATGCTATATCAAAGTTAATAAAGAGGGCAGTGAATTGAAAATGAAGTAGTATGGGAACTACGCAGGACACATTATTTCAATGACACAGAGTGTCTCTGAATGGAAATGACCTAGGATATGTGATTTTTTTTAATAATGACTTTAACACAGAACAAAAAAAGTGAATCTTTTGCTAACCTTCGGAGTATTTAGTTTATTTTTGGCATCCGAGGCAAGTAAATGCTGGTCTACCTCGGCTAAGAGGCCAGAAATGGCCGTCACAACTACAAAAACAAATCAATCAGTCAAAGCGGAGCAAGAATCTGTGCAAACACTGCCAAAAAATTTGTACAAATTTTGATCAAAACGATTAAAAAAAATCTGCGACACTGCTACCGATCTGCACCTGAGATTTGCTAAAACTTTTTAACACTTTTTAAGATCTAGATATATTTTGTTGGGGTTGCAAGACGGTGCCACTGTAAGGTTGTACAAAGGCAGGGGCGGTAGAGGAGAAACAAAAAGTCAAAAGTTTGAAAAGAAAGTAGTCGTGCCTTTCGTCTCGGAAAAGGTGTGGACGTTTGTCACTGCATGCGCAACAAAAACAACCAATAAACTATAAAACGCAAAACACAAAGGAATAAATTTGAGGAAAAATGAATTGATGAATTTGGAAAAAGAAAAAAAAACGCCAGAAATTAAATCGCCAAATTGCTTTGCCTACGCTGAAAAAAATTATATTTGACGCGCGTGGCAAAGGAAAATCAGGGGTCTGGAGCGCAGGACCCTAACCTGTCGTGGCACTGTCTTGAGGAGGGACGACGACGGCCTGCTGGGCTCAACCGCAGTCTCGATTTGCGCCACGATGCGCTCCATCGCTGCTTCCGTCTCCTCCAGCCGCCTCCGCAGCTGGTCAATTTCGTTGTCTCCTGAAACATTATGTGCGTCCACAACCCCGAAAAAAAAAACACAAAAATATCTTCCCAGCAAACTTTCTTTCTTGCCTATAATATATTCCAAAATTAAATTGTGAAACAACATATTGCGTGAACATATGAAAGCGTAAAAAGCGGCAGTGTTTCAATTTTTATGAGAACTTTGATTTTTTCTTAAATAATACTTACTTGTGTCATGTTCACTCCATCCTTTGAAGCAGCATTTTGAATAAAAATTTTTACTTAAATGAATTTAATTGATATTTGATATGTTTGGTATGATATAGATAAGCCAGCCAAAAATAAAGCACGCATACAAATAATTCTCCTCACCTAACTTGCTGGAAGACTTGGGCGGAGTTAAGCCGCGGAAACCATTTGTGTTAGCGTTTCCGTTGACCTGCTCGGGTTCAACCGGGGGTGCAGCGGCCGCAACAGGAGGAGCGGCAGCAGTGGCAGTCACTACGGGCTCAGGGGAGGGCCTCTTGACCTCCCTTGGAGCCACAGGTCGATGGGCAGCAGCGACGGCGCACTCCTCCATGGCGGCGGCACCGAACATCATCCTTCTGATTTCCGGGTCCATTCCAAAGTCTGCACTCTTATTCCGGTCGTCTTGTCTCTTGAACAAGACCTGCCAAAAATTTCATTGTTAACAAAATTCTACAAAAGTTTAAAAAATTATAAAATGAAAATAAAATTTTTATTTTATTGAATAAAATGTTTCAAATTAAATTTTCTGCAATTTTGCTTATACATCTTTAAATTCTAATTTGATTTCCCATTGATGAAGCTTAAAAAACATTCAATAACCTACACTTTTCCTACATTTAATTCAAATAACTGAAAATAATGGAGCCCAAAAAATGCTCGATTTGATGCAAACAAATGTAGTGTGATAGATAATATGGAAACTCATCAAACTTAAATTTCCTGATGGTTTTTTTTTCAAGTGATAGAAAATTACTGCAGCAATTATAAAAATTTTAATTTTTTTATCTAATCTTTCTTTTCAAATTCCTTGTTTTTAGTAAAAATGTTCAAACCTTCATAATAGTGTAGACAAAGAACACGACGATGCCCACAGTGTAGAGGGGCATCAGAATGCCCATGGTGCCGCTGCCCTTGGGGGCTGGCACCACGTGGCCGGCGCCACCCATCGGAGGTCGCATGCCCGGCATCGGGTATCCGGGTTGCTGGAAGAAAATGCTTTTACTAAGTTGAAAGGTCAACAAAGGGCAAATTAGATCATTGTGTTTATTTTTGGCATTGGTTATTATGCTGGCTTGCAAAATGGCCAGCTGAGAGTGAGTCTGCGCTGCGCTAGGTGTGAATTATGTTCTTGGCAACTTTCTTTTGAACGCCGGCAAACAGCAGAATTTATAGAGAAGTTTCTGTCCATTCATAATACACGTACCGACTAATTTTCAAACAGAGCCAACGCAACAAAGATGTCGGACTGTCCAAACTTGAAATTCTTACGGGAAAATATCCAAAACAATTTTTTTAACGTATTTTTTAATCCTTCGAAATTAAATTATTCCAGAAATATTTAAAACCAAATATGATGAGATAAAATTTCAATTCTAAATTGAATTGATTTAGATGGAGTGAGTTGAAAATGAACCATGAATAAATTGTCTTCAAATTATTTTATTTCAAAGGAATTTTCTGTTGATTGAAAAGTCGAAATTAAACATTAAACTTTCAACCATTCAACCCCCCATCGAAGTACAATACTTTATACGCCTAAATAATTTAAAAAGAGTAGCTAGTTTTTCCAAAACCTGATAAAATTAAATCCCTTCACTTATTTGTAACGTATCAGATTAAACAGGATGATCAAGAAATTGAATTCTAAGAGATATTTCTGGAAAATTAATTAAGCTCTTCACCTTCACCAAAGTTTTTAAATTAATTTCATTCAATTTGCTCAAAACTTCTATAAATTAAAAATATTATAAATATTTAATTACGTTTTGTGGGGATTAGGAACATTATGTATATTTGCATTTGAATAGGGGTGAAGTGGGGCGCTAGGATAACTCGTCTTTAGATGGCCCCGATATCGCGCCGTCGACATTCAGAGGTGACGTAACTCTTGAGTTCTTGGGCTGGCACGACGTTCGTCCGACCGACCGTCCGCACGGCGAGCTTTACCTCTGCCGCGTTCAGTCAGTCGAGATGCTAATATTAGCGCCGTGACCGAAATAATCCACGCGGGCGGGTTCTAGCCTATCGCTGCAAACGTTGGCTCATCGCGCACTTTAATTTCATAAGTGCGAAACTTCTTTTCGAGCGTTGGAGCCGCGCGCTGTCAGCAGCGTCTCAATTTTCTCCAATTAAACCGTCCTGATAAATGAATTTCTTTATTTACAAGAGGGCAATGAGGTGCGCAAGGTCGAGATTGGAACGGAAACGGACCGACGGTGAAATTTTAAGAAAGCGAGAGTGAAGGTTAGACAAACAAACCCCGCGCGCGCGAGAGAGACTGACACGTAATATTTTGAGCATCCTCGCCCCTTGTGAAAAGTTAAAAGCTCATCTGGCGATTGTTTTAGAATTTGTCGACGAGACGCTAGTTTTTATGAATGATCAAAATTCGGGGAGGATGAAAAGGAAACCTTAGGGATGACGCGAAACCGAAAAAGTGCATTAAGCGCCGGATTTGACTGCGCCCCTTAGCACTTTCCACAAAAGGTTGAAAAGATAAACAAGGCAAACAAAAAATCATAAAATCTTGTCCAGAATGAATATCGTTCACATATTATGAATTTTTTTAAACAAATGTCTCTCTCATTTGATTTAGAAGTGGAAATGAATTGTTAAAGGGAATAAGGTAGTACTTCAGAAAAATTCTAAATAATATTGAAGTAAATTATTTGACTCAATATGTATCTAGTTTTTATCTTTTCCTCTGCTGGCTGTTTTATCTACGATTTGAATTGAGCGCCAGCTGCATGTGTAATTGACTGATCTCTAATGACACTCACCCGTGGTACAGATCCGTCCATTCCAGTCGCCGAAGCTACGGTAATTGGTCGTTCAGGAATCGCACGCCCTTTCTCTCGCAGGGCTGGGTGAAGCATTTCAGGGTGCAAGTGAGCTGGCCTCTCAGGTCGCAAGTGTTCTGAAAAAAAGGGGAACAATTTTTGATAATTTCAAGCAATGGTTAATTAAAAAATCTGAATATACTTAATGTTAAAATAATTATGTTATAATAAAAAAATATCAATCAGCCTAATAAATATTTCACACACATATCAAAAAATAAAATGTTTCAATTTTTGTTAGATTATTTCACAAATTTTCTGCACCTATAATATTTCCTCTGTTAGTTCAAATTTGATGTTTTTGATGCTTGTTAGGAAGTGAAAATATTGTTATTTGGGTTAATTTCCACTGCTGTTGCTCTGCTCTTACTGGCAATGATGGTCTTGTCTCGGAAGTACCGTTCGGGGAAGTAGCGCATCCGGCGCGGCGTTCCAATCAAACTCAGCTCAATGCCAAAGTTCTCTTTGAGACAGGCCGAGTTGTTGAACGACCTGATCTCGTCCAAGATTTGCTTGTAGTTCTTGGTCAGACCCGTCTGGTCCCTGATGACGGCCGTGATGTCGAGGCCGCACGCCGACCGCACTTTGTCTCGACACAGTTCGACCGACTTTTTCGAAAGATGCAGTTGCTGGTTGGTCGTCAGTTGGTTTTCTTGCAGGATGTCGCCACACATGGCCGTCAGAACCTTGATGGCCGTGACGTCCGTCTCAAAAATCACGTCGCAGCAGTTGGCTGAGGAATTTTAATTTCCACCAGAAGGGTTAAAAAAGAATTTAACTTTACGTGATAATTTGGTAATTGCATATCTCATCAAATTTTTCTGGAAATGTTTGATGCATAAATTTAAGACCCATATAAACTGGTTTCTTCTCAAGTAAGAGTATATGGAAAAATATTTCCATGAAATTTGAATAAATATAAATTAAATTAAAATTTAAAATCAAGAATAACTTTCTAATCCAGGTTTTGCAAATTTTCAGATTATGAATATACTTTTTAATATTCCTTCATCAAACCAAACTCGCATTAATATTTAAACGTAAAGTTAAAATTTTTAAACAATTTTGAAGTTTGCTGAATTAATTAAATTAAAGGTCGGTAAGAAGAAAACCACGAGATCTAGAAGAACTTTTTACATTAGAAGATCACAAAGATTAAATTTTCACATCCCTCTCTTTTTTGCTACCATCAATTTTTCTCACTTAAAAATTTCAAAATGAATGCATCAGCTTTCTCACGATGAAAAGTGTCATTGTCTTTCAAGACGCGTGTTCATTAAACTCGATGGTGAGCTGAGATCAATCTCGATTTCACGCTGCGAGCCAATTTCGGCGCAAAACTCGCTCCCTCATTGTGTTTATCCTGGATCGATAGAATACTGCAACCTGCTCGTCCGGCACGTCAAGAGGGAAGCCTATTGCTTATTCACGACCAAATCTCTCCGCTCGCTCGGTCCTTTCTTCTAACGTTCTGCGTCACCGTTCAATACTGCCGTATGTACTTCGAAAATTACTTTTCCGTCTCGAACATACATTTTTTTATTACGTTAAAATCGCTTGAGAAAAAATAGCAAGCACATAAGAAAAAATAAAGATATCGCGAGTCAAAATAAATCATCAGCTCAGAATAATATTGTGCCTGTCTCAGCTGCGTGCCAAAAATTATTTACGTCCGTACATGTTTTTATAGGAGATAAATTTTCACAATTCATTATAAAGAAAAATAAACTGGAAAAAATATATTTAAAAAGTTCACAATGTGATTATTTCTTATAATTTTTAAATTATCTCAATTTATATTGGGCATTTTAATTATTAATTAAATTTCAACTATTTCAAGTAATTTGAAATGTTCTGGATAGTTTTCCTCCTTCCCTGATCTGATTTTCCTCGGCCTGAATCATTACGCAATAAAAAGACCTAGTAAATAGTAAAGTAGTTTGGATAGTTGTCAAGCATGAGAATTGTTCCAAGAATGTCTACCTGAACGAGTGCCTAGTAATTAAAATAAGATTATAATTTATTAAGCATTTAAAAAATTATGTAATCCGCGACTATAATGAAAGAGCACGTTGAGATCGATAAAAATGTCAATATAAACAAACAACCCCTACGTAAAAAAAATCATTTTTTATTTCATAAGAATGAAAAATAATTAAAAAATATTATTGTATAAATCGGCTGGAATTTACCTGTGTTATCGAGGGGCGAGTCCTCCGGGTGGGTCGAGGGTGCAGCGACGCCACTACTCAGGGAGGTCAGCAGCATGGGGTAGAAGATCTTAGGCCAGAGGATGGCGAAGCATCCGACCACGATGGCCAGGATGAAGACGGTTTTGGCCGTGCCGAACTCGGCCATGGTGACTCTCAGGGCGCGTCCCTTTTGATCTGCGTCAGGTGGCGGTCGGCGCGACGAATCTGCCTGCACAGGATGAAGGATGCTGCTCAGACGGTGCCCGCGATCGATATGCGGTCTCTCGCACTCACTGGCGAACCGGCTGACGTCACGCGCCCCCTTTACGCAGGCCCGACAGGGGTGCCTGCGCTCGCTTGCTCGCCCAGCCCCCGAAATAAAGCAGCGCACCACACCGACCGTACCACCAACACCACCACACACAGACACTGTCAAAATATTCTGCTTATGAAAGAATAAAATAGCGCACTTGATTTTTTATTCAAATCAATTTGAGTCTTCATAATTTTTTCATGTTTTCTTTTGGGAAAAAAAGTTATTTTCGCATCTTTTGTAATAATTTTATGGTGGATTAGAAAATGCATAATTCTGATTATAATCAATTATAATTTGCATATTTTTCTTAAAATATAGATGAAAAATAATGAATTAATTAAATTATTACTCAAGAATTAAAGTATAAATACAAGGGCTGGGAAAACGGTAAAAAGTAATAAATAGCATAAAAAACAAACTTGCAGGATATTACTTTTATTTTGTTATATGTGTTTAGCAATTACTGTCACAATTTCACGACTAATTTCACAAGTTATAATTTAACTGGAAATTAAAATTACATTATTTCCTTTGTTCAAATTTTAGGTGCCAAGAAATGGAGAGTTGAGCAAAGAATAAGCGCCTGATTCCAAATTTAATATATTTTGTCATTTCCATTGAAGTTAATAATTTTCATTTTTATTTTAATTCCCCAGCAATTTTCAAAACAAAGAATGCTTATGAAAAAAAAAATATTTATATGATATTTGTGTCTGACGATAAATCAGTAGAAAATTAATTACATTTTAAATCTGCCATCAAAATACATTCAACCCGCATTTTATTGGCTGTATGATTTTCTGCATAACATTTTACTTTCAAGCAAAAAATTTCAAGTGAAATATATTATTATAAGATGTTTCATTGTTTATATACTGACATGTTTACAAGCAAAGAATCAATCTTGTCTAATCTTGTTTGCGGCTGCAATGCCAGCAATTCTACGTATGTTTTAATATTTGTAGTGAACATCAAGGAGGGAAATCGCCCAAATTCACGGTAGCATTGTTTTCCATAAAATATCTCGCGGAATGCTGCTTTTCTGCATTCATCAGAGCAGCGTCATATGCCAAAGTTATCTGCGTTATCACCTTTTCACCATCAAGAAGTGCAAAGGTCGCCTACCGTTGTCTGTAGTTGGAGCTCACGTTGTGCAGACGGCACGGCAGGTGTGGCTGTCAGTATTGGAATCCATGTAAATTTGACCTCTTCTGCAGAAGTAAGGCAATAATTTTAATTTATTTTATATTACTATATATTATGTAGTTATAATTATTGCTGTAATTTAAGATTGTATTTTAATTTTTTTGAAAATTTTTGTAATTATTTTCTGTAAATTTTATTTTTATTACATCTCAGATTTCGTGAATGTCGAGTGGAAATTTAAAACATGGATACGACACTGCAGAATTTGAACAAGCTGCTCAAGGACATGAGGTGGGATTTGTAAAAGTGTACATTTCTTAGACTCAAAATTGATCATTTTCCCCAACGATTAATTTTAAATGTATAAATAAAGTCTGGATCCGGAGAAACAGCATCAAGAAGTGATCAATGAAGTTTGCCTAAAAAGAAAGAACTTAGGAAAACCAGAAAAATTGAAACACCTGGCCATGCGAGTCATTATTTCAAACGGCGGCCTTTATCTCAGCAGAGTTGCGAATCCTTTTGCTGTTTTGCGTAAGTGATATTTTTTATTTTACCTTTTTTATGGCAACACATTAATTATGTATAATCTCATCTCTTCTTCCAGCAAATACTTTGGTCCAGGAATTTCTGAAATTCATCATGAATGAGCAGAAACGCGTGTTAGGGTCAACCTTGATCCCACTTGGCCTCCAAGAACAATTTACAATCCTTTTGCTGAATGAAAATCTAACCATCTTTGATGATTCAATACTGCCAAAAAATTCTGACCAGCCTAATGTTGCTTTCTTCGAACATGCCGTGCAAAATTGCCCAAAGGTCTCATTTTTTGCTGCTCGAGATGGAGGTTATGACAATTGTAAGCATACAACATTTATTTTTTGGAAAATTCTTCACAAAAATACAACTCGTAATTAATGAATATTTAATAATTGCACAATGCGCCCAATCTAAAATATTTTTTCAAGGGTTGTAGTGGACAAATAATGTTTTGATCGTTATTCGTTATACGCTTTATATAATATGTGGTTAAAACGCAAAACCAAATATTCGAAAGGAAATTACCTTAAAATGAAATGTGCGTAGTATTAACATTTATTTGTGTAGATTTTTCTTTTAATAACTACAACTGGAAATGATTGTATCCTAATTTTTATTCACTTCAATGATTAACCTCAAATATTTCTCTGTAGGGAAAACACTATTGGGTTTGGACAACTATTTGTACTCTGAAGTTCCTTTGGATATTTTGAAGCTACAAAATCTTCGCACTTTGCGCTTGACAACAAGTGTATGCACCGAGGAGTTTATACAACAACTTGGCCAACAGATCCCACGACTAGAGTGAGTTATTATCTTTTTTTTTTAATATACACAGTTCATTTTCATGATGTTTCTTTAGTTGGTTGGAAATAGTGCTGCTCAAATCCAAGCTTAGCGCCAAAGCTCCAGAATATTTTTCAAAAATGCTCTGCCTCAGAGGCTTAGTCATTTCAACTCGAGGCTACGGAGAAAGTGTGGATATTGAACTGCTTGTCCAGATTGTGGGTTCGATTCCCAATATCGAAGTCCTAAGCCTTGCCGAGTGTCCAGTTTCCGACAATGACAATTGGATGTTAAAGGGTATTTTGCAAATATTTTTCCTTGAGGAATTTGGACGTCTGTACCCCAACAAGCAGCTGCTGATGATAAGGCACTTAAAAAATCACTGAACACAAAAAAATTCATTAATACTTTTCTCTCTTTCTGACTTATCTCTAGCGTCTTTGTGCCCAATTTCCAACAAGTTACGTGGCCTCAAAATGTGATAGTTGAAGAATTTGGCATCGAAGGAGACGTAACTGCAGACGAAATTTTAAAAGTGTTGTTGGCTATGCCTCGTCCTCCTATAAGAATGGTATTTTCTGATGTGCCATTTTGCTCTGTATACGGTGCCCTAGAAAAGTTCGGGCCACACCTTCAGTCAGTAACAATTGATCAGGGCGTTGAGAGCTCTCTGGGCCTGGATGTTCAATTGGGAAAGCTGAACTTGATCAACATTATTGAGCTGTGCCCAAACCTGGAAGGACTGATTTTAAGTGACCCTGGCGTGCAGATGGAGAAAATCAGCCTCAATGATGCCCGACTGCTGAACTTGCCACTTGATACATTCAAAAAGTGGAAAATGTATGATATATGGTGTCTTTCATTAAACTTAATATCTATTTTGCAGAGATAATAATTCTTTTCCAGGTTTGATTTGAACGAATGCTTTCACTGATTGCCAATATTTGATGAACTCTCAGTAAATGATTTGCTGTTCAAAAAGTATATTCTCGGATCTGATCCTAAGCAAACCCGCCTTTTCCACCTCTGGACCTTTGGCCGGATGCAAGTCATTGCTGAGGCTTTGAAAGAAAGCTCAGTCTGCCTAAGCAAATTAGAGAGCATTCATATTGCATTGCACAAACTATCAATGGTCGAGCCAGCACTGAAAGTAGTACCAATTTTATCTATATTGTGAAAAAAACCATTAAGATTATATTGTTTTATAATTCCAGATTGCCCACAGCTTGATTTTGCGGTCTCCAATATTTGAATGAAATCAGTCTGCAATGTTTGGAAGAGGTTCAAAGCTCAGTCTTAAAAGACAAAAACTATGAATGGTTCTTTCAATTTGCCACAGCTGTAAATGTTTGCATTACTTGATAAGAAAAGTGAACCACATCTTTGAAGCGGCTCGTTGCTTGCCTTTAATACCAACACTTCAGTAGTAGTTTCATTATTTCTTGTATTATTGTTGCAAATTACAAACATAGTAATTCAAATAAGTATTTAAAAAATAATATACCTAAAAGTTGAATTTGTTACGTTTGTATATAATTATATCAGAGCCAACACAAAAAAATTTGCAATATGGAGAATATTTTTACCAAAACGTAATTACATGTAGTTAGCCATTGAATTTATTGAAATTAAAATTCATGTATTTTCTGAAAACTTTACATAACTTTTTTTATTTCGTTGCAGCCCTTGATTACTATTATGTGAATATTTAAGCCATAACATAAACCATAATTTCGCTGATTTCTAAATTGTAAACTTCAATCATATGAGAATAACAGGCTCCTCGCAAGTTGCATAGCGAAGAAGATTAAATTTTAAAAGGATTTTGTATTAAACGCTTTTGCGTACAACTAGGGTGCAATGCAAACACCCTTCTCAATACGAAATCTTGCGGCCCCCGGCCGACTTTCAACCCTTCACTCGCAGTCCCAGCATGAGAAATCACTCAGGTTTCTTTGCATGCAACGTTCGCGCCCAAACGAGTCAACGATCAACATGCGCAGTTGCGCAAACATAAAATTAAAAGAAAGTCTAAGATTGATTTAATTATTACGATTATTCACTTACTTAATTTTAAAGAAAAGCTTGATTTTATTTCTAAATCAGATTTATTTTCAAAAATTTTGAGATATTTATTCCTTAATATTAATTTTGTACAGAAAAATTGAGCAAATTTATGAGGATCATTTTAGTTTTGTTGGTGTTACACCAAAACAAACAACTTGCTAACAAGTCGGGGTGCGCCGTTCCGGCTTTGATTAATTAATTTATTCTTATTTATTTGACCATATAATATCGCACAATTGAATCTATAATATAATTTTACTGTGGTGGACTTTATTGTACTTAGTAATTTGTTCATAATGAGGGCTGCGAAATTCATTTTAACCTTACAACGTTCTAGTCTTTCATGCTGCAGAAACATTCACCAAACTTACTCCAGGTTTTTAAAACACTTAAATTATGTCACATTACTTTTGTGTAAAGTATAACGAATAATTTCAGACCTAACGCCCAAATTTTGGATGGGCGGAAATTAGCAAACCAGATTCTCACAGAGGTCAAGTCTGACACCGACCAATGGTCAAATTTGGGACATCGAAGACCTCACCTGACTGCAGTACTTATCGGAGAGGATCTTGCAAGCCGAATCTATGTGAGAAACAAAATCACTGCGGCTAATTTCGTTGGTAAAAAATCTAGGATATTAACAATATGATTAACAAAGTACATCATGTTTTCAGGAATCTCAACAAACACTGTCAAAATGTCTGAAAGCGTATCCGAGAATGAAGTGTTAGAAGTGGTCTCAAAATTGAACTTGGACCCCAACGTAGATGGAATTCTAGTCCAGGTACATATAATTAAGTTTGTTATTTATACCTTTTTCAAGTGATAACAATTTCATTTCTATTTAATTCTTAGCTGCCTTTGCCAGATCATGTTTCGGAAAGAAGCATTTGCAACGCAGTTGTCCCTCACAAAGACGTTGATGGATTCAACACCGTGAACGTTGGCCGACTTTGTCTAGATATGAGCACATTTGTCCCCTGCACTGCTCTAGCAGTAATGGAGCTTTTAAAGAAGTCTGGTTTGTTTCACATGTATGCTATGATCCAATTTATTTTAAAATTTTTGGTAGGAATTAAAACCAAAGGGAAAAATGCTGTTGTTTGTGGACGGTCAAAAAATGTAGGACTGCCAATTGCTCTACTCTTGCATTTTGATGGATCAGGCAACTTACATAATTTATTTTACTGAAACTTGTGATGACGGCAAATTTGCTCAGGAGAATTAGGGGGCATGGATTCGACAGTGACGTTTTGCCATCGATATACACCCCCTAAGGACTTGATGAACCACACTAGAGGTGCCGACATTTTAATAGCAGCTGCAGGTTTATATTGAAAAAATCATTTTTAATAATGATTACTTTGATTACTTTTCTAGGTGTTCCAAAACTCATTACCGCCCACATGGTCAAACCGGGAGCATGCGTCATCGATATTGGCATGAATCGAATTAGAGACCCTTATGGAAAAACAAGATTAGTAGGAGATGTGGATTTTAATGGTATACTTTTTAAATAAAAAAAATTGTTTTGCAATGAATTTTTGTACTCTAGGTGTTTTGGAAGTAGCTGGTTATTTGACCCCAGTTCCTGGGGGAGTCGGGCCAGTGACTGTAGCAATGCTGATGCGGAACACTTTGCTGGCAGCAAAACAGACTTTAAAGTATAGTGTCAAAACTCACAGAGCGAATAGAAGAAAGACATCTATATTGGAACCTTAATCAATAAAAATATCATTACAGCATAATAATTTTAAAAAATATAACGGATATAATGATTTAAATATATCATGCTTGTAAAATTCTTTTGATTACTATTTTAGACGAAAAAAAATTTAAAAACGAGCGGAAAATTGCAAAGAAATATTTTGTTTCAGATATTGATTTTTAACTTTTCCAAGTATAGATCAGTGTAGGTAAACTACTATTTATACCAGTAATGTAGTTAATAAAATTAATTTAATCCCGAAAAATCCGATATGATTCGTTCTCATAATGTATATTAAAGTAGAATAAATAAAACAATAAATCAAAGTAAAATCTAGATTTACAGTAATAATAAGTTGTTATTATGGATATTCATAGTTTGTTTAAAGGCAACAGCCAATAATGAAACTTTTTAAATTTAAAATTCGCCAACAATCAATTATAGCAATAAGACGAGACATATATAATAACTTTAAAAACGCCAGCCTTCTTCAACTGAAAGTGTAAGTTGTCCTTTATAGAGCTCCTCTAGATGAATTTTTGAAAAACGGTGTCTTGTAATAAAGGGATATTCTGAATCTGAATTTTCATCTAGCGGCTTTTGTTAAAATTATTGGAAAAGGAAAAGAAGTTTTATTTTTAATTTTTTAGGCCTGTATCATTTATTGAGTCAAAACACTAAGAATGAAGAACACTACGGAGGATTAAAACTGGTTTGAAAGTAAATTAGCAGTCAAATTCATATTTCTAACAACCTGATGCTTGTACAGTAGAAGCACATGAAAGAGTGATGTGTTGAATGCTATATCAAAGACATTTGTCCACAAATTAAAATTTGAACCATCTATGCAGATAATTTCATATGAACTGACATAAAGCACAAGCCTAGCTGGGAATTGAAAGCAAGAGCATAATAACAGAAACATGGTAATTCTACCTTCACTAGTTGTGCAGCAAAAGTGCCTCAAGAGGATGGAACTTCCTCGACATCCATCACATCCATGTCCTCCTGTACGAAATTTTTTGTTAAAGTGAACAAATTTAGAAAACTAAAATTCTCACCTGAATAAGATCTTCAGGATGGATTGATTTCAGAAAATCTTTAACTTTAGTCCTGTAATTAATAACAGGCAGACCCAGCAGATCTTCCTCTTCATAGTCTTCCCCTTCCTCAGTAGCTTCCATGGACTCATCTTCCTCATTGGCAATTTCAGCGTTTTCCCTAGTCTCGTAACCCTCCATGGTCTCTTCCTTATCAACCTCAGAGGCAGGGGTTCCCAACTTCTTTAACATGGGAGTGACGATTCTAGACCTCATGGGACTCAACTTACTTGGGTCAAGACTTTCAAACGCTTTGAAGCGCATACACCTTCGCGGCATGATAAGAGAATCTGGGTAGGTTCTATCAGACACCATTGAGTGGTTCTGCAAGAGAAAAATGATAATTTTAAATCTACCTCCTCAAGTTAATTAAAAGTTATAAAAGCCCAACCTCTGAAAGTTTCTTCACTGGAGTTGGAGCTCGACGAACCAATTTTTTCTCTTGGAGGAGAGGAGTTGGAGCATTTTCCCTTGGCAGCTTTGCAAAACGAGCATTGTGAACTGCGGCCTTCTTCATTTTCATCTTGGGAGTCAAATTGGTCACATTGGGTCCATCGAGGCTCTCCTTCTCAACGCTACTCTCCGACTGGCACGAGAAATTAGATGGAATTATGTTCTCGTCACGAGGTTTCATCGGAGTTGAGTGATGAATGGTTTTTGCCATTCCTCTGGTCACTATAAAAAAAATTTAGAAATAAATAATTGAAACATAATAATAATTAGAATTACTTGGCCTCGCAGGAGACCCAGGGTCATTTTCACTCAAGTTCATGGTGGATCCATCTGAGATGCTAGAGATCACCTTCATTCGCTGTTTACGCAGCGCAAAACAAGGGCTCCTAGGTCTAAATGTGCTAGTGACCTAAAAATTAATATTTTTTTAAAATAATTTATTTCTATAATGGACGTGCTCTCAAATTTTTCAATTGCGATCTTGAAATCTAACAATTGTGCAATATATCTTTTGCGATCAAATTTATTTTAGAAAAATTTCAAACGGTTTTTATCCAAATTCATGCAGCTATAGGTTTTAAAACAAAGGAGTCCTAACAAAAATGTACTTTGTATGAAATGTCTTTGTTTAAGAAGATTTTCTCCATCAAAAGAGGTGAAATTGAGTTTTTCTTCCAGATTTAGGATTAAATTCTCCAAGCATCACAATTACTTTCCGCGATCAACTTGCAATCGCATCTTTTTAAAAAAAAAAATGGTGTGATCGCGATCGTAGATCATGCAATTTTGTCCATCCTTGCCATAATATATGCAAATAATAAAGGTGATTTTCTTACATATTTTTCTTTGGTACTCTTCACAGGTATAACTGGAGATAAATCTTGAGGAATTTTAACAACTGGCAATGGCTTGGGAGTTTGAGCTTCTGAAGTAGTGATGGAGTCGGGAGACCTAATAGGGTCAGGAGACCGCAGCGGAGATTGTCCCAGGTAAGTTGGCGAATCAGCAGGCAAGTCTATGGAAGGTGAGGCAACAAAAGCTGGAGGTGTGTTTGGAATTTTAGGAAAAGCAAGAAGTGGAGATGTTGGAGGGGTTTCAGTTGAAGCAACTGGAGTTTTAAACCAAGGCGAAGAACAAAGTGGAGGCAGAGGCGTTGCAGGACGAGGTTTCTTCTTGGAAGGACGAGAGGCTTTGGGAATAGCAGGTTTCTTGAAGACTGGCTCCAGATCATCTGCGTCTACCTCATCTGCATCAAAAATCATCTTGGGAGGTTCACTCAACTTCAGAGGGATTTTTGACTTGGCTGAGAAGTCACACTCATTCATAAGGGAGGTTGCCTGGGTCTGATCCAAATGTTTAACAAATATTATATGTTTTTCCAAATACTATGTGAGAGCAAACCTTTAAATTAGCGTACTTTGTGTGGTCCAGCTGAGTCAGGTAACTCAAGTAGTACGAATGGAAGTCGTACACCATTTCAGGGTGAACCATCACTGTTGTAGTCTTAAGCTTATGCGCCCCTTTGGCACCAAAAAGGCCCTTGATTCTACAAGATTTTAATTTTCAACTAAAAAAATGAATTTTATTGTGTATATAAATAGCAAACCCATCTAGGCCAAGGCTGGCAACGACCTTGTTCTGCAGCTGGTCAGTGTTGAGAAAAGGGTACATGATTTTGTACATGGCGAGTTTCCTGTCCAGCACTTGACGAAGAGTGACTTTGACCTCTTCGTCTGTGTCACTATTCATGGACATGTTGAAGCGCAGAGACTCGGAGAACTGGAGGCTGAGCGACTTTCTTGTAATTGCAGTGTTGACTGGCTTGCAACTCTTGTTGCGTTTATCCGAGTAAGCCATTTGCTTGAAGAGATCCATTTTTCAAAACCTGATTGGGCAAAACACAAACAAACAAACAGTTTTAAGACAAGTTGTGAAGTATTTCTTGCATTTTCTGAAGATGTATTTATGTAATTTTATTTATGAACTTTTTCTTTTACATAAAAATTTTTGATTACAAAAATTAAACGAAATCTTAAATGAAAACATAATAACGAAAAAGAGGCAAACGACGTGAGTTTGAATTACTGCAGTTACATATCTTCAAATAAAAATGTTCTTTTGCAATACATACTGATTGAGAAAAAGGAAATTTTTACATAAATTCAATGTAACGGGGGCGATCGTGCGCACATTTTTTATTTGCTAGAACTTGCTACAAGTAATGTTTAATACCCGTATGTGTCTGATAATAATTCTGCACTTTTTGCGCATTCATGTGTAATTATTATACATAATAATTATGTAATTGAAAATTTTATGCCTCACAGTACTTAGATAGAACGCTCAAATTAAAAAAAATCTCATAATTACCGGTGGGATACACGTGGATTTCTGCTAAGCGACTCCAAAAATTCAACTCTTTGGAAAAGTCTGAAGAAAATATAACCTGAAAATACGCAAAGACTGATCCCTTGTACACGTTATGCAGTTCTACTGCATGCAATGGTGAGAGAAATCAAGAATAATCAAGCTATGACCACAATCTCATTGGCGTTCGTCTTGATTATGTACTAATACACAAGCATACAGTCTCCTTGCATACAGATTTTCACTAGAAATTTTGCGTTTGTTCCTTTGTTGGGGAGAATATTGCAATATGATTGCTTGCACGCCGCGTGATTCGAGTGCGCAACCCAAGAACCCCAAGAACAACCGAAGTGAGATTCGTGCCGACTTGCCGAGACTTGTTTGCGTTTGCACTTGCATTTGGCACGGCACGCTTTTTTTTGCTTTCTTGATCCGCCGTCCGCCGCCGTTTCTTTGACTTGACGATGATCACATCACGTGACCTGACCGATTTTTTTTTTTTTTACAAGGATCGCTTTCTGATTGGCTGAATCTCGTTGCAAACACACCCACTTCGTCCGCACTTCCGCAGTTGCTGAATTTCTGAACGCTGAACTGCACGATAGATGCGGCTCCAACAACAACTTCAAATTATCATTTATAACATTTTTTACTCCATTCGATTAGTAAATATCCAGCCAGCATCAAACATAATCACAGGCTTTATCTTTGAAGCTTTTAATTCTGATAAAAGTCGAGCAGTTGAGCGGCAAAATGAGTCTTCAGTCGATCGATTCGGAGGAGCAGCTCAATCAGTCATTGCAGTAAGAAGATTATTTTGCATAATTATCTTTTCTCATTAACCTCATTTATGAATTATTTGTCAGGGCATCAGACAGAGCTGTTATTTACTTCTGTGAAGAATGGGAGACCAACTACGCATCTCTCTCTGCTAGCGTTGAGACTGCAGCTAAATCTTTCAAAGTAATTTTCCCCATAATTTTTGTAAATTATTATTTTCTAAAATGTTTTGATAATTTTCTTAATCTTGCAGGACGTGACCTTTTTCAAAGTTCTCGCTGAAAAGTCTCCAAAAATAGCTCTAAAATATGATGTGAAGGAAGTTCCCACGTTCATCATCTTTCAAAGTGGAATTGAAGTTGATCGAGTGAGAATGGAGCAAACATTGCTGAACTCTCCGTCAAGCTGTACAAAGATGTATGGATTTCTATAATTGCCGATTTCTAATTAATAGTTAAAAATATTTTTATTTCAGGCTGGCAAAGTTAAATTTACTTACCCATACAAATCCAGTACTAAAGGAAATGAATTTTACAAAGAATTGGTGAACAAAGCTCCAGTGCTGCTTTTTATGAAAGGAGATCCCAAAGAACCCAGATGTGGTAAGAATAATTTTTTCTGTTTCAACAGGAAAATAAAATGTATTAAAATTAACTCTGCAGGCTTCAGTCGTCAAATAGTGGCAATACTTGATGGCATCTGTGCAAATTATTCCACATTCGATATTCTGAAGGACGAAGATGTACGCCAGGGCCTTAAGACTTTCGCCGAGTGGCCAACCTACCCTCAGCTTTGGGTGAAGGGAGAACTGATAGGAGGCTTGGATATTGTCCGAGAGATGCTTGAGAGCGGAGAGCTTCAGGAAGCTGTCAAGGTTTAAATTAATTGGGAAAATGATTGGATAATTTGGATCCCTGTTGCTCCTGCCCTGTCAGTAACATTGGGATATTTCAAATGAAGGATATTGAACAAATAATAAAGATGGAAATTGTAAAACAAAAGTTCTCCAAATTTTTACATTTTTATTTCTAAATTTTGTTAATTTAAAAATAATTTATTTTATTGTGATTACTAAACTATTTTTATCCTATTTGATAATGAAAAGAAGAAGCATATAGACGTGCATGGACAAGCATATTATGCAAAAATCAGTGACAACGAAATTCAGTTTTTGCAAGGCCGTGTAGAGCTGTAGAGGGGGCGTGCCATACCAGAAAAATGGATGACAACAAAGATGCAGCAGCTCGCCGCGAGGCAAGAAGAAGGAGGATTTTGCAAAATTCTGAGGAACGAATGCGTAAACTGAAAGGATATCCGGATACGGAAATTTCAGAGAACGGTGAGGAAACAAGTATTTTTTAAATGCATCACGAACTTTTATCGCAAATTGGATGTTTGAGCGCGAACAAACAAATGCTGTATATTTCCGATGCAAATAATTCAACAATTTTCTTTTTAAAATTATCTTCAATTGAGTCGCAGGCTGAATATATTTTGTATCAAGAGTAATATTTTGTGATTTATTCAATGATTTGTTTAAATCCATGCTTGAATCATAGATAATTGGCGAAAATCTACACTAATTCACTAATTTTATTAATGAGAACTTGTTATTTGAAAATTCGCGCCGTCAGAAGTGGCGCCATCTGTGTGCGATTTTGCAAAAGAACTCCAATCGAGCCGTGTGTTTTGTGATGTCACTTCCGGCATGTCTCACAAGTCTTTTCTAGCAAGACTCGCAACGATTGCACACAGATCGTACACAGAATAATTGTGAAAGTTTCGCTTGTTGGCATTGCTAGTGTTTTCGAATCGCGTCTGAAGAGTCAGTTTAGCACGCAAAATGCCCAAGAACAAAGGAAAGGGAGGCAAAAACCGGAGGAGAGGCAAGAACGAGAACGAGACGGAAAAGCGTGAACTGGTGTTCAAAGAGGATGGCCAGGAGTACGCGCAGGTGACCAAAATGCTCGGCAACGGACGTCTCGAGGCCATGTGCTTCGACGGCAGCAAGCGGCTGTGTCACATTCGCGGCAAGCTGCGCAAAAAGGTTTGGATCAACCAGGGCGACATCATTCTGATCGGCCTCCGCGACTACCAGGACGCCAAGGGCGACGTCATCCTCAAGTACACGCCGGACGAGGCGCGCAACCTCAAGACCTACGGCGAGTTCCCTGAGTCGGTCAGGATCAACGACACGGTCACCTTTGTCGACGGCGACCTGGACGAGGACATTGAATTCGGCGACGACGTTAGCGATGATGAGGAGGGCGACCTGGTTGACAACATCTGATTTCAGCCCTGCCGAGTTCAAGAAGTGCGACCAAAAGAGGACTCTTGTTATGATAATATAAATATTAATATTACTGCGATTAGACTTTAATTATAAATTCTACGACCGACCGATTCAACCATCCCACTCTGCAGCCTACTTGTTATTATTTATCACGCCCACTGACATAAATTATTGATTTGGAATACTTCAAAATTCATTCGTGTTGACTCAAGATCAGATGTCCTTCTTTTTGTTTTGCCGCAAGCAGCCTGACTGTCAAAACATGTACGGCGAGTGCTGATGGTGTTCAAGGTGTGTTTTTTGTCCATCAGATTGCGGGAAATTTCGCCTTTTATTGCATTTTCCAACATCATCATCATCAGATCAGTGGGATTTATAAACACTAGTCTGTTCTTAAAAATAATAGCAAAGTTCTCTGTTAAAGAAATTTACAACTAATTACTGCTGGACCAAGACACGTCCTGATTATGTTTATATCAAAAAGTATGATCTCATTTTAGAAATTTAAATCGATCAAAATGTTAATATTTTCATGATCATAAAATTCATATTTTGCACAGAAAATAAAATATGTTTCACGTTTCACAATCTCTGTTGATATTGCAATTCAAACTAATCTTGCATTTCTATCACTTCAGATAAAAAAGGAGTAGAAGAGACACCAGTGCATCCTACGGTGGAGTTGCTAGAGCAGACCAACCCTGCCATCATTCCCCAATTGGTCCAGCGCAAAGAAGTCCAAACTCCAAGGGTGCAAACTGCTTTCAAAGAAGTTCACACCACACACCTCCCAACCAAAGAACCCTTGTTTGAGGTGGCCGCGCCTGCTGAGACTGAAGAAGTCACGCCGGACGTTCTGCAGGCACCCCCCTCACAACCTACAAGCACTTCCAACAGATTCTTTAGATTAAAATTACATGTCATCTTGCTGGCCGTCATTGTCCGTCTTCTTCTTGCCTTTGACCAGGGACACTTCTTTGGTGAAGTAAGTTAAAATGAAAGAATTAAAAGATTTTTGTGATATAAATAGATTTCAAATCTATGTAAAATTTGCCAAACATTAAGAAAAGAAAAAGAATCGGAATAAATTCTTTTTACGGTGATGAAAATCAAATGGGGTTTATATTGTCCCTCCAATTTAACTATCTATGTTGTGTGAATGGGATAGATTTTGATAAACTGATTTTTTTTTCATACAAACGCATGGGCTCTGATTCTGTAATACCTTAACTCATAATTTTAGTCTCAAAGAATCAGACCCCTGCTTCGAAATCAGTATTTCACATTTAAATAACATCTTCCTAATATTTGATTTCAGATGGTTTTGGTGCCACTGCTTGTTATGGAGTTGCCCTTTGTTATAATGCGAGCAAGTGACGGTCAAAATGCTGGTGGGCTGTTGGGAGCGGCTCTCATTCTCAGCGGCATCAGTCAAACCAAAGCACATTCTCTGCTCAAAACTATTTGTGTGGTTCAAGAAATAGCCTCCGATGTGGCGATATACCTTTTCATTTTCCTGCTCAGCCACGTTGCATTCCTGTGGCTTGACATTTCTTAGCAAATTGTAAAAATTCCTGCTGCGTGAATGTGGACTGATAATGTGACTTTCTTCCGATTTGTTTTTGTTACGTTGATGATCTTGAACTTGTAAAATTACCTATAATAATTATCAATGATGGTGATAAATAATAAAAAGCCTTTGTCAGAGTAATGTTGTTATTGATTTTTTGAATAAATTAAACCTTAACAGTGTGCGTCAAAATTAAATTAGATGAAACAAATTGCCATTGCTGTGAAAATTTACATGGTTGACGTAAGACCAGACAACCAGAGCAACTGCAATCAATATTAAAAGCTGAAAATGGCTTGACTCCTTATTGACATGTCAAATCAAGTCTTTACAATAATGGAAGCTATATTGGGCTATTATTGGAAATTTAACAAACCATTGTTGTAAAGACTTGATTTGACTATATGTCAATAAGGAGTCCTTAAAAATTAATACAATTGCTTTAGCATTGAAAAAATCCACTAATAGTGAGAATATAGGACCTCCTTTGGTTTTTTTTACTGAAGCCCACATAATATAGTCATGCCAAACGTCGCACTTCTTTACAAACTATGAAGTTTTTATTGTATGAAATAATGATCTCTCTAGTTAATGAACAAAAGTATTTATTTGATTTCTGAATTATCACTTATTTTCTATTGTTTTTTTTTTATTACAAAAAAATTCCTGATGCATATCAACTGCTAAATATTGTCCGATCTTCCACTTTCCCATAAGAAAAAATGCGATAGACCCAGAGATTGGACAATATTATCTGTGTCAGTGACCATATTATTTCTTATTTAGAAATAAATTTTATACAATTAAGTTAGGCGAATTCAGCATTAGTATAGGCAAAATGTTGATTCAGCACTCTTAAAAATAAATGAAAAATAATGCAATGAAACAAAGCACCAAATTTCTTCAATCAGATCATTCAGTCACAAACACAACATAAATATCCATATTTGTGATTGGCTGGCGGTTTGCTCATCACCACTAAACCTAGCTCTTGGGTTGCTTCCGAATGGTTCTGCCCTTCATATCTTTTAAAGCTTTCTCAAGCATGGACTTGAGCGCTGCAGCTCTCACCAGGGTCACATTGCCCGTTTTTATCATTTCTTCCTCCCACAACTGACATTTTTCTTGGTAATCTTTAAATGGTTCTCTTCTGGCAGCATTATACTTTTCTTTCTCCTCTTTGCTCATCTCCCTCCACGCTTGGGCCACTTTTGACGTCCACTCCTATATATATATTTTGTAAAGTTTTTACTAACGAGTTGCACAAGAAAAACGGTTGCTAGATCTCACCATCATGGGAACATCTCCCCGGTTTTTTAAACTCTCGTTCCGATAAACCATAAAAGATGGCAATGGTTTCTTAGGTTTGTTCTGTTCCTTCCTTAGCTGAAATTAATGCATGCAAACCATTCAGTTATATGGACAAAAGTAAAGAAATTCTATCTAAATTATTATTTTTTCAATGTTATATCAACCAGTTATTGAAAAACCTTTTTAAGCGCCTTCTTGACTTGCACATTTTTTACTTTCTGCTCTGCTATTTGAATTAAATTTTTTTGTTCCTCGGTGAGATGATTTTTGAAATTTTCCACAGCCTGTTGGTATTCTGCAAGATCCTTCTTGTAATCATTCTGCCATTGCTGCCTTTGCTCACCACCTACCTTCTTCCACTCCATTGAAGCAAGCTTTAAAATTTCTACAGACAAATTAAATTTCAATAAAGGAATGTTTCAATTTTAATTTAAATTCATTACCGTTGCTTGGGTGAGTTTTAGCCAATTCAGGCCTGATTTGAGCAAGGAACTTAAAGAAAGGGCTGGTAGGCCTCATGGGCCTCTTAGGAAGGCCGTATTTGTCTTCAGTGGCCCTTGTTACAAAACTGGTAGCCTGCTGTAGGTTAAGGCTCCTGTAACTGAATAAAATTAATAATATTTATGAAGCAAAATTATTTTGAGCATTTTCGAGTCTAAGATTGAGGGGGCATATTGGACGAAAAAAATTTGTTACTCTGGACACCCACTTTGAAATATTTATGTATGTTCAAATAAGATTTTTTAATAAAAACTAACCCAATAGCCTAATAAGCTCACGGGGAGCAATACATAACCAAAAAAAATTTATGTCCAATGCCCCCCTCAATCTTATCGGAAATTTATTTTTGAATACCCATCAATGTATGATGTAACATGCATACATACCTGCCAAGAAGGAAGGTGCGATGTCTCCCCATCAAGGTAAATATTTTCTGCATCGAATTTTGCATTTTGATATTAAAAATATTGCGTTCTCTTCATAAGAAAATACCAAATGTGCTCAGACTTTACTTCACTGCCGGCAAAGTGTGTTAGGGAGGGAGTTTGTTTTGTTTTTTGTTTGCATCAGAGAAGTGGTCAACAACAAACCTCCTTGAATGTCCTTGAGCTCAACAAGTTGATTGTGGCAAATAGGCTAACAATTTTATTATAGTTGTTGATTTTAGTGCTGCTCCAGCCTCCAGCAGTGCATGTTGTACGCAAACGCGTTTAAAAAGAATTATTATTGTTGAGATAGTGGAAAATATAAAGTGACTTACCATTTTTTTTATAATTAAAATTGAAAACAATTAGGAAATGGTTCCATTTATTTCCATTTAATTATGAACAAAATGTTAAATATTAAATTTGGCATTTGAAATAAAATTTATTATTTTTCCTTTATTAAGAATGCAATTTTATTTTAGCAAGTAGCTGAAAAAATAAGTACGGTTGTACAAATTTGGTACATATTATGTATTTCCTTTCAACAAAAGGTATCCATTATAATTATAATGCAATTATCATCATGATAGCAAATTCGTGGCACTAAAAATCACTATTTTGTATTTTGACAACGGAACTATTCAAGTAACTTTTAAGACATTATTTAGATCGTAACTAAAGAAGTTAAAAAATATCAGAGAAAAACTGATCAGTAGCTTCCCAAAGCAAAATCCATCCTTCGACAAATACTCCATCCCAAATCTGAGCTGCAAATTTAACAATTGTTAAATCATTTTTAGGATACAATTGAATTTGATTCTGGTAGCGACAAGCAAACAGTTGCTAATTGAAACAGGAGGAACAGGCATCATCAGATGATTTACCACTATTTGAATACGGGCACTTACTTATTACTTATCTTCGATCCCCAGCACACACAAGAAAGTTAATTATGTCTGTTAAAAACAGATGTGATGGTAATTAGTGATTGAAAATGAACAATTTGCATGAGCCCTGAGTTACAAATACACAAATCAACCATTATTGAGATTACTTTACGATTCAAACATGAAATCATGGAGATGAAAATTTTCAGGTTAGATGATGAACAACGAAATGAACAAAAAATCTGTTAATGAACTTTCAGTCTTGGTCACAAGAATTTCCGATTTGAACAGCATGCAGGCCGAGCAGGGCAGCAAACACGGACATCACCATGCCGAGCTTACTTGCGATAGACCTGACAGTGCTGCCCCTGGTCAAAATGAGAGTCTTCTGTGGGCTGGGGGAGGGGAGGGGTTGGTCCAAGGGCCCCAGCTCAGCGACCAATGCGCTGCTGGGGTCACTGGCCAACAAGCCATGTGACCCCGCGTGTTCCTATTTCTTGGCCGCTGGCTTCTTGACCAAGGTATTCTTGGTGGATTTGGCAATGGCCTTGGCCTGCTTGGCATGCATCACCCCAGTGCGCACCAGTGCAAGGTTGCCCTGGCGCACCATCTTGTCCTCCCACTTCTCCAGATTGTTGACGTAATCTTTGCGAAGCTGTTTGCCACGCGTCTCATACTTGGCCTTTTCGGCAGCACTCAATTTCTTCCAGGATTCACCAACTTTTGTCACCCAATCCTGAAGATTATTTTATAAAAAATGAGGGAAATGTTTAAAATGCGATTATACTTACTTTCACCGGGGTATCTCCTCGCTTGGAAGCATTTTCTTGCAAGTATAGGATGAAGGAACTGGCAGGTTTCTTGGGTTTACCAAGTTCTTCACTTTTCTGCGAACAAAAATTCAAAATCTTATCAATATGTCAAAGTAAAACATTTAAAAAACAAAATATAAAAATTTGTTTGATTGCTAATTACCGTAAATAAGCGCACCGAGTCACTTAGAAATTGACAGAGGTGAGCGGAATCAATTTTTGTACAAAAAATTATTATTGTTGTTGTTGATTCTTCACAAATCAAGTCTATGGAAAGAAAATTACTAAATTTGAAGAGATGGCAAGACCTCTGACGAACAGCCCCAGCTGCCACCTGGCAACCCTCCATGTTAAACCTTATGGGAATTGACGATTCAACGTTGCTTGGCAGCTGGGGAGGTTGCCAAGACGCGGGGCCTCAGGAGAGGTCTGCGCCGAGATGGGCCGCAAATGTCAAAATGAATATCAAAAAATTTCGTCTCGATCAAAGTTTGGTCAGTGTTTTCTTGGTTTTAAATACTTTCTGCTCCAAGCAACTAAAACGAATTTACGTTTCGTTAATATTTTTACTTCAGAGAGTAAGATTTTCATCCTCATAAAAGTCATAAAACAAAATATGTCTTCTCGCAACCGAATAATTTATAACCAAAACTAGTGTTTTCTCGTGACCACGAAATGTTTATTTATCAGGAAAATTTTGTTCGTGATCAAAAGTTTTGCTCATTTTCTATCCGTAGACCTCTGTTGAAAATATTATTTAGAGCCTTTTAGTTATAAATATCAAGATGAAGCAATTTGGAACAGTTGACTTCTCTACTAGGCAGAAGTTTTAGAAAACAGCAGTCAGCCTTATATGCAATTAAAAAATTTAATATAATAATCGAACCTGCTTGATCTCCCGCCTAGTCTTCTTTTGTTTGATCTCTTGCTCTGCTTCATTGATTTTGCTTTTGTGCTCTTCGGTGAGACTGCTCTTGTACTTGTCCATGGCCTGCAGGTAAGTATTGTACTCCTTCTTGTACGGAGTCTCATACTGCTGCTTTTGCTGGGCATTCAGCTTCAACCACTCAACACCTGCAACCTTGGAAACCTCTAAAAAAAATTGAAATATTAATTTGTCATGGTTTTTTTAATCCTCTTTATTTACGCGTTGCCTTGAGATCAGGATGGCTTTTGAGCAGGTTGGGTCTGAGCTGGGCAGCGAACCTGAAGAAGGCACTCAGAGGCTTGACTGGCTTCGATGGAATACCAAGCTTAGCCTCAACGGACCTCTTCAGACCAGCAGTCTGTTGAACGTTGAGGCTCCTGAAACAACAGCAAACAAAAAACTGGATTATTTCATGAACAGATCAGTCTCATCAGTACCGTTGCTTGGCAAAGGTAGTGTCAAATCGACTGTCTAGCCTAATGCGAAAAAACAATGAAGCAATGGAGCGAGAGAGCGTCAGTAATGGAGTCACGAGCACATGTATTTGGGGCAATCGAATTGTACAAGAATTTCGCTCATACCTGCCGAGAAGGAAGGTGCGATGGCTTCCCATCGCGGTGCAGATTTTCTGCATTGAGGTCTGCATCTTTTGATGTGGCGGAAAAGCGTGTAACGAGAGAATATGGCTTGCAAACTCGAGAGAGAGAAAAGACGCAGCAGGAGATGTTTACAGCACGTCCGAATTTCTCATCATAGCCACGGCGTTGGACCGGACTGGACCAATCAGAATCTTTCCCGCTGGCGAATGGCGCACTTTCATTGGACGACAAAGGGAGGCGGCAAAACGGTTTTACTTTTGATTGTTTGAGAAATTTATTATCGACATAGCAAACAAATAAGACAAGTGGGATTGATCACGTCCGCCACATCCGGTGACACCACTGCACGGCGTTTGAATAATTTTTATCCCTGCTTATAGTTGTAGATTACGAAAGAGCAAGATAGTGATCAGGTCAACATTGTAAATCCATCAATAATTTAAAATTCGGGTATGTATCTCATTATCTCAAAACCGTTAATGACAACGTTATAATAATGGTTTTGAATTTTGCACATGGATTAATTATTATTTGCTAGATAAAAATATGGAACAATGCCGAATTATTTATATTAAATTTAAAAATTTCAAATTATTTATTAAGCCAATCAATAGAGTACATATAGAGACTAATATACTGTAATATACCTAATATATTCAAAACAAAACATTTTTACTTTTCTCTTTTTAATTGAGAGTATTTATTTTCCGAGTCAAGTTCCAAAACAGGAATAGGAAAAAATGATTTCAAAAGAAGATTTAAAAAAATGCAATTGAATTTTAACTGCAACCAAATATTTTAACTAAATGTATAAAACTATTTCTAGACTACAGTTGACCTGCAGTTGACAGAAAAAGAATACACGATTTTAAATTAATTCAATTGTGATCTGATATAAAATTTATTCTCCCAGCAAAGGATGAAAATTATTTGGTGCCAAAAGGAAAAAATTGACGAGCTAATTTTGGCAAACTTTTAATATAGAAAACAATAGAAAAAAATTATTCTTTTAATTTTGTTAACTTGGCGTGGATAGGAAGTGTATTGTCTTGGCAAAAGAGAGCAGCAGCTTCCCTGGACCGCGAGAGACACGGCCGAAGCGTCCGAATCTTTTTTGAGCGACTCTCACCAATTTTCAAGCCAATCACAGACATGTTGCTATAATAGCTGGGAAATCAAGTTGGCTGATTTGGCTGCAGTGTGCTGCTGGTCGGGGAGTGCGGCCGGCCAAGTTCTCACTTGAAGCAAAAAGTGACCTCTGGACAAGATTCTGACCTCTCTGTAAGTTGAAAGTGATCAAGGTTAATGGTGGAAAATTTCAATTTTGCAAAGTAATGTCACAGGAAAATATTTTAGTGCTGTCTTAGCGATTGGGATTTTTGTGTAAATTAAGTTTGATTACGATCAAGGGATATGGTTTTTTCATAAGTAGATAAAGTTCAAAAATTCAGCTTAGTATTAAAGGAGGCAAAGTTTAAATTATAATTCAATAGGGACTGTGCAAAATATTTTCTCATACTTTCAGTCTTTCAAAGAGCGTGGCCTATATATTTTCACCTTAGGTCAATATAAACAAGTATTTTTCTGCCAGTTTTCAATCAAGTTACAAATTATTTTGAAATAATTGTAATATAAAATATTTTTATAATTATTAATAATTTTTATCAGTTAAAATTGAATGTTTTTAAATTATTTAACATATTATAATATTATGTAATATTTAAAGAGTCTCAAGAAATTCAAGATTTGGTTTTTGTTTTTAATTTTTAAATATCAATTTACTTTTTTACCCAAAAAGCTGTAAAATCACAAAATAAAACCCAATAAAAACCAATAGTCTGGCGTAACAAAATTTCGTAAACAAGTAAGCTCGAGTGAGAAACCCTCTTCGCTCAACACTTTTCTTTCACTTTTGCATCTTAATTTTTCACTCCATTGTTCCCTTTGAAAGTTCTTTGAAGGGCCGAAAATAAAGTCATAAAAAGACGAATCTCTTTTGATATCAACTTGGGCAGCGGTGTTTTGTGGGGCGTGTTTTAACAAAATCGCCTGGCTGTCCCTAGTGCTGGGGTAAAAATAGCTCATTCTGTAATACGACTTTCCTTCTGGCCACCGCTAGTGACGTATCTCCATCGAGCTCCTAGAGCGGTACGCGGCTGTTAGTAATAGTGAGGACTGTTTTTAACTGCTGTCCAGTTTGAAATGTGTGTTTGCGAAACACAAGATTTGGTTTCAAAACGATCCGCGGGTCGTTTACTGTCATTTGCAGAAAAAATTTGCACTCGGTGATATTCGCACACATTTATTCAGACATAATCAAACGACCGAATATTAACTCTGTTTATTTTCCACAGGCTGGGTTTATGGAGTGATTGAAAGGATCACAAAACGCAACGACAATGCCGTACGAGCAGCACTTCAGCATGGCTGCCATGAAGCAGTCTGGTAAGTATATTAAAGCTATAGGTTTTTTTTGGACACATAATATAAGTCTATAATCGCAAAACGTTATGGCAGGATAAAAATGCGCGGGCATCTGGAACGGTTTCAAAACTAGGCCAATATATAATTTTATTTCTGGTCCTCATTTGAAAAAAAAAACTGGAATGCTTGGAGTCGCTCCAAAAGACTCGTAATATATCAGCTGTTGAGGAAATTCCTGGGTTACTCTTTAAGTGCTTAATGCATCAAAAAGTGCCTAGGGAGTATTAATTGAAGCCAACTTCTGACCTAGGATTGAGAAAGGTTTCAAACACTCCAATGTTATTTGTTAGATATCTGAAAAATACAAATTAATATTTTGTTCATTAAAAAAAATCAACCGTGTCCTTTTATTCAATTTTTATTTTATATTTTCTACCTTTGATGAATTTGTTTCTGATTTTGATTTGCTTTGCAGGCTTCATGCAGCAGCTCAGCGGAGTTTTGAACAAAAAAATGGAGGTCATCGAAAAGAACACAGCCGAAGTTTCCACAATAAGCTCCTCATCAAAGTCTAGCAAAACCGTCGCCACCACTTCAACTTCCTACGTGGAGACCACAAACACCGGAAGCACAACTGTCCTGCTGCAGAAACAGGAGGTCATCGTCGAGCAGCAGGTCGAAGAAACACAGGTCAGCAAAGTAAATGTTTTGAGCATGAGAATGAGTGGAAAGAGAAACTGAATTCTACAAAATAACTGGTTGATTTTGGAGGAATTTTGTTTCTGGGAGTGTTATGTGATGATTAGGTGGAGACGGTGTTTTTTCTTTGTGGGCCTCCTTTCAAACATCAAAGAGCTGAATTCGGTGTGGCTGATAATTCCGAGTGTTTAGACTCGGTTATGAGAGGAGTTGGTGCGAGGATGCAGCGGTGCGTTGGCCGCGATGCCAATGTCAAACGGTAGCAGAGAGCACGCGGCCCCTCTCACAGACATTCTCGTTCCGCCGAACAACAAAAGATGACATCAGTACACAGCTTTTGCCAACTGATGCCACTAGAAAACAAAATCAAATCGTCCTCAGATAAATTCCACCTAAATTTCAAAACTTCTCATTTTTTTAACTTCAAATTATTATTTTGGAAATTATTAAATAATTTTTGTTCCTTTTTTCATCGAGCTCATTGATCCCTGTGGAATTCGACTTGTGCAAGCACGCCGAAATTATTTTTTACATACCGAACGGCTCAAGACACATTGATTGGAAATCCCGAAACAATGCCCGGGCTTGGATCGGGTCCAAGCATCGGACTCTCAAAGGAAGTGCTGCCCGCTTCATCAATTGCCAAATCTTTCTTTATCATTCTGCCGCGACAGAAGACGTTTTATTTTCCAAATCTTTTTTATTTTTGTTATTTCAGTCCCATTCTCCGGAGAGACACAAAATCCAACTGTGCTCTCATCTAATCGAGCGAATCCGTGGTCGAGAAAAGTCAAAAGCGTGTAATGCCGTGGGCAGACACAAAGGAATCTCCAACAAATTAACCTCTTGCATCCGGTGAAAAATTGTGTTTGGACTTTTCGTTGTGTCGGGCAGCGCGGGAAGCTTGTTTTTCTGCGGGCGCACGGTACAGCGGGGTATTGTGTGACCGGCGACAAACATAGATCGAGCCAAGGCATCCACGTGACTTATTGCACCCCCCTCATCACGATTGGCTATTGGCCTCCATTAAATACAAATTAAATTGGACAGGCGTCGCGAGAGCTAGCGCCACCGACCGTGTTCGCGCTCGGCCACCAACTAAAGCCCGACTGATCATTTTAGAATTTTTTTTCTTTAATTAAAGAAATGTCGACGGCCGCACATGCAATTAAATTTTAACAACGCGGAACTGTTAAGAGAGGAGCCGAGACGCCTCGCAAGATCAAGGGTGAAAATCAACTGAGCCCAAAAACACAATCAAAAAAGATCCAAAAATAAATAGCGATTATTAATATTTTAAATTATAATATAGTTTATAGTAATTTTTATAGGTATGATTTTTTTTTCTTTCGGCAATTGACTGCAATTTCAATTTATCCATTGTTTATGATCCCCCATTTAACTTGGCAAATGAGCAAATATTTCAAATTCCGTTTCAGAAATCACTTCAATTACCAGAGCAGCAACCTGTGCGCCTGCAAGTCGCACCACGTATGCAACCATTTTTACACGGGTGCGCAACAGGTTGCCTGGCCGCTTATTTTTTAGTGCGTGGTGTTTGTAACCGAGAGTGCTCTCTCTTCTCGCTTCTTTTCCTCTGGCCGTTTCACAAAGGCGAGAAACCAAATGTCGATTTTCGACGTCACCACGCGCTTAGAAACAGAAAGAGAGGCAAAGCTAATGAGGTAAAAATAAAATTCAAGAGCAGCCGAGGATTTGTTGAACGTAGCGACAAGCATAAATATTGCTGACAAGAGAAACATGAAGGCAACTTGTCTGATAAAATAAACATCATTGGCTATTTCGGACGCGCCTTATCTATTTTCTGCGCGCGCTTCCTGTCATCGTCTCCTGCCTGCTTGATGAAGAGAATGATTGCGATTTCGCTCACTTGGCCGACGTTCGCATTTTTTTTTTAAATCGCACACAATGCCAAGGTGGCCCCGGTGAGTCACCGGACAGTGACGATTTCAGAAGCTTTTCCGCCAGCGTCGCCCCCGGACAACCGCCGCCCCCGGGGACATCTTGGAGCGATTCGGGCAGGAGACGAGGAATTCGATTTGGATTTTCGCCGCTGACCAGGCGGCTTTTTCTTCGAAGCGCCAAGGCTCACCCTCTGCGTGAGGAGAGAGGGAGGTCTAAATTTGGCCACTCACCAAGCGCGCAAGAGCGCGGCAGCTCGGCAGAAGAAGCAGTCCGCTCGCTGATTCCTACTTTGGAATATCGCAGCACGTGGGAATATTTTGGCGCTCACCTGGAGCAGGACAACGCGACATGAGCAAGTTCTGACAGCCGCCCCCGACTTTCCCACGCTTAAGGCTCGTGCTTTGGATCTCATCGACAGTGTTGATTTTTCCACTCACTCATTTTATTTTGTATGATTTTTGTATAAACTTACGATTCCGACATGTCCCAATACTGCCGCATTACGGGTAAAAGCCGCGGTCTGCCCAAGCCCAACTACTTCCCGCTGCTGCCGCCCATTTCGGCGGCCGACGCCAAGAAAATCTGCCGCATCACAGGCAAGTCTCAGGGTCTGCCGCCCTCGCACCAGTTCATCCCCATCCCCCTGTGCCCACGAAAGAAGAAGCCGTCGGCCACATGTCCGGTGACAGGCAAGGCCGTCGGCCAGCCGCAGCACCACTTCATCCCCGGGGCGCCCAAAGCGGTGCCCCACGAGCCCATCCCGGGCTTCAGGTACGTCGTGCCGGTGCTAAACAACCCTCCGGCGTTGCTGCAGGAACTCTTGAGTCACGAGGTGCTGCCCGATTCCATTGTGGCCCAGTATGTTTACACTTTGGAGGAGAGGCAGTGCGGCGTCGTCCTGCCGGCCACCATCGAGGCCGCCGTCCGCGAAGGAAAGGTCTGCGATTTGCTGCTGCAGAACACGAATGAAAGATTCACGTTGAAATTCGAGGAGGGTCGGCAGGTCACGGTCAAGGTGATCGAAATGCAGCCGCAACCTGCAGCGGTGTCCGCGCCCGAGGACGGCACGACGCCGCTGTTGGACGGCCAGGGGCCAAATAAAAAGCCGGCGCCGGTCCTACCGGAGAAATTCACAATTCCGGGACTGAAGCCGAAGAAGCTAGTGGCGCAGCAGGTGGAGCAAACGAAAGCCACGCCGGCTGAAATATCAAAGGTGCAAGATGAAAAGCCGATTGTCGGCGGCGGTGATGCAACGCCGGCCAAACAAGAGTTGGCACCGAGCGCGCAGCCAGTTCCCGTAGAGAAGCCCAACGTAGTGAGTCCTGTAGAGCAGAAAAAAGTAAAAACGGCGCCGGAAAAGGAAATGCAGGTGGACGAGCCTGCGGCCGGCGGCATGCAGGCGTTCATCGAGTCCATCAGGGCAGAAGTGAGCAAATTAGAATGTTTGGAAAACCCGGAAAAAATTCCACCGAAAAAAGTTGAAGAGCCGCCCAAAGTGGAGCAGGCGCAAGAAGAGAAGCGCAAAGAGGAAGTGAAGCAGCCGCTGCCGGAGCCGGAAAAAAAGGCAGAAGAACCAGCGCCACCGCCTGACAAGAAGAAGCAAAAGAAAGCCCCTCCGGCCGAGGTTGAAATTACTGCCGAACATAATGATGCAAAATTAACATCTCAAGTGGCACCCACTCGAAAATCGGACGCAAATGAAATCGCTGATGAGCCGAAGCGTGTCAGACGCAGCAGTACGTCGCGAGAACTCGACACGGGTGTGCTGAAATCGGTATGGGATGTTGCAAAGCGGGACGAGAAAAGTGAGAAAAACGGTCTTTCAATTAAGTATGTACTTGGAAAACAGCCTAACCTTAAAGATATTTTGGTTCTTCAGAAAAACATGGAGGCCGGCAACGTCATCGAGCTGGTCTGGGACGGCGAGCTGCTGCAGGGGAAATATATTGAAATCAGCGAGGGCAAGTTTTGTTTTGTGCCCGGAAAAATGGTCAATGGCGCATTCATGGCCGGACAAACGATCGATGGAATTTTCGTGCCCGGCCTGACCGTGAAAACTCCAGCAAAACTTTCACTCATTCCCGGGTGCGTTATGAAAGAAGAGGGTTTTGTTGCAGGAATTAACAAGGAGCTCAAATTCATTCCGGGACAAATTTTTAAAGATGGAGAAAAAGAAGTTTTTATACCTGACGAGCAAGTGGTCACCGACAAGGGCGTCAAATATGTACACAGGGATGAGGCACCTGAAGGAACAACCCCAGTTCATGTAAAGCCTGCAAAACACACAGAAGAAATTAGTAAGGAAAATGGCACGGCTGTGAATGGTAAAAAAGAGCGGGCTCTAAAAGACAAAAAATTCAGAAAGGTTAAGGGGCTTTTAAAGGATAGCAACGTGGTGTACGGTCACATGTTACAAATGGAAAGGGGAGTTCAGTTTTACCCCGAAGGCCATGATTTGCCAAGTAGCGGCATCTTAAGGACCATTCCAGGGCAATTAGTAAAGTGCCCTGAGGAGGACGAGCCAAGGTTCGTACCAGGTATGATGATGGACGGAAAGTTTGTTGCTGGCCAAATGGTTTGCACGGCAGAGGGCACAAAATTCGTGCCAGGGCAGCTCGTGAGAAACAAGGAAGGCGCAAAATTCGTACCTGGACAAACCTTAGATGACGGGCAGTTTGTACCTGGCCAGGTTGTGGATGGAAAATTCGTACCTGGGCAAATTGTACAGACAGCTGCCGGGCCTACATTTATCCCAGGGCAGGTAATTTTGACCCCCGAAGAAGGAGCAAGATTTGTACCTGGAAGGGTTGTTGAAACTACTCAGGGTCCACACTTTGTACCTGGCAGAGTAATCGAAGATCAAAATGGAAGTGTAGCTTTTGTGCCAGGGCGAGTTGTGGATACTGAGGAAGGACCTAGGTTCGTGGCACCTGACTTAGAGTCGACACCAAACGGAACACCACATTTTGCAATGCAGAGTTTTGAAGTAAGTCCTGAGGAGCTGCAACTGATCGAGCACAGAGGCACCACCAACATGGAAAGCGGAGGAGTTATTGATCAACATATGCTGGAGCAACTCGCAATGGCTGGTATCACTTTGTCACAAAAAAGCCTTCCGGACGTATACGTCACTCCTAGAAATTTGCAAGAAATTGCAACTAGAATTTCTGGCCGGCTGAAACTGCCTGAGGAAGCGAAAGCAAAAATTTCTCTTGTACTTGAAAAGGTGGCTGAACTTGGGCATAACATCAAACACGGAAAAGCAAGCGAGGAACAATCTGAGAGACCCATTGCGCGATCGGAGTCCATTGCACAACACCACGCCTTTGAAATAATCGAATCTGCTGTAACTGCCGCCGTTTTGACTGCTTCCAAAGACTACAGTGTCAACCCTGGCGAGGCGACAGTACAGGAAATGAACACCGTTCTTGAGGATGCCCTGCCGCCGACCGGCATTTCGCACGCAATGTACACGGATTATTTGGTCAGCGCCCTTTACGAGGTAGTCTCCTCTGAAGCCAACCTGGAGGCAATTTCCAGTTCAGTCCAGCAGGGTTTGAAGAAACCAGTGGCGAACAAGGTCGAGGTGCTCAGGTATATCGCCAACAAAACGGAGAACGTGCACGATACAATGGAAAAAATCAATACCGTCCTCAGAAAGCAAAAGAACCACCCTGACATTGGTAAAGCATTCAGGCGGCTGTCGATTGGTGACCCGGACATCGTTGACCTGGTTGTGGCCAAGGTTACAGACAAGGTTGAAGGCGTGAGCACTGAGAAGGAGGCTACAAAAACCTTGCAGTCAGCCATCGTTTCAGCCGTCCGTGAGACTAGCGAGCGCAAAATTCACGAAATCCTAGACTCGCAGGACCAGAGTACCCTGAAGCACCTGATTCTGCAGGCAGTCAGTTTGGCTCAGGCCCTTGGTTTGGCCGACGCCGCCGACGAGCTACTCTATCTTCTCCAAGACGAGCGAATCGCCAATCTTCTTTCAAAGGACAGAACGGCCCTGGAGATTTTACAAAGACTCACCCTTATGAAGAAACTGGCCGAGTCCAGGCCTGCCTACGCTCAGGCTATGACGGGTTTGAGCGGAACGGTGCCAAAGGAGGATACTAAATTGCTGAAGCAACTGGTTCGTGAGAGTGAGGCTCTTTTAACGGCCGTTCAAGAAGAGGAGGACTCCTACGAGGACGACGACGACACCTACAGCACGTGCTCCTTCAACTCTGCCTTTGATGACGAAATCATCAGCCGCGTTCCTCGCAGAATCACCAGTTCCAAAGATATTCCCTACTCGTTGTTCCACGCCTTTGTTGACTGCCAGAAACCGATGAAGTTGCTGAACCGCATCCTCCTGGCCGCCCAGCCCGAAAGACGCTTCGCCTACGACCACTCGTGTGTCATCCTGAAGGACAAAAACCAGACCGTCATCCCGAAGGAAAGCTCCAGAGACGTTCTCACGGGCCGGGCCAGCTACACCTTGATTGACGAGAACGGTGTCAAAAATTACGACGCCATGGACGTCTTCTCGGCACTCAACATAGACAAGCCGATCGCCTTACAAAAGTTCTCCATCTACACCGAGGGCCTGGCGTCCACGTGGGTGCACGCTGCGGAGCTGCCACCGGAGATAAATGACCTCCTCTCAGACTCCTGCACACCAATTTATGATTCTAACACAATTCTGAGCCAAGACAATACTACTTTGGAGGAGGTAAAATTACGCAGAGTGAGAAAATTGTAATCAACTAATATTAAACTTAGTATATAGAGAATTAATTTTACAAATGGAATGTTTAAGTTTTAATACATTTAAATTTAAAAATATTTGTAAATCACAGAGTTGAAATATTTCTATTGAAATATTTAAAATCCAAGTACTAATCGTGTAAAGAAAAAGCACAAAAAATAATAACACACTAAACTACGCTCAATTTGTAACACGCACACAAAATGCATATCGAAGACTTGAAAATAATTAACACTGCTTTTGTAACAAATATTTAAGCAAAAGTATTTGCCACTTGATAATCTACAAACGCGACGAACACGAACATCGCAAAACTTCTCTACATCGAAGTGAGATGTTTACGTGCGAGAATGTACTCATAGTGCCTTTAGTGCTGCTGATTGCAGGCTGAGCAGAAGCACCGCCTCACGTGAACTCTCAACCCTCGAAATGCTAAGTGATCGTCTTAGACTGACTCGTGTTTAGTGCTAAAAATTGAAATAGGCTGTAAAACTGACAATTATTGTGATCGATATATTTTTTCTTTGATTGAATTCGCACCAGCCCCAGCTTCGCAAAAAATTGTCTGGCCCGAGCGAGGAAACACGCCCTCTCAATCTAGTCCGTACGTGACGCAGAATGGGTGAATGTGTTTGCTTTGCATGACAGTAATTAGCAGGTTAAATTTAGAAGCACCAACTTTGATTAATTTCTGAGGGGTGCAAAATATTTCAAAATTTAGAAATTCAATACTAAATTAATTTTTTCCGAGAATTTATTTTTGGTTTTGTTTTCTTTTCAGTTTTTGACGTGTGTTGAGTGACAAGAGTGCCGGAGCAATGTGCTTAATTTAATTTTTGTCTGACAGGCGTCCTCGTGCGAGTCAGTCGACTGGTACGTGGCAATTTGTGACTACGAGGCCGAGGATGAGAACGGACTCAGCCTCAAGGCTGGAGATATTGTCGAGATTCTCGACTATAATGACTACGACCCTTCTGCAAAGTAAGTGAACAGCGTACCACACTCTTCTCTCGCAAACAGCCTAGTCTCTATTTATCTTGGCTTTGTTTTCCGTGAACATGTGTTTTTCGGCGCGATTACATCTTGCGAGATACGCGCGCACACACACATGCAGCCTGACGACAGCGTGTTGAACGCAAAAATAGCCGCAACTTAAGTGGAGAGCAACTTCGTTTTAGACACTTTCGGCGCACATTAAACTTTGAAAGCCAACAAATCTCAAATAATTAATTTGGGTTAACCTAAATGCAGACGGAAGTTACAATAAAACGTAATTTCAAGTGAGAGAATGTGAAAAGTGTCAAAACGTTGAGCCATTTTACTTATTAATACGACGATAATATGCATGAATATTTTCTCTGTTCTAAAATTAGAATAAAAAAGAAAGAAAAAGAAAACTGCTTAAAATCGGAAAATGGAAATAAAATTATTTAAAAAGAAAAATTATCACTAATTGAGTAAATAAATTTTTAATGGGAAAAACGCAATGATGATTAAACTGGTTTTAATTTCCTTCTTCTCTAAATTGGTATATGCGAATTTTGTCACTCTCATTTAAATAAAAACCACTAGTAATAATATATAATTTTTTTTTGCTTTTAATGGAATATTAAATTTACAAAACTTTATTCAATCTAGGACACTTTGATAAATTTTTACTTGCAGAAACTTTCCATTTCATATTGTTGCTACTTGAATCTGTTGGTTAGAACAATTTCATTGGAAACAAATTCAAAGAAATCATTTTTGAAGGAAAAAAGCCTTCTTTAAAAACCAATGCCCTTATAAATTTTATAAAAAAAAATAAAAAAAAATTAAAACATTATAAATTAATGTTGGCTTCCACATGGAATAAAAATATTTACTTTGGAAAAATAATTTTTTGTTGTAGTTAAAAATGAATTTACTTGAGACTTTTCCGTCTTTGGATATAAAAAGTTGCCAAAAAAAAAACATAATTTTTCTTCTGTCTTAATGTAAAATACATGTATTAATAATTTATTGACTGCATAATTACCTAAAAAACGTAATAAACACAATTGTAACTAAAAAAGATCAGACATTTTTAATGTCAAATTTATTTTGATGAGCGCTACAATATTCTTTTTTATTTCACATAGATCTCCCTTTTTGAGTTCAAAGCTTCAAAGCCGCGCACCCCAATCATGTAAAGCAAAATCTCGCGAATGTTCGGGTGATGAGTAACGCGTTTCCAAAGCGTCGCATCAAAATTCCGTCGCCGCCGCGCAACTTCAGCAGGTGTTTTGATGTGTGCAGAAAAATGCAAAAGCGTGGTCGCGCGCGGCGTATTTTAGTCAGTGCTGTAAATTTAAAATGCGCGACGGAATGCGGCCTGAGAATAGCTCTCGCGCATGGGGAGCAATCTGATCGAACTTTGGGCCGCCGACAGAGCGATTTCACCACTTTTCTGTTCACGAATCGACTGGCAATGATTGCACCGTGGCGCAACCCGGGTGCATCGCCAGTAAACAAATAATCGAGATGAGCGACCGCGACATTGCAAATCGCGCTGCATGTACTTACAACCAAAATCAGTCGCGCTCTATTTGTTCTGTGACTAAATGGACTAGCGGTAATTAGACCATGTAAAACTTGTGTTTGAGCAATTAGTGCCACAGTTCGTTCGTCTTCAACGTGGCAGGGCTCTTTGGCGACTCAATATGAATTACCTTTGATTGGATCTGTAATACAATGATTGGAAGGGATTTATTGATCAAGACCAATTAAAGTTAAAAAAATAGGTTGTTCCTCTAGTTTCTCTATAAAATAAATTTAATATTAAAATATTGCATCATGGTAAAAAAGTTTATCGTTCCATAACAAAAAATTCCTTTTGATTTACGGATAATTGAAAATTTGAAAATATAAAATTGGTGAGTAAGTTAGACATTAATCAAAATTAATGTTAAATATGACGAATAAATGGAAAAGCCCGATATCTTCATCTCCATGATCATCTCCTCGAGTGTCAATCTCTTCAAACAAAATGACAAAAATAAACTTTGCAATATATAATGGTAAATTTAATTATTTGTTTCATCTTTTATTATTATTTTTGTTTATTTGACCAGTGAGTTTATTTAAAATATTAATCCATTTTTTAATTATATAGCATTTTTAATTATAGGGAATTCACTGATTAGATAGAATTGGTGGCAAAAAACGGGAAAGAATCTTGCTTGTGTGTTCCTTTTCTCCATTCTGAAGATAATTTTTAATTATATGCAGTGCAAATTGCAAGTGACTGAACAGCAAAATAATTACAGACTTCAGAATTTTATTAAATTAAATGTCAACTTCCTAATTAGTTTATAATGAATTAAGTTAAAATTCGATTAAAAAAGAAACGTTAAAAAATATATTTTTCTATCATAAACTCTAGACAACTGAAAAATGAACAGTAAATTTTAAATTTTAACAATAAAAATTTCCTTAGGGATGATCGCGTGCACACTCTACTAAATTGAAATAAATTTGAAAGAATTAGAAGTAATTTAAAAATTCCTTGCTTAGTAAAAGTTTTACTTGGCTTTTATTGCCGCGGTTGATTCTGGTCGTCGTCACTGCTGTTGGCTGGCACATTTCAATTTGCAGCAAAGGAACTTCGCATGCCAATCAACTTAAACTTAGAAGCGGCTGTCACCAAAATAAGCGGCCCTTTCTTTTTATTTTGCTCGCGAAAGGAGTGCTGAAAGTGATTGCCAATGGCCTGACTCATGCGATTACTAGAAACGTAAAGTGTCATTTTCCACTGATCCCCAGAATCAACCGCTTGCTGTCCCTCACAAAAGTGACGTTTTGCAAGATTGAATGGAGTGGAAACTCAGGAAACTTTCATAAAGCCACAATTTCGTCTTTGTTTCTTTATATTCAAACCTGTTTTAAAATATCAGTTTTGGGAAGAAAAAATTGATAAAATTTTAACTTTACCATTAATTTTAAGAACAATGCAAAAGGTTGCACCGCTCAGGAAAGTTAATTACATTGTTAATTTTCGTCCAGAAAAAGTTTGTAGAAAAAATTTAATTGTCATGCAAAGTTGAATCAGAATCTGAACTACACAATAATGATTTTCCGAATTTAAACCCTTCTAATTATAAAATTTGAAAATTTTTGCTCAAAGGAAGCCGCGTCTGGAAGAAGGCCTCGAGTCGTCCGGTCTGCTGGACACATCGGCCGCCCGCCACAAAATGGCCATCCGGCCCAAGAGGAACCACTCGAAGCAAAAGAGCGAAGCTTTGGCCTCGACGGCGACAGCAACGACCACGGAAATCAGGTGAGTCGAAAAGAGTCGAAGGCTGTGATTCATGTCGTCAGCGGGGTCTTTGATTGCGGGCCCGAATTAGCTCTCGAGGGGACAGTGATTGAGGCATGCATCACTCACTCATTTCATTCGCCCCTCCACCAATCAGACAATTGCACATTGCACGAACGATTGGGCACGGTTGACAGTGCGAGCCACTCAGTCCCCGCTCGGCAGTGATTTGTGCGAATTGGCCCTTTTTCTAAGTGAATGTGTCTGCTCAAGGAGGAAAGTGGTGCTTCCTGACAAAATTGATTAAAAATGTGGATCACAAACAGGTGAGCGATATTAGCGATACACAAATTTGGAGGAGACAAATTTCTTTTGATAAATTTCCTGAAAGAGTTCAATCAAAAGGTCAAGGTACAAGCACGAGGAAATAACCTCTAACGAAACAGTTTCTAATAGATTGGAACCAAATATGCATTGGAATTATAACGAATTAGGCCTTTCAGTTGGCAAAAGGTCACAAAAGGGCAAATTTCTGCACAATTCTAAACATTTTGCATCGATTTTCCTAAATTTTAAGATAGGAGTAAATTCAGCAAACTTCATTTCAAATGTTAAAAATACATAATATTTTCCTTGGAAATAATTAGAAATAATGAATTTCTTTTATATATTTGATATTTTCGTTAAAAAAATTTAAATCAAATTAAAGTACTTTATATGAAATAAAAAAATTCTTTATTTTTGTATAAACTTTTGAGAAGTCACAACCGATGGTTTTTTTCATCTTGGAAGTTTAAGTGAGGGTTGTTTTTTGTCAAAAAAAAAAAATAATAATAATAATTTTCCCTTCCAACAATGTTTTCCTTTCAATGTTAAATTGTAACATTTGGACAAAGAACAAAAATAAAAATAAAATAATTTTGGAAAACGCAAAGTGCCGCTTTCCTCTCCTCTTGAGCTCACAATCAGCACCTGTCCTGTTTCTGAATTATCATTAATCTTTTAGCTTAAAAAATGTAGCATTAGCAAAAAAGAATTCCATTCTCCTTTGTGCTTTAACGGGCGATAAATTAACTTTTAAGCGATTTTTACAGTCCATTCGAAGATTAAAAGTTTACTCCGCGGGCTGCAGCTCTCAAAAAATTAGTTTAGCACAAAGCTTTGAAATGATCATTTAGAAAAGTCGGGGTTATTATAAGTCGCGAGCGAGTGAGCGGCAGGCGTAGGTGACAAATGACCTGGCACCAACCCAGCACTTACTTAGCCGTGTGAAATATCGCACGGCCGCGCGCATTCAAAATTCCCGTTCTGCACGTTAATCGCGGCCATTTTTCCTCGCAATTGTGGCCGTTTTTCAGAATGTCGGCGCGATTAGTTTTCGTTTTTCCCTTGGAGGCGCAATCGGATCAAAAGTGGTGCGATTTGAGCAACGGCTCATTAAAACTGGCACTCGGCCGCGTGTCATTTCGACACAAACAAGAATTTGTAGCACACCGTCGTCGCCGCCGCCGTGCATGCACCAACGTGCCGCCGCCGCCCGACATCAAAGTGATGCATAACCCAGTCCAGCACTGCACTAAATTTCCGAAACCTACGACCTAACCAATTTACGACGGCCAAAACTTACACGTTTCTTTGGTAAAACTTTCAACCAAAGTAACAAATGGAAACATGAACTTGCTAATTAGTTCATGTAAAAAATAATGTAAGATTTATTTTAAATTAGAGATCTATTTCAGCTTTCTGATTTATTATTATTGTGGTATATATATTTCTTTTCAAAAATGAATCAAAATTTAAAATTATTATCATTTAATATGTAGTAATTAACTAACAAGCTTGATTTTTTTAATATTATCAATACTGTAATGATTTTTTTAAAGTACACAAGAGGAGGATTCACTTAAAAAAAATTATATTTTGTTTGGACCAAGCACTGAACTAGAGATTCAGAGGGTAGTCATCAATTGCCAATAATTAATAAAATCAAATATCTTCACTTTGAACTAACTTTTTTTTAATTAAATACAGATCGTTACCTTTATTAAAATTAAATGTTACTCCCAATGATGGGATTTGGCTGATTTATTTATTTAAAAAAATGGTACACTTTGATGGTGAAAAAAGTGTAAATAAAGGACAAATTAAAGAAAAACACAAATTTCAATTCAGAAAAAGTAAAAATTAGAGTTTTTATAAGCTTCATTTTGTACTGGAAAAAAATGATTTTATTATCATAAACAGTATTTTTCAACCGCTATACAGTAAAGATATGTAAAAAGTCCACCAATCATTCTAATAAAACCATCTATTAGCTATTATTATAAATATTTAATATTATTATTATTATTTGATTTCTAGTTGAGGTAACCGAGGTCATTTCATAATATTCTACTTTATTTTCTATAAACAAGGAGCCACGCAGTTGTAATTCCTGGATGCACTTATTATAATACGTTATTAGATCAGTGGGTTAATGGCATATTTGATTGAAAATGAGGCAAAGGATCGCGGGACTTTATAAATTTTTAATATCCCAATCCAAATTGAAGGAACATTTTATTTCAAAGATTCTGGTGTTTCCGATTTGTGTCAGTATATTGCCAGGAATTTTCTTTTCCAAGTTATGCTCAGATTTCTGGTATGAACATTTTTTTTTATCTTTGAGCTTTTTTTATTAAAAACAAATTCATTAATTTTTATGTTACATTCTTATATTCTGGAACCTAACTTATACAAAAATTATAATATTATATTATATGGCCACTTTTTTACTGTTTCGGCAGTGTTGGACTGAATCTAATTTAGTGTCTTTGCCGCGTCACTTGCATTCTTCAATTTTTTGCAACCATAATAATGGCTCCGAAAATAATCCAAGTAATGCGCCCCATTATCCCAAATATAAATTACCGTTCATTAATCTAATGTACGTCGCCAAAAGCGGGAGCTATAAATTCAGCGTTTAGCTGGACGTGCGGGATTATTTACGAGTTTGAAAGCCACTTGAGCGTGAGCTGGTTTTATGTAAAGACTCTCGCTCTTCGCAGTGAGCGCGCCTGCAAAAAGTGAAAGTAGGCAGTCCGCCCAACCGGCATTCAAACGCCTCCAGATTTCCAGAGAGTTCCTGGAAAGAACATTTTTGTAAATATTAAATTTTTAAGCAAAAGAATCCAGAATTTTAAATACTTATTATTGATTTTATTTAAATAAAAAATATAATTTACTTTCTGGAAGAAAAAAATTAAAGATTTTATTATTTTTACTTCGACTCTTACTTCTAACTTAGTATTTTAATTTTGTTTTTTAAAGAAAAATAATAATTAAAAAAGTTTAAAGTTGTGATTAATTTTTGATTCAACTTTTAAAATTTGGTGCTCGTTTGGACTCCAAATTAAAATGTTTTCTAGATGCAATTATAAAAAATATTTTGGAATATTTTCCTGCTTCTTGCTCATCCATTCATTATTTTTATGGCGGCAGAGAAAGATAAACAAAAGACAGACCAGACCACACGCACCAACTTTCACTGGTGTTTACTTGTGCGTCTCCAGTGAAAAATGGTTTCTGGCGACATCACTTGCTTGTCAGCGCTCTTTCCGAAGAATGCAAAGAGGCATAATTTGCATTGATTTCGGTGTCGCCGTTTTGAAGAGGCGTCAGCAGCGCTAAATTCGGCACAATGCGTGACGCGAAAGACGCGTTTTCTGGCAGGCTCTTGGCTGCCTTGGACGGCCACCGGCCAAAGATGAGATAAACCACATTAAAAGCAATTGACGGCTAATTGAACTCGCGGCAATTACACGGTAGGGTTGGTTGAGAAATTCAAGAGGGAATTCAAAAAGTTGGGAGAGGAAGAGAAACGACGCATTTGGGCTGCAGGCCGCCGTCCAACCGACAAGTGTTGATGCAATGCTCTCGAAATTCTTTCTTTGAATCAAGTTGCTTCACTTGCATCAACAGGAGTTCATTGACAGCATTATTCAGCAGCTTTAATTTTTGCACTTTGTATAAAGTAAACTGAACTATTTACTTAAATTTTGGGCCCAAGAAACTATTTTATATAAAATCTACAATTACGTATTTTAGTATTATTTTAACTTAAGTTTCTTCACGAGCTGTGCATTTTAAATTCATGGTTTTTCGAAATGTGTTTTTATTAATTATGCGTTTTTACTCCAATATTTGCGCAAGTTATTTTAGTTTAGGTTTAGAGATTGCCTCCATATCAACTAAATTTGGGACTGCATGTATAAATAACAATAATCATAAAAAAGGAAGGATAAATTTTTATAATAAATAAAGATGCTTTATAAATCATTTTTTTTTAAATTTTACTAATCAATTTAATTTATTTTCTTTCATAAAAAATGAAATCGAAATTATTAACAATTGATTAGAGAAAATATGTCAACAAGATAATGTATAATTTAGGTTCATTTCAATTTTTACTTTTTCGGAACAATTAGATTTTAATCAAATTTGTCTTTGCTTATTTCAGATGGCTGGCCAAGCGGCGAATAGTCGGGGGCGTGGGCTTTGTGCCGCACAGCGTGCTGAGGCGCGGCGACGGCGAGCCCGAGGTCGATTGCGATGACCCCCTGGCCATGCGGAAGTAACGCTTTTTCAAGTTTACACATGTTCTGTCTTGGAATAACAGTTGATTTTCAGTGCCATCATCAAAGAGCTGATTGATACTGAGCAGGAACTGGGCCGTGATCTCAACTACGTGGTGGACAATTACATCAAGCCTGTCGACCTGGGCACCGACGTGCCCCAGTGCGTCAAGGAGAATAGAGACGTCATCTTTTCAAATTATAAGAAAATCGCAGAATTCCACAACACGTAAGAACTGATCATTTTGTAATTTAATTTTTAACTAGATTCAATTTTTTATGCATTGAATTCAATTCAATCAATTTTGAAGGAACAATGCAAATATTGTTTTTAAAATTAATGTAAATCAGGATAAAATTGTCATATCTTCTTTAACTTTTTTCTCTTTATTACATCATTGAAATATGGATTTATTTCACTTTATTTAAATTTCCACCAAAATTTTATCTTTCATTGCCTTGTTCTTAATTGATACTATAATACAAAATAATGTAACTTTTGTTTTGAACTTTCAGAGTTTTTTACGAAGGAATTAAGTACTACGCCAATGAGCCCAAAATGATTGGAAAGGCTATTTGCAGACTGGTAAGTAAATTTAATTTAGAATAATAAAAATAACATAATGTCTAAAATTCGATCTTATTAACTATAATTTAATTCAAATTTAATCTTATTCGAACAAATCTTGAAATATAAATTAAATTCAAGTAAATAAAAAATTTTATAATATTTTAGGAGCGTGACTTTGACCTACACGTAGATTACTGCCGAGATGAACCAGCGGCGCAAGAGTTCATCGAGGAAAACGAAGAGGCCAAGGAGTACTTCGCAGTGAGTAATTAAACCTTTTGCCAATTATTGCGAAAATTAAATTTGGCGGCGCTGGTGTAGAGCCTCGTAGGTGTCCAGTGAGCCGCCGTGGGGCGCGGATTAACACTTTTCGTTCAGCACGCGAATGTGCAGCACTGGAAATAGCATCGCGCGTATTTTTGTGAATCACCGACTTGCTGTTCATAATCGCGAAATAGAAAAGAGCAGCTCGCTGACTCAACTAACGGTAACGCTAATGGAGAACAAACATGAAGATTGGCGTGGGAGTCGCGCGACAAATAGTTTTGCGGTTTCGGAGCTAGGCCTTGAAAGTGGCAAACCGCAGAGACAGAAATAATCAAGTGTTTCCAGTCCGTCTGAAAATTGTTTATTTTGAGAGGTGCTTTCTGTTGACATTATGGAACTTTGAAGATTTGCTGCTTGAATCAATCGAATTGATGCCAATTTTATTATCAACACTCTGTGTAGATAGAGATTTCATATTTGAAGAATCAAGTTTTCCAACAAAAACATTGATTTTTTTAGAGTAAATAAATATAAAATATTTAACGCACCATTTAATTTGAATAAATTGAACATTTATAAATAGGGATTTCGTTTTTTATCAATTTTGATTTGAGCAGTAACGTACAAGGCGACTTTTTTTTCTAATTTCAAGAATAAAAAAAGCAACAAGCAATATTGTCTTGTTAAAAAGGTGGCACTGAATAAGAGAATCCTGATAAATGATGAGCAAGAATCTTTCTGGCTGAGAAAATTGGTTTCATTTTTTTTTTTTAGAGAAAAGAAAACCTCTTTCGGTAAAGAAAAAAAAATAGAATTTATTTGTTGTGATGCATTTTTTTAATTTTTTAAATATAAAAAATTAAAAAATCTGTAAAAACATGTTTTTAGATAAACGTCACACAAAATAAAATTTTTTTAACTTAGAATATTATCATGAGAGTACACTTAAAACAAAAATGGAAAGAATTTGTTCTAAAAGAGCATTTTAATAGAGTTTTTGTTTGCTGAGTCTTAAACTCACAAATAAATAGCAGCCAAGCTGAGCTTGTTGTCAATTTGAGCCCAATGAACAAAGCCAACTTTAAAAACTGCCAAACTCTGAATGTCAGGCAGAACTGAGTGCCAAAGAGTGATCAACTATCTAAATAAAATCAAGCAAGAATAATTCTTTAAAATTATGCATTTAATATTTTATTAACCGGATCAACTTTTAATTTTTAATAGATAATTACTGATTTTCAAATTTCTATTTAAATTAAATGAGTTGGCGGAAAATAGAGGCGTGAAAAGAAACGTGGCTGAAGGTTCTAGGATTTCTCTGCGCTGCGCCTCCTCTCTTTCTCTTTCACGCACTAACTCGCGAGTGAAAGAGAGACGGCGGGCAGATAGCACGAGAGAGCGAAGTTTCGAAAATAGATTTCGTTGCTAATACGGGCGAGGGGTCGCGCTAACCGAAGGACCACATTTCTAAACTTCTTCTTCGCATCCGCTGCACCTCCAGAGTCTTTCTTCTGTCGCGACTCGGCGCAAGTGCTGATAAGAATCATGTGCGCCGCGACCCTCCACCCCCGCAGCTAGGCCGCCAACACCATTTCTCGTCTCTAGCCAGTCAGTGAGTACTTCATCGTGAGAATTGCACCAGATGAAACGAGTTAATTTTTTTTCTACGTTCCACCGGATTTTTCACGTGCCTCGTCTGCGCTCCACTGCGGGAGGTTGACGAGCAGCTGAATGCGTTTTTCGACTTTGCCTTTTTTTCTTTTCAAATGTCTCGCAGGAGGTGCTTTGGTACTTTGATATGCGTGCAGTAAAAATAGATTCCTCCCCCGGGGGGTTTTCGGCTTCCAGTGCCGAGGATTACGGAGGCGGTTAGTCGCTTTTTGGCTGTGTTAGAATCTGGAGTGACAAAATGTACTGCCTCTTCCAGCAACTGGGCTGAGAGTCGAGATAATCGAGATCTATTTTTCACTTTTTATTTGAATAATTCACAAGTTTTCTGAACTGAAATTGTGCAAAATCATGTTTGTTTACAGAAGTTAATTAAAATGTTGATTTTTAAAAAGGGATTTCCGTAAATTTTAATTCAAGGATAATGAGGAAATAATAGCAGAAAAGTTAAAAAGAAAACACGGGAATCCCAAATTTCTATTTTGATTTTAAAAGGGATGTTATACTTACAAAAGTTTTTTTTTTGGTGTTTCTCATTGTTCCCACAGTGACGTTTTATTTCAGATCTCCGTGTCAAACGAAATTCAGTTTTTTGTTTTAATTTTCTTTTCTTTTGAAAAATGTAGATTTTACATAACAATAGGTTTTATTTGTTTGTTATCACTATTAAAACAATTTAAACGGTTTCAATTGAATTAATTAAACCATTTTGAGGCCGGAAAACTGTGATAATTATTTAAAAGGTGCTAAGCCAGCTTAAATGCTTTTGATAATTTGTTAAAGTTAATTATTTCAAGGAGAAGAAATTGCAAATATTCTTAAATTAAGTTTACTTAAATTTGCAATTTAATATACTTTATGTTGGAAAAATTCGGAGAGCTTATTATTTATAGAGGGAACAAGAACGATTTTTTTTTCAAGAAAATGTAAGTTTATTAATTTTATTTATTTACGGTCCCATAACATTTTGATTAAGTGTCTACTAAAAATTTATCTTCCTCGCGTGAGCAATATCATTTAACTTGGGTCTAATGAAACCCGACTCATTTAATCCAACATCAAAAACACCGGCTCCCTTTTGATGGCAAAAAAGAGGCTAGCCGACCAACAATAATTTATAATGAACTGATTTTTGATAAAAGGGGAAAATACGGTGCGAAAGCGTGCCAAAGGCGGCTGTCGTTGTGGATGCCAAAGTGGAGCGACTTACATAACGTCTTGCTAGCCGCTGAGCTTGCTTGTTTTTCAACACGATTATGTAAAAGACTAGACACTGCTGCATCTTGCAGTTTCAACACGCAGAAACAGTTTAGATTCAAAGATGTTTCTTCGCAACATGGAATTCCGCTGACGCACATTATGTATTTTAGTGAATTATAAACAATTTAAATTGTTCCGAAATCTTTTATTTAGTGTTTACTTGAAAGCTAAAAACGTTATTAACGTTAATTTTAAATATTTCAAAACAAAAGTACACTTCCGCGGTTGTTAATTAAAAAATATGAAACATATACCAGAAAATTTAATATTTTATTAATTTTATGGAACGTTTATTGTTTGATCAACAATTAAATCTGTGCAAAATCCTCAAGTCTTGCAAAGGCAGGGGCCAAATAAACTTTCAAACGTAACTCATAATTGTGGATAATTTTACATAGTATATAATATCTCTCAAAACTTCATTATTTAAAAAAAAGAATTAGATTTTCAATATTTGTCTATAGGGAATGTATTTCTAATTAAATTTATTTTTTATTTATAGTAAAATTTTTTTAATTGAACTTTGTCTATTTTATACATTCTAAAACTGATGTTATTTCATAAATTTTACTTAAAAAATTTTTGAAAAAAGAAAAGTCACCTCCCCTGTAATTGTGAGCCATAAAAGATCCGCGATTAAGGGAGTGCGAGAGACTTGAAATGTGCATAAGTAACAACCAATGACATATTATAAATTTAATTCAAAGGCAATTAACCTTTGTAAAAAAGTTTCAATAAAAAAATATTACTTGCATTTTTCTCTTTGATTTCAGGACCACGCAAATCAGCTAGGGGACGACAAAACTATATCCGAGCACCTGAAACTTCCCATTCAACGCATCCACGACTACCAACTTTTACTTAAGGTGATTTCACAATTTTTTGAGTGCTGTTGTGTGTTGGCGAAACAATTTTAGCTCGGACGGTCCCGCGTCCAACACGAGAATTAATTTGAGAAAATTTAATTTCGCACGGAATTTCGCAAGGGAGGAGTTCACTTTAATGTCATTCCGCCTCGACTTTTTTGACCTCGGTCTAATTAAAAAAGCCGCTGGTGTCAGTTTTAATTTGTCCAGCCGGCATTTCGCACCCTTCGTAGGAGTGTATTGACGGCACTTATTTATAGCGGCGCCGACTGGAGGGCGTCCAATCGCAATTTCTTAATATTTAGCAGGGGCTATTTTTGAGATGCACGTTAAAAGCCCCCGCGAGATAAATTTTCACTTTCGTCCGAGTTGCGAAACTTGCGGGTTTCACTCACAAAATCCGTGTTGCGTTTCAGGAACTTATCAAGTACACAGCGCTTATCAAAGAAGGGACTAAAGATCTCGAGCGGGCTGTTGATTTTATGTATGGTATCCCCACGAAGGCCAACGATTTAAAGTTCATCAATAGCATTGAAGGATACAAGGGGAGCATCCATAAACTAGGCCGTCTTCTCGCTCACGTAAGTACTAATAATTTTTACACTAAAAAGTTCTAATAATTTACATAAAAGTGAATAAGCTCAAATTTTAAGTTATTTTAATTAAAATAAGTCCACTAATTCATCAGAAGTATAATTGTATATAATTTTTTAATTTTAAATTTTAAAAAAAGTAAATATAGAAATTTTACTTAACATTTTTTCCCTAAATAATAAAAGCTTTGCTCAATAAGGAGCAAATTTAAGTTAACAATATCTGTAATCCTCATTTAATTTTGCCCTGCAGGAGTGGTTCACCGTAACCGACGCGAAAAAGTGCTCCAAGGAGAGATATCTTTTCCTCTTCAAATCCCGAATACTTGTTTGCAAAGTTAAGCGGATCTCCGACGATAGGTCAATTTTCATCCTTAAGGACATTATCAAGGTAAAGTGCATTTTTCGAATTTTTGGCACTCGTTTTTGTGGGTTGGGGTCACGAGTCTCAATATTGGTGGTACTGGACCACGTCCTACATTTTTATCAGGCCAGCTGCATAAAGAAATGATGCACTGGACGTGTCTATATTTATTTGGCCCATTTAAATTTGGTCATTTTTTTCTTCTTAATTTTCATACTAGAAAGTTAACATTAAAATTCAATTCTCTGTCGATCGTTTTATTTTACATGTTGATTAATTAAATTAATTACTTTTTAATCCAATTGATGACCTTGAAAAATATTTTAAAGTGGGATAGACAAATTTTTTTCTGCCTTCGGAACCCGCCAGGCGAAAATTCAAACAAAATAGAAAGACCTCAATCATCGGATTCTTTGCGTCTCGCCAAAATACGCTCACGGGGGGACTATTATTCCCTTTGATTTCTTTTGTATATCGGAGCCGATCATTGCATTAGAGGAGACGGAACACTGCTGAGAGTATTTTCAGCCGCCTGGGTTCAGAATGCGGAGGGGGTGTTTGGCTTCTCGCCAGCCGAACCACTAACTTCTTTCTAAACAACACGAAGGAGCCTTCCAGCATCGACGTCGAGAGTGATGTAAATTTCACTTCTTGCAGCTTCCTGACTGCGAAGTCGTAGACGACGAGGAGGACCCTCTGACCTTCCAGTTGATCCACAAGAACGCCTTCACACATCCGAGGTACCCGCTCACGCTCAAGGCGCACGGACCGCAATCGAAACCAGAGTGGATCGAGTGTATCAAGGCCTTTAAGGAGGACTCTGGTATAAAACCCATAATTTTATTATTAAAAAAAAAAATTATTACTTAATTTTTATTTGCAGTTGCACTCAACGAGCACTTCGTCGACGACCTCAAGGTTGACGGTCTTGCCGACGGCGAGACAGCAGAAGAAGAAAGCTCCACCCAGAAGCTCTACAAAAAGATCCTAGCGGAGCAAGAGCGAGAAAAGAAAAAGAGAGAAGCGCAGGCGGCTTTCGACGAAGCCACCAAGCCGAAGCCCAAACCGCGAGCAAAATCGAAAACCCCGCAGCCCGAAGAAAAGCCCGCAGAAGAAGCAGCACCACCTGCCGAAGCACAACCACCTGTCGAAGGTCAACCGCCTGTCGAGGGAGGTCTTGTTCCCGAACTACCGACCGACTTCCGAGTGCCGACACCTGACGAAGCAGCCAACATGTCTGAAACCGTCACAGTCACTTACCCCCCACCCCGTAAGAAATCCTATAAAATGAAGAAGAAAATTTAAACAAAAAATTTTTCAGCATCTCAGGTGCCCGTCGCGGGCGTCGGAGCTGGAGGCGACGAGAAGCCTGACCTTAGTCTTAACGTTAACTTGTCCATCAATGAATCGAACCCTTCGACGCCAAGCTCGGCGCCCCAGACGCCCATCAGAGAGCCCACGAGGCCTCGTTTTACCAAAACTATCGAGCCATTCTCTTGCGAGCGTAAGTTTTTAAATACATATTTATTTTTTTCGCATACTTTTAAATTAAACTGCAAATAATGGCTAAAATTTTTGAAGGTAAAAATAAATTAAAAAGTACATATTTAATTTTAAATGTTAATTGAACCTAAAAAATTAAAACACCATAATATTTATAACGTCAATTAAAATATTAATATTCCAAAATTAAAATGAAAAAGGTACAATTATATTAAAATAAATATATTTTAATAAGACATTAATATTTATTATTTATATTGCTTATTTTTTTATTAAATTAAATAAAATGTAAGGAAATGCATAAACTGGATCTCTTTAAGACATTTATTAATATTAATTGGGTAAATCAAACTCTTAATAGCTATATCATCATTTTATTTATAAAATGTTAATTTTAATACTTCTTAAATAATTTTAATTCTAATATTTAATTGTGATTTTTTTAATTATAGCCGGTGAGACAACCAGGTTTGAATGCACAGTCATGCCCAGCCAATACCCCGTGTTTATCACGTGGCTCAAGGACAACAAGCCTATGGACGATGAACTGGCTGATCGTGTGACCAAGACTGTTGAGCAAAACAACACCAAGTTTGTCCTGACCATGCTCAACTGCCGCACAACCGACACTGGCACCTACACCGCCAAGGCCTCCAACAGCGAGAGCTCAGCCAGCTGCTCTGCATACCTCTTGGTGCAAGAGAGTGAGCGAATTAAAAATTAAATTGAATCAAATTTTAATTTATCAAAAACTTCAGTGACACAAGAGGAGAAGGACAAGCGTGCCGAGGAGAAGGGCGCTCAGATCCTGGTCAGATTCAAGGACACCGAAGTGCTAGAAGAGACCTATCTTAGGTTCTTGATCAAGTCCAAAGGCGACCCTCAGCCAGCTATCAATTTGTGAGTGATTTTAATCAATAATATGAAAGGAGTTTTAATTACAAAATTGTTCAGCTACAAAGATGACATTCTCATTACTCCTGACAACCAGCGCGTCAAGATTGTTGATGAAAGAGCCGACACCGGCTATTATGAGCTTGTTGTGCCCATGGTGGGACCAGGCGATGCTGGCAAATACTCTTGCTCCGTGATGAACAAATACGGTGAAGACAAGTGCGAGGCCAACGTGAAGGTTGTCGGTAAGATTTGGTTGATAAATAAAAAGTAAGAGGATTTTGAATAAAAATTATATTTTCTTAGCCGACAAGGATGTCTTCAAAGGACTTGCTCAAGGTCCACCAGGAGAAAGTGCCGAGTTCAAGTGGCTGCGTGATGGTCAGCCATTTGATCCCCAAGAGAGATTCAAGGTTCAATTCAGGGTAAGAAATAACAAATTATAAAAACGTATATTTATTCATTTTTTTCTTCAAATCAGGACGACGAGGACTCTTTGGCCCTCCTCTTCCAGCACGTCAAGCCAGAGGACGCTGGTCTTTACACTTGCGTCGCTTCAACTTCCTCTGGAAGAATTTCCTGCAGTGCTGAACTCACTGTTGAGGGATCCATCAAACAGCTGCACAGAGAGCCGGAAAAGCCGATTATCACCACCGAGAACAAGATTGCCCACGCCAACTTGGGAAGCTCGGCTATGCTTGAGCTCAAAGTATCTGGATTCCCGAAACCACAAATTACATGGTTGGTTGAGTTAAATCACAATGATTTATTTTTACTAAAAATAAATTCCCTTCAGGACCCACGAAGGCCAAAACATCGACCACGGTGGCCGATTCAGGTTCCTGCATGAGGATGACGAAACTCTGGCCTTGGTCATCAAGCACGTCGAAGCTTCCGATGGCGGCATGTACAAACTTGTGGCCAAGAACGAATTGGGAGAGTCCCAAGTGGACATTGAGCTGTCTGTGAAAGCACCACCTAAGTTCAAGTGTAAAATGGAGGATCGCAAGGCCCTCAGCGACGAAACTTTGGTCATGGAGGTTGATATTGAGGCCTGCCCAACACCAGACGTCAAATGGTATATTTTTATATAAATTTCGATCCTTTTCCAACAAAAAGCTAACACAAACATCTAACAGGTTCAGAGACGGAAAGGAACTTTTTGCCTCTGAGAGAATCAGCTTCTCCAAGGAAGGCTCAAAGCACACGATGACAATCCTGAAGGCCACCATGCAGGACTCTGGCACTTACTCAGTGGTCGCCACCAACGAGGTGTCCCAGGCCACCGAGTACTGGAATTTGCTCGTCAGCCAGCCGCCTAAGTTCATCAAGGGCCTGGTCAAGAACATGGAGTGCAAGGAACAGGAGAATGTCAGCCTAGAGGTCAAGATCCAGTGCCAGCCAGCACCACAGGTCAAGTGGTACATCTGCAAACCTTCCCAGTCTTCTCAGGTGAAGGAGTACAAGTGAGTTTTTTTAATCAAAATCTTTACTTGCTCAATTTATGAATATAAATCAAAATCAAGGATGGAGGAGAACAAGGAGGAGGTCAAGATCGATGGAAAACACATTGTCCTGAGCCAGGAAGGCGAAACCTACAGCCTGAAGATCATCGGAATGGCACGTGCCGATTCCGGCTTCTACCGCTGCGTTGCTTCCAACGATTTTGGCCAAAGCACCCAGGATTGTGAAATCAACGTCAGGGTTGCACCCCAGATTACGCAGAAATTGGCTGACTCAAATATCACAGAGGGTGACACTAACGTGGTGCTCAGCATTGCAGCCAATGCTCACCCCGAGCCCAAAGTCACTTGGTAAATTTCTCCAAAAATATTTGCTGAACTTTGCTAAAATAACATAAAAATTTAGGTTCATCAATGATTCTGAAATCACTGAGAGCCGCACTGCTTTCGTCCAGTCCGCCAGCTTTGGAGTCTGGAGGCTCACTTTGAAGGAAGTGTCCACTGACATGACTGGAAAGTACACGTGCAAAATCAGCAACGAGTTGGGCGCCACTGAATGCTCAGCTAACTACACTGTCCTAAGTAAGCCAAAGTTCACCAAGCCTTTGGCCGAGACATCAGAAATGGATGAGGGTCAAACTCTCAACCTTAGTGTCACCGTCCAGGCCACACCTCCGCCAGCAGTCAAATGGTAACTTTTTATGAAAAAATATATATAAAATTGAAAAATTTTGTTAAATTTTTTGTGCAGGTTCAAGGATGGAAAAGAAGTGTCGGCCGATGCGCGCATTAAAATCACCAAAGAGGGATCTGAGACTTACAATCTCAGCGTAACACTGCTCAAGCTTGAGGACACTGGCAACTACGAGGTCAAGGCCACCAACGACCAGGGCACTTCGACCTCAGTGACCAGGGTTAACGTCAGCAGTAAGTATCGCGGCGCAGTGGTTGCCTGGTATATTTTGAACCGGCGCGTGGAACAAGACCCACGTTCTGGTGAATGTGCCTGTCAAAGCATTTTAACTTACACACACACACGCCACATAATATTTCATAAAATTGCATTTTGGATTTTGCAAATATAAACCATTTTAGCGAAAGTAGTCATCACAGAGATAGAAGAAACGTCGATCGTCGAGGAGGAGGAACATGAAATCACCACAGGTAAAATCATAAAAAAAAATGAAAAAGTCAAATCAGTTAGAATTTAAACGAATAAAATTCTTTAAAAATGAATTAGAAATCATTCAAGAAGACATTTCGATTGAAGAGGAGAAGCCGCAAAAGAAAGGTGCAGATCTGCAAATAGAAGAAATTTCAGAGGGAATGTTGTCCAAACCTAGCAAGGCCCAAAGGTCAATTTCAGAAGTCGCCCCTCAGCAGGCCAAATCGAAAGAGCTGCTGAGAAAGCACAGTCTGGACGTTGTATGTGGTGTTTCCACTGAAACGCAGCACGAGCAAGAAGCGCGAGTTCCAGATTCTCAAAAGGCAGTCAGGGAACTCGAAGAGGGCGAGGCCGAGGGCGAAATTGACGATTTATTGCAATGGGTGCAAAAGCAAAGAAGTGTGTTGGGTGAGATCTTGGAACACGAGGAAGCAAGGGATAAAGAGGGTAATTTGGCACCAAATTTGTGGACAGTAAATAATCTTGCTTTAAAATATTTTTTGTCTAAAATCATTTTTTTTTGCAAATTTTTATTGTTGCGAAAAACGATGAAAATTGAGACATTTTATTTGGTAGCAAATTATATAAAGAAATAAAATTGGCGATTTTTCAGTGATCATCTTTCTATACTTCTTGGTGCTATCTTTTTCTTTTGCCTATAGGTATATTTTCTTTATGATTTCCAGCTTCAGCTTTATAACTTGTACAAAATGCCTTATTGTCGCATTTTTATTTTCAGTTCATCATAAGTAAATATTGCGCATTACACATTCAAACAATTTTCACTAATCCAAGTTTGTGTGCTTGTACATAATTTTATAAAAAATTATTTCGCATTTTAATCCATGAATGCTCTTTTTTTGATGGGGAAAAAAATCCAAATTTAGAGCAAATTATTAAATTAAAATTTCCACTTTCAGCCTTCCCTAAAATTCTTTCTCACAATATGGAGGATACCAGGGTCTATGAATCTCTCAGCCACTACTTCGAAGTGCATGCCGATGGTGTTCCTAGGCCTGAGGCCAAATGGTATGAGAAATGAAAAAAATTATTAAAATATTTACAACTTTAAATTGAATTTCCAGGACCAAAGACGGAAAGACCGTCAAGGCCAGCGATCGCATTCTGATCACATCCGAAGACACGGTTTACAAACTGGAAATTCCCGTGCTTGAGATGGAGGACGCCGGCGTGTACAAGTGCACGATAAGCAACCGTTTGGGCGAAAAGTCGCAGGAGACCACTTTCGGCACCATAAGCCAAAACGAGTTCCGCAAACCGACTATCAACACTGACATCAAACCCGTTGTCATCAACAAGAAGGAGAATGGAACTCTCACACTTATGCTTGTGGCCGACCCTGTTCCCGAAATCACTTGGCGAGTTTAACACTTTAAAAATTTATTTGATTGATACTTTTGCCAAATATGATGCTAAAGATTCCCCCTCATCGTAAAACTCGATGACATGTTCCGAATCTGATATCTTTTTAAATTAAATATGAAACTTAATTTACTCGAAAATGGAAAATAATTAAAAAATTGATTAAATTAGGTACCTCAATGGAAAGGAAATTTCTCCAGATAATCTTGACTACGAGATGACCCTGGAGACCAAGGACATTGACAACAACCTGAAGGAGTGCTACTACTCCATCACTGTCCTCAATGCTCTCCACGAACACACTGGCGAGTACACCATTGCTGCCAAGAACAAGTGGGGCGAAATGAGCACTTCGGTCGGTTCTTTAATTTTAAATAAATTAGATTTTCTATAAATTCTGGTTTTGCAGGCTCGTCTGGATGTGTACCTCGTTCCGGAGATTTCCCCTCTCAAGGACGTCCTCATCAACCCCTACGACACCACGCAGTTCGAGGTGGTCATCAACTCCAACCCCAAGCCCAAGGTCACTTGGTACAGGGACGAAGAGGTGGTCGGACCGTCGGATCACACCCAGCTCATTTCGGACATCGAGGCTGAAATTTACCGCCTGGTCGTGTCCAACATCACCCTGGTCGACGCCGGTGTCTACAAAGTGGTCGCCTCCAACAGCCTTGGCGAGTCCTCTCAGCAATGCACACTCAAAGTGCACAGTAAGATTTAACGTATAAAAATGGGAAACTTTTGATTTAATTTTGAATTTTCACAGACGAAGCTCCGCAGTTCGTTAATCCTCTCGCAGTCCAAACTGTCGCTGCCTATCAAGACGTTGACTTCAGAGTTCGCTACACCGGCGTTCCAACATCCACCATTAAGTGGCAAGTTGAAATTAAAAAATTAAAATATAATAAAAATTGGTTTCTAACTAAGAAGAATTTTCGTCAAATTTAATATAAACAAATACTCTCTTATTTCTAACAGGTACTTTGAGGGCAAAGAAATCCTTACTGAGGGTAGATACACCATCGAGGTTGATGACGAACACATGGTCTCTAGTCTTAAGATAGAAAAACTTGAAGAATCTGACATCGGCGTGGTAAGTTGGACAAAACTATGAAAATAAAATGAATATCCTAACGCGAGGACGGTATGCAATTTCAGTACAGCGTAACTGCATCCAACTTGGCTGGCCAAGCCGAATGCAGTGCCATGCTGCAAATGGCGCAAACACCACCCTCGTTCATCAACTACATGGACAAGTACCACGAAATCGACGAGGGAGACGATCTGTCCATAAAGATGAAGGTCGACGGCAGCCCCATTCCCACCGTCAAATGGTTCAAGGACATGGAGCCGATTTCTGGCGAGGGTCGCATCAAACTCTCAACTTTGCCTGACGGAACGATCGAGCTGACAATTTCAAAGGTCAAACCGGCCGACTGCGGCGCCTACAAAATCGTGGCCACCAACAAGCACGGAGAGCGATCGGTGCTCACAGCTGTTGCTGTCACTCGTGAGAATTGAAATTTTTATAAAAAAAATTGGGATTTTAAATGAAAATTTTTTAGCCATTGCTAGAAAACCCACTTTCGTGCAGCCTCTGGCTGACGTTGTTGGAAAAGCCGACGGTTTGGTCAAACTTGAAGCCCAAGTCATGGCTTTCCCATCGCCCGAAGTGCATTGGTAAGTTGGAAAAAAAAATTCAAGCAAAAAAAATTATTCTTACCGTTATTTAGGTTCAAGGACGGCCATCCTCTTCGCCCGCACCACAACATCAATTTCGTCAACTCGCCTGGAGGCATTATTGGTCTGCACTTTGACAAGGCCACACCCCACGACGCAGGAAAATACAGCTGCACCATCACCAACAGGCTTGGAGAAATTGCTGCCACGGCCGTCGTCGAGATTGAAGGCAAGTCCTGCAATCAAAAATTGAAAAGGAATTTGTTTACAATGATTAGAAAAATGCCAAACTATTGGAAATAAACAATGTCAAAAAATACAGTGGGAAAATGATTGAAAATCTCATTTTTTCTATTTATTTATTATTAATAAAAAAAATAACATTTTAATTGCATAATTTCAGCTGCTGCTCGTAAGCCCCACTTCCAGGACGCTCTGCAGCCCACAAGAGTGGTGGAGGGATATCCTGCTAAACTCGAGGTCAAGATTTACGGACACCCAAAGCCTGTTCTCACTTGGTAGTATAAAAAACTAATAAAATTTATTGAATTTTTAAAATATAATAATTAGGACCCACCGTGGAGAGGACATTGTTGTGGATGGAAAGCGCTACAAGGAGGTGACCTCGGCTGACGGCATCACCTCCCTGATCATTGACAAGGTCAAGCCGGAGGACGCCGGCGAGTACGCGTGCACCGCCAATAACGACCTCGGCTTTGAAACGTGCAAGAGCCGCCTGGAGGTCACCGCCAAAGAAAAGGAAAATATGCCCGAGGAGGTGCCAGTTTTCATCCACCCGCTCAGAGACGCCAACAGCGAGGAGGGTGGCTACCTGACCCTGGATGTGCCCTTCCTCGGCAACCCCATTCCAGAGGTCGTCTGGACCAAGAACGGCAAACCTCTGGAACCTTGCGACAAGGTCACCATTACCTGCGACGGAAGGAGGGTTGGACTGGATGTGAGGCCGACAAACCTCGGCGATATGGGAAAGTACGAGTGCACTTTGACCAACCGTCTAGGCAAGGCCTCTACTGCTTGCAACGTGACTGTCCGCAAGGTCTTCCAGCCTCCAAAGTTCACTCAGACTTTTGGAGACTTGCAACAGGTAAATATATACCTTAAAAATGACACGTTATGCAACCTGCTCAAAATATATGCTTAGCAGGTTGCCTACATTCACATTTGTATATGTGAAACTGAGCTGAATAATTATTTTCTAATTTGACGAGGAATCTAAATCTTAAACGAAACTATTTTACGCAGGCAAAATCTCTTACATTTAATTTAATTCTCTACTTTGAAATTTTAGTTGCCTAACTACGACGCCAAATTCCTTGCGCGCATCAACGGCCTGCCGACGCCAGATGTCGTTTGGTCCAAGGAGGGCAAGGTGTTGCCAGGACGCGACACCGACAAGTACCAGGTCAAGAGGGACGGCGACGCCACCCTCTTGTACATTCGCAACTGCACCGTTGAAGACAATGGAAAGTACACTTGCACTGCCAAGAACTCTGCTGGCGAAAACTCTTGCACCGCTGGTTTGGAGATTGTGGAAAAGATGTAAGTAATTAACACATACACAAAATCTCAAAATTCTGCTTTGATAAATTTAAATATTTAAAAAAAGAATATACTTGATCAAATAATAAATTTAAAAAAAAAATGTTTTTTTTTTCAGTGGCAAGAGACACAAGGCAGAGCCTCCAGTTTTCTTGAAGAAACTGGGCGACTGCGTCGTGTACCAGGGAATGACCGCCAGGTTCACCGCCTGCGTCACCGGTTTCCCGGAGCCAGAGTTGGAATGGTATCGCGACACCACCCGCCTGTTCAACAGCGAGCGCATCAAGTTCGAGAAGGAAACTTCCGGACTTGTGCGACTTATTATTGAAAAGGTAAAAAGAGCACTTAAAAAAATAATCACAACAATTATCTTCATAATTTGGTATGATTACTTTCTTCACGTAATGAATCAAATCTTGAATATAAACAAGTTTTGAAATGACCAATTCTAAATTAATATTTTTGCAATTTTTATTTAATTATTGAAAATTTAATCCGCACTTCTCTCAGGTTGGGGAGGCTGACGTTGCTGTTTACAGACTGCGCGCCACTAACGAACACGGACAGGCAGATTGCGAAGCAAATCTTGTCTACGATGGTAATTTTATAATTCATTTTAAATTGATCAGATGCTATAATTTAAATCTCAGCCCTCGAGGAGCATCCCAACAAGAAGACCATGAGCGATCAGTACTCCGAGTACGACAACATTCGCAAGTCTGGCGCTCCAATGCCTTTGGCCGACCGTCCCATTGTCAGCCGCATGACCGACCGCAACCTCACTCTGTCCTGGAAGCCTTCCATCCCCAAGGGACCACGCGAGCCAGTCACTTACCGGGTTGAAATGTGCGAACTGCCTGGAGGCGACTGGTTCGACATTCGCTCTGGTAATTTAAAGATAATAATAATTATTATAAATAAAAATTCATGAAATGATTATAAAACTGCCAAACTATTGGAAAAATCCATGTCATAAACAACATCGGGAAAATGATAAAAGCATTTAGTATGCTTAAATTTTGATTAAATTATGCAGATGAGCATAAGAACTTAAAATTTTAATTGCAGGAATTAAGAGCTGTGCCTGCGACATCCGCAACCTGGAGCCCTACCGCGACTACAAGTTCCGCGTCCGCGTAGAGAACAGGTATGGAATCAGCGATCCATCTCCATACGCCATCACTTACAGGGAGAAATTGGAGCCCGACCCTCCGAAGTTCATCCCCTACTTGGAGCCAAACCTCGATTTCCGTCCAGAGACGTCTCCCTTCTTCCCACGCGACTTTGACATTGAAAAGCCGCAAATCGATGGATTCGCCAAACCACCAAAGTAAGATCTTAATTATTTCCCAATTTCATTATATTAAAAAAAAAATAATAACAAAGGTTCCTGCGCCAAGAGGACTACAACAATCAATACGGTGTCAAAGGTCACAACTGCCAGCTGCAGTGGTTCGTCTATGGCTATCCTAAGCCAAGGATGTCCTTCACCTTCAACGACGAGCCTATTGAAATGGGAGGCCGTTTTGATTGCAGCTACACTCGCAACGGCCAAGTGTGCCTCTTCATCAATAAGTAAGTTTTTAAAAATTTTGACAAAATTAAGTTAAAAAAAATTTGATTTTTCAGGATGATGGACCGCGACTGCGGAATTTATGAGGCTTGTGCCGTCAATGAGCACGGCGAGTCCAGGCAGAGAGTCAACCTGGCCGTGGCCGAGTATCCCAGGTTCCTGAAACGACCTGAGGAGACCCTGATTCTGGCCAGGAAATCCGCTCGCATTGAGGTTCGCGTGTCTGGCACGCCGTTCCCTGAAGTCAAGTGGTACAAGGACTGGCTGCCAATTGCTGAGTCATCTCGCATCAAGGTTGGAAAATTAAATATCAAACTTTACAATTCTAGCCCCTTAAGATAAGTAAAATCATAAAAAATATTGGCGGGGATTTAATCAGTTGTAAATTTGGCTAAAAATAAGCCCTTCGATTAAAGAGAGAGACAAAATTTTCCTTCGAAATACACATTCTAAAAAATTATTATTTACTTGTAATAAAAAGTTTAATAGAAATATTTATGTTGTAATAAAATGTAATTTTCATTACAAAAATTAATTTTGTTTACAAGGTTTACAACCATTTTTGTTTTGTTTGTTAATTAAATCGATTTTATAGATGAATTCAAGTTATTTCAGATCTAACAAGCTCAATTTTGAGTACAATTCAAATTGCAAAGTCAAAGAAAGTAAATTAAAAATTTTAATAATCATTCATAGTTAAAATATTGTGCGATTTCAATCAAAAGTCGGTTGCACCGGAAGCATAATTTTTAGATTGAGTAAAATTTCAAATTTTTATGGGAAAAAACATATTTTCTAGATTTTCTTCATTGAGCCCGACACAGCCGTTCTCCAAATCGGAGAAGCGATGGCCAAGGACGAAGGTCTGTACTCGGTCAGCGCGCGCAACATCGCTGGAAGCATTTCCACATCCTTCAGCATCCACGTGGAAGAGAGCGAGGCAAACTACTTCTACTCTACCTACACCGGCAGGATCATCAAGGAGATGAAGCCGCACAAGAACAAGTACATCGAGGAGTTCTATGACCTGGGCGAGGAGTTGGGCAGGGGCACTCAGGGCGTCGCTTACCACGCCGTCGAGCGCCTCTCGGGCCGCAACTACGCCGCCAAAGTCATGCACGGCAAGCAGGACCTCAAGCCCTTCATGCTCAACGAACTCGAGATCTACAACCAGCTGAACCACAGGAAGCTGCTGAGGCTGCACGACGTCTTTGAAACAAAGAGGTCTTTGACACTCGTCACTGAGCTGTGAGTTTAGAATTTCCTAATATAATTATTATAATTATAATAAAAATATTAAAAATTTAAAGGGCTTCTGGTGGTGAACTGCTCGAGTCTCTGACCAAACAAGAGTTTGTGACGGAGTCCGAAATCGCTGGCTACATTCGCCAGGTGCTGCTCGGTCTGGAGTACATGCACTCGCAAAACATCGCCCACTTGGGACTTACAGTGAGTTTTCTTTTATTTATTCATGTTATTTATTAGAAAATTTAATTTTAATAAATGTTTGAATTTCAAAATTATATCATATTTTACAAGCTTTTTCAAAGCAATAAATAATTAAAATTCAACTTTACATTTTATGCCAATACAGATTAATTGAAGATCATGATTTTTGTTACTGTAAACATAAAATCACGTGTGTTTCACATATAATTATGTAACATTAACTCGGATAAGTCTTGATATTAGTAAAAATTTAGAATAGGAAAGAAAAATTTCCGTTAAAAGTTCATTATAAAAACCATTCAAGAAAACTCTGCAAGAAATAACACAAAAATAAGTTGAGATTTGCTTTAATTTTTTTTAATTAATTTTAATAATTTATTGACTGCGTTTAATATTTTAAATTTCAATTTTCAGCCTGGAGATCTGTTGATTTCCCACCCCGGCGGCGACGACCTGAAAATTTGCGACTTTGGTCTGTCGCGCAAGATCTACTTCTCGAAGCTCGCCTCCCTGCACTACGGCATGCCCGAGTTTGTGGCCCCCGAGGTGGCCAACGGCGACGGCGTGCACATGGCCGTCGACATGTGGTCCGTGGGCGTCATCACCCACCTACTGCTGACCGGCGTGTCGCTGTTCCGGGGCAAGCACGACCGCGACACCCTGCAGAAGGTGCGCGAGGGCAAGTGGGACGACATCCACCTGATTTCCAGGGACATCTCCGAGGACGGCCGCGACTTCATCCGGTCGCTGCTCATGTTCCAAGTGGACAACCGCATGGACGTCTTCACGGCGCTCAAGCACCCGTGGCTGGCGCGCGCCGACAAGATTCCGCAGGACGAGCCGCAGCTGAGCACCGACGCCCTCAGGCACTACTACAGAGGTCTCAGGGACTGGTACTCGAACGCCTCCTGCCGCACCTGGTATCGCCGCCGCCCTCTCGACGGCGCCGACACCCACCCCTCGTACATGATCTACCCGCCTGGACTCACCTACACGCCGCCACCCTCACCAAAGGCCACGCCCGAACGCGCCCTTTGGGAGAACAAGATCGAGCCGAGGCCAGGGGTTGATTACGAGCTCGGAATGGTCAAGTCCGAGAGCCAGTGAGTTTCACAATAAATGATAAGTTGAACAGGAAAAATTTAATGCCAAAGCACGTTAGGCATGGAATCTGTACAAAATAATAATATTTGTTTAATAGACGTTTTAAAAATTGAATTGAAAAATTTGATATTTAGTTCCTCTAAAAACATTGAGGGAGAAGCAAAAGCCTAATTTAATAAGTTGCAATTCGAATAGGGGCCTTATTTTTAATCATCAATTTTTCCTTTTCAACATAAAGAGAAAGATAAAAAATTTCTAAATTTAACAATTTATAAGTTTCTTTCCTTATTAAACTTTCATGATAAAAATCTGATAAAATCGTAACAATAAATAATTATTTTTCATATTTATGTTTTTGTTACATTTTAATAGTTCACGATCAGAAGTAGCACTAATTTTAAAACAAATTATTTTTTTCACTTTAGCTACCAATATGGTCCAGACACGTATCTGCTGCAGCTGCGTGACGTTGACTTCCCTTGCCGTCTGCGCGAGTACATGAAGGTGGCTGCCACCCGCAGCCAGGCCTTTGCCCTGAGCGACATGCGCGACTGGAGGGCTCCGGTCATCAGGGAGCGCCGTCGCTTCACTGACGTCATGGATGAGGAAATTGACGACGAGCGCAAGGTACGAAATTAAGATTTAAAAAACTTCATTTATACAAAAAAAAATTATAATTCTTGCTCAGGACCGCATTGCCAAATACGGCAGTGCCGACACCTACACCCTGCGCCGCCTGCGTCACGAACTGGGCACCCGTATGGAAGGTCAGTTTGAGGCCGAGGCCATGGTCGAGTCCAAGAGGGACGGCCAACCACCCTTCATGCGCGAGAAGCCACAGCTGCTGCCCATTTTGGAAGACAAGCCCGCCAAGCTGTCTTGCTTGGCTGTAGGAGACCCAAAGCCCATCGTCCAGTGGTTCAAGTGAATATTTTAATGATAATTCCAAAATGAGATGCTAAATTGACTCTGGCAGAAACGACAATCTTGTTTCTGAGGGCAAGCGAGTGACCATCACCGAAGACTCGCAAGGAAGATCCATCCTCAGTTTCGACCCTGCCATGCCTAGTGATGCTGGAATTTACAAAGTGGTTGCTAGGAATAGGGTAAGTTTAATTCATAAGAGTCATGTTTCTTCAGATGTCTTGCTCACTGTGTCTCCAACATCTCAACTTTAGAAATATGTTGAAATGGTTCATGTCCAATCAATGCAATTTAAATTTTAAGGTCAAGAAATTATTTACTTTTATTTTTCTAAACATAACTTATAATGTTGATTTGATGGCATCTTAATTAATTTTAATATAAAAGATTTTGAGGAAAGAATTGTTATAAAAATTATCATAAAAGAATTGAGTTTTTTTTGGAAGTTAATGAAAGCTATTCCTTAACACCTCAACGGAAAATCCCTTTACTTTTAATAAAATTGAAATTTATTTATAAATTGACATAAAAATCATTCAGCCCATTTTTAAGCTGATTTGAATAAAAATATATTAATTGATTTAGCAAATTATTAACTTTTTTTCTCCAGGTTGGACAGACCGTGGCTAGAGTTCGGGTCGTTCTTGCTGGACCACCAAGCGCACCTGATTCACCTGAGGTGGCTGAAAAGTCAGACACTGAAATCTTCCTCAAGTGGAAGCAGCCGAAGGACGACGGCAACTCAACAGTTTTGTGCTACAGCCTGCAGTACAAGGAAGCAGGTATGTAAAATTTTCCCAAGTTTTTAGCCTTTTCTATTTAATTTTTCCTTATATTTTAAAGACAAAGTAGAGTGGGTGGACTGTGCATTCAACAACATCGACCACGAGTACTTCCTGGTGCGCAACCTGGCGCCCAAGACCGAGTACCAATTCCGTTTGGCGGCCAGGAACCGCATCGGCTGGAGCGACAAGGGCGTCCCGTCGGCAATCTTCAAAACCCGCGACGTTGGCGCGCCCAAGGTCACCTCCATTTCCAAAGCCATGCTCCACCTGCAGCAGTTGACCGAGTCCGGACAGAAGGTGCAGGGTCTGGAGGAGGAGGAGGAGTTGAGCACCCCCATCCTGGACTATTCCGTCGAGAAGAGTCCACTAACGTGGCGCGACGAAAACCCCGCCGAGAAGTTCAACTTCATCTCCGAGATTTCGCGCGGCCGCTTCTCCATGGTGGCAAAGGCCATCGAGAGGGAAACGGACCGCGTCGTGGTGGCCAAGGTGCTTGGCTGGACACCCGAGACCGAGCTGGACGTGCTCAGGGAGTTCGAGGCGTGGCACTCGCTGCGCCACGAGAGAATCTGCCTTTTGCACGGCGCGTACCGAGTGGGCTCCGCGGCCACCTTCCTCCTTGAGAAGCTGCAGGGCTCCGACGTCCTCACCTACCTGGCCAGCAGACACGAGTACTCGGAACAGATGGTTGTGTACATCGTTCAGCAGGTACCATTTTCTTTATTTCAAATGTAACATTTGTTTCTTATTGAATTTTTGTTAGATCCTCGACGCTCTGCAGTACCTGCACTGGCGAGGAATTTGCCACCTGGGCATTGAACCTGACAACGTCGTCATGGCCGGAGTGCGATCGGCGCAAGTTAAGTTGGTTGATTTCGGAGCAGCGCAACGAGTCAGCAAACTGGGCACCTGCGTTCCTCGCAGCTTTGCCACAGAATTTTCATGTGAGTTGGAAACATAATAAAAAATGATGTGAACCCAAATTAAAAATAATAAATTAATAGCTTATATTAATCTCAAAAAATGATATTTTAACAATTGATGATGACGGATGATGATATTATAAAAAAAAATTGTCCTCAAAATCAGCCCAATTTTTTAATGAAAAGATATAAGATTAACTTCATACTACCATAATTAAGTTGTTCAAAAATAAAATTATATTATGAAGGCTTAATTGACCTCTGAATTTACAAAACTTTCTTTGAGCTTAGTTATCATAAATCTCAAACTTTCAGCTCCCGAAATCCTGAACAACGAGCCAGCGTACCCACAGAGTGACATCTGGTCACTTGGAACATTGACCTATTTGCTCCTGTCCGGTGTTTCTCCATACAGAGCAGCCACCGTGGAGGAGACAAAGGCAAACATCACCTACGTCAGATACAGATTCGAGCACTTGTATAAGGAGTTGACATCAGAAGCAACTCGCTTCCTCATGTTCATCTTCAAACGCACGCCATGGTAAATTTGGTAAAAATTAACAAAAAATTCAATTAATAAAAATTATTTCCCAACGCAGCAAGAGACCCACAGCAGAAGAATGCCAAGAACACAGATGGATTTTGCCCACAGACCATCTAGTCAAGAAGAGAGAAAGGGCAGTCTTCTTAGGAAATAGGCTAAAGGTGAGGAAATGATGACAATTTTAAGAGTAAAAAAATTTAAAATGCGAATTTTAGGAGTTCTGTGAGCAATATCACGGAGAGAAAGTGAGGGCGGCGGCAGCCATGGAGGAGCAGAGACCCAAGGCCATTCCTGTCGAGGTCAAACTGGCCAGGTCGATCAGCGTCCAGGAGGAGCTGCTAACACCAAACTAAATTTTGTTTAAGAGACGGGCGGTATGGGGGCAAAATAAAAAAAACCTAAACATGATACCTAAGCTGGCACTCAAGACTAAGCAAACAGATTTTTTTTAAACTAAGATTTTGGTTCAACCAGTTGGACGGATTTCACGAATTAAGAATTTTTAGACACCTCTCTCTGGTCCTGATATGTTTTTGTCTGGGGTTTGGTATGTTAAAAAAAAATTATGCTGAAGCGATCCTTAAAATGTTTGTTTTGTTCCTAATGATGTTGAAATTTTATTGTAAATAAAAAAAATCATGTTAAATGCCAAATGTGTAAATTAAAATAACCATTAAAATTTTAATCAAACAAAGTTCTAATAAATAGAACAAAATTAATAATTTTAAATAACCATGAAAAAACTTTGGCTAAGTATTTTTATACAAAATTATCATTTTATTTATTAATTTTCATGAAAGTTATAATAATACCCTATGATGAATATTATAAAAATGAGGATTTGGTCAGTGACCAGGTGCAACGTCTGCTTTTCAGAGGCCCGTCACATGCTGAGATACGCACACCTATGTAAGAAAAAAAGACACGATTCAACACCATTTTATGGACTGACGATTAGCTTTCAAGCATTATAGTGAACACCAAGCAAAAACAAGATCTTGCAGGAAGAAAAGAAACAACCATATAAAATTCAAAATTAAGAATGTTTCATTCCTGGCTAAAACATCAAGCCAAAGACAGTGACTTCTAGCAAAAAAGAGATTATGAGGGACCAAGAGAGTAAAAGGCCACTCCTCTTTGAATATCAAAACATCCACAAATAATAACGCAGATCTCCACAGTAATTTGGCAGGTGTAATGGGTTAATTAATTGGCAATTCAAAAGAAGCATTTTAATCAACGAGTTAAAATTAAAAGAAATTATATAAAAAATGATGGTACTCACTCATGATTTGCTGGGCCTGTTTGTATCGCTGCTTGTCTCCATGTCTATGTCAATATTCTCAGGAATCACTTTAGCAACTTTCCTCAACTTTTTGGTGAAATTCACCGGACACTGCATTTCAGTCCAGCTAATTGGAACCATGGGCACACCTGATATGAAAAATTTTACCAAAAATTTTCAAACTTAAAAATTTAAATTACCAGCCTCACTGTGCGAAATGACAACTCCTAATTCATTTTCAGCCGTGGACAACTGATACGTGTGCACATCCATGATTGGGAGCTAATTGAGAGTCAGGAAATATATTTTTCTACATTTACATGAAAAATGAAAGAAAGAAAACTATAGGTTTAAAATCAGTTTAAAATGAAAGGATACAACTCGAGCAAGGATGATATCCCCAGGAGCAAAGGACTCATACATTTTGACTCGATCCTTTTCCGTCGCCCGAACGTCCTCCTGCCTGAGGACAGCCCTGAACGGCCTAGACAGAGTCACGTCGCCAATGCACTTGATTTCGCACATGCACTGTCGAGACTTCACGATCAACACTCGAGCTGTGACGATGTCACCAGGCGACGGAACCATACTCTGTTCTTTCAAACTCTGCACTTGGACCACATTGACCTACAATTTTAAGAATTCATTTTGGAAAATGTCAAAATTTAATTTTCCCAACAAACCTCCAACTTTTTCTCCACTTTCACAACACCAGCCAGAGAAGCGTAAATGTAGCCCATGCGTTCATATGTGCCTTGTCCGGCAACATGGTCATTTGAGGAAGCGCACAGAACTTGGCCTGAAAAATAAAGAAAAAATATATCAGCTACAATCTTTTAAAATTTAAAATTAAATAATCATCTCTATAGTGTATTTTCGCCGGCTAAAAACCAAGCATGTGCATGACTGCATATAATTGAAACTCGGTCGTTTTGTTGTGGTAGGTTTTGGTTCATACCTGGCACGCATACAATCTTTTCGCTGGACGACATTTTTTATGTGGACTCGTTCAAACGGATTGTTTCAGACACAGGAGAGTCAAGAATTAACTTAAAAACCAATGAAAGTTCAAACACCCATGTGAGTTTCATGCACAAACAAAACAAACTGCAAAAAGTGGGCGTGACCAATTCAGCAGTTCAAATTTTCGCGCAAGGAATAAATTTCAAGTTAAATTTGTTTAAACTGCAACAATTGCAGTGCATAACTCTTACATGAATAATTGAAGTCTTAATTTTTTTTTCATTTAAAGCAATGTAAAATAGTTATGTAAAATTATATTTTTTTCAGCAAAAAATAATTTCCAATATCTAAATTTTTTGATTGGAAATGAAGAGAATAAATAAAAAGAGCATAATAAATTTTTTTATTTTTAGTAGAGTCAAATTAATTTTTTATTCTCAATACATAAGGTTATAACCGCAGAACAGATTCCATCTATTTTGCAAAAGGTGTGCTTTTATATTATTTTTTAATTGTTTGTAATTTACAGGTAGATAAGTGTGTAATGTAACGATGAAAGTACTATAAAACGAGAAAGAGAAAATACACTTTTTCACACAAATACAAATTAATTTAAAAAGAGCAAATTATATTAGCAAGAAGAGCAATACCAGAGGCTCAATTTAGAACTTAATTAAAGCTTATCACAATAGCCAATAGTTTTTTTAACGGCATATTTTATGATGCATGCTGAATCTTCGGCAATCCAAATTCATCCACTAGCACTCCATTCTGCTCCTGCAAAATCATAAATTATTACATCAGTGCAATCAATTATGCTAATTATTAAAATCAAATGAAACCAACCTGAATACTGTCAGCTCCAGGTTCTCTTGTCGGAGCATTGGGCGTTTCAACAGCATCCAAATAGCTGGTGTCTTCGTCAAGGGCGATTTCGTCTCCGAGAGCGTCCAGTTCCGCCTCCAGCTCGTCTTCGTCCACGTCTGGAGTGGCGTAGCTGCGACCAAGAGCTTCCTGGACTTCATCTGCCTGTTCCAGCATGTCTGCCATATCATCTTGCAAATCCTGCAGAAAATAAAAACATTGATTTCCTTTTTTTAGAAGTCTTGAAAAATGTCTACTTCAATTTGATCAATGTTGATTTTCTTGAACTCTTTCTGCATGGTTTTCACTCCGGTCTTCATTGCCTGCACTGTGGCTTGAGTGTCCTTCAGAGTCTGGGTGGCGTAATTTGCCTGTTCCATGTTGAAAGACTGGTTGCGCAAAGACTCGGATTGCTGCTCGTACCTGTAGTTCAAAATTTTAATTAGATAAAGATTTCATACTTTTTAAATATACATCTTGCGTTGCTTAAGAACTCGCAGGGCTTTCTGTTTGACAGCATTCTTAGCAGGCCCTTCCCGCATTTTCTTCATCTGGTCCTTGTACTTGCGCAACTCGTTGTCGAGCATACCGATTTTCTTTTCAATCGACTCGGCTCTGCTGTCGACCTGAGAAATTAAAAGAACATAATAATAATTAAGCAAACTTGTAACTCTTGCAGGAGATTGAAAAACTTAAAACTTACTCCCGAAATGCAGTCGGTGAGACTGGGTGCGGGAGTTTGGGGCTTTCCTCTGCCAAAAATTCGGTTCATTTTTCTCGGTGGGTAAAATTCTTCAGGAGATCAAATAGCAATTTATTCCCCAAAATCAGGAGCAGACCCTGACGACAAAGTGAATCACTACTTCCTCAGAAATCGTAATCTCGCAATCACGATCATAAACATCAACACCAGCTGGGTTTACACCAATTTTAACTCGCGCACCTGCCAGAGATGGCGCGGGCTGTCAACCGATCCAGTCGATGCAGAAAAAAACAGGCCGAAACAGGAATTTTTTTGATCAGAGGAGTGAGACTTTGTACGAAAAGACGACTAGCCGGTGGAGATCGTTGTAGGCTGAACGCCGATAAAATATTCAAAATCTCTCAATCTCCGAATTTCTTCAGGGTATGTGTGAGAATTATGTTGATTTTGCGACTTATTTTGATGTATTCTTTTTGTTCGCCTCTTATTGAGCTTCAAAGATTTTCTTAGGGAAGCAACCGAATGACCCTGAAAATTTGTTTTTCTAGTCTTTGCGGCAAAGAGGAAAAACAACGCCTGAATTTATTACTCCCGACCCGAGACTGTCCTGGAAAGGACAACGTTCTCTGTCTGCAAATCGAGGCTCTTTTCGAAGATTTTCAACGCGGAAACTACGTTGGCAAGGTGAGACGCAATTGCAAATTTCATGCAGAGGAAGACCAGTTTTATGTGTTTATTTTATTTTTCATTGCTGCGCAAGGTCAGTGCTTTGCCCGAAAATTGATCTAAAAATAAAATTAATGCATAAACAAGGAGCGTTAAAAAGCAAGTAGGAAGTTCCCTTACTTCAAGTAGACCTTCAATTTGAATTATTTATTTCACATCAAATTTAAACCAGCTAACCTTAAAAATTTGTACATCAACAGGGTTCACTAGAAATATGAAACATGAATTATTAAAATTAAATTGAAATGTTAATGAAATGATAATTTCAGGTTCAAAAAGTACATATATAATGATTACAAACAACTAAGAAGGTAAAAATAGATTTTTCACATAAAAAATTAATGAAAGAAAATTTGCAAAATGTTTTGAAAATTAATTATTTTTATTGTTAACCAAATTATTTGAGAACGGATGCTATAAATCAATTGATTTTCTTTATGCTCTTCAACTTTATTTTTGGACTCTTGAAGTTTCTTATCAGAAGAAGCAAATGAATTATTTTTCAAGCCAGTGTATAATTTATCTGCGCAATCATCTCATAATTCATTTTTCCTCCCATCTCTCTCGGAGTCAGTCTTAAAGAGTCGCCGACGGATGCAAATTAAAAATATCTGAATTTGTTGGTGCCGGCGAACAACAAAAAACAACGGCCGATGTGAATTATGGTTATTTTTATAATTTTATCGACGCAGAGACAGAAACGAGAGCGATAAATTTAACGATGCGCTTGCTCGATCCGTCGTCGGCTGCTGATTCGAGTTTCTTGTATTTTTCTCGTCCGTCCGTCTCTCGTTATCATTCGAGCAGTGTCACGTGGTGCAGCAGCCGCAGAGTGACCCGCACCAACGATTGACCTCTCCCGACAATTACGTCATGCATTAGAGCCAACATTTTTTCAATCATCTCTTTCTCTCAACAGATTGATGTTGTTTTAACGAGCACCAACGCTACATGCATATGCGCGACAATTAAAATCAATGAGAGCGACCAAATTGTTCACTCGTTCCTTCAGGGGCTCCTCAGGGCACCAGCTTCAAACTGGCCAGTGCAGACGAGGGAAATTTTTGAAATAGAAACTTACAATTAGTCTTGTTTAAATCGTAAAAAATTAGGTTCCAATTAAACGTAATATATAAAAATCCCTTTAAGGCTGGTTTAAAACCTGATAATTTAGGTGGAAAAATAATAATTAATAACGGCAATTGAAAATGCTAATTTCAGCCGCAATTTTTTATTTATTTTTTTTTTTATAGTGCTTGGTCAATTTTATTGCAAAAATTTTTAGGATATATGAAACGTCCAAACGTCTTATCAATTTTCATTTGCTCAAAACCTAAGACCTTTTTATCACCGAATGTCTCATTTTTTTATTAAAGCTGATATTATATTGAAATATTAACAGGCAACTTTCATATCTTTGTATTCTTTTGACGTCAGTTTCCATTTAAGGAAAGATTTGCTTGAAATTTTAGATTAATTGTAAAGATAAAATGGCGTAATTGTTTCTTTTTCCTCCTTGTTAATTAAATTTTAAATATGTAAATTTTAAGTATAATTTCATTCTTTCAAAATATATAGAAAATAAATTAAACACTTTGGCAAACACGGTTGCTAAAACTAAGGGGTTCCTTAGAGACCTCTGCGCTGATTGTGAGATTGACCGCATAATGAACATGTCTCTTTAAATAATATTACATCTGTAATAAATTATTTAGTATTTTTAAGCCTGACCAAAAATATCCGCTGATACATTGACACAAAACGATTGTTAGCCGTAAAATTAGATTATTTTTTTTATTGAAAATTAAACACAATTAAAGCAACCAAATACCAGCTCCGATTTCAAAAATTGAATGAGGAAAATTAATTTCTGCAAAATTTTAATTAAAAGAGATGTAACTAAACTGTTTACATAATGATTGAAATAAATTTTTAAGAACTTCCGAATGACATAAAATCAGATTTAATACAATTTTTGTTGACTTTGTTTATGTTTTTCAATAATTTAAAAATGATATTCAAGAATTAAGGGGTTTTCAACTGGCAGATTACAACAATTTGATAATTTTTGTTTCAGCAGCAACATCAATTTTATTTAAAAAAAATTTTATTCTCTTTACTATTCAATAAAAAAAAGTTTTGAGGAAAGTTTGATCTTTTTTTGTTAAAATTATTCCAATATTTAAAACAGTCGAGTTCAACGTCCATCTAAATTTGGCATTATTGAAATACGAAAGGGTAAGAATGTGGTTGGTGTTTTAAATCGCTTGTTTGTGTTGCAGGCGCCGCTGGTCGGGAGTGGGGGCTGAGTTGGTTCATCTGCTGATCGCCGCCGCCGCGGCAACCAGTCAGTTCAAGGATGGTTGTGGTGTTGCCAGGAGGCCCTTTGCGGCCCGAAGAACTGCCCTCGGACTCGAGGACGCTCTTCATGAACCACCCCAGCTACAAAGATTCGGCGTCGCAGTTGCTGGCCATCCCGACCAAGGTTGTCGGCCACATGGGCCTGCTGTACGTCCAGCAGAGGGAATTCGCCATCACAGTTCCTCATGACAGTCAGTTTTAATTTAATTTATTTTTTTTTAAATTTATTGATTAAAATTCGGAAAAGTTAAACACAAAAACTTGTTTTTTTTTTAACCATCGGATCTTTTCTTTAGTGATGACATTTTTTTTTAATATCATGCAAACATTCATTTATCTGTTTTGTCATTTTTTCCCTTGAACCGTTTGCTATGCAAAGCAAGCGCAAAGAAGTGAAAATTTCCAACACAATCGTTTGTTTTGCAGAAAACGTCACCATAATGGGCTCAGATGACGCGACTACGTGCATCATTGTTGTTCTCCGACACACAGGTAATGAATATTTTATTGCTAGATGCACTTGACCTTTTTTAAAGAGACTCGCGCGACTGCTTTTCTGTCGCCGCAGTGCGTCGCGTGCCGAAAAATGCACTTGAGTAGAGCGCGGAAGACGAAAGAAACGAGTCGCGGAAAGTGGAACGTTCAATTATGTGATTAGAGTTAGACGAGGACGGTTATTTACCAGTTTTTAAAACGAGAGACAGACACTCTGCCAAGGCCACTCTGATTAGCACTTTTAATGGCTTTATTAATATAATATTAATTAATCACAATGTGCAATGCTGTCCCTGAAATAGGAAACGGCGGATTTCTATATTTTTCATCAGAGTTTAGCCAAGTTGAGCGAGGTATTCTTAAAAAGTTGCACTTATTTTAAAATAACCTATAAATGATAAATGAATTTTTTAATTGAAGCACTTAAATTTTAATATAAATATCACATTGAATAAGCTTTCAGTGGTTTAAAGTACTGATTTTTTCAAGGATTTGGTTTCTCATTTGATCAAGATTTGCAAAGTTTTAAGGTCAAAGATTGCCAATTTGAGTTACACATTTAGTGTATATTTTCCCCCCAAATTTATCATTAATTGTGGGACAAATTGTTCTTTCCGACTCCATGAACAATTACGATCTCTTATTCCTTAAAGAGGATTTAAATTTTAGAGAATATAAATTTAAAAAAAAAAAACTATTTTTGTTAAAGAGAGGAATTGAAATTTAGCTCAAAGTCATAAAAATTCGTAGAGGAAAAATTTTTACGCTAAGAACAAGAAGATCATTAAATATATTATTTAAAAAATATATAATATATATATTCAAGTTAAATAAAAATGGTGGAAAACGAACACATTTTTTGTGAACGGGAGATTTTTTTCTCGTTTTTTTATTGTGATTGAATAATAAACAAATGTTCTATTCAGTTTTATTCACGCTCTGCAGCTCGTTTTGTGAGGAAGAAAACATTATAAATAAGCATGAATTAAAAACTAGATTTGTTATTTTCCTGCTAGAGACTTAAAAAAATGATCATGGAAAATCCAGCTTTTTTACTCCAGTACCATCTATTTTTTGCCCACTTTGATCATTTTACCGTCAATTCTGTAACCGAATAATAATTTTTATTTTTAATTTTTCTATAATAATAAGAAAAATTTCCAAACACAAATCTTCTGCATTGCGTGGGAACACAAATTAGATTCGTGACAGTCCGAATTATTAATAAAATCGAGTGCAGCAACTTCCCAGGCATAAATCATGCCCCCATAAAAGTAATAATCCCCCTTTCACGAGTACGCGATTGCTCGGTACGTGAAGGCTTTTGGAGCATCTCGTCGAGTACATTCGCGCTTGAACAAAGCAACATTATTATTTGCTGATCTTTGTTTTCGTTAGCACCGTAAGAACACTAGCAAACATTATTTCAAAGAAAGAGCGAGATGATGCACTATGGTAAGACTCAATAGGTATTGGTTAGCGTGGGAATTGACCCGCCCCGAGAATTCTTCTTCTCGTGTATCTCTCCGAGAGTCAGACGGAGCCGTTTAATGGGCGGCAGGCACTCCCTCGCTCTCTGGCCGTGCAGTTAGTTGGCCGCCGTCCTTTCTTTCTCCGACGCAACTTCTTTATTATTACTTTTAATTCAAATCAAGCGAGCACGCAACGCTATACGAAGAACGTCCATTCCTCCAATTTATAAAATTTCTCACTCCCAGCCGACGTATTCGCCTATGCTAGCAACGAATGTTGTTTTAATTGCTCTCGGCACGGACCGTTGGTTATATTGTGTGAAGGTGGTGTTGTAATGCGATATATCAGGAGTTTTTTTTTCTTTTACTAAACAAGGAGAAGTGTGTATAGTCTCGCACACTACACACAAAAGCAGTGATTCGGTTACGAGTTTATTTGACAGGCAGAGGTGAAAAAAGTAAAATTAGTGCCAAAGGTGTTTCTATGCGGAGGGCAGAAATTTCGCCCTGTTTGACTTTTGAACTAAAGCAGCTGTAACTCGATAGTATCATGAAATTTTTACTTAATTGGTTTGATCAGCAAGATTGCCTTTAAAGCGCTGAAAAATAAATCTACTATATATTGTTAAAAGTTCTTTTAACTTATGCAAATTTTGAGGTCAAGGCTCTGGTGCAAATAGCTAATTTTTTAATTTAACTTTAGATAAAATCACTTATCTGGATGAAATTTACATAATCCTAACAAAAATGATGTATATTCTAAATATTTTGGAATAAAGTAAAAATTTAGAGCTGGGAATTATGACTGTTAAAAACAGACTAGGCAGCAGGGTATATTTTATTCCAGTCTTTTTACACTTTCCAACGGAAGTGCTTTGATTAATAAAAATATTCTTTGTTAAAATATGAATTAAAATATTCTAGATTTTTTTTTATAAATTGATAATTTGTATTTTGGCTGATTTTAGAATGTGCTTCCATAATGATAAATTTCAATTTCAGAAATGTATAAAAAATTAATTTTTTTTTTCATAATTATGCGTTGAAAAATGTCAGCGTACAATTTTTGAAGCATCCTCAATGCAAGGTTAAATGAAGAAATTTTAAAATAAAACAGTTAAAGCTATCTATTATGGTGCTAATTTAAGTTTTTGATACATAAAATATGAGGTAAATTTATTGAATTTCTATATTTTTTACTCTGAAACTCAATATGGACATTTAATTTTTTTTATCATTTACTTATGGTTCGACCTGTTATAAATAAACCAAACATGGGGATAAAGCAATTCAAGAGAACTGGTTCTCCTCTGCTGGAGCTGTGCCGGAGTCATAAATTGATTCTGAAATTTCCAATCAAAATTCAATTTACGCCCAAATCGAGGCGCAGAACCCAAAAAGTAATTAACCGCATTCCTCGATCCCACAATAAATTAGCGCGGAGTGTATCGCCCGATATTGAAAATTCCCAAATTGCCGGTTGCGCTGCGCGTCCGCCCCAATTACTTATGTTCCACAAACTATTCCTCTGCACCCACATATATTTTTATACACACGCGGCTGCGAGAAAATGAGAAGAGCCGCGCATAATAACACGGTGCCGCTCATCTTCTTGCGCTGCTGATGGTAATTTAAATTAGGCATACTCGCTTGCTCCAGACCCGCCGAGTTCGCGCCAGTGATGCACGAGAGGAATTTGTTATTTACATCGCAGCAGAGGAAAGGGGAAAAAAGGTTTCGCCTACTTTTTATTACAGGTCTATATTTACGGGGCGAACAGTACTTTGTGCGGCAGCCTCTCGAAGAAAATAATAATAATGTACCATGATAATGAACATGCACATGACGATTTTCTTTTTATTTCTCTCGACAACAAACAGAGAGAGACTGATCTTGGTGCAAGTACGATCATGCCAACTCTTGCTAACTGTACCCGATATTATCATCCTCACTGATTTACTTGCGCGCCTCATTTCGTTGCTTACCTCGCCTGTGCATATGTGTGCTATTTGTTTGGTATGTTTTTGTTGTTGAGTCCGGCGTAAAGCAAAGGTAATTGTGTGTATTTACCTTGGAGTGTCGGACGCGAATTGAGAGGCAAATAAAGCAATAAACAGCACACATGCAGGCAAATAAATGCGCTCGGAGATTATGTAGGAATCAGAAGTTTTCCCACAAGATTTTTTCATATAAAAAATTTTACTCACAAAATTACTGAATCTGATTTAACAATTAGAAAAATTCTTATAAATCTGACAAATTAAATTAATATTTAAAGGAAACTCCGAAGAATAAGAAAACAACATTAAATCTATTCTGCACTGGTTTTTGGATCGTTTTTTTTTTACTATCCCCATAGTTAACAAATAATTAAAATATATTTGGCAAACGAAAAAAAATTAAAAAAAAATTATTTCATCAGAATAAACAGCCTAAAGTTGAAACCATAACAGACATTTGCATTTATTTCATAATATGTTTTTTTTTCATATATATTAAGATTACTGAATTAATATTTTATTTTTCCGAATTTTTTTAAAATTTTTTACGCATTTCTCAACAAAGGGCTCATATATCTCCGCAGTTTAAAAGAAAGACTTTTCAATGGACATTTGAAAAGTTTTATGCCCATTAAAAACAATACTGCAACCTTTCCGACTGTACATAAACCTCATTTCCTTTTAAGGAAAGATGGACAGCATCTGCTGAAAAATGATATTTTGAGAGGTTTCTTCGGAATTAATCAAGTTTGTAACACAATGCCATAAATTTGAGGAGAATAAAGCAATAAATAATAATCCGAGACCATGAGAGTGTTGAGTCAGGGGGCCTCGAGGCAAACGCAGGAATAACCATACTTTCCATAAATAAACGCCTTGTTTAAAAAAAAGCAGCAGAAAAGAACATTTCGCAGCTTATAAAACCAAATCGGTTTTCATTCGCCCAAGGCGAATTCACACTTTTTGCGTAAAATTTAAAACTTCTTTTGAACTTTGAGTGAGTGTTTTGAAGGGAATAAGATTGTATCAGCAGTTCCCTTCACAAAAGCACAAAACTTTCCAGCGCGACCGAATGTATAAAAAAAGAATATGATTGGGAAAAGGAACGACACGAGTTTGTGGCGCGCGAGATGAATCTGTGGAATCGGCGCATGCAGCCGATGCCGGAGATCATGTATCTTTGTGCCTGACTGCGAGGGTTCGTTGACCCTTTAGGTGCTGTATGGATGGAGTCAGCGCCGCGTTTGAGAGCCGGAGGCCCCCACCCACCCCCACCTTCGGTGGATACCTTTGAGTGGAATATTGTAATATCGAGGCCTGGCTCTATCCAGAATAACCAGTCACGCCTTAAGTCGTGACATCTAAATGGTGTGTGTGTGTGCTCTTTAAGCCCCGGCGAGGCCTGCCTGCGCGATATGTATTCCACGGCCCCCAGGCCATTATATACATAAATGATATTCTCTCGCGTTAGGCGCATATCGTCTCGTGAAAAATTTGCCCTGATCCCTTTTTCCCGCAAGACTCGGGTCCTTTTTAGAGAAAGGTCGCTCGCCCGCCCGCCCGCTCTCTCGACTTTCTCTCTGCACGCCACATTATTATTATTGTGTTCGCTATTGTTAATTAAATGATGGCTCTGAAAATTACTTTTGCTAATAAAATTTTTAGTTTATATGGCTGAATTTTTTTTAAATAAATCTCTCGGCGTCTCGGGTACTAACAGAGTCCGTTTTTGCAGTAAGTGCTTCATTACATTTTTTAATTGCCTGCTCTAGAGACGCAAAAGGGAAAAGCTGGCAGTAAAAATCTTTTTTATTTTGAGACGTCGTTTATTTTTATGCAAAAAGTGAGCAGGCACAGAAGAAACTATTTATTGCTATTTATGAAGTTATGGTCCTTGTAAAATAGGGAATTCCAGAAGAGGAAATGCTGAGATTAGCATTTTTTTTTGTGAATTTGGTGGCTGAATATTTATTTTAATACCAAACTAGTTTTATTACAAGATAATAAAATTCTATAAGTAGCTTGGTCTGCTTTTTTTTTAAATAATGATATCCCTCACGTAAACGCACTTTTTTAAATTCAGTTTTAAATAATTTCGAGTTTTTAAGAAGCATTTTGATGGGTTTAACAAATTCAACTTAAATTTCCGCCCTTGGCCTAGTCCTATGATTAGGTGATTGGCGGTTGGCTTCGATCAAATTGCTGGCGAAATTAAAATCATGCTTAAAATTACTTGATGTGCAAATTTCTTTTAGCTGAATAATTGTAAGTTTTTGTTGCTAATGGTGTAATTAATTAAATTAGAATGAAGCTTAGAATAAATTAGAACCTCGATGCAAAAAGAAAAAATATTTATATTTCCCCGGGCCACAGACTAATAATATTTTTCAAAATTGGCAAAGTATTCATAAATCAATCAGCTGGAGATGTAAAAAAGTTGGAAATATCAATTTACATAACATAATAATTATACACCGTTTGCTAATTCATAGCTTTCTTTTCTTAAATTGCTCCAATTTTATATAAAAAAGTAATATAGGCAGCCCCGCGCTAGATTGAATGTGTTATAATGGACAGATGCCAATCAATCAATGTTGACATCTACGAGTTAAAAAATATAGAAAACCTTTTATGCAGCATTCCTTAAAGCCTACACCCATTCCTTGTTCTTTTGCAAGCAACTTGCAACAAAATTCGAACACACACACACACACACACACAGATTTTTTTAATCGAAAATTAATATTTAACACTTACTTCAGGACTTAAAAATAACAATTTTATTCAGAATATTATTCTTTAATCACTATCTAAACAATTCTGGAAGTTAATTTTTTTTTAAATTGAAAGCATTATACAATTTGAAAATAACGCAATGTTTCGTTTCTTTCAACTGTTCAGTTAAAAATTATAAAATAAAACATACATTTTAAGAAATTATTGGCGAAAATAATTTGAAAAATTGCAAGAGTATAGTTGCATGCTTATTTATGAATAAAAATTAATTTTTATTCTTAAAGATTTCCCTGTAACTAAAAAAATATAAAATGCATTTGACTCAATACAAAATAATTTTGCTTCTGCTCAAAAAGATTTGATCAATTAATTTACAATAAAACTATGCATCTTCACTTGCAAATAGTTTATATAAAATCCATTCCGTCATTAAACAAATGAATTTAAGGGAACCTCTTGTTAAAAATTTGATTTATTAAAACCTGTTTTGTGGCGAAAAGATTATGACGGATGTTGGTTGCCAGCTTAAAAAGAGATTCAAATAAATTGCAGTGCTGGGTGGCATACATCAAAACGCACACATGTGAGGCACTCACAAGATAAGACACCACGGCGGCTCATTTTAATTTTCCTCCCATGCGGCGCGTTGTTCAAAAGCCCGTTGTACCATAGTTGTTCGGTGATATACAGCGGGAGAGAAATTTGTTCAAAGGCGAGAAGGAAACAGGTGGAAATGCTCATTCTAAAGAGCAAGAGAGAGAGAAAAAAACGATAAACGAATTCTCCGCTCCGAAGCTGCCGCTCATTTGATAAATTATATATCTGCCGTGTGACAGCTCGAAATTTACTCGCCATCTAAAATGAACTCTTGAGAGGGTCACATTATGTTTCGGTTTTTATGGGCGGAATGCTGTAAAAAGTCAAACTACACCAAATGGGTCTTAACTTTTTTTCCTCACACGGCGTTTCCCCTTTCGGTGCGCACATTTATGTTTTTCTCGGGGGACTTATCGCCGCGCCTCGACGAGTGGTGATTTTATTGCCTCCGACTAATCACAATTCATTAGGGGGTCCCTTTTTGTCCACGATTTTATCTCTCTGCAGTCAGTCACACACACAACTCGCACGAAAGTGTCCGACAGATACAAATTTCAGTGATAAGCCCAAACTCTGTTTTTACTCTATTTAATTAATCACTTGTCATCTCCAATGTTTCACATTTGGCCGTTCGGCTGTTCCAGGATCCGGTGCCGTGGGCATCGCACATCTCGACGGCTCCGGCATGGACGAGTGTGTCATCACGATGATCCAGAGAATACAGGAGCTCTCGATGGGCTACGTCGAAGGCCGAATTGAATTGCAACTCATCGGCGGATATTCAGACCCGAGGAACTACAGCGATGCGATTTTCTACAATCTGATGCGTAAATTTTAATCCAATAGAACCTGAACATATTTTCAATAATTTAAATTTCCACAGAGGCTTTTCAAAAACACCCTGTTGAGGTAGATTTGACTTTGTGTTGTGTCGGCGAGCTGAACACAACAATTCGCGGAGGAATTCATTGGCCCATCATCTATGGAATTGGTGAGACACTGATTTTAAATTTTATTTGAGCATTCAAAATATCAAAAATGGATATACAAAGTAATTTTTATTCAAACTTTTTTATTAAAAATTTCTTTTATTAAATTAATTGTATTTATATTGAGGAATTGAATTTGCAAAACAATAATTTTTTAGAGACATTTATTTATTCTCAATTTGATCGATTCTTGAAAATTGAAAAAATATCAAGAATTTGATTTAAGTAAGCCATACAAATAAATCATTAAATTTTTAGGAGTCCACACAAAAACTGGTGAAATATTCCCTGCCACTTTTGCCGACAAAGGCCCGGAGCAGTCGTTGCGAAGTGCCCGACAGTTCACTGGAGGCCGACAGGTGCTGCCCGTTTTTATTTTGTTAAAGCCAAAAATCTCCTAATTCTTGTAGCCCATACAGGTTCTGGACATTTACGACAGCAACCTGGGCATGCTGCGGATAGGTCCGTTCAACTACGAGCCCCTCCGAGGTGCCGAACTCTGGCTGCAGCAAAGCGACGACTTCATTCTGCAACATTTGTCCACCTCGCCAGACGTAGAGCCGCAACACTATGTGATGCAAGTAAGAGCCACTCTGAGGCACATTATGGAAAATCCATTCCCGGCCGTGACGATATTCCCGGACAACCGGCCCCACTACTACCGCAGAGATGAACACGGCAATTGGATGCATGTTCGGTACTGAAAATGTATCGTTTTTAATTTGAGTTTTCATTTCTGAGAACAAAAATCAAATTGCAAAGAGAGCAAAAAGGTAACATATAAATCCAAAACAAGTCGCCTTGAATGTTGAAAAATCAATGTTAATTTTATTCCTTGTTTTGGTCTTGCATTTTAAGATTGTGTGAGTGGGCAATCACACCCCGATTGTGATTGAGTCTTATTTGGGGTGTCTCTGAGAGGAACCCTGTTTACTTTTTTTATGAGATTGGAACAATTGTACAGAAATTTCCTTTACCCGCGGGTGATATTTTAATTATAGTACTTGATCAAAGTGGAGGAGATTTGACTCAAATCTGCTCAATAAGGGAATAATTATAGCTCTCTTATTCCGAACATGCCCTACTTAAAATTTTCAATCAAGAATCAGGCAATCAAAATTTAGCCAAGGACTAACAGTGTATACTCATTAATTCTCGAATTGTGAATGGGGAAGCCTTTAATAGAGTTGGGCCATAATTTATCAACATGATTATAGTCAATCAAGGATTATTATCAACTTCACATTCGTATACATAGGCATATATTTTGTTAATAATGCAAAGCTGTATAAAGCCCAGTGAACTTATTGTATCATGTACACAAAATAACTGTAACTTTATATTAAGCTGGCCATTTTATGTTTAAAACCTATAACAACAAGCCATGTGCAATTGCAAAATGAAACGTGTTGGTTGTGGTTGCATAAGCTAAGAGACGACTGACTTTTGTTATGCAAATTAGCAAGTGCACAAAATCAAAGTTAGTTTTTCCGTATGAAAAAGAGCAGTTGTTGCTTCAAGTTTTGTGCCAAATTCTAATTTCAGGCTATCAGACAGAAAGAAAATTTACTGTAAATTAAGTTGAATTAAGTGATTTGTTATAGAGAGTATTTTATAAACAAATTTTATTTGATCGTTCTCTGCATCACAAAATATTGTGCCAGTTATGTCATTATATAGTGCGAAGGAGAATTTGCGCGTTGTAAAATAACTCTGTGAATTATTAATTAAAGACGTTAACAATAGCATTTTCCATAAATAATCTCTTCTTACAACTATTCCGACTGCATCAACTTTTTCATTTCAGCCACTAGCTTTGTGTTCTCCTCCTTTAATCTCTGAACCTCTGACCTGAGCTGAATAAGTTGAATATCACATGTATTTAGGTAACTCATGGGTTTGGTCTGGGTCGGCGCCTCACGTAGTTTTGCACTCGATTTCAGCAGAAGACCCGATTTTGTAAGCAAGTGATTCAAATTGGTTTCAAAATCCTATAAAAAATATATTGAATTTTGTAAAAATAAAAAAATCTTGTATAACAAAATGTCACCTTCTTTGAAATGTCTTCATTTTTATAATTGGTGTAAAGCTCGTCCCATTCTCTTTGAGCAGACTCCGACAACCAGGGATACACTAAGAGGGAATGGGGGTGGCATACTAGTTGGGTCGAAAAGGTTGCCTCGTACTGACACCTGTGTGGCTCTTTTATTTCCGAAATCTCGCCAAAGCAATCTTCACTGCATTTAAACTTGATCTTGAGAAAAAGAGATTATTTTTTTATTGGAAGTCTATTCTACTGCTTATTTTTGTTTACCGTAACTGATCGATTCTTGTGCTCGTCGCACTTGTCTCCTTGCAGGTACTTCATACTGACAAAATGATTAGATTCAATCTGCCATTCGCCCCACACACTGAAATATTGTTGAAGAATTAAAAAAAATAATACTTTGTTTATTTTACATTTAAATTTTATGTACCCAAGAACTCCCTTATATCGGCTCCAAGAACTGGACAGAACTTCTTGCTGAGTTAAATTTTGGAAAGGGCAAAACTTGTACTGGTACCTGGAGAAATTTTAGTTTATTTTATACTTATAATAGTTATAAATATTACTTCTGGTCGAGAGTGGTAAAACAGTGTCCAATTAGTTGCTTGAGGTGTGGTGGTCCTGAGAAATTGGCGGGTCTGACGGTTTTGGCTAAGTCGTTGTTCGGGATTGAGTGAGTTTCGTACAGCGGTAAAGCGCCTTCGTCTACGCTTGGAACGTTTCTTAAAATAAATTATTGAGACTCAATGAAATTAAACACGTATATACATACTCAATTTGGTTGACTGAAGTAGAAATTATTTTCATTGGCATTCGTACAGTTTGACTCACAGCTAATGAAGAAAAAATGACAACCAATTTCAAAAGAGTAATCATTTTCGTTAAATTATCTAAAATTATCGTTTGGAAGTGCAGAATTTAATGTTCATCGTTGTGTTTAATAGATTAGTAAATTGTTTTGCTCCAGAGTTAAATTTAATGTGTTTCGTAGATGCTTCGGCAGATGGCTCGAGTCTCGATGCGCGGCAAGATGGAATAGGTCTATATATCTAACTCTTTTGTCTCTATATAGTTATATTTTTACATGAAAAATAATTACAAAGTTGAAAATATATTATTTAAAATAATTTTTATTTCTTGTAATAAAACTGATAATAAAAGAGGTTAAAATTTTTCTATGAAAACATAATTTCTTCCCAAAATGAATAGGTTTTTATTTTTGATTTTCTTTTACACTATTTTTTTTTTGTATTTTCTTCAGTTTGCAACAAACAACGCTGCACATCTGTTTCCAATTTCTTTTTTTTGTGGTTCGGGTTTAGGATACACAAATATATTTCCAGATTTTCCCTGACAAGGAAATGTTCAAACTGCATCTCATTTGCTTGAAATATAAAATATTTATAATATTTATCTCGTAATTGAATAATTATGCGTGCATTGAAACTTTTATAAAGGTATACATATTATTTGAAATTTTGTGTAGCAGCACACGTGACGAGTAAAACTTGGGGGAACTATACTGCCGTTTTGTATTTTCAACTCTCTCTCTCAATTTATCATTACATTTTGTATTCCATAACTATACATTTTGTGTTTGAAAACCTTTCAGTAAAACACACTTAATTGTGTATCATGTGTTAGGAAAACTGTAAATGCAATCATGGTTAAATAATGAAATAGAAAAAAAATAATCACGTTTAAATTTACTCGGATAATAAGGCACCCAGAAAACCAGAAAATTTCTTCCTCCTTGGCAACTTATTGCAAAAGGAGCGCAGAAAAAGTGCAATAACTCAATCATAAAAAGTTAATTCAGTTTTGTGGGAGAACACTTTTAGTAGTTTTTCTAAGCTAATTAACACACTAGACCAAACCGACATCTGATGATTGTTTGCATTTTTTGTGATTTATATAATTATTATATTTATCTGTTTAAAGTTTGCATGCATTATGATTATACAAAGTTTATACTAAAAGGTAACAAAGTTCATCAATCTGAGATTATATTAATATAAGACATCTGGATTATATAAAGTCTGAAAAAAGAGAGGAAGCGTATTTTGTGTTTTCGTCTCCGTGGTGGGAGGTAAGGAAATTTAAATCACTCTGCTCGTGAAATATCCAATATTTCTAAGCTCAACCTTGTGAAACTCAGATATAAATTATCACGTTGATGCACATTGAGGGATGGACCGTAAATGTGTGTCAGCTTTAATGGACAATGTGAAGGTGTTTGTTTTTTCTTTGTCAGGTATTTTAGTCGTATATATAAGGCGCTAATACATGTTTTGTCTGAAAAAACGTCAATTCAGAATCGCTGGTGACAAGTGCACACCAACCAAAATTAAAAAGAAAATCCAAAACATTGGAATAAGGCAAAAAGTTTTTTGTTTGTTAAAAAATAAAATATTCTACCTGCTCAAATAGTGATTGAGTATCTTGAAACGTGTCTTTCTCGGACACGGAGAAGAGATAACAAGAAAAGCACAGCACTCAAAAATTAGATTTCAACAACGGTATGTATATTAATATAATAATAATAATAATGTTTGTGTGCATATCAAGCATACAACAACTTATTGCAGAAATAATACACGCACTTTCTTCATTATTGTGGTACATCACATTAAAAGGACTTATGTGGCAAATGGTTATTTTACAACACTATTGAAAACCCGGGAACTAAATTTCCGATCAGTTATTTAAAAGACCGTAACAAGGATTCCAGTTTGTGTTTACACAGCAAGAACACAATTATTATCTTTGAAGCTTCGTAATGGTACCCTTTTTCATTTTAAGTAGATCACATCAAAGCTATTGTAGGCCCCGATATTAAGGCTCTTTTGCAAACGACTGAGCCAGGCAGGGTCTACCAACAGATCCTCCTAATTCGCTGAGACCTAAAATTTAGATTACACATCAGGATGGAATCGAATCGCTAGCAACATGTATGGATTGAAACTTTCTTTCTAAAGCCTACATCTCTTTTGTATTTTTTGTTTGTTAATTAGTGAATTGAAGTCTTAACCGAGAAAGTCTGACCAGAAACTAATAAAGCCAAAACGTTGATTCCTTTAAGTACAAAATGGACGTGTAACTTAAGAGGAGAGATTTTTGGCAGGCAAGATGTATAATAATTATTCGGATGGCAGGCGAGAATCGGTTATTCGCTGCTTTTGCTCACAGAACAACACTCGTCAAGTTCGTGCTGAAAGCCAGACTTCAAGTCTTTGTAGAGGAGGAAATCGAGGATGGTCAGTCTGGACACGGGCACACCTTGGACAGTCAGTCTCCGCACTTTGGTGTAGTACATTTTGCCGATGTTCTTGCGCAGCGCGTTTCGACTCAGCATTTGCAGACTGAGCGGCGTCCGCATGCAGTCTCTGAGCACCGACGCTAACTTGAACCACCGCACCGAGCGGTTCTGTTTGCACTGCGACAGGACGTACTCGAGCGCCGTCTTGCCCTGCCGATTTCGCTGCCACAGGTTTGCGCCGTGTCTGTGCAAGACCTGAAACATAATTTGCAATTGTCAGAGCAATCGCAATCTTAATTTGATTCCAAAGTTGATTTTAGTACTTTTAGTTTTTATTCCTTCAATTTTTACAACAATATAGAGTATCTAACAATAAGTTTATTTATGTTCCACAAGGCAATATCTACCCACTTTGAAATACACACCATAAAAATATTAATCAAAAGTTCTTTCAACATCACATTAAAAACAAATCTAACATTTTCAGCCTGCTAGACAAATTTTGAATGAAATTCTAAAAATCTGATTGATTCCCAAATTGATTTTGAGAGAGTGATTATGATTAACATATTGTGAAAACAAAAATTTTTTGACCTCAGAGATGTGATTTCCTATTTGATTGCCAAAAAATGTCAAATTAAGAAGGAATAAACTTATTTAATTTCAATCAATAAAGAACTTAAAAAGATCTCGGTTTAAGAGTTATTATTGTTATTGTTATTATTTTTTTAATACAATTGTACTCCCAAATAACTGAAATGAAAAATAAAAAATATATTTTTGTGCGACAATTTAACTTTTTCAGAAATATAACAATAATAAATAAAACTTTATGAGAAATACTTTGCAACTGATGCAAACCTTGAGAGTGTAAAGCTTGTGGATGAAGCTGCTGTTCTTCTTCATGCAGCAGAGGTAGACCAGGGCGTTGGTCTGATTGACTTCAGGGTTGGAGTACTCGATTTTGGCGCCGTACAGGAGCAGCACTTCGGTGATGTTGACGCGCCAGGTAAGGGCGGCAACCCCGAGCGGGGTGAGCTGTTTATATGAGTGCTCGAAGCGGTGCTCGAGGTCAAGGTCGGCGCCGCGGATGGCAAGCAGAGCGACCGAGTCAAAGTCGCCTTGCTCGACGGCCTGCTTGACATAGGTGAAGTTGGGCGTGTGCGGACACGGATGGTTGGGACTGGCGCCGTGCCGGATCAGCTCCTTTAGGAAGTTCTTGGGCTCGTCCAGGTTTAGCACCTCTGTGATCGCACTCGATTTCAGTCTGTCGTCGTACGTGTTGGGGTCAAAGCCGGCCTTGAGCATCACCTGGAAGCACTTGAGGTGCTTCATCTGCAGGGCGGCCACCAGCACCTGCAGGTCCACGTTCCGCACCGGCGTCTCCCGCAGCACCATCATCAGCCGCATGATGTCCTGCAGCTCCTCCCGGCAACTCGCAGGGTGTATGTACTCGATCGTCTCCCTGAAAAAAATTTTGTTTGAAAATTGTCTTTAATTGTTTTTATCTCTTGCAGTTTAAACGAGGGGGATTTTATCGTCGTTTCTTTTTGTGATAAAGTCACTTCCTGATTCATTACCTTACAAGAATAGCTTAAATTTATTTCTCAATTTGCACCTATACTTTTGACTCGAATACAGTGAATTTCGTAATTGGCTCATTCATTGTGGTTCAGCATCATTTATTTATAAAAGATTGAAACCCCGGTTTCAATCTTTTATGAAATCCACCTCGAGTGTTACCATTCAATCATTTATTTATGATAATAATTAATTTTTTAAGTGAAAATAACCAACTGAATGTGCCTAAAAATAAAAAAATTAAAATTTTGAGAGATAAATATCATGTCACTTTCATCAATTGATGTATAAATTGTATCATATTAAATAAGTTTTTTTATTCTCTAAGAGAATAGTTGAATCAAGAATATTTAAATTATTTTACTTATTTTATATGAAAAAAGCTAAGAAAAAAATTATTGTTTTCCGGCTTTATTATTATTATTTAATTTCATTCTTTTCTTTCTTCTCTGATCTGTTTATTATGTTTAAAGTACTTTAATAAAGACCAAAAATTTTATTACTTCCATTATTTGCTATGTAAATTTCATTCTTCTACACACAAATGTCTTGAAATGTATTCTAAAGTAACAAAGTAACTATAGTGTAAAATATCATACATAATTAAATTATAAAATGTTAGATTTGTTATGAAATTCATAAGTGACTTTTAAAACTTTTAAATTTAAATTTTACCTTACAGTTGTCTTTATCATGATTGATCCATTATGCATTAATTAGGCTTAGATTAGAAATGGGACGAGAGTTAAATTTGTCAAGTACACTTGACGGGGCCCAGAAATAAAACTCCCGATTTCCTCATCTCTTTTCCGGGGCAATGATTTGAGAAGGACACACAGAGTCTGGCGGTTCCAAAGAAAATTCCAAAAGAAGAAAGGCAAATCTGAAAGTATTTTGAAAGAAACTGAAAAGTTTAATCATGCCAAATATACCTTATTATACAAGAAAGTCAATTTTATTAAAAATAAAAATACATAGCAAAAATGTAATATTGAAGAAAAATAAATAATGTTAAAGCAATGTTAAGACAACGTTTTTACTATAGAAAATGATGTAAATTTAAATTTTTTAAATAGATACGATTAATTGTGATATAAAATGTACAAAATTTAGCTAAATAACCTGCCTGCATAAAGATGATATTGTAGCAACTCAATCATTTCATTTTTCTTTTAAAGACGGTTAATAGCAAAAAATTAAATCTCTCACACTCTTATAACATAACCTGAGACTTCCATCAACCTTGGGTTTTTATGCATATAGGCAGGTCTAGAAAATACGTGTCAGTTTATTTGCTATTTGCACGCGCAAATTAATCATCAAATGCTCGAAGGATACGTATAATCTTTAACTGACTGGATATCTTCCCTTAAAACGACCCTTCAAAATCGACTTTGAATATCAAAACTATAATTCAAGACGAAGTCAAAAAATGCTCAAATCCCTAAGGTCACCGAGGTTTTGGTCACCTTTGCTCGGGTTTGCCTTTGGACTTGCCCATAGCAACAACTTTCTAATGCAGTTCACTTTTGCCCCTGGATATGGATTTCAACTCACATCTCCGTCTCCCTGTGTATCACGGATACGTCCATCCGAGTGTACGTGGTCATCCCGACCCGCTTTTGTCTGCAGTCCGGGCCTTATCTAGTCACAAATCCAAAAGCGAGACCCACTTTTGGCGAGCTTTGTTTACCTTAACATATGGGCCATATGGGCGTTTCGTTGCTGATTTCGTCCTGCCTGGGACGTCATTTGCTTTCCGGAACCTTTCGTGACACCTCGGAATCAGGCTCGGTTGCCTTGCAAAATTCAAAATTGGCGCCACTCGATTTGGTTTCTAATGGTGGCCGCATCTCCTTTCCTTTGCATGACGAGTTGACAACAAAGCTCGTCGTGTTTGCGGCATGGGTTGTTGATCTTTGAAAAATCAAGCAAAATTTTACCTTTTGTGGACCTACTGTAGCTGTTTTTATGCTGAAATCATTATCAATTGGAGACATAAAATTAATTAAGTTTATTTAGCCTAAAAAATGGCAGATTTGGACGAACTTTTCAGTGTCTTTGATGAAGATGCCGAAACCACCGGCGCTAAGTCTACGGACGTCGTTCCGTAAGGGTTTTTTTATTGTTAATAATAATATTTCTTAAAAAATTTAATTTTTGCAGGCACCTGGATAATGCACACAAAAGAAATCTGGGGGATGAAGGAAGTAGTAGTGGACTTGATTTTCAAGGCCTGAAGAAGTTAAAAACTGATGGTGAAGGTGCCGACATCGAGGACACAAAGTACATACTGAAAGATTTTTTATTTATGTATTTTGATTATTTTAAACAATACAATTTCTATGCTTCAGATGGGCAGATATGATACCTCGAATGAAGGTTCACTCTGTGGAAACCATTGAGGCTTGCACACACGAAGTTGCTGTTCCTCCGAACATGGAGTATGAGCCTCTGAAGCCTCCCATTGGAAAGCCTGTGCGAGAATACCCGTTTGCATTAGATCCGTTCCAAAAAGAGGCCATCCTATGTCTAGACAATGACCAATCCGTTCTTGTTTCTGCCCACACTTCGGCTGGAAAGACTGTTGTCGCCGAGTAAGCTAAAATATTTTGATTTTCAAGCCAACTTCAAATTTTTCAATAGATATAGCATTGCCAAATCTTTACAAAACAACCAGAGAGTAATCTACACCACGCCAATCAAGGCACTCAGTAACCAAAAGTACCGAGAGTTTCATGAAGAGTTCAAAGATGTCGGTCTCATCACAGGAGATGTAACAATCAACCCCACGGCTAGTTGCCTCATCATGACCACTGAAGTAAGTTTATTTGAAAAAATTAATGACAAAAAACTCATATAGTTTTTCTAATAGATTCTTCGGAGTATGTTGTATAGAGGTTCAGAAGTGTCAAGAGAAGTCGGCTGGGTTATTTTTGACGAGATCCACTACATGAGAGACAAAGAAAGAGGGGTCGTTTGGGAAGAAACTCTGATTCTTCTTGCGGACAACGTCAGATTTGTATTTTTGTCTGCAACTATCCCAAATGCCAGGCAGTTTGCTGAGTGGGTGGCCTACCTGCACAAACAGCCCTGTCACGTTGTCTACACAGATTACCGCCCGACTCCTCTTCAGCACTTCATTTATCCCGCTGGAGGAGACGGAATTCATCTAGTTGTCAGCGAAAATGTAAACATTTCTAAAAAAAATTCTGCAATAGTTTGAAAATAATGTTTAAAATACGGCAGGGTCAATTTCGAGACGACAATTTCAACTCGGCCATGGTTGTTCTTCAAAATACTGGTGAAGCCTCCAAAGGTGATAGAAACATGAAAGGTCGCAAGGGTGGTCCTCAGGGTGAGACAAACTGCTTCAGGCTGGTCAAAATGATCATGGAAAGAAGCTACGCTCCTGTAATTGTATTCAGCTTCAGCAAAAAGGAGTGCGAGGCATATGCTTTGCAAATGTCCAGATTAGATTTTAATACGGGTATTTTTAAATCAAATTAACTTGTCAAATTTAATATTTTTTTACTGAAGTTGACGAAAAACTTGCTGTCGATGAGGTTTTCAATAATGCAATGGACGTCCTCTCGGAAGAAGACAAGAATTTGCCGCAGGTGCAGAATGTGCTACCCTTGCTTCGAAGAGGCATCGGCATTCATCACGGAGGTCTCCTGCCTATTCTTAAAGAGTGCATTGAGATTTTGTTTTCCATTGGACTCATCAAAGCTCTTTTTGCCACTGAAACTTTTGCAATGGGCCTAAACATGCCTGCCAGGACTGTCTTGTTCAGCGGACTTAGGAAATTTGACGGTCGAGACATGCGGTAATTTATAATAAATAAATATTTGAAATTAATATTCTTATAATTAATTTTAACGGCAGGTTCATTACCTCTGGTGAATATATTCAAATGTCTGGAAGAGCTGGGCGCCGTGGTCTTGACGAAAAAGGTATCGTCATTCTCATCATGGATGAAAAAGTTAGCCCGGCTGAGGCCAAGGAAATTCTTCAGGGCAAAGCAGATCCCATCAACTCTGCCTTCCATCTCACATACAACATGGTGCTAAATCTCCTTCGAGTTGAGGAAATCAACCCAGAATACATGTTGGAACGAAGCTTTTACCAGTTCCAAAATCAATCTTCAATTCCCCAGATAATTGACAGTAAGTTCTTTTTTAAGTTGAATTTATTTTTATCTCAATTTTTTTTGGCCAGAGGTTAAAAACTGTGACGAGGTCCTGAAGAAAATCGAAGTGCCTAGAGAATCGGAAATTGCTGCTTATTATAAACTCAGAGAGCACTTGAAGCAAATGGGCGAACAGTTTCAGAAGTACTTGACTGAACCAAAATACATTGTTCCATTTTTGCAACCTGGTCGTCTCATCAAGGTTCAAAGGCAGCTCTTAAGATAATTGATATTTTACTAAACTGAATATGTAGGTGAAAAGTGGTGAGAATGAATTTGACTGGGGGGTTGTTGTAAACTTTTCCCGAAAGAGAAAAGAGGAAAAGAAAAAGAAGGTTGAAAACCCCTTGGCCACTCCCGACTATGAAGTTGACGTGTTGCTTCATGTTGAGAAGCCGCCTGAATCCGCCAACGCAGATCCCATTCCTGCCAAAGAAGGAACCACTGGATGCATGGAAGTTGTTCCAATCCTGCTTTGCGTCATCCAGAAAATCAGCTCTGTCCGACTTTATCATCCCAAGGATCTGAAAGATGCAGCCAAAAGGAATGGAATGCTGAAGACAGTTGAGGTTTTTAATCCAACCTGCAATAATCATTCTTCATTCTGGTGCTAAAAATTTTTTACTTATAGGAGGTAAAGAAACGCTTCCCAGAAGGCGTTCCACTTTTGCATCCAGTCAAGGACATGAAGATCAAAGACGAAGCTTTTGATAAACTGATCAACAACATTGAAATGTTTGAGAAGAGGCTGTACGAACATACTCTTCACAAAGACCCTGAGTTAGAGACCCTGTACAAACAGTACATAGACAAATTGAAGGTATTTTGTGTATACTTTTTTTCAATCCCGATTTAATGTTTTATAAATAACCCTCTAAGGCTGAAGATGAGTTCAAACTGGCTAAAAAGGATCTAAAGGCTGCTAAATCTCTTCTCCAAATGGAAGAACTGAAGTGCCGAAAAAGAGTTTTGAGGCGTCTCGAGTACTGTAATGCCGCCGATGTTATCGAATTGAAGGGAAGAGTTGCCTGTGAGCTGAGCAGGTAATATAATTTCCAATCATTATAATTAACGCGACTTATTTGTTTTGTACAACTAGCGCTGATGAATTGCTTTTGACGGAAATGATTTTCCATGGCATGTTTGGTGATCTCACTCCTCCTCAATGTGTTGCTCTATTGAGTTGCTTTGTCTGTGATGAAAAGAGCAACGAGTCTTCGCAAATGGCTGAAGAGCTGACAGGGCCTTTGAGAAAAATGCAGGTAATGAAACTAAAAAAACTTCTGTTTCCAATAATAATTTTGAATAACATCTTTTAGGAACTGGCTAAAAGAATTGCTTTAGTTTCTAAAGAAGCAAAACTTGACATTGACGAAGATCAATATGTTGAACAATTCAAGCCCTATCTTATGGACGTCACATTGGCTTGGTGCAAAGGTGCGTCATTTGCACAGATTTGCAAAATGACAGACATCTTTGAAGGTGAATCAAAAATTATTTTAACCAAATTTCACTACAACCTTTCTTTTAGGGAGCATTATCAGGTGCATGAGACGCTTAGAGGAGGCTTTACGACAATGTGTACAAGCAGCAAAAACCATTGGAAATGCAGAACTTGAGGCAAAATTCACTGAAGGCATAAGATTGCTCAAGAGAGACATTGTGTTTGCAGCAAGTCTGTACTTGTAAAAAGTGCCAAAGTCTAATAAATACTGGATTTTTAAAATTGCATTACTATATATTGAAAAACAACCAGAACATCATTAAAATTGGAATATGATAGAATTTTTAGAAATGACGTTAACAATTTAATCTAAATTAATCACTACTTCCGCTTTATTTGGTGTTTTTTCCCTCCAAAACCCTTAACAGGCTTGTTCTTGGGCTTTCCGCCCAATTTTTTCTCAAATGTTGATTTCCTTCTATCGACAATTTTGTTTTTCCCCTTTATCGACAACCACAGATCCTTTCTTTTACTCTCAAACTCGGACTTGGTAGGTATCTTGGCTTTTTTCAAAAACTCCAATCCGTCTGAAGAGAAAATGATTAAGTGAAATTACTTGAAATATTTTGTGACAATTACCGTCAAATCTGGAATCGTTGGTTTGATAGAAAAATGTTTCGACAGGCACCGACCAACCATTTGTTGAAAAGGATGTAACATCTTCTGCTGCAAATGGCTTAGGTTTTTCCGTTTTCTCAAGAGGATTTTTTATGATTTTCTTCTTTTCTTGGGGCTCCTGAACTTGCACAACAGCCTCTGCTAAAAATTTCAGTGAAAGTCTCTTTTTATTTGAATTAGAAAACTCCTGCTACCTTCCTCCACTTCTTCACTCTCTCCAAACAAACTTCGTAAACTGAACCCTTCATTAGGCTGCAGCACATTCTTCAAATCGGTTTTTACTTCAAAAAATCTCTCAGAGGAAACTTCAGGGAGAGGTTCTTCAGCATCCTCCTCTTCAACCTCTTCTTGCTCCTTAGTTATTTTGTACTTGCTGCCGTGGTCTGCTCTTGATGGGTCAAACCTCACAATTGGGTTCATTCTAAAAGTTAAATATTAAAAATTTATTTAATTGGTTGCAGAATTTTGGCGGGCTATACTTTTGCTCCTTCTTTGGCTTTTTAGACAAAGGGCCCACAATACCCTCAAGGATCGCCATCTGGTTTTCCACTTCATTATCCTTTGCCTCTTGATCTGATTCTTCTTCATTTTCAGCAAACCTCTTATCCAACTTAAATCGCTCATCTAGGCCAAAGCTTGACTGGAGTTCCAGGAGCTGTGTATGATGAAGATTGTAGTTTTTAATTCAAAATTGCAAGAATAAATTAACCTTTTCTCCACGCTTTCCTTCAAACTGCTTTTTGATTTTGAAGTTGTCCTCATGAATTTCCTCCCCATCCGACTCATCATCAAACAACTGCATTGACGTAGGTTTAATGGTACCGTTTTCAATTTCCTCTTCATCGTCAAATTTAATTTTTGTGTTAGCTTTGTTCTTAGCTGACAGGGCTTTTTTAACTGCATTCTGCTGCTTTTTCAAAAGGTCAGCCTTCTGGTTCAAGGACTGCTGGCGCTGCTCCTCTGACCGCAGCTTTTTGTCTATTTTAGATGCCACCTTAGGCTTTGCCTCTTCCGATTTAACTGAACTCTTTATTTTTGGTCTCTTTTCAGGTTTCCGCTCTTCTAACTGCGCCAAATCATTTGAAATTTTAGGTGAAGTGTCTCCATTGAATTCAGGACGAGGCCTTCGTTGGTAGCTCGGACCAAAACTGCTCTCGGAATCACCCCACACATTACTGAACTTCTCCAGTCTATTGAGGAGTTCAGACTGAGAGCTCGTGGCCTCAGCTTTATAGAATTTAGTAGGGGGTTCTTCATATCTCCTTTTTCTTTTCTTAACATCTTCAGACTCAAATTCCACAGCATTTTCTGGCTTCCCTTTTGCTTGACCCCAGAAAACTACCTCCTCGTCTGATTCTTCCTCATTCAGCACAGGTTGCTTCTTGACTTTAGGAGGCCTCTCTGCTTTCGGTGGTTTATTTGGCACCTCTATTTGCTTTGTTTTGTCACTCACGACAGAGAAGTTTTCTTGTCTTCTTTGTTCAAAAGATTTCTTGGCAATTTCTGCCTTCAGCGAGTGTCCGTTCCATGGCCCTTCGCCCATCAACTTGTCCAAACCTGTTAGGGAAGAATAGAAATTAAGTACATTTAGTTGGTTTAAAGAGTCTCTTACATTTTAAAACATCACTTTTCGTCGACAGGGTGCAGTGGGCAAATGTTGCTGTCACTTTACCAACGTGGTCGACTTTTTGCTTGATATTGACATCCGAAAGTTTGCCGTATTTTTTTAACCTTTGTCTCAAATCATCGTCTGATATTCCAGGAGGCAGGTTTCCAAGGAAGAGTCTGGATTCATTCATCGCAATTTAATAAAATAAATTCATGAAAATTACACCGTAATGCAACACGAAAACATGTGCATGCGCTATGGTGTTTTGCTTTTCTCGTGTTTTCGTTTAGTTTTCGTGACGTACTGCAGCAGAGCAGATAGCGCCACTATCGCAAGTGGTGTGTGAGCAGAGGAGACAACAGCCCTTAAGCTATTTAAAAAGTCGGAGTCGTATTCTTTTGTTTACAACTTTACACCATATATATATAGTAATACAAGTCGCAATCTTTTAATAGTAAAATTCGGTAAAATTATTAAGTTTCATACAATCTAAATGACTCAGTAACTCTCCAATCAACCTGTGTTATAAGAAATTTCAGAAAATACAATACAATTACAATACATATAATTTAATACATTTTGAATTCCCCGCCCACTTTCGATTGAAACCACTTGAGGATGCGATCGAGTATATTTTGTTTTGTTTTTATCTTTTGACTTCGTCTCATCTCATGTCTCATCGTTGGTCTCATCATTTCGCAAATTCGCAGTTCACACTGCTCTTGCTCTGTCTGTGTAGTTGCTGGCTTGCGGATTTTGTCTCTAGCTTTGTTTCTGTGGTCGGCGGAAACACAAATCTTATTTTCTCACGATGACATGAAATTTTTAAGTTTTGGGCTGAGAAATTGTGAGCTGGAGATCGCCAGCCGCAGAAGTCCAATGGTAATTTCGCAATATCTTTTTTTCATTAAAAAGAGTTACATAAACCTGAAAATATTTGCAGAAAAAATTGTATTGCCGCTCATTCAAGTGCAACGTGCATTCCACTATCCATTATCCCATTAATATCATTGGTGCCGCTATCACAAAGTTTTTCTTGGCTTGACGCAAAATGTCGAGCTCATCTCTTTTTCGTGTACATAATTTTTTATTTTGATCGCAGAATGTTGCTAGCGCAGTTAAAATTTCAATAATGTACAACGAGGCAAAACAAGGAATGCAAAAATATTTTCTATTGTTTTATAAGACTTTGAAATAAGACGATTGTAAGGAGGATTGCTTGCGATTCATGCGAATAATGAAATACACATTCTTCACTTTTTAAAAATGAGAGCGTCCTTGCTAAAATTCCCACGATAATAAGCGCATTGCTGAATTTTGTTGTATTACTCAGGTCACAAGTGACAATGTCGTTTTCCGACGATGAGCCCGGGTCCTCCCTCCATTTCCGAGAGGGGAGCTTAGTTTACCTGAAACCCCGGCATTCAGACGAAGACCCTGAGCCAGCGCTGGTCAAATACTGTGGACCAGTGCCGAGACTTGGACCTGGAGTTTACTACGGCATAGAAATTCTGGTCAGTTCAAGGAAAAACCATTAATGACGTTTATAATAGCATGATATTAAATTTATTTCAGGTGCCTTCAACGCAGGGTGTCTGCAACGGGACAATTTTCGGAAAGAGATATTTTTCTTGCAAGCAAGGGAGTGGAAATTTTGTGAACGCAAGCAGACTGATGCCCTACAAACGCTCAGGTTGATTCACTAATTAAATTACACAAGAGTTGAAAATAAAAATTTAAAATTTAATTTTCAGAGAGTTTAAATGAAATGAGCCGCAAAAATAAACTTAGTCCCAACAATACGACCACTGTTGTCTTGCATCTGAAGAAGAATGATGAGACAACAGGTATTTAAAAAATGAATTTGAAAAACAAAAATATGATTTTTATAATTCTACAATTCTAGGTTCTCCTTATGAATACAATTCCTGCCCATTCTCTCCTGTTCTGGACCCGTTGCCACCAATAACTCCAAATTTGACTCCACACATCACTAACCTCTCACAGGGGAGTTCGACACCAGAACGAGAATCGTTGTTTGAAGAAAATTCTAGCCAGTATTCACCATTGAAGTTGGGAGACAGGGTGGTCTGGTTGAGTGACACTGGGCCAGAATTCGGGACCGTTCGTTGGCTGGGAGTCCTCCCCGGAGCCTCACCCCACACAATGGCAGGCGTTGAATTTGTACGAATTTGTTTTCAATTGAGGGAAATTTTTTGAATAAAAATTTAATTCTGTAGGACAATCCAGTTGGAACCGGGACAGGACTGTACAACAGACAGCAATTGTTTGTCACTCGCAAGAAACACGCTTCATTCATTCCACTTTTAGGACTAATCAAAGCCGAAGACTTTGTAGCGTCGAACTCGCCCAAAAGAAATCCTCCCCAACGTGATACGAAACCACCCGCTGTGAGTATTTTGTCCTATTCGGTCGACCATTATTATAAAACATACCAGATTCCTGCAGTGAAAAATAAGAAAAAAGTGAGCTTTAAATTTTAAGAAAAGAAAAAAGGAGTGATCAAAACCATGAAAATGAAATTGAAAGTAACTAACCCTATAATATCGACTAGTATAGCACTAACCCATAGAGCTGAAAAAGGTGTATAGTAATGAAAAATTCAGACTTTTATTTTTAATATTTACCTTGGGATGTTTAAATAAAATTGAAACAAAAATCACAAAAATTCAAAATGATTGCATTCTAACTAAATAAAAAAAGTACATCGTACTGTCTAATTAAACGCAAGCGCTGTCTGACATAATTGTTAACAACGCTGACGTTTTGTGCTATGGGAGTGTTATGAAATTCGCGTGGCACCGAGCAATGCTAATTGAGGTGTTTTCCCATGACAGTGCCACCGTCTTTGTTCTTTCATCGTAATATAAGGCAAGGTCAGAGTGTATAGCTTCGTCCAAAAAATGGAGATAAAACTGCGCAAATGGATAGAGGATGTTTTGAAATTAATTGTCGGGGGGCTTTTGGCTCAAGATTCCAATCTCAAATATTTCCCACCGCTTAATCTTTCATTGAATCAAAAGAGCCTTTCACGAGTTGACGTTAACAAAATTAAATGAGCTATTTTTGTAAAAAAATCTCACTCTCAGATCGGCATAATTGACTTGCTTATTTTTGGTGTAATTAAATTAAGTCTTCCTGTTGCAGCGGACCGAGGATCTGATAGTGCTGCTGGCCGATGAAGTTTACAAGTCAAGACTGGGAGATGACGAGACATGTGCCACTGGCAAACGAGCAGCAGGTAGGTCCGTCCGTCCACTAGCCGCGGGGTGGTTATTTTGGTCTGTCTTGCTCACTCACTCGCGCGCCGGTTAAAAATAAATCGCAACAGCACAGTCTCGCTAGTCGCGCTGTCTTTCCAGTCGTGCGATGGACAACATACCCATATTCCTCACCAATGACTACTCGAACAATGATTATTCAAACCAGTACTGGGGCCACCAACAACCCCAGTACTTGCCCTACATGTACCCGTACGCTGACGAAGGTACGGCGGGTTGCACACATTTTGATTTGCTGAGTGGTCACGTGGACACGGCCAGACTTGCAAAGACCTCTATTTGTTTATTTTAACTTTTCAGGACCAATTCCCGATCTGCCGGAACCTTACGAGGAGAGGTTCAACGGGCATAGCAGTGATGTAGGGGTCGGGTCGATGGTGGAAGTCACTGTGAATGAAGTTCCGCACTATGGAGTGGTGCGCTGGGCCGGGTACCTGCACCAAGATCACCAGCACAGACTCGTTGCTGGAATTGAAATGGTTTGTAAATTTTATATAATTCTATTGCACTTAATTTATTACTAACAAAAATTAAAATTATGAAAAAAGTTGTTTTTAGAGATTAATTTTTACTATTTTAAATTACAAATTAAATGTTTGATGTTATTGCTAAATAGTTTCTTCTTTTGTTACTTTCAACTGCCGCAAATGTAGAAGCCCTCCATAGTTTACTTGTTGCTTTCACTTTGATTAAATTCAATTTATCTGATATAGCTCTGACCTGCTTTCTCAAAACAAATTATAGGAGGAAGATATCATTGGTGGAACAGACGGAACATTCAACGGACGCAGATATTTCAAGTGTGCGCCAAAGCGAGGGTTCTTTGTCAGCATGTCACAGTGCAGACTGGACAGACGCTTCCAAGAACAGGCAGCTGCTCTCTCAAATGGCGCTCTAAACCACAGCAATGCTGAAAATGGTGAGAATTAAGTATGGGCTTCTGATAGTCTAATCAGGCCATTGTTTGCTTGTGTTTCATGTATTTATGAATGAACACTGCTTTGATCGATCAAAGTATTCCAAGTATTTTGATTATATAATTTCTTAGCTTTTATTTTTGAACCAAATTTTGCCATTTTTTGGGTTAGTATGATTGGCAAATTTTTAGCTTTGTATAATTTCGTCAAAAACTTAAATTCATTTCATATTCTAGGCATTAGTCAACCCGACTGCCCTATAATCAGAGACTATGTAAGGCCGTTGAAGACGGAGGAAGACGTTGCCGCAATGTGCGGGAAATTCAGAGGAATCCAGGGACACCACAACTCCTGCTACCTAGACGCCACTCTTTTTGGAATGTTTGCATTTACAACGTAAAATAACAATAATAATAATAATGCTGTGAGATTTTCAATTAAAATATTTTTCAGTGTTTTTGACAGCCTCCTCTTCCGACCTGCGACTCCAGAAGATGGGCCACACTACCTGGAAGTGCAGAGAGTTTTGAGAGAGGAAATTGTGAACCCACTTCGCAGCTGCAAGTTTGTCAGGGCAGACAGAGTGATGCACCTGAGGCAACTGTTGGAGAAAATTGGCTCCGTTTCTGGCATGACCAGTGAAGAGAAAGGTGATTTATTTCATACTGCAAAGTGACTTTAAATGTATTAATTTGCCTAAAACTTAGATCCCGAGGAGTTATTGACCTCTCTGGTTACACAGACATTGCGAGCAAAACCATACTTGAAGCTCAGCTCTGGACAAGAGGCATTCATGCATCAACTGTTTGTTGAAAAGGATGAGGAGATTGACGTTCCTTCCGTCCAGCAGCTTTTTGAGCAGAGCTTCCTATCGAGTGACATCAAGTTGAAACAGGCAAGCTATTTTTTAAATTTGCAGATGATAACAAGTTTTTACATGTTTTACTTCTCCAGGTTCCTCCAGTACTGATACTCCAAATGCCTAGGTTCGGCAAAGCATACAAAATGTATCCGCGCATCTTGCCATCGCAAATACTTGACGTAACTGACGTGATAGAAAACTGTCCCCGGCAATGCATCATTTGCGGGAAGCTTGCCTACTTTGAGTGCAGGGAGTGTTTTGGCGAATGTGGGTCTGGCCTCGAAAGCATCACCTTCTGCCAAGCTTGTTTGGAAACCGTATTTTTTCCATTGATTAATGAAATGAAAACAGAATTAACAAAAATTATAGGCTCACAATCACCAGCGCCGACAGAGCCATGCTTGGAGACGGCTGTCAGTACCCAAGGAGTATCTGGACGTGGCCGAAAGGTATCGAAGAAGGAACATGGTGGACAGCAGAGAAGCCCTTCCACCGATCCCTCGAATCTATATGGAACTTTTTGCTGTTGTCTGCATTGAAACATCTCACTACGTTGCTTTCATCAAAGGGGGAACTGGACCTGATGCTCCATGGCTATTTTTCGACTCAATGGCAGACAGAAGAGGTACTCATTTTTTTGTCATTTTAAGCCATGAAAACAATTTTTACTGAAATATTATATTAATTTTAGGTGAGCAAAACGGCTACAACATTCCCAAGGTCTCGCTGTGCCCCGACCTTCCCAAGTGGCTGCAATCTGAGGGCTTGCCCTTGGTCAGAGATGAAAGGCAGCTTCCTGAGAGGGCCAAGAGACTATTGTGTGATGCGTACATGTGCTTCTACCAAAGCCCGCAAGTGGCCATGTACAACTAGACTGCTCCAAATGTGATCGAAAAGCAGGGTGGTTGAGTGATTCAAGATTCAAAGAGTCGAGGATTAATTCAAGCACTACCAATCATCAGAATTTATATAAATGCACACAAATATTATTTAGCACAATTTGTGACTGCTTCTTCATTATATTCAAGAGCACAATCTCTTGTTTCACAATCAATTCATGACACAAATATTATCATGACATTTGCTCTGTTTGTGTTTCATACCATTTCATATTATTAATTGACGTTAACACAATTGTCACACTTTCAACTGACTCATAATCACCATAGAAGCAATGCTATGCCCTTAATCTGCTGAATATATCCTACATTGAATTCTAACCAAATCATGTATTGACGTTGAAGATTTTTTCCAAAATCAGCTAAAAACCAATGTATTTAAATTGTTATTGATGGATATAATTAACCGTATTTATTTTCGTAAATCTTCATGGAATGGTCGATTTGCTAAAAGCAGCTCTCTCAAAATTATGCTTGCAAAGCATTTAAAGAAGTGTTCAAGTGGATATAATTATGTTATTGATATTTAAAGTCTCTGTCGATTAAATTCATTGATGGATATCTTTTTTGAAATAAAAATCAAGTATTTTCATGCACAATTTTGATTAGGTTGATTAATTTCACAAATCAGCTGTGGCTTAAGTGCAAGCGCCAAGCATATATTGTACACTTTTTACAAGCACCTTGAAATTATGATATCTTATTATTATAATTAACTTGATAAACTTTTTAAGGATAATCAATGAATTGACCCCTGTGATGTATGTTTTCAGACCTTTATTAGGATGTTAACAATTTCTACAAACAAAATCATTTAATTCTGTACTTGTTGCTTTGAAAGATTTTGTTAAGTGGTGAATTAATATATTATTTATTTCTATACACACATAAATCTTTAGTTTTAATTTTACAATCACTACCCAATTAAAAGAGATCTGACTGTGATAACTATTCACACAATTGGATTGTACAATAAAGATGAAGTAATTATTATTGTAAATATCTTATAGTTTAAAGTTAACAATAAAATTCGCACTTACAGAAAGGACTGCTCCTTTGAAAGGAAGTTTGAAAATAAAAATACAGCTGTTTTATATCAATATGTTGTTAAAACCCTTCCATTTGATATATAAGCAAATCTTCGCATGCTAGTTTGTACTGTTGAAGATAAATCTACGAAATTTTAAATAAAACCTTCTCTATGTACAATATATATATTGTGATTACTCTTAGAGCAGTCTCAACAGTTGTGCTAAAACATACAATGGCGTAAACGAGACATTCCGTCATTACTCTTTTCTCGTTTACTCAAGATTCTTATCAACAAACTTTCATAATTATTCTCTTCAGGCTGAACATTTTTGACCAATTCAAACTGCAGAGGAAATTATTGATTTTTAGCAATTCTCCAATAACAAGCTCAAGAAAATATATATTTGATCAGGAAAGATTGGCAATATTATACTGTACCAACGGTAATGCTATTATTTTGCTTGTTTTTAACTAAATAAATATTATTAAAATTCAACATAAAAAGTTAGATTGTGTATGTACAGAGCTAAATTAATTTTGAGCGCTGTTCCTAAGTACAAGCTCAACAAAAATGACTAATCTTTGCAAAATTATGTTAGAGGTTACAGATATTTGAAGAAATAAAGTATCTTTTTCTACAAGAATGCTTGTAAAACTAAATGGACCATGGGACGATTATATCAAAAGAGCCTCTTTCTACTCAATATCAACTGAAAATCGCGCGCGTTCATCAAGACTGGCTCAGCAGGACCTTTTGGGTCTGTGCCATTTTAAAAGCGGAAGTTAAATACACTGGCTGTGTAAATAAACTACCATTATGTGAAAGAAAGATTAGAGAAAATTATCTCAAAGAACACGCCAAAGAGACACAGCCAGCCAACCAACTATGCTCTAGCTTTTAAGATACCCTTTGTGGGTAACCTTGCTTTAAAATCATCATCATTTCATAGATTTTGTTGATATTGTAAAAATCAGTCTGGCTCTGCATCTCAATCCATTTAAATTTCGTCATCGTCCTCTTCCATGGCAGAGAAGCAGGACGAACCGACTCCAGAGTCCTGGTAGGAGGCCCAATTCGGACTGAAAAAGGTTTTGGAAAATTAGAACAGTTTTACAAATTTATTTGATTTTCTTTACTTGACAGCCCTACAGGTGAAGAATACGACACGCTTCAGCTTCTTGTTGTAGAAGAAGTAATTGAAAGACCAGAGGCTTCCTTCCTCACCAAATGGGTCAGAGGCCAAATCAGGGTTGTAACTAGAGAAAATTTTAAAGATATAAATTGATTGAGGCGGATTTTCCAAGTGAAAATCAATTTGTGAAAATTTTCAATCATGAGTTAACAAAAATGTATAAAGTTTTATTTCACCCTGGTCTAATCAAAGTAGACAAAGTTGGAAGCCCCCAAAAATACCCAGGTTGACAACAGCGAGTCGACCCCACAAATTGCAAAACAAATGTTTCACAATTGGCCGACCCCACATTGCTTAACTGTGGTGATCTGACGGGAACCAGTGTTTCAATGTGGCTAAGTGCCGTTGTACCTGTAGATGTCGCATTCGTTCAGGGTGATCTCCTCGTCCATGGTGGCCCACAAGTCAGGTCGGACCGCTTGGTACTGTGGTCCAGCCATCTGCAGATTGTTGTCCACTGAGTTCCTCACCCACTGAAACCAAGAAATGAAAATCTTTTGCTCCAAAAGTGGCGGTTATTGAAGCCCAACCTGGAGGCTCGGCTCCTTGCTGAACTCGTGACTGCTGGTGTCGGAAAAGTCGTAGTCAGGGTAGAACGCAGCATTCAGTGTGGCAATCAGGTAGAAGAGCGTCTTGCGACTGATTGTGTCGCACAGGGGGCTCTCCTCGTCACCAGAGATGCTTCGGCTGTACGGAGACACGGCCAGCATCGTCTGCGGAGGCGACAGCGCCTGCAGGTCATTGGGCTTGACTCCGTTTTCAGTGTTGTTGAATCTCTTGTACATCTGCTTTTCACCACCGGCCAACTTGCATGAGTAGCTTTCAATCCTGAAATCAAAGTTTTAGCGTTAAAATTGATTTCTCATTTAAAAATAAAAATATACACACAAAAACTTTATAATTTTAGAAAACATTAATTAAAATTCTAGTACACTGTACTATTCCTAGTTTCAATCAGTTTCAATAATACAAAACTGTATATTGTGTCGCTATTTCAGTTATAAATTAAGTGTCAACTGAGTGAATCACAAAAGCTGCACATTAGAAAACGTTCTGTGGATTACTTTCACCTTTAACCTTCGATTCAATGAAAGCCTAAATGGAAAATAGAACAGCCTAATAATAAAAGTCTCATAACACAAAATTACAAACCTTCCAAAAATTTTGCATCCTCCAAGTTCGATGTTCAACGCCGAATTGACGGCCTCGAATTTGGTACTTTCCAAAAGCTTCATTTTGCTCCAAAAATATCAATTCAATTCTGCTACAGATTAAAGACGGCACACATGTAAACTATGTAGATTGAGTTCAACAACAGTTTTGCGTTGTTTGCTGGTTTGAATTTCTTATCCCGTGTCCTTTTCTCCTGCAGTGGACTGGTAGTGCGAACATCAATTGGCAGAGATTACGGTTTTCCAATAAAAACATTACAGGCGTCCCTTTTGTGTTTATAAATAAACTGTGGGACACCTCTTAGAGTTCCGCGTCTTCTCTCGACTCTGGCGACTTTCTTGTCGAGTGAAAAGTCGATTTTCCTCGCTCGAACTGAAGACGAAGGGTCCAAGCAGTGGGCCGACCTCTTTTCTGCGACTCAAGTCGAACGGCGCCGTTGTTTTCGGACTGAAAAAACTGTACCTCGAAGTCGAAATGCAAAGTTTGTTCTATTTTGACAGCTCTAGATCCAGTTGCTACCTGAATGGTATTAGAAGATGCGCATGAGAACAATTGCGCAATAATTTAACAATGAAATACTCACAATGCAACAATTGAATTGTACTCAGTTCTCTGTTGCTAATCGCATCCTCTCCCTATTCTCCGTTTGCATGCCCTAGCCAGAGACCAGAGTCTCTTTCCACGGACGAGTCCACTTCTGCTTGTCACTAGGGGAACTCAGTCAGGCTGGGCAACCACAGTGGACGGTAAAGTCGCTCAACATGAATATTTTTTCCAATGCTTAAAGTCTCAAAACAAACACGCTAATGCTTTATATTTTTAATTCAAAAGAAATTTATCAGTTTATAGAAATATAAAGGGACTTTTAAAGATAAACTGCGCAGTTTGCGTATTTTCTGCTGTCGACTGCACTTGGCGGATTTTCTAGAAAAATTCTGCACAGTTGCCGGGGGTCTCTCTTCTCTGCCATTGGCTGTGAAGGTGACCTTGATCTCTTATTGATCCTATGCTGGCATCTGTTGAGTTTAGATGGACATCGTTGGTGGTGGATAGCGGGGCTTTCAGCTGCATATTAAATTTGCAAAAGCGCCAAGGGGCGCCTTTTTAGAACGACTCACTTATTTGATTACAAATTTCTTACAAGTATTTTTTGTTTTTTTTATCTTATGCAAATGAGGAGTCATGTATATTTTATGGCACTTTATTTTTGTTTTTAGCATCAAATTTTTAATATAAAAATGAAATTACATAACTATTTTTTACTACATACCACATACATTGCACATATATAAAAAAATTAATTGAGATATAATCCTCCCATCCAATATAATCATTTTTTCCCTCACAAAAGTAAAATTATGGTTGCAATAATAATTTTAATGCAAAGGCATCTATTGAAAATCAAATGATGCAGGTCTCTAAACAATAAAGAGGCGCAAGAAAAATAAAACTAATTGTAAGTGGGTAGGTAGTGTGAGTAAAAAATTTTAAGTAAGAGTGGCCTCTCAAAGTTAGAAATTAAAATAAAAGTATCATTAATATAAAAACCTTCAACTTCCGTAATGGGGAATGACTGGCAGTAAAATGTACGATTTGGACAAAATCAGAAAAATTAAAAAATTGGATCAATTAGCACACTTATGGTAAATACGGTAAATACATAATTGAGCATGAAAGACAATCAATCTTAGGAGAACGTCAGCGCAACACCATTCAATCTGGGAGATCTACGCAAGGGGACCGTCAGCGGCGTCCTTGGAGTTACCCCACAAGGGGTGGCATAGGCTTGGTAGGGGGTTCTCTTGAAGGCGCTGGCGGCCAAAGGCCTGATGCTGAGTGGCTTCTTGATTGTGGGACACTGCTTTGGCGTGGAAGGGTTGAACTTGTTGATGTCAACTGCGGCAAGGGGCGACTTGACTTGAGGCACTTTAGGTGTGCAGACGTCATAAATGGTCTCCTTCAGACCTGCTGGCAGTTCCATCTTGGGTGAGAATTGAGTCTTGATAATTTTTAGCGTTTCACAAGGAGAAGTGACATTTTCCTTTTCTACATTAATTGGCAGGTCGTCAGTTCTGTAGCCTGCAGACTTCCTTCTCTCTGGCGTGACTGTGTTTGCTGGCTTCCAACTGGAGCTAAGCCTAAAAAATAGCAAGTTTTATATAATGAAAATGATTTGTTATTTATTGCAAGGAAATTTCAAAAATTTCTTTCAATAAAAAAATCCATACCAAATTTACCTTTTCTTTGGACTCTTGACTTTGGGGCTGATCAGCGGAGATGTGTCCTTTGATTTCTCAATGTTCCTCAGCCCAGCATGTTTTTCCTCGGGACTGTTCTCGAAAAGCTTGACGCTAGCCAGCACCATTCCAGCCCGTTTCATCTTGATTTCCGCAATAGAAGGTCGTCCGACCATGTCCAGTTTGCTTGGAGTTGCATTGCTCAAGAACGACTTGGCATCCAACCACGAATCCTCTTGGCTGGCGTTTCTAAAGCTTGGAGTCTTTTTCATGGTGAGATTCATGGGCGACTCTGGGGCATGGAATGATGAGGCTTTGCGGGTCACACTTCTGGTCATGTGGCCTCTGACGGAAGACATCGGCACAGCAAACTGCGGCGATTTTGGTTTCACTTCCTCAGATTTTTCACGCACTTTAGGCGGTGGAGTAGCCTGAAACATTGAGTCAATTCAAATTATGGTCATTCTATTGTAATGTAACAAGGAGAAAATTGAGATTATCTAAAATAATTCCATCAATAACTATTTCCCTTTTATATTATTGAAATGTAAGGGACCCTTACTGGAGTATTTGGCCAATTTTTAAAAGTCGAACAAATATTGCAATTCAGAATTGATCGGTATTTGAAGAAAATGTAAAAAAATTACAAGAAATCTTTAAAATTTCTTCACTTGGCTGACAAAGAAAAATATTTCTACACTCGGCTGATGTAGAAAAATAATTCTTCATTCGACTCACATAGAAATTTTATTCTACACTCGGCTGATGTTGGAAAATAATTCTTAATCTTTACCTGCACCATTGGACTGCACTTGGTGAGACTGCCGGAGCAACCACTGTTGAGAGGGGGCGCATTAGTCCTCTGCAGTTGTCCAGGGCTTGGCTGTGTCAGACCAGACATAACACTGTTTGGCCTGCCTCTCTGAAGACTGCGCTGCTGAGGTATGGTGCTCCTCTGAGGACTCTTTGACAATCGGGTGTTGGAAGTAGTCTTGATGATCCGGCCGCTTTCTTTAGATCTCCGTCTGAGCGTGCCAATTTTTCTAGCACTGGGGGAACGAATGATTTTATGTTCGGCAGAGCGTCGGATTTTGAGTTCACGGCTGAGGCGTTTGGCAAGTTGGTCAGTCGTCTGGCAAGTGTTGAAGGGCTCGGCATCTTCCAGGGTCTTTTCATATTTTGACTGCACAAAACTGGCAGTGTGTCCGTCAATGCTTGCGTCATTTGCCTCAGTTTCAGCCTGGCTAAGGACTTTGTTTAGCTGGTTTTCCAGTGAGGCAACCTTGCACTTGATCTCGTCATACTGGGACTGCAAATTGGTGTTGGGCGACAAATCCACCCTGGCTGTTGCCCCACCCAGACCTTCAGGAATTTTTCCTCGAAGCCGAGGCGCGTATGGAGAAGCCAGAAGAGGAGTGTCAGAAAAAGTTATTGGTGCAAGACGGCGCATGTTTCTGCCTAAAGAGCCGCTCAGAGAACTCCAACTCTTTTTACGCTTCAGGGTTCTGGAGATCGGTACAGGCTCAGGTTTTTCCTCAACTATCAGCTTAGGAGGGGACACAGCAGGCGCTTTTAAAAGCTACAAGATTTTTTTTAAGTAAAAATGAAAAAAAAAATCAAACATTAACATTACCTTATTTTTGGATACCTTTTTTGAACCAAAGCTCAGCCGAGGCTTCTTTTGGTCTTGTTGCCCAATGACTCGTTGCAAAATGCTATTAAATAGTTTTTAAATTTTTGTCAGACCCAAAAAATCTTTTAACTGACCTTTCAGACTTTGAGCGAGGCGTGAAAAATTTGCTTCGCGGCTTGAGCTTCAGCCCCTGGGGGTGAGGGCTTTTTTTCAACGTCTTTGGAGGGCTACACAAAATGTCATGGAATTTAAAAATGGCAAAAGAAGTAGAAAACTGCAAAAAAATATTATATTTTTTGTACGGCTAAAAAAACCAAACACAGACGAGCTTGTTAAATTACCTTTTTGGCCTCAAAATAGGAGTGAGAGAGAATTGAGACTGTGCAGGTGTATCAGAGGGCATGGGCTTCATACTGATTGGTTTGAATGGCGTGCTTGAGAGCAAAACGCCATCAGGAATAGAGTGCAGTACATCTAATCTGCAACACAAACACACACATGCAAACATTGCCAACGTCTAACTACAGCAGAATTTAACCACAAATTACAGCACATCTAGAAAAAAAATAGTGGCTACGAAGTGCAAATTACTTAATTTTTGCTGACATGCCAACGGCAACAGGTGTGTCCGCCTTGCGCTTTTTTGCTGATTTGATGACAGGTGTTTGAAGAATTTTGCAAGGTGTTTGCAGCTCGTCTGTTGGTGAGGAGGAACGAGTGTTTCCTCCAACCATCTTCCGAAATCCATTAAACATTCCTGTAAAATTACACAGCGTTGAAGTTTTATTCATATGAGATGAAAATCAATAGCTTACTTGTAAGAGAACCACTTCGCCTCTTCCTAGGTTTGGTCTTGGAGCTCACGGAATCCATGCTGGCGTTACTTGCAAGCTCGTCAGATTTTTCATCCTCGATGAGCCCAAGCTGGAAGCCCAGGCCAATCGGAATTTCACCAATGTCTTTTGATTCTTTGATTAGTGTCTAGAAATAATATGTGTAATAACTGGAAGTATTCATTTAATTCCTTAACTGTACCTCTAGAACCTTGATGTTGTTGTCATGCTGCAAGGCATGACTTGTCAGTTTGTCATGTCGGTGCTCAAGCAGAGGCATAAAGGAGGGTGACAACACAATAGCTAAATTGCTGGCAGGCATCAAGTTGCATTTGGCATACGAGTCGACCTCCAAAAGAAACTGAAAATTCCAGAGTTAAAAAAGCAACAATTTTCGGTGATTAATCAATACCTCTGCCAAATAAGCAAGCAGATGCAAATTGGCGGTAGGCAGCAACATGCAGAGTAGAAGCATAAATTCGTCGCTCTGCTTCTGAGCTCTGAAAATAATTTAATGAAGAGGCAAGTCAATAATTTATGGAATTGTACTTTGCAAAAGTATCTTGGAAAGCTGCAGGAATCAATGGCTCAGGCAATTCACGGAGGAACAGCTTCAAAACGTTGGCTAAATCTACCTCATGGAAGTTGTTTTGAACAGATCCACCTGCTTCAAAGTGAGTCTAAAATACATATCCGAGAGCAGGATTGGATTAACTGATGAAAATAATTATCACTTTTATAAAATGATCAATCATGCTATGCCTAATAATATGGGATTATTCAATAAATGTGACTAAAAATCACACAAAAGACATAAAAATTAATACCTTGATTTCCTTCTGTCTGGTAGAAGAACCTGCTTTTCGGAAGATGCCCTCCGTGTCCAAATGTTTTCTGATCTCTTGGCACAGGTCAACAACAAAGCAAGGGACATCGACAACTCCGCCAGACTTGAGCAGGACAGGCTGCTTTGGAAGAGCGTCCAGAGAACGTTGGAAAATTCGTGTTTTCAGGGTGGAATAACGCTAAAAATTTATTGAAAAGAACTTGCATTATTTGAAATATAGGGATGATCTGTGAATTTTACATACCTTTTTAGATTTTTTCGCTCTCAATGTGCTAGCTTTGACGCCGAGTCTTCTTTGCAGTTCCTTTTCAAGATAACCCATCAGGGTTTCCTTGTTTTCTAACGAAAAAATATGCATACTTGCTATTTATAAAGTCAAACTGAAGCTAAATCGACGAATTTAACTCTAAAAACTGGGACAATTCACATTATAAAAACAACATCAACAAGCGTTCCATGTTTCCGAGAAACGAATTTTTTGTACTAAAATTTCTTTTATCTTTTATCTGTAGTGTTATTGGCTGTTGCATCTTGCAACAAGCTGTCATTGGTTCGTTTGTTATCGGCCGACCAATCAGGGGCAATCAGCGATAACAACAAGCGCGAAAGAAAACCGTCACTTCGCCAGGCTATGCAACATGAACTATAGAATAAAATTAAATATTAAGCTAGTTTACTTCATTAAAAAATTGGTCTGTATACAATTTTTTAGTAAAATTAAAATATGTTAGCAAATTTTATCAAACCGTATAAAATACTAAGAACTAAATTTAAATAGAAAGGTTTAGGTTGGTGTACTTTCATGCAACCCCTCCCACTTCAGCACTTCACATGTTTCACGTTTGTCAAAACAAAAGTCGAAATCAATTTTTATTTTTGTTAAACATTTCAGAGGAAATAATAACTCAATATATTTAAAAACAGTTATTTGATACTAAAAAATATGAACTTTTTCTAAAGCAGGGAAATTTTTGTGCCATTTTCTGTCTCTGCTGCATTCATCATGCTTGTCTCCAACTTGCTGAAACAATGTTTAAAAACCAACCACAGAAATAATTTGCGACTCACACGGCATTTTGCAAATAATAATGTTGCTGATGGGAAGCAAGATGAAGAGAGCGGTAAAGTTAATATTCTATGGTCAAAAAAGAAAAACTCATGATTTCACTTATCATATTTGTAAACAGATGGAAGACGGAGCACGTTGTTTTTCAACCCTCGAGTGCAACAACTTCTCAAAGATCTGACGACTGTGGATCTTGAAAAGGTTTTCCAAGCCAAGAAATATCAGGAAAAGCTGAGGACTCCAAAATACAAGTTCATGACGACGGAAGAGTTGGAAGAGGTATTATACAAATTTAGCAAAAGTGAAATTATGGATCAAACGATTTGTATCAGGCTCTGCAAGAAACAGCTCAAAAAGCAGAAGAACAGCTCCAGATGCCGCCTGTCCTTCCCAGACGTGAAGAAAAGACAGAAATTCTGGCCCGAGACTCTTTGCTGAAAGACTGGGATCCTGAAAAATCCACTTATATTTTCACAGACATCACGTTTGGGCTATCAGACCAAGTATACTTTTATCTCATATTTTTTTTTTACATTTAACATTTTGCAACGAATAGGAACGATTGATTGTGAAAAGGGATCCTGAAGGAACACTCAGCAAAGCAACATGGGAAGAAAGGGACAGAATAAATCAACTGTATTTCCCCTTCCCAGGAAGAAAGTGGATAATGCCAAAAATGTTTGAACCCGAATACCTAGAAGTATTTGTATTTTTTCGATTCTGATCTTTTTTATTCATCTTGGTATTGACAGGATTTGCTGAAGAGGGAGGAGTACATGTTCATTTTGGACAGAGCATGTGTCCAGTTTGAACCCAATCACCCTGATTATATTGATTGCACTCAGAAAACCTATGAATATATTAACGAGAAAAAAGCTTTTGATAAACTGAGATCAACCAGGCATTTTGGCCCCATGGCTTTCCATTTAGCCTCGACAAAGCAAATTGATAACTTGGTCCTGGAATGCTTGCAAAAGGAGAGGTAAAAGTTAAAAAAAAAATAGTTTTCCTACTTAATCACCTTCAATATTTGTAGAATTGATGATGCAGCCCGAGCGGTTCAGCTGTTACATTTGATACACCCTGACTGTGCGTCAGTTGACGTTCCGTTGAGTGAACAAAATAAACTGGAATTTTTGAAGGTATTAACGTAGAAGTGTCTTTGATTGAATTTTTAATGTATTTTAAATTTCTAGAATTACGCTAAGAAAGACAGCAAAAAACACGGGGCCATTGAATTGGCCATCCAGGCTTATGAAGAGTTAAATCGTCAAAAGGAAGAGGTAAAGAGAAATGTCGAAGAAGCTCACGGAAGCTAAGTAGGTGGATTGATTAATGTTATATAATAATTCATTAAAACTGATAGTCACATTGACCTTTTAAGAAGCTACAACTTTTATTGATTTGTAAAAGAACATTATTTATTTTATATAAGAAAATTTGATCTTTAAAACGTCATCACATTCAATTATTGTTTTGAACTTGAAAAAAAAGATATTCGATCAGATCTTTGATTTTCTCTATTCTCTATTAAGTTGGCACAGCAAAAACTACAAAAAATAAACTTGTTCTTGAAACCTTTGAAACAACAGTTTTTCACATAAATTCGATTCGAGATTTTACTCAACTATGGCAGAGGTGGCCATCATGTTGACACCGCAAGTTCCGTCTCCACGGTACACTCGGTAATAACCCTAAAAATGATTTCAAGCGTTAGTTTCAAACCAGTGGTATAAAATAAAAATTATATGCTGGATGAATGTGGTACCTGTTCACCCCACTGTGGCCCCCAACTGTTCTTAATCGACCAAAATGGGAGGGTTTTGTTGAACAGTGGATAGGCTGAAATTAAATAAAGCAATCAGTTTTCCAGCTTACCTTTTCACCCCAATGGGGACCCCAGCTGTTTTTCACAATCCAGTAAGGGAGTGTGCGGTGGCGAATGGAAGTGGCTGTTGAAAATTGGGACATTTGTTAAGCACAAATTATGGTAATGAGTGTTAGTAGGGAGAACGACTATTTTGAAAAATATAAAGGTAAGGGATTAAAAAAAATCTTACTGTGAACTCCAAAGCCAACAATCAGTACGCCGTGATCCAAGTCTTTAGGATTGCACAAGAATTTGAGGGGATGTGAAACGCCTCCATAATAGAACTGAAATCAAAAAGGATTTCATTTAAAAAGCTCTATATAAAAAGTATTTCACACCAACCTGCATTGCATTTGCGTTGATGCCAATAGATACGGGACCATTTTTAACAAGCCACTTGGCAATGCCCTCTTCGTCAGTCGTGATATTCAAGGCACCAGTGACCTTGGCTTCAACTTCGCCCTTGTCAAAATGACACTTTTCGTCTTTTCCATCATATGGATAGTCGGTTTCAGATTCAAGGCCTCCAATGTTCATGATTGATTCGTAGGCGTTGCTTGGCAAACCTCCGTTGCATCCGTTGTCAAGGCTGTCGCAGTCAACGAGCTCTTGTTCGGAGAGTGACAGCAACTGTCCCTTGTGGATGGCCCACTGGCCTTCAACATTTCCAGTAACTGAGAAAGCCCAGCATGAACCACACTGACCCTAAAAATTTATGCGTAAATGTTTAATGTTTTTAAGATATTGTAATAGATATATTACTTGATTTTTGACAGGAGTGACTGCATTGAAATTACGCCAGTCAAACTCATCGGGCAGAGTGATGTTGGGGATTGATGCATTTTTCATAACAAGCTTTCCCTTCTTCTCAAAGTCGGGTCTAAGTCCTAAGTAATTTCTTTTGAATTCCTGGCCTGAAACCCACAATTAAACAAGGCAGGAATAAGAAACTTTCAGATATTTTACTTGTCATGTCGGCAAATCTGGTTGGTCCGTATTTAGCAGATCCTTGCTCGGTTTCCTGCAGGTGCTGAATTTTCTTCATGTTGGCGCGGAAAATGTGGAAACGTCTGCGGAATTCCACCTCATCATCATACCGTTTTCCATGACGCTCGATGAACTTCAGGAAAATGCCCATGTGAATGTCGTGGCTTCCACCCCCAATATTTCCCAGGGACTGGAATAAATCAATTTTGATAAAAATTATTTATCAGAGTCAGCTTCTTACTCTTTTGCTTCGAGATGTTGATTGAGAGCAGGTGAAGTTTGTGACCTGTCGTTCCTTCAGCCACGGTCTGTCCCAGACCTTTACATCACAAGTTTCCCTGTTTGAGTCTGCCTTCAGGTTGACCTTTTCAGGTTTTTCAGTGTTCTTCGCCCAGTCGCTGAAGCCCAACTCAAGCTTGAGGTGATAAAGAGTTCCAGCCACAACCTGTGTTTTGGCCTCTACAATATTCACAACAGTCCGATGGTACAATGCATTAGTGCCCTTGTCCAGCTCCAGGACAGCAAAATCAGCAATTTCCTTCAGTTGAGGGTCATTCAGGTCAGCGGAAGACGGGGCACCAACCAACATGGATGACCGCTTGACCTTCCTGGCCTGCTGAACATTAGGATTTGCTCCATAGGCACCTCCAGGATTTTCTGCCTCATGGACCTCAAAGGAACCTAAATTGACAAAATGACTCAATTGATAAAAATGGGAGCTTAAAATTTTTAATTTCACCTTCAGGTTCACACTCTGAGCGCATGACCTTAGTCACAGGCTTTCCTCTGGGAGTGTCGGCTGGCGCTTGGTGGACTTGGACTTTGCAGAGAAGAGTGGGAAGGCTGTCGCCGTCCATACAGTCGTTCTGTCCATTGTCGCAAGGAGGCATAACAGCAATCCTCATTGACAGGTGGTACAAAATTCCATTCACAACCTAAATTTTTGTTTATTATTAACATATTCATCCTATTATGTTGAAGTAAATAATACCTGCTTTTTGGCCTCAACAACAGCAATCAACTTCCTTCTGCTGACGTCATCATCAATGTCATCAATGTTCTTGAGTGCCATCTCGGCCAAAGCCTTAATCTTGTCACCATCCTTTTCCAAATCAATTGGCTCTGGGCTTCCAAGCAAATTCGACCTCTTTGCTCTTCCCACAGACTCTTCAGTCACACGGTCAGCATCATCAGACTTATCCTCGTCACTGTAGATTTCCAATTCCTGCGGCGAGGACGATGTGACCTCTTCAGCCACAGTTGTAGTTGTTTCGACTTCATTAAGTGGCTGGCAGAGAGAGCTGGAAAGTCTCCTTTTCCGGTCTACGGCACCTTCAATAATTTCAATTCGGCACTTTAGGCTGCTTTCAGCATCGCTAGTGACTGTGCAAGGCTTGGAATCTTGTATGCAGGGGGTCAGTTCCAGGTTCAAAACGTAACGAACACCATTGATCACCTATTTATAAATAATTAAATATAATTGAAAATAATTTATTTGAAAAATTGTTACCTGACGGTGGGCTGACACAACTTTGACAAGCTTGTGAGGATTTGCGCTTAGTTGTCCGGCGTTCAATTCAGTAACAGCAGATTTTGCTAAATCTGTGACTTTCTCGTCCTCCTTGTTGACCTCTTGCAAGCAGCCAGTGCAGTATCCAGGGCGTTTCACAACATCACCAATAATTTCAGCTGTCAAATTAACAATTTTGTAATAAATACATGGTTAAATAATTTAAGTTCTAATAACATTTTCCGACAATGGGAACAGTTGGCATCAGCTTGCAGTGAGGACGAGAGAGCAAAATGTCATCCTTCCAGGGCCTCTGGAAAGTAGAGAGGGAGCAGAAAATGGGCTGTCCTTTAGCTTCACACTTCCACTGAACACCCTGGGAATTTTTGGGGCACAGAGTTGAGGCAAGTTTCAGTTGAATGGAAGTAGTCATTCCTCCCGAACCAGGTGTAATCTAAATAATAATTTGATTTCATAAAATTGATAAATTTACTTATTTTAGTACTAACACTTTCTTCAGCCTTGACAATCTCAGCAATGGTGAAATTGAAAACAGAGTCAGTTCCAAAGTTGATCTTATCCACAGCCCAGTTGATCTGGGCTTTGAGCTCATCGGCAGTAATCATGCCATTCCCTCCGTGCGAAGAAAAGTCGTCAGAGAGAGCAAAGCACTTAGTTTCCATTTCCATAATTTGCATAGATCCTGGAGTGCCAAGGGTGGCAGCCAGTTCGCAATTTTCCAGCTCCATCACGTCGCCATTGCCCTCCGTACCAGCAGTCACCTTGGAGGTGATGAAAACTTCGGTTCCGGCAAGAGTTTCCTAAAGAGTAGAAAATTACAGAAGGAAATCAATATATTGCATTCAATTATACCCTTTTCTTGACTGAAAGTATATTGACAAGTTTCCTTTTGCGTCCAGTGTCCCGCTGCAGCTTCTGCAGACTCTCCTCAACAATCTTGGTGATAAAGTTGTTCGAGTTCTTGACGAGGTAGCCCTCCTTGTACTGAGGCATTGGAGGGTCAGACTCGCGAAGGAAGCACTTGACTTCAGACAGTTGGTCTCCTTGGACTGAGCCCTGGCAGACCATCCCTGTCTCAATGCATAGTGGGTCGTCCGCATCTCGACAACGAGGACTTAGTTCGGCCAAGAAATAAGTTGCATCTCCCTGGAAGATTTTACAACAAATTTTAGAAGAAATTATTGTATTTTTATTTATAATAGTTCATTTTAAAAATAAACACATTCACGATATCGAGATTTAATCATTGAATAGTAAAATTTATTAATAAAGGAGCAATCATTGAACATATAATACAATTGAATTTATCTTTCCCACTAAAATTATTTTTAATTTAAAAATAGACTTCTATTTTTACATATTTTGAGAGAAATATTCCCATGATTTTATTTCTTAAAAAAAATTTAAGCATCACATCACAAGAAAATTCATTGAACATCTGTTCGAATTTTTCCAATGAAAATAATTTTTTAAATTGATTAGGTTAATTTATTTATTCTCCATTCTAGGTAAAATAAGCTTGTATTTTTTTTTTTATAATATCTACTTTGTTCATATATTTGAAAACAATTTATCAGAGGTTATCTATTTTTAAACTAATAAGTTGGCATTAATTTACTTCAGCTGACGTGTGCAAAGAAGTCGCCAAAATACACACAACTGCGCACTTGTTTCAAGGGCGATCTAAATGCATGTGAAAGAGATTAATCGCTTTGTTGTTTGTTTTTCCAGTCAATCGAATTGACCTACTTGGCAATTTTTCTTACCACTAATTGTGTTTCGATAATTTCAGCATCAGCGCTGAACTCGTATTTCGAGCCCTTTTCGTCGGTGAGATGTTTCAGCAATTTCCTCGAGATTTCTTGGTTTGTAATTGCAGACTCGTTTCCCAAAACGGAGCAGAGAATCGCTGCGAAAATGGACAGGAGCAGAAGGGGCCTCCTGCTCGTGGCCATCGCGGTCGACTCGTTGTGTTGTCAGGCGGAAAAGCGTATAATCTTTGCGAAAAAAATGCTTGTTTTGGTCGGCACTGCTACGCCTCCATGTTTTGACACACCAAGATCAACTCGTTCGCGTTGCGATGCAGAAGTTCAACAGCCTACCCCCTCTCCTCCCGTGGAAACCCCCTCCATTCATAATCATAATAATACCATGGGTAGTACATAATATATTGTGTATACTGTGGTTTGAATGAATTAGAGTATGAACACCGTTCTTTATAAATTTTCAAAGTTTTCCAAAAATTGAGTGTAAATGAAATTATGATGCAAATTTAATATTTCAACAAATTTTTTCAGGAAAAACTTTAAATAAATTATTTAAATTCATTTTCTTCATGCATTACAATTTTGCACAAAATAAACTAAAACATGAGGCGAGACACATTCATTATTAAGGACATTAAGTACATTATGTTTCAATATAATTTAGTGCATATTTTAATTTTTTTTTACAATAAAATTTTAATTGAAAGAGGGAAAGATAATAAGGATGTGATTGCGATCTGATCGTGATCTGATCGTGATATCAATTCTATAAATTTTAAATGAGCATATTTCAGTATTTTCAGTGTGTAAATTTCAACAGTAAAAATGCAATATAATTTTATGTTTCAGTCACTTTTAAAGAGAAATAATGATTAAAATTCCCCTAATCCTAGAATACTTTTTTTGAATTAATTGCTCTTGAAAAATTGGCTAAAATTTGATTTCTGAATTGATTTTTATTTTAAAAAAATTCTAACCCGTCAAGCAAATTTTTAATTCTGATGCATTTTATTTTTTCTATTTTATTTTCTATAAAAAATGATTGATGTGACTTTCAAATGCTTTCAATTATTAGAACACTGCAGAAATTAAAAAAAAAAAAAATGATTTTAATGATAAAAAAAAATGTTTAGAGCGAATTTCCTGAAAATTTTACCCCTCTTTGTGGCTGGACGAGAGAAAGCATCAAATTGGCAGCATTTGCATCGTTTATTTGCGCTTTTTATTTACTTTGAAAATAGCCAGCTCAGCTATGTAAGCAATCAAAGCCAATACGCATCATAACCTTGTTATAAAACCCTGGTGCTACATATAATTGCAGCAAAGCAAACATCAGTCAGCAACAGGGGGTTGGAATGGAATAAACGCGAGGGTGTGAGAAAAGTGGATGGTGGGGTGTGGAAATGATGTGGAAGCGTGCGCAGAGTGCGAGTCCAGAGATCCGCGAACGAGAGGGAATCCACCGTGTCGGGCCCCGCAGTTTGCTCAGGGTGCGCGAAATAGTCAGGATGCAGCTCGGCTGGACCCCTTTGCATCTGAATGTGAACGAGGAGATCACTTTCCTCTTGACACTGGATAAAACTGTCATCAAGTTCTGTGTTAAGTAGTGCGATTAAAGGATGTACAATTCGCTTAAGAGAAGTTCCAAATCCAAAGGTATTAAATTTTAACTCCAGTGAGACACGAAAAGCTGAGCTAAAAAAAGTGGAGTTCTTTTGCATTTTCCAATAATATAATTTTTGTCATTAAAAATTAATGAAATTTTTTTTATCTTTTTTATAATTGTGTCAAGAAAATTAATTTTATTTTATACTTTTTTGTTGGATTTTTTATTTTATTTTTTAAAATAATTTATTACTTTTTGTTAAAATTTTCCTCTAGATCAAATCGAAATTTCTTTGGAAAAATACCGGCCGATTCTGTATGAACTTTTGATGGTAAATTATACTGCAGGAAAGTAGGTCTTTTTTCCTTTTTTCATTTTGCAATGAGCACCAACATTAAAACGGACCATATTTTAAATTTTTATTGGTGGCCAAGGCCAACAGTGAATAATTTATTAATTGCGCTTGTTATTAACAAGCATAAGTGAAACGGATTTTTTGGTTTTGAAAGATTTTAACTATTTTGACCGTTCTACAAAAATTAAGAGAAAACAGATTTAATACGCTTTTTTTTGCGACTTTCAATCTTGGGCTCTTTGCACTTTAATAAACTTTCAATACTGGCGGACCAAGGTTTTATTTTCTTTTTGGAAATAGCCCAAATTAAACCCTTGGATTGGGTTGAAAGTGTTGGAACTTTTTTGCTAGATATGAAATCAGACATATAAATACAATTTGAAAAAAAAATTATACTATTTCATGCTCCACCTTGCTTAAAAAGTGGCGGTCAGTGGCGGTTAATATAGTTAGAATAGTCCAGTAGCGCTAGCTGATGTATATTTGCTTTTGCCATGATAACAATTTTATCAAAGATTAAATAAAAAACTTTCTTTGATAAATTTTTAATAATTGTAAAATTAATTAATTAGCTAAAGTTGTAAAGTTTCAATCATGGTCTGGTATAATATGTTTCCAGAATTTTTTTTTAAACAACTTTGCTAACTTAAATTTGCTAGGGTATAGACTTCTTTTTTTATAATTTAATTGAGCCACAGACTGGCTTAAGGTAGTTGACAAGTTTTCTTTTTAGAGAAAAGCAATACGTCAAGTAACGTCAAAGAAATCCAATTATTTGATTCTCTTTGAAGTATATTTTTTTTATTACTTTATACTTTTCATTTCAAAAGGATTCAATTATTGTAGCCTGATGTTGCCTGATTAATTTTTATAAAATGTTATTTTTACCTGTTTGTGACCAATAACTTTTATTTAAAAAATCTTTTTAAAATAATAATAGTAATTACATCATCACTTAATTTTTTTTTATTTTAAATACACATACTATAAATTTTATCTTCCTTGCATAAAAATATGCGCTGTTTTTACAATTGAAGTTTGTAACCTATAATCCCCAGCAATATGAACTCGTCCGACTATGGAAATTTCTGCACGTCGGCGAACTGGACGGAAGACGCGGAGTGCCAGTTACTGGACAACGAGGGCTCGTTGTTCCAAGTTCCGACGGCGATGGTCGTGCTACTGTCCATCTGCTACGGCGCCATCTCGGTTGTGGCCGTCGTGGGCAATTCGCTGGTCATCTGGGTAATCGTGTGCAGCCGTCGGATGCAACGCAGTGCCACGAATTGTTTCATCGCCAACCTGGCCATGGCCGACATCGCCATCGGACTTTTCTCCGTGCCTTTCCAGTTCCAAGCCGCACTTCTGCAGCGGTGGAACTTGCCCAACTTCATGTGCGCCTTCTGCCCTTTTGTACAGGTTAGTAATTCACTCTCACACACTGACGGACTAACTGACGGTGCAGACTCTCTTCATTGTTGCAAACTTTGAAGACTCTTGTTCTCCCGTTCGGAGAAATGAAACTTTTGAATATAATAGGTGAAGTTTATTTCGATTCACTTCAGACAGACTAAGAAAAAGCTCAAGCTCCTTTTGTCTTTGGCACACTCTTCCTTTCTTTTACAAAAGCGGCTCTTCATTAACTTGTTTGCGCCACGGCAAAATTGCGACAAAACGTGAGAGAGCGCATCTAACAGAATAACGAGTGGCGGGTGTTCTTGCAAAACTCAATTAAATTTCGCACAAGTGCTCTGACGAAGCACGCGTCTATAAGTGTAAAGAGAAAAGTCCAATTTCTCTATTATAGAATTTTTCGATGACAAAAAACTGCTCTTATAATTTCATGAAACATAAATTGAAAGCTGCCCAAGTTAATTATACACTATGCAACAAAGGAGCTCCAAGAAAAGACGAAAATATAATTTTAAGCGGATCTGTCAAATTTGCTTTGTGAGATTTTCGTGGTATGGAGAAAAAAGCTTGCAGGGTATTAAGGGTATTTTGGGAATTGCAGTTCCCTTGAGGGCGAAGTAATTTGACAAATAAGCGCGCTGCACGGAAGAAAACATGAGAACCGTTTGCAATTGTACTTTAACAAAACATACATTTTTAAAGCTGATGTGTATCTAATGCTATTTATTTATTGTACAATAAGGTGCGATTAAATTTTATTATATTTTTTAATTTAATACAACTCACTTAAAGCTTAAACCATTTTTGCTCTGCTCATTATTTATGTATAAGATATACTCAATTAACACTTAACAAAAGCTATAAAATTCAAACCATCACCAACTTTTTTTCTGGGAAAAAACTTGTTAATTGAATAAGAAAATAAAAAATAACTTAATTTTATGTTAAGTAAAAGCAGAAATAAATAATCATAGAATTAAATTTAAATTATAAACAATTCCCTTTTAATATTATTTTAACATAACAATTCAGTAATGTTAAGAAAAAATTGTAAATTTTTAATAAAAAGTTAAAGTTTTTATCAGCAAATTGAAAAAGAAAATCATTTACACAAAATCTTAAAGTTCTTACACTTCCAAGTATTTTTCCACTTAAAAATATAGGTTGTACAATTCTCATCAGATTAAAAGAAAAAATTGAATTGATTCCACGTAGAGCAACTAGAGCAAAAGCAATCCATTTAATCGGGCACGGTCGTTTGATTTTTATTTTACTACGTGTTCCAGGTGCTGAGCGTGAACGTGTCGGTTTTTACGTTGACCGCGATCGCCGTGGACCGTCACCGCGCCATCGTAAAACCCCTTCGCGGCGCCAGACCGTCCAGTTTGCGAGCCCGGCTCACCGTGGCGTCGATCTGGGTGCTCGGCGGAGCACTAGCGCTGCCCATGACCATCGCCATGCGAGTGACCCTCCTGCAAAACGGCGGCGTCACGAAGCCCTTTTGCTACAACATAAACCTCAGCCCCGAGCAGATGACGCTGTACCGACGCGTGCTGGTGGCACTGCAGTACTTTGTGCCCCTGTGCGTCATCAGTGCCGTCTACGTGAGGATGGGCCTCCGCCTCTGGGGCTCCAGGGCCCCCGGCAACGCTGAAAACACGCGGGATGCCAATTTGCTGCGCAACAAAAAGAGGGTGAGTGCATGTTAATTAATTTTGACGAGAGGACAGAAAAAGGGGATGATAAGACAATTCGCCTGCGTTAATTTAAATTTTCATAATTTATGCCAAAGAACCCTACAAACTTTTACCGATTATTAAAATTTTGTCAAGCAATTTTGAGAGTTCAAAGTGAGAAGTTTCAAGATTTTTATCGCCACTATTGATGGGGAAATTAAAAACGTTCGCATTTAGCTTAAAAATATTAGTGATTTCCAATTGACCAAATATTTTTTTTGTCCTTCGATTTTCTTAAATTAAAATTCATTGATTTAAAAAAAACGAGCATAAATAGCTGGCATTTAGTAGGCAAAGAAGACATCACCAATCATCTAAAAATTATTTTTGCCAATAGGAAGTGCTTATATACTTTCTGCAATTCCCATCGTTGGAGATGATAAATTTTTAGAGGAAGTATATAGTTTTGTCAACGAGGGTTTTAGAATCAAAGGCGAAATAATATGATCTTCTTTAATGAAGTAAATGATTGCTTTTTTGAACTTGTCCAAACCTGATTTTTGCACTAAATACGAAAAACTCGTCTCAATTTCCCAACCCCAATCTTGAGAAAAGAGAAAGAAATTTGTAAATCACGTCCGTTGTAGGAATTCCGATGGAATTTTCCACTTGAACAAACTCTCCCAGCGCTCTAAAGAGATTCAAACTTACGAACATAGAATTCCTTTAAGAAGTCACTTAATGCTAAATGCCATTGTGCTTCTACGGCAGGCACTATTTTCTTTACGTATAATTTTCCACTAAACCCAGAACTTGGTATCAGGCGACGTTTGCGGCATGCGCTGGTGATTCCAAGAATAGGAGAAGCTTGCAAGTTGCTCATCCGGATGAGTAGTTTCCGACTTTCGACTCCCTGTCATTTCTGTCATTTTCCTCGACCATACAGCTTTTAAGTGCACGAAGGAAAGGAGCTTACCGTTGTCTAAAAGGATATATCGAAAAAAAATACCTGAAATTTCGTTAAGCTAAAAAAATAAAACTTTTTTATTAATTTTCTGCGGCGCAAACTTCGATCGTTTATGCAACCCGCACGCTACTCGCGCAAAGCGGGTTGCTCGCCTCCTCATAAAAACGCCTCCGCCTGCTTTTTGAGGGGGAGGAATTCATTCACAAAGTGTTTTTCACGAAAAAAAACGATGCTTTTCTTTTAATCAAAGGCAGCAGTGCGTGAAACGTGTTGTGAAAAGCATTCAGCTCTGAAAGTGTGTAACGTTTTGTGCTCTCTCTTGTCCGCAGGTCATCAAAATGTTGGTCATCGTCGTGGCAATTTTTGCAATTTGCTGGCTGCCACTTCAAAGCTACAACGTTCTCCAGGACATCTACCCTCAGATAAATGGGTGAGCTTGTAGCAATTTCCTATACTTACATGCCCATATCTGTACTCGGGAGAGCAAATTCCTCCCACAGAATAAGAGCCGGAAATTCTGTTTATTTACCACAGACAATTTGGAACTTCTCAGAAGTGGCTGAATCTTGTTCGTGTGTGATAATTTACTTCTCAATGCTCTAGAAACATTTGCCAGTTTCTAAGTTAATGAACCGCGAACTTGCACGTTGCCCAAGTAATTAACAAGTACTGTTGTTGCCAAAGCAGCGCGCTCAAATCAACAAAGGACTTTAATTAGGGCCTTGGTAATTAATTTGAGGGTTGCTGGTTTGTTGCAGGTACAAATACATCAACATAATCTGGTTCTGCTGCGACTGGCTGGCAATGAGCAACAGTTGTTACAATCCTTTCATTTATGGCATCTATAACGTGAGTACTACCATTATTGGCCGGCCATTAATACGCATTAAGCAGAATTAGTTGTTAAATTTGCACAGCCTCTGCACTTAAGCTAATTGCATCTAATAACAGGCAGCGCGCTTGTAGATTTGATGGTAACACGCGCCCAGCAAATCGATCACAATGAACCATCGCACCCCCTGCGGGCCACTTAATTAACTTGTTTTCGGGTTAACGAGTTTGTTTTGACTGCCCAAGCCGAAGTAATTCTTTGCACCTCCGCCCTTTTAATCTTATTGCTGTCTGGCCCCTCTGTCAGTTTTCGGTTTCAGTAGATTGCTGGGGGAAAAAAACAATCCCCTTTATATTATTTTTTTTTTTTGCTCAGTGTCATATGTATACTTCCAAAATTTCTTATTGGAAATTTTAAATTGTGAAAATTCTTCTTGAATGGAACGTTTAGTTTCAAACCTAGTTAATAATTAATATTTTAAAATTAATATTCCTTTTAAATCATCTTTATTTCCAAAATTTCAATTAATGAAAGAAGTCATTTCAATTACAGAAATTTATCAAAATTTACAGTCAGTTATCAAGTAATTTACAAAATAAAATAAACTTTTGTACCCACGCAGACTCCGTCAACATTGGCAAAATTAATCTGTTATTAGTTAGGTTATGATATTAATTTATGCTCAAAACAATAATTTATTTTCCGTAAAAAATTAAATTAATGATAAATATTTTATGATTTTTTTTACAATTAATTTATATTTATAAATAATTAATGAATATTTTAAACTCAAAATATACTTTAAACAAGAACCTTATTTTTTTTCTCGGCAGTAAAGACATTTGAATAATTAAAAATTATTTAAATTTATAATTTAAGTATAATTTTGACATATTAGCTTAATCTGTTTTCATTGATTTGGTATGGAAAAAAATATTGAATTTGAACTGAAAAAAAGAATGTGTGTATTAATTTATAAATATAAAATGTTCATTAGATTAAAAAAAATCAGATATTTAGAAATGCGAATTTTTTTTTTCGCAGGAAAAGTTCAAGCGCGAGTTTCGGCAGCGTTTGCGCATCCTGTGTCCACGTCGGCAGTGGGAACCGGCGGCCGAGAACAGCTCTGTGGTCGGCGCAGACGTTGAGCTGAGCGACTACGACAAGACTCGCAAGGGCCGCACCCTGACACCGCTCAACGGCGGCTCAACCTTTGTGTACCGCAGCTCGAGTGTCCGATGCAAGGACAACGTGCACGTCAACTCGGGTCCGACGTACAATCACGCATCCACTTCGTCGCCACACGCGTCCAACCACTTGAGAATTTGCCAACACCAGCAGCCGCACCATCATTTGCACGAACTCGATTTCTAAGTCAGTGCCAACGCCAACAACGTAAGTATCGACAAGAAGTGTACGTGTGACGGATTTATCCCCGCCCGATATTAAATTTTGTAAGAAAAAAAAACTAACTAAGACTCATTCAAAAAATTTTGTGCGGTTCTGAGAAAATGATTTTGTGCTCAATTAGTAGAGAAGGTGTTTTTAGGAAGCTTTAATAAGTGTTTCTATCTCATGGTTGTGTCAAAATTTGTTGTTTATGGATATTTGAATTTCTTTAAGAAAAAAAATAATTAATGTTAAACATTTTTAAAGAGCCTAATTTGGCTCAGGCTAACTAAATACGTCATTTGAATTGAATGACAGTTTGTTAGCCTCAAACTGTCACCCTCATTAAGCTATGTTTGCCTGGACCAGGTCGTGAGTCTAATTTTTATTTAGCTTGGGAGCAAAGTTGACTTAAGAACTCATAATCAAACGCACGGGCCAGAACTAAAATCAAAGGACAGGTCAACGTTGTAGCTGCCGAGCTAAAATCCTTAGCCAGGTAAGTCTTCATAAAAACGCCGAAAAAAGCTTTGATTAGAGCTAAAAGAAAAAAAAAACTTTTTAAATGTTAGTCAAAATTTTTTTTTAACCGTGTTAAGTTTTCATAACATCTTGACTGTTTCATGTATTAAATTTTATAAATTGTTGCCCATCTTTAATTTTTCTCTCCAAAATATCAAAGTTTGTTTAAAAAAAACACACGAGGTACCTAATATTTAAAATAATTGTGATTATATGAATCTAGTTGATTATTTTTTAACTATGTATTATGGTGCTATATTATAACCCATGACTGTTTCCATGATCTCTCGTCAAAATCCTTGTAATTGATGTTTCAATGAAATGTTGATGAAGGGGAAAATGAAACGCAAAAACTGTATATAAAGTGAAATAATTATATTATATTGAAATAAATTATTAACCTACTGTCATTCGCGATGTTATGTATCAATGGAGATTACTGATCGTGAACGAAAAATAAATAACGAAAATTCGCTCAATACCAAAATAAACGCCAATTTCGTTTCTCAACTTTCCACTCTCGACACTTTCCACGCATAAATTTAACACTAAATTTAGAGAAGAACGCGACACGAGATTCCTTTTAGAGGCGCAATGCAAAAACGAGCGTGGAGATCATTAGTGCGTTGTCAGATCCATAAAGTTATCGGGCCGGAGCGAAATTAGCGTTGAACTACTTTCGCACAGCCACACACGCAGTAGAAGGTTTAGTGTCAGTTTTTACTAAAAGGACTCGCATTAAATGACGCTTTCATTCGCACGTTCCTCGCGAGACAAAGTATTCTAATTGCAATTTTCACTGCCTCACAATTGCAAAACGGCGTCCCTGGGCTCCGGTTCGTCCAACTCGTCATCATCAAGAGTTAAAGGGTAGGTGGGGTGGTCGAAGTGTGAGCTCTGATGGGGCTGCGGTTTCAACTCGTTATGGCCAGGCCGGTGGTTGCTGAACACTAAAGTGGAGAAAGAAAGATTACGTTATATGAATTAATTGTTAAAAAAAAAAAAGAATTACCTGATTGGCCTTCGAGCAAAGCGTTGCTAATTACGGACTGGCCTTTGGCTTTGGAGGCCGTGGCCGAGCCGTACCGGTGACGGTTGAAGATGTGGATGTTGGGGTCGTTGAGAATGTCGGGGATGGGATCAGATTTAAAAGCTTTGTCGCCTTTGAAATTGAGCACCGTTTCATCTCTCGGCGACGGCGCCAAATCGGATAGAGGCGCCGGCTTGCTCGGGCTGAAATTTAGTAGAAAAAGTAGAAGTGCCTCTTTATTGCCTTTTAAAAAGAAAATTGAAAGAGCGCCAAGGAGAAAAGAGGAGATTAAATTACTATGAAAAAATTGAAATTGAATTTTCTGCTATGCACTAGGCTAGGTCACCTGAGATTGAAGCATGAATTATATTTTAACGAATAATTTTAAAGTACCTTTTTCATCTTTGTTTAGTTTAAATTTGTTTTTGAAAAGTTACCATCATTTTTAAAAAGTAGTTTTACTTTCTTAAATTTTTTTAAATATTTTTCCGTTTCTGCTCCGAATGCGCCAAATACATAATTTATTATTATTTATAACTGATCTTCATTAGTTATATTCATTAGAGCGCTTAAATTAGGGAGTATAAAATTTAACCCCTAATTTTTCCCCAAATTAGTGTGAATAGAAACCAGATTATTTAATTTATCTGCTATTGGATTGGCTGAATTTAAATTTTACCCTAAATTTTTGCGTCAAATATTCAACCAAATAATTCTTCTAAAAATTGTGATAAATAAAATCTACTTTCCTTCCAGCACAATGTAAACACATATTATCAGATAATTCTTACTTGAGATTGACGTCGCCCTGTTTTCGGCTCGGGAAGAAGTTGAGATGCAGCATGATTTGGTGGGGTTTGCTCCCATCGGAAATTGGTCGGTCGTGGTCTGCGCCCCGGTAGGAGGAGGGCCGGTAAACCTCGTTGTGGTGGCTCGGTCGACCGTGCAGAATTTCATCCCTGTTCTGCGAGTTGCTGTCACTGTGGTAATTTTGAGGTCGAGGTTTTCCGCGGTATCTCCGTTTCGGCGGTCGCCGTGGCCGCTCCCGCGACGGAGAGGACGTTTCGTCGCGGCCCATTGGGTGGATGTCGAGCATCAGACTCACGGTCTTTGGTTTTCCGAGCGAGTCCAACGTCTTTTGCTTTGATTTTCCAAAGCCCAAAAGAACGTTATTAACCTAAAATTAGAAATTTTTAATTAAAATAAATAAGTTTAAATTGTAATTTTTAAACATCAAAATTTGTATTAAAATTATAATCTGTGGCTTTAAAAATTTGCTATTTTTGTATCTAATTTTAAATAAACCCCTCATTTTTCTCAATATATCTTTCGCTATTAAAAATCTCTTTACACTGTAATTTAAAATACAACGTTAACATAAAAAATTTGCTTTTTTTCTATAATAAGTTCAAGTCTTTATAATTTTTTGATGGTTTATATATGGTTTCTTTCAAGGATTCTTAGCAGTTTGAAAGTTTTGATTAATTAAATTTCTACTTAATAAATTATTTTTATTCTAATACTTGATAAATTCTTGACTTTAAGTTTTAAGCCAATGAAAATTAAAACATTTATCTCTTTTCATTTGCAAAACTTTGGACCATTTTTCACAACTATAAAGTTCATACTTCTTTTGGGTCTCCGGCCATTCGAAAATCCTCCAATGGGTTGGTCGAAACGATGTTCGACTCTTGCCTAGTTTCCCCTGGGAACATGCTGAACGGGTCCTTCATGTCCAAGTTTTTCACTTTGCCTATGAAGCGCAGGCCGTGCGTGTTCGAGCGACCCCGTTTGCCTTCCGTTAAAAAGTGAATGATGTCCTGGATGCTTTTCGAGTCTTGCGGGTAGTGGTATTTTTTCTTTTTCGCTTTGTGTTCATCCTCGCCAAACACGTACGGGTCTGCAAATGAATGGAAAAAATGTATAGCACTGTCCTATATTTATTTGCCAACGCCAGAGCAGGTCATCGCGCTTTGAATGGAGGCAATTGAGAATTAACTAGGTTGTGCATAATTTGAATTGAAGTCGCGTTCGGAAAGAGGAAAAGATGTATTTAATGCAGCGAAAAAAGTTTTCATCAATGTCAGGCTCCCCATTATACTAAATTTGAGCACAGTTGGCGAGGAGCAAAATCGTGTTCAAATTTTTTTAGAATTTTTTAAAATTGTCAAAAAATTAAATATTACTACAAAAATTACAGTTGCGCAAATAAAGCCCATGCTTTTCTCTACAAAGCCATAGAAGTTTATATTTTTTCATTTTATTAGAAAAATGTGGAAAAATGGAACTTTGCAAACCCTTAATTATTTCACATTGACCAGGAGAATTTAGTTTTTATTTATATCATTGCATGAGAGATAAATTTAATTGGGTTTCGTAAAATTAAAAATCAATTTTTCAAAGATGAACAATTTTTCCAGAGCGCTCAGCCTTCACGGCGCTGCTTGAGATAGAAAAATTTGAAGCGCTACCAATCAGTGCAATATGCAATCGCGGCTTTTTTTGCTGCATAAACGGAGGGAAAATGAGGGGGCGGGGTCAGTAATTGTTTACAAAGAGACATATTGTGATGTTGTGATGTGCGTTTCGGCTCTGAAATCGGTTCCAAAATGAGTGTTTTTTCAAAAAATCCTAATGAACTCGGGTCCCGGAGAAGCGAGAAGCGGCGGCCGTCCTCAATTTGATCATCGTTCCAGCCGCGGCACCACAGGTAAGTCTCAATTTGAACACGATTTCGCTCCTCGCCAACGGTGCTCGAATTTAGCAACTCCAGGAATCTCAAATTGACAAAACTTTTTCTCGGTGTGTGAAATTTGAAATGGATAAATTAGCGTGATATTCAGATTAAACGTAATTTTCTCTCGTGTCTCTCATTAAATGAAAAATAGAAAGACAAAAAAATACTGATTTTGTTTTTTATGAAGTATTTGCAGTATTTCTTCATAAGTTCTCTGAAGTTCTTAATTGAAATTTTGAGGTCAGATAACCCATTGATTTTCTTATGCTAACAGAATTGTTGGCTCTTTGTACTTTTTTACACTTTTTTATTAAATTCAGATTTAATTAAAGATTGAGGACATAAACAATTTGGAAAATTACCAAGTTTCTAACTTAAAAATGAAATTTTTCTTTTTATACACCATGTATCTCATAAAAATGAATAGAGTATCAAAAGATTCATAAAAATAAACTTATTTCTAGCAGACTTTCCCCTAAAATTATTTTTCCACCCAGTAGAATTGCGCTCCTCACCATAGGAATCCTGGGATAGAACGTTGAGCCTGAAAGGCATTTGATCCGAGTCTCCGTTCCTTTTGTGCGAGGACATATAAGATTTCCTTCTTTTCCAGTAGCCGTCCCTCATCTTTTTGAAATACTCGGGGTCTCGCATCATATATCGCATTACTGGCGGCGGAATCGGCGTTGGTGACTCTGTTGACGTCGCGTTTTCACTTTTCGCCAACTCTTTGTTGAACGGCGCCATTCCCCGAATCGCCTTTTCCACTTTGTGCTTATCAATGAGATGGTGCTTTGTCTGAGAATTCACCACCCTCTGGTCGCCCAGCACCGCTTCGTGAAGCAGAAGGGAAACCTTAACAAATAATAACAACGAAAAAAATCTAAATCAAATTAAATTGCTTGACCAAAAGGATGATTAAAATATATTTTGGCTCATTGCACAAACTTATTATTTGGTAAAGAAGCGAAAATTCTCACAATTTACAGCTTTTTAGGAAAGAGCCTGCCAAATTTAATGAAAAATTCACATCTCGTAAAAAGCTCTACTATTTCTAACCAGTTTGAAAACTTTATAGTTGACCTAAAATAACATTATTTAATATTATTTCTCCCTTCTCATCCCATTTAAAGATTTTCGCTTCATGAATAAAAAAAGGAGGCAAAGGAAGTGAAACGCTCTTTAAATTTGATGTTCGTAAAAAATTGTTTTGTATTTTTTTGTAATTAAATTTAGAGTGAAGAGTTTAACACTTCAGGAGAGTTCGTAAATTTAAAAAAACGCGCTTTTCGTCGTATATGAAGTTTTTTAAATTAAAAAAAGCTACCAGTTTTGGTCACTTTCTGGATCATGTTTCATAAACGAGAATAAATCCCAGCAAAAAATGTTTTTCTCTAATTTTTGCTGCTTTTTTGCATAGTATTTATTTGCTCATAAAAAAGGGTTGCAGATCGCAACACCGTAACTTATATTAGAGGGCATTTCTGTTTTTCTTCTTTCCTTTTAATATAAATCAATTTAATTAATGAAGAAATCCAGTACTGTTCACCAATTAATTGTATGCAACGCCATTAAACGTGTTATATAATTACAAAAAGTTAATTGGAATATCTTAATTTTTCAAAATTCAACACGTTAAGAAATTTAATTACTTCTTCTACTGATTAGAGATTTTTCAAAATCAACAATTTTTTTAATATATTCAAAAAAATTTCATCCTAATTGACTTTTTTTTCAAATTTAATATTAATTACTAAAAATTTCCGTAAATAAATATTCCTATTTAATAAGCAAATATCTCCTATTATTTTTCCCCAAAGTGTATGTCTACCCCGGTCTAACGTAGTCAATTATTCATCGAGGAAATTCAAATAAGCCCTCGGATGAAAATGCAAATGTCTGGAAACGAATATGCAGCACTCACCACCAGCAACGTGACAAATCCCATGATGGTGACCACAGCTATCCTTACCAGGTGGATTCTGTCCTGGCTGTAGAAATAGAACTCGCTCAAGCTACGTCTACTGCTTTGGGTGCTACTGCGACTCGAGCTCATTACTGACTGTCTTCCTTCTGCCTCCAATTTTGCAGTTTCGTGACCAAATCGCACGCCCTGATACGCCCTGCGGCACACCAAGTGCTCATTTCGTCGCGCTTCTCTGTGTCACCAGGCCGCAGATTGGTGCTGCTGCTGATGACAGCCTTTTTATTGTGATCATCGTTTATTTATTTGCACCAAATTATTTATATACTCGCAGTGCGCGCCGACGCGTTAATTAAAACTAAACCGCGCGCGGGCTTGTTATTTTCCTGCGGCGCTTTTGAAACAAAAAGCGGCCAACAATTTAACGTGGTTTTTATTCGTTTGATTTTTTTTTTGCAAATGATGCCTCGGGTGTTTTCCGAAATAAAATCGCTGGCTTTCATTAAAGCGAAATCATTCACTCATCAAAAGTCTGCCACTTGAAGAGCAAGTCGACGTTTTTTTTCAGCTCATTATTTTCCTTTCTCTGTAGAAATGCCCTATTTTAATAATGAAAATTCAAGAAATTTTCACTCAGCAAGAGGCTAATTTGACCTATTTTAATCTGCCAGCATTAAAATTAAACCTTTCCGCACGGCATTGTTGGAATGAATTTAACACTTGTAGTGGAGTTCATTGCTAATTAATCCTTTGTGCTTTTTGCCTACACAAGCACTTTAATTGCAGTCGAAATTTCTGTTGCGGTGCGAACAATGCATGGCCGGCAACAATTATGGTGTAAAAACGATTTGACCTCTTGCAAATTGGCCGTCCCTTGAAAAGCAAACGAAACTCTTTGTTCACATTTTGTGCTTTTCTGCCACGTTCACATCAAAATAAATATGCAAATTGGCATTTACGCTTCTCTACAAAACAAGAAGTGAAGAGTGCCACTCTGGGGTTTTTCTGCTCAAAATTGGATTTACGGCTGAGCCGGCAAAAGGCGTTTGAAGCCCTCAACAAATCCAATCATAATTTTTTTTGCAGATAAGAACGAAAGTTTGTTTGCGCAATTTATTTCCGAGATGGTTCTGCGAATCAATCACGGCAAACAAGTTTTCACCAGGAAAGTCTGCTGCGAAATATAAATGAATGCGAATGAGCTATTTTTATGTAAATTGTAAGCCGCCTGGCAACAGGGCCTTCCAAGTAGAAGTCGCATAACCTGCGTGAATCATTGCACCTCTGAGGGTCACGTGTGTACCTGACGAGGAGGATCTCTGGCAGCGAGTCGCGGCTCTCAGAGTGTGTTTTGAATCAGTGGAAAAGAATGGCTCTCTCCGAGAAGTGCGTTGTTTTGGCCGCACTAACGCTTTGCCTGCTCGCACACCAGGCTAGCACACAGGACACCGGTAATTATCTTAATTGTGTAATATACTGAAAAAGATGCAATATTTTTTTCTTTCAAAATAATAGCGAGAATTTTCATTTTCATTTTTTTTTTTTTTTTTTTTTTTTATATTTTTAGAGCTTAAAAAATTATAAAAATACGTACTGATGTATAACAAAAATGTTAGAGTGGAAGAGTTCATTAAATTTAATTATTATTTTGGTACAAGAATTGGAAGGTTGCAACTTTCCCCTAATTATGAAAAACTACGCAAACTGGTAAAGGACCTAATAGTTAGGCTTTCTCAGACTTTCTGAAGAAAAAAATTAAAGTTTATTGCTTTGAAACGAGAAAGAATTAACATTATTTTAATAATTTAAATTTTAAATAACCAAAATGGATGGTTCTAATAATTTCAAATTCAAATCAAAAGTTATTCACCCTTTTTTTATGTTCTACAAGTATTCAATCAAAGACGTCAACTCGAATATTATTCTGATGGAATATCACTTCTCTTCATCCTTTTTTTCTTCTTGTCTACAGAACGTAGGGCCCCAATTGATGAGGTTTGCTCGAAGGCCATCAGTATTGATTCCTGGCCTATCAAGAAGGAAGATCAAGTTTGCGGAGCGGACGGAATTTTGTACCCCAGCCAAAATGCACTCGAGTGTATTTCCAAACACGCAGGCAATCATTTTTCACGCACAGATTTATCTTGACGCGAACTGTTCGCTCAGCCTAAATTATAAAAAATGCATGCATTTTTTTTACCAATGGAGAAAGCTGATGCATCATAGACTGGTGAGAGCCGGTGACCTTTTTGCTTGAATTTTAATTGAATACTCCGTTAAATTATGATCAAAAAGTTTTTTCAAACAGCCCAAATAGTGAAGTAATAATTCAGGTGGCATTTTAGATTGAAATGGAGTTGAAAAATTAAAGAAATGTGAAAATAATCCATCTAAAAGAGTAAAAGTTTGTTTTAGTCCCACATTTTGAATCAGAATGAACTTTGGGGCAATTTAAAAATAAAAAAAGATCTTTTTCACTAGTAGTATGTTGATGCAGCAGTTTGTGTCCTTTGTTATAATTGGTAATTATTCCTGGCCGGTCTTGTATATACAAATTGCAATTCCGCGTGTTGGTTTATTGGAAACCAACATACAAAGTGAGTATTTTGGCGAAATTGCTGATACTAATCGATTATTGGGTACACGCAGGACTGGTGGAGCAACAGGATCGTGAAAAGTGCAACGAATCAGGCGCCAAGTTCGATCCATGCCTCGTTCTGGCCTACGCAGCCGTGCGCAAAGTGTGCGGCTCTGATAATGTGACGTATAATAATGTGTGGCATATGGTGTGCACGGCCAACATGTACCGTGTCGGTAATGGCACTCGACTATCGCCCATTGTTAATGAAATTAATAATAATCCTCCGACAGAGATAAATGTTCAGCATGATGGCGAGTGTTCCATCGAGTGTCCTTACTCGCCCATCTACAAACCTGTTTGCAGCACAACTGATTACACCTATGCCAACATGGAGGCCCTCAAGTGCAGGCAGATACTGCAGCCGTATATCAGTAAGCGCTGATCTCAGATTAGAAACCAACATTATTCATTTATTATCTCATTATTTTAACTCTCCATTATGCTCATTGTCAGAGGCGCGCATAATGGCGTTGTGCTGGATCCCACAGTTGTGATAATCTCAATTTTAAATTTATTTATTTCTTCTGTACTTGAAGATTTAATTTCCTTTAGTAAGGAACGTGCAAGTAGTCTGCAAATTTAAACAAACGTCCCCTTGTTGAAAATTTTGTTTATTCAATGAGGACAAGACCGTTTTCATTTCATCACAAAAGTTTAATTAAAAAAAAAAAAAAAAACTGGAAATTTTATTTGCACTGGCTTATAAAAGTCTTAAAAATTATAGACTATAGTCCTTTTACCATTGTTATTTTGAATTTCTCACGTCATTTTATAGGAAAAATACTTTTTATCCTATAAAACTTAATTATCAGTGCTTTTAACTAATTATTATTTTTTATGCTAACGCAGAACAGGAATTTCCACACGCAACGCCATTAACGAAGACAATTCAATTAAAAAATTCAGCCTATTAAGCGTTAAACAAAATTTCCATCTGCCCCTATTCGAATTGCTTGCTAATAGGCTCTTTTCTTTCTATACGCTTGGGGATGGTAACATAAAGAGTGGCTGTTTTTTCCGCTTTGGAAGACACAAAAGCTTTTAAAATATATATGCGTTTCGAAATGAGGGGTGAATGAAAAGTTGGCATTGTTTCCGCGTCGGATGTTTTATAACTATACTTTGCAGAGAACGATTTTCTGCACGAGGGCCAATGCAAGCGGCACCAGAACACCAACCCCTGCCACGTCACAAACACATTCACCCCGGCGTGCGCCTCCAACGGGCGGACCTACTCGAGTGCTCAACACATTCGCTGCCTAAAACAAGTAAACGGCGAGCTGAAGGTGTTGCACGACGGCGCTTGCACGATTGCCGAGGTGGAGAAGATTATCGGGCCGGACGACGTTTGCCGGATGGCGAAAAACAGACACGAGTGGAGTCCCGTCTGCGGCACCGATAAAGTCACCTACGTCAATGTGTACCGATATCTGTGCACGAAAATGGAGAAAGGAGAAGGTGCTTTACCCTGTAATTAATCACGCAGAAAGATCAAATTCCAAACTTGCGTTTTAAAAGGCAAAATATATAAAGCATTGAAGTCATAAGGTCTTCTTTAAGTATCAGTGCCGTTATAAATATGTGAACAAAAACAATTTTTCAATGACCATATAATATATAGGTGTTAGTTAACTTCTATTGAATAGACCGCAAAAAAATTAACTCGCTAAAATTACTGACTCAAAGACTTTTTGCTTGAAAAAACATTTTCAACTTAAATTTGAGCCTAATTGTAAGTGTCATCTTATTTATTTATTTATTCTCCATTCAGATGCAATATGAAAAACACAACATCTTAATTACATCAAGTCAATACACAAAATAAATATTGTCTGTGGATAATAATTTTTTCACCTACTTTTTAAGTATTTAGACGTCAGTCGGGAAACAAAGGTATTAAGATTTTAAGTTTTACTAAAAAAACAAAACAATTTGCCTAGAACCTTTGGAATTTGATTGTAGAAACGATTCAAGATTTTGGCTAACAATAATTTGATTTTCCAAGTTTTTGGAGCCTTTAAGAAATTACTTAACACGCTAATCGCATTCGCCAAAACCGATAAACGGCGTTTTATACAAAGTTTATGTTTTCCATTAACAACTTTCCAAAGTGAAAGTTTCTATGTTTAGCGCCGTGCAATAGTTTATTAATGGATCAAAACTTTTCCATCAGATTTGCAAGTGTCGCATTCGGGCGAATGCGGGTCCTTCGACTACTGCCGAGAGCCTGAGCCAGATGTTAAAACCGCGATTTGCGGTACAGACGGCGTTACCTACCCACACGAAAACGCTCTTTACTGCGCCCAAACCAACTCGCGATGTGAGTATACCCAAGGCGTTTTACGCATTTCACCCGCGCGCCTTTCTTCGCCGATCTGATAGCGGCGCATAATATACATACACACATTTCATGATCGTCATTTTTCAGTCCTGGGCAAAAAGCACAACGGAGCGTGCAATGAAACTCTCGACGACCCTTGTTTGCACAGAGGCTCACCCTTTTTGGACGACAACGGCAGACCCGTTTGTGCTGCCAACTCCGTCACTTTTGTGTCACCCCAAGCGTTGTGGTGCGCAGCCAAAAATGACCCCGGTTAGTTGGAATTTAAAGCTTGCAATTAGCAAAATGATTTTTGTGAGAAATTTACATTTTCCACCATGTGTTTTATTTTTTCCAGAGATTAAATTAATCCACGCCGGAGAGTGCTTTTAATGAAGAGTGTATACGTGAGGGCTTATAAAAGAAGAAGAGGGTTTCCGCCCCCGTGCTAATATTTCATAACTTATAAATTTTCCTGAGTAATTTCGCTGCCCGTGGCCATGCTTGAATATTAATAAAAACAACCCTTTATGCTGTTGTGTAATCTGGTGGTTTAATCTTGCGTCCGCCGCATCTATTAAATGAGAAATGTGTGTCCTTTTCCTTAAATGCGCATTAAAACGCCAACCATGAGAATATATATGAGTGTGTGCTTTTATTCCTTTAATATCACAAAAGCATGGAAATATTTTCAGTAAAAATGTCACGCTTGGCAATGTGTGTTTGGCTATTGTGGTTATTTTTATGATAGGCCCCGAAATCAATATGCAAAAAAGCTCTTGCGGAAGAGCATGAAATTTTATACGAAGGTCTATACGTGCTAACGAGGAGCAATGCCGACGTCGTATATGATCCCTAGCTGCTGCAGAAAATGTATTTTAAACTAATAATTTCCGCTTCAAGCTCTACTGCACACTTTTGCTTAGATGTTTTACAACTGCGGAATCCAGACCTTAAGCGCACATGGCACAGAGCAGACCAATTTCGCTGCGAAAATATGCTGTTATCATCGCGCGCTCACGCTCTCCGCTCGAAATGTGGGTGCAGCGCAGCATTTTAATGGGCAGAACGGAGAAAATTGCTTCCATTACACGGGTCGCATAGCTTCTCCGAATACACACACGCAAGAGTATTAGAATGCATCATAAAAACAGGCAGCTGAACTTTATTAATAAACTCAGACATAACGTAATATGAAAAAAGCATTTTTATTTTTTATGAATAGCAATGACACAATACAAAAACCCCTTGGGAATCTTCTATATAAAAATTCCAAGAAAATTGCAACACCATTTTTATAATTAATTGATACATTATATTATTATCGGCAGCGAGTGCATTGTGCAATCAATTAACCACTAACCGGCTCTACTACTACTGTCGTCTGTTGCCTCTGGGCGCATTCCGGTTGCAGAGGAAACCGTGGAAGGCGTGTGAGCACAAATCCACCGGCGGCTCCTTGCGCGGCAGAGCCACTCTTGTCGGGTCGTTGAACGTGAACTCGGGAATTTGATTCGGCTCTTCAGGCGCCACGGTGGTCGTCGTGGTTGTAGTTGTGAGAGTAGTTCTGCGAGGGGTGGTCACCGCTCTCCTCGTGGTCGTAGTCGGGGTGGTCCGCGCTACCGGAATAAGAACCGAATTTTCGATGTTGGAATTCGCACCCTGCTGTATTGGAGGCCTCGGCGCCCTTTTCGGAGTTGGATTGCACAGGAAGGCGTGGAAAGCGTGTTTGCACTTGTCTTCCTCAGGGCGCAGTTTCTGCAGGGTCTGCTGGGCGGGGGCGGAAACCCTGTCCGGAAAGTTGAAACTCGGTGCCGGTTCGATCGGTTTGGGAGTGGTGGTGGTGGTTGTTGTTGTAGTGGTGGTTGTAGTTGGTCTTCGAGTTGTTGGTCTTCGTGTGGTGGTTGTTGTTGTGATGACCTTCGGTTTAATGGCGACAGGCAGAAGGACACTCGATTCTGGAACTTCCACTGGCTTTGGTTTCAAGCGTTTGGGGCAGAGGAAACTGTGGAAGGCGTGCGAGCAAAGATCGACTGGTTTGTCCTGGGGTGCGACAATTTTGGGCAAAGCAAAAGACGGGGAGTCGATCGACGCTTCAGGTACTGGAGGTGGTGGGGGAGGCTTCGTTGTAGGTTTAGGTGTTGTAGTTGTGGTTGTGGTGGTAGTTGTTGAGGGTTTGATTGCCACTGGTAAAAGAACGCTAGACTCTGGAATTTCAACTGGTTTTCGGGCGATATTCTTCCTTTTGGTGCCAGTTTGGCACAGGAAACTGTGGAAAGCGTGCCCGCAACTGCTTTTGGGTTGCGGGGCGACGACTGGAACAACCCTTTGCTGTGCAGGAATTCGGTTGGCCTGAGCGAAACTCGGCGAGTCGACGGACGCTTCGGGCACTTCTGGGGGTGGCGGTGGCTGTGTCGTTGGCCTTTTTGTTGTTGTGGTCGTAGTTGTTGTAGTCGGTTTTATTACAGCTGGTGCGAGGAAAGAGTTTTCAGGTCTGATAGGATTGATTTTGGCCTTTTTTGCGGGCTGGCAGAGGAAGCTGTGGAACGCGTGCCCACAGAGATCCTCCGTTTTACTTTTTCTGACATCGACGTTGGCAGAAGCCGAGCCGGCTAATTGGACGGGCTTTGGCGGCGGTGGGTTGATGCGAGTTGCTTTTGGGGTGCTCGTAGAAATAATGTACGTCGGGTCTAAGAACGAGTTTTCACCCGTCGGCGAAAGCAGCTCATCCTCTTTCGGCGCAGCAATTCGGGACGGAATCGATGCGGAAGGCTGCGGCTGAATGCGAGCTCTGTGATTTCGATTATTGCTGCAGAGGAAGCCGTGGAAGGCGTGCGAGCAAAGATCCGTCTCGCGTTTGGTCAGAGGAATGCCGTGCGACACACTGGTCAGTGCCAACAGAAAGACCACTTGGCGCAGGTCAGTCTGAAAAAAAAATAAAATAAGATTTTATTAAATTGAATGAACTCTTAATTTAAGGGTCTTAAAATTAGCAATATTATTTATTATTCCTCTGCCACAATTTCAAAAATATTATATATGTAGTGCAAAGGTTAATTTTGAATAATTTAAAATATGAGCTTATCGGTTTCAGAAAATTAATTTTTATATTTTTAGAAAATCATAGAATAATAAATTTGTGAATAATATTTTGCGTTTTTTTCCGAGCTCCTAAAATAATTTTAAGTTTTTAATTAATATCCATTGTTTTCAAAAGCTGAATAAAAAATAATATGAAGTAACAATTTCAATTTAAGCAATTTATGAGAATCTTTTAAAATTGAATAAGTTATTATTTTTTTAATTTTTATTTAAAATTATTAAATTTATCAATTAAATTTATTCCATAATATAATGAATTTAAAATACGGTTCTAAGATACTTATTTTTATTAATAATATTATTAATTATTATTATTAATGTTCATTTTTTTTAAAATTATATTAAAGAGGTTTCAAATCATAATTCAATCATGAAATTTTAAAAAATTCTTCAGGCGTTTGTTGTTGTTTTTTTTTTTTTTAATTACATTTCAAATTTTTCTTAAAATACAAATTTATAAATGATTAATTATTGCTACCGGAGCCATCTGGCATATTATGGTATTGCAACAGCGAAAGGACCGCCGTTAGAACTGTCGGTGATTAATTTCCCTTTTTTATTACACGAATAATGTGTTGCCATGAAGCTGAGCATCTCTCAATCCATCGACGAGTACGAAGTCATTTGTGCCGATCTTGGGTCGCGCGCATGTCAAACATATGGGTAAAAATCTTGTGCAATAATAACGTTGGGTTTTGTAACGAAATTAGGCTAAATAGCCCATAAGTCTTCCAAGGCTGTGTCACTCGTTCGCCCCATCAGAGAGTGAAAAAATAACACACTTGACAAAAGGCGTGAAAATTAACATCGCGCAAGAGGTGATTAATTCACGCTTAAGAGCCCGCTGATGATCTTTGACTCCTGCATTGCTGCAGTGCTCCTCTCTTGATGGGCGACATTTATTATGCTATGGTCCCCTTCAAATTCCTCCTCTCTCGCGAGACATAATTCATTGCGACACAGAAATTATTTAAGTGCGTTGGCACGCGGCTCAATTTCAGCGCGCGTTTCGCTGTTTTTGCTCAAAATTGATTAAAACTGACAGCGAGTCGCGACGGCGCTGCTTAAGTTAAGTAAGCAACGAATAAAACAAATAATAAAGTGCTCATCCAGAGTGAGAGATGACACTTGTTTCTGCTTCCAAGCAAACACTCCATGAGATGACTTTCCGCTGTTTAAATTACATTTGACATTATACAGTTTGTTAAACAATATTTGAATTAAATTGTCTGCAGAGAGGGTTCTATGAATGAAACTTCTTTCATTTCAACATTAATCATAAATTTGCATGGAATAAAGCGAAACTCGTAAAAGTTTATATCTGAGGCAAACAAGAATAAAAGACTTGAATAAAGAAAAATTCAGCTCCTCTCTTTTTATGGCTCAAGAATAAAAGATATTTTTCCTTTATTTAACCTAATTTATATTTAAAAAAATTAAACACTTTAAACCATTAAAGCATAAAAAGGGATTTGTTCTTGTTAAAAAATTTTTTGTATTTATTTTATAAACAACAATTTAATTAATATCAAGCATAAATTACACAATTTACTTCATCTGAAAATGTTGACGTAAAATGATTATTATCGTTAAACATTTTAAGTTCTCATTGCCCCATGTTTGAATTTAGCTGTCCTCAATTACAATTTGGCACTTAACGGAAGAAGAAAAAAATGGTTCAACCGTAGTAACCTCGTTAAGTTTTTGGTTTTGATTTTTGAAATGATTTAATTTTCAAGTGTCAGCCATGGCCAATTTTACGTGAAAAATAAAACAGCTATTTATAAATCTGAAATTTTGGCTGGTGGAAAATTTATATTTACTTATTTATTTATTTAATCCGAGTATTAATTTTATTGACCAAAGGATAAGCTTCCTTTACAAATATTGAAGTATTAATAGATTCCTAGCCAGGAATAAACTTCGAATAAATTAAAAAAAATAAAATGAATACAAATGAGAAAAAAAAATGAAAATATTATTTTGTTCTCCGGGCCATAAGCTCTTGTATCACTTTACAAATCGTAGGGTCTGAAAATGTAACTGTGAGGAAACCTGGCAGAGGAAAAAAAAACTCCTGTCATCAGAGCACTCTATTTTGGCATGCATACTTTCCAATATTATAAAAGCGACCCAAATACTACTGATGGTATTCATCAGGTGTTCATTATAGGATTCAAGGAACTCAAAATACAGACTCAAATTCTAGGAAAAAATAATTTACAAAAGGAATAACAAAGAGCTCCTCATTTTACTTCATGAGGAAACATAACTGTGGCAAAAAAATTCTGATTTTAATTTGAAACGTTTTCTTTTCATCTCAGGACATGTTAATGATCCAATTTCAAAAATAAACATTGAAAACGTGAAGGGGGGTCGGTTTAATACAAAGGTTATCGATTAATAAATTTCTCACCGCCCGTTCGCGAGTTACGTTGATTAAAGGACCGGAACAAACGAAAGTTTTGATCCAATTAAAACTTTGTCTCCGCGTTTTGCAGTGATCTGATGCAAAAACGATGAGGGCGCCGACTAAAAACACAAAAATAGCGTACCATATTTCTGCACTCTTCCTGGCCTCTCGGGTACTTTCTCTGTATATTTCTATTCTGCTTTACAAAAAGTCGTGCTCTTTCTCTGTATGCAGCAAGTTTTTGAATGTGTACTAAACTTTTAGCATCGTACATCGGAGACTCGCATCTTTTCGCAAGTTGGTAGCAGAAGGGGGGAATTTTCTGAACCTTTCTTCCCGACCTCCCACTTATTATATAATGGAAAAAAAATAATACCCATCGGAATGCGTATATACTTACGATTGGGTTGATACTTTCACATTCATTTCGGCGCGACACACGCGAGTAGTGTGATCATCGTGACCTTTGCCTGCCGTTTTACACTTTGATTTTATCGCCGTCGCTAAACAGCGAGCTTCTGGAAAAAGAAGTCTCTGCAAAAAATAAGTGGAAAAATTGCAAAACTGCCAAGTCTGCACCTTTTTCCTACATCTCAGATGACAAACTGGCGCTTTTTATACACTTTCATGCGCGTCACATAAAGTTTCTGATGATCAATCATCCATACCTGCATTATACTCCTGATCATAAACTTTATATTTATTGTGGAGCAACTTAATTGAATATTTTATTGCACCAAGGGTCACGACCCACTATGGCTGAACAACGTACCGAACGCAGTTGTTGTTGTTGATTTATTCACCCTTTGAGGCTTTTAATAGTGGCGTGTGTATTGTGCCCGTTGCTACATTATTTACTATACCACACGTTGCCATAAAGAAGTTGCTTGATTAGTTCGCTGCTCATCAGCGTGGTAACAAAATTTGCATGCGAAATGAGAAAATGAGTGATTTGATGGAAACTAATGAGGGTAAAACGTAAAAAGCATTGGCTAAAATAATTTTTGTGCGGGTCTCCCAAATACACCTGAAAATGTAAACGCAAATCTGGCCAATTTTGGCATGATGTGTTGAATAGAATAAATCTATTCGTTTTTCCTCCCATGTATTTTATGCCGTCGTAATTCAGTTGCTTAAATATTTCTATTCAATGATTAGTTTCTTACTTTTATTTTTGTTCCTTCAAAAAAATTACGTAAAAATGGGGTACGGTGAATTATTTTTCAAAATTAACTTATTGCACTAATTTTAGGCAAGAACTAAAAAAAAAAAAAATTCCAGATTCTCACTTCCTCTTTTACAGATTTTTACTTACAATTAGTGCAAAAATGCCAGCGCAAATGAAAAATTATCGGTTTAACCAAGAAAAGAAGACAAAAAAAAAATGGGTGGTGTTTTTTTGCATTGTCAATAATGAGCACACAGAAGAGTAAAAAAGAGGGAAAAATACTCTTGTAAGCGTAGAAAAATTTGTTATTATATTCTTCTCTGTACGTTATTAAAATTTTTTTAATGAATTCCAAAAGACCACTTTGGGCCGTTTCCCTTTCGTACAAAGGAGGGTCCACCACTTTGCGCTCCTCAAATTACGAGGAAACGCGCGTGCCACCCTCGGTAAATTGCGAAAAGAGACAAATGAGAGGTGCATGCGCGACGAAAATTCGCAGTGGCCATAAAATTCACACGTGTGGGTGTCAGAGCATCTCTGTCATGGCGGCGTAAGAATAATTAGCGTTTTCAACGAGGATAGCGTTTCAAGTCGCCCCATCTGAAAAGCGGCCGAGGATTTTTTACTTCACCTTTGACATTATTTTTTTCTGGGGGAGTTCCGGGCACTTGCGAGGTAATCAAGTCGTCTCTCGACATTCCAAATGATTTACGAATCGGCTTTAATTTTGTCCGGTAAAGCAGGAGAAGAAGCGCCTGTTTGAACTGAAGGTTAGGTGATCTTTCATTCGAGCTAATTCTTATATTTATTCGCGCATTTTCAGGATAACCTTTACCTTTTGCCAAGAACCATATATTTATCGTGTCACACCTGAGAGCTTTAGTAGTGTAGAAGTGCAATAAATATTAAAATACTCTTGTGCCACACAGCCGGTCTGCAAAACTGCGCACTTTTCTTTCTTCTCGTCCTGTAATTGCAGGTATTCAGCTTTGAAATGAAAATTTAGAAGGCTAAATTAATCGATGATGCCTGTTTAAAGGAACGCGTCCTTCACTTTTTTTCTACATATAAAATTAACGAGCCAGCTCGGGTTCACATATTATTTTATTTATTTATCGGCTGATAATACATTTCCGCGTCCTTAACGGCTAATTTCAGAGGGGTTTTATTTGGTAGCATTTTTTTTATTACTAAAATTATTGCGAAAAACATAAAATCCTAATCTTAATTGTACAGTTGGGCAGAAGCTCTCTCCAGGTTTTTATTTTTAGAAGAAAAGTCCCACGTTGGAATTTCTGTTGCCCTTGACGCCGTACACGGGTCGTTTGGCGGTGGCGCCGTGAGTGCGAGCTGGACCGCCACGCGATTGCAGATTTGTTCGTTGGCCGATGGCTCCAGACACGCTGCCGTACGGGATTCCGCCTGCAACAATTAAAATCGAATGTCACATCTTATGGATAGGTACTCGCTACTCGCACTTGGTGGAAGCGAAATATCGACTTTTTGACACATGATTTATACATGACGGGCGCTATATTATTTCTCCTCCACGCTAAATCCTATTACAAGAGTGACAGTGAAAAAGAGGTTTAAAAAGCCACGGATTTCAAGCTAATCAGCCGCACAAAGATTATCAGAGAAAACGCTCCAGGCAGCTTTCGTCACTTTGGCGGAGAAGTTTTGCCGAAAAAAGAATAAACGGTGATAGAGTTTACTTTTTTTCCACTCGCAATAAATCAACTCCAAAGTTTGCAAGCGAATCATGAAATGGGGCGCAAGAAGAGCGATCTCTCGTCACTTTATATACGCTCGATGTTTCTTCGTGTATGAAATCGGAGTATAAAACTTGTCTCACAAAAAATATCTTTTTGTGAGAAATAGATATGTACTACAATACCAGATCACTGCCAATAATTTATCAGTTTATTTATAAATATTAAATATTACGGAAAAAGGAAGAACAAAATTATTATATTAAATATTTTATTCCAGTAAACAATAATTTATAGTCAACATACTTTAAAAGAACACTTAAATTACATTTGAAAGTTTTTTATTGTAAAAACTTATTTTTGGTTATTAAAAACTAACATAAAACGCAATGCTGCGTTTAAAGTTGAGAAGGAAATCGGTATCCTTCAGTGGAAAAATTGAAAAACCATGTGAAAAAGATTGATTTTTTTGCGGTTGCTTTTTTCGAAATCTATCCGAATTCCATTGATATTTCGATCATCGCCCTATGATATTCCATGGCAGTTAGAACTTCAAAATTCCATTGTTTGAATCGGGCCATTTTTTTACAATTGTTGGTTCAAACTGAATTCCCATTATTGGAGAGAATTCAAAGAATTTTCTCATTTGCAATGATGGAGTGGCCAAGTCGCGACATGTTTTGGCGAGTGCTGATGGCCTGCGGCGTGGTGGTGCTGTTCGCGACCGTCTTCCACCTGCAGCAGGCACACCTTTGCGGCACCTTCGCCCTGCCCGCCTCCATCGAGTGGGACCTGGACGGGATGAAAGAGCAGCTGGAGGAAAAGTTGCTTGGGCAGCGCGCCGTGTCCACGCAGCTGGTCAACTCGCTGCAGTGGACCTTGGAGGAGGCCCAAGCTAATCAGGAAGACACACCCGGACTCAAGGCTATCTTTCTCCTTGGAGGACCAGGCGTCGGCAAAGCGAAGGTGCCTTTATAACATAATCTGTGCGGCGCAGTGATTTGCAACGCCGTAGATAAAAAACAGACAAAAGCGAGGCTGCTCGCGCTGCAACTTTTTAATGAGAAAAAAAGATTATCTCTTCCGCATTCTTTTAATTCCCCACAGAAAATTCGTTCAGAAATTTTTTTATAAAAATCACTTAAAAATCAATAATGATTAATCTTTTACAAGAAGGATAAAAATTAAAAAATTTATATTTAGCATTTGATCTGATTTATAAATTATAATACTACTTAATAATTAGTGGCTGAATTTTTCTAATTACGCATCAACTTGCGGATAAGTGCCAAAATTCACAAAAATCGTTGAGAATTCTTAAAAAAATCAATTTTGCGCAAGAAAGTTCTAATGAGTCAAGGTGATTTATGTGATTTATTAGTTCAATATCAGAAATCTGGAAAATTCTCAATTTTATCTGGGATTGCAACTAAATTATTAATAAATTTTGCTTTCGGAGGTATTAATTTTCCGTTTCGACCTTGTAATCGCATTAAGTGATTAATTTGTGCAAAATCAACGAAATAAGCAAAATTTGGAAAAAAGATGTCAAAAGTTTTAGCCGAGAAATGAAAATAATCCTTAAAAAGTTATTAGATTCCATGCACTTTCTCAAAAAGCTGGTTTTTATAAAAAAAAATTTGAATTAAAATTTCCAAATACACCTAGCAACAATCAAATAATTCAAAGCAATTTTTATTGTTGATGCGCGTTTTCCTGGCAGAATTTGTGGAAAAACCTTAATTCTTGTATAAAATTGCAGATACCGTTTGGGATTAAATTTCTGAAAAATCTTGTATAAAATATTAAAAAAAAACTTTTTTTCAAATAGTTTTTCCAGACAATAGAAAAAGTCGATTGAAAATAAAACTGTAAATTTATATACTCACATTTTTAAATTTTTGTTGAATTTTTGGCTTGAAAAATCCTCCTTTTTTTACAAGTAAAATATGAAAAGTTAAGAGAAAATTTTTGAAGTATTTTTACCTCTCAGAAAAATCTCAACAAACTTTTAAACCCAATTGTTGTTCAATTTTGACATTTAAACCTGCTATCAGACGTGCATGAACAATTGCTAAATCGCATTTTCATGCATGAAGCACTGAACTTTCACCGGCAGTTTTTACCTTCGTTTAATTGCTTTTAAATCAACAACAATAGTGCGGCTGTTAGTAAAATAAACACACGCTCGTTTGCATTGTGAATTCCAGACAATGCAGATCGTGACCGAGCACGTGCGGTGTCGCTACCACGGCGTCTTCGGCATTTTGCCATGCAGCGTGAACGTGAGAACCATCACGCCCGTCGACTCTGGCCGCAGCCAAACCTACTCGGATTCGTCCAGCTCGACCAAGTTCACCGGCGTCCACTTCAACACCATCGAAATGGACCTAGCCGCCTTCAACAGCAGCCACGCGTCCGGATTTGCGAGACTCGAGGCGCAAATCGCGGAAAAAAATCTGAGCCGGCGAGTCGCTCTGGTTTCGGGGCCTGTCATCGACTTCGTCCAGCTGAAGGAAATCAAGGATGCAAAGAAATACAACAAATTCCTGGACCAAAAGGCGAAGCACATTGCAAAAATTATGAAAACGTCCGCTCCCAGGTAAAATCGCTATTAAAATATAAAATAGCCAATAATTAATTATAAATAAAAGTTGAAGATTATAATTTATAATTCAAGTAAAATTGATTTCATATTTTTTTTTGTGTGTCAAATTCTCGTCAGGTTTTATTACCGACAGAGTTAATTTGGAAATGATCAGAAAGTTCTCATTATGCACAATAATTGACAATAATTAAGAATGGATTATTATAATTATGATGGATTAGAATTAAATGCAGATTTGACTATAAACTATCCAGAATGCAGATTGTTAAAAAAAATTACAAGAGTGAACAAGATTCATATAAAATTTAAAAAGAAATAATTTGAAGCAATTAAAAATCACGAAAAATAAGTCTAGTATTACGCATATATGAATAATTTTATTTTTAGTTTGTTATTGACCTCTATAAATAATCAGTTCAATTACTTGCTTTTTTTCTTCAAAATTTAATTTTGCATATTTTTAGTTAATCTCATTAACAAGAACATTTAAAGGTTTAATCCGTTTAATCTTTAGAATATTTTGATCTTTTTAACAAAATTAAACTTGCTATACAATTTTGTGGCTTTCGGTTTAAATAAAATTGGAAAAATTATGATATAAAGCAATTTTTGCTATTTTGATTGCAGGGTTGATATCGTGTTTGTGAAATTCGAACCCCTGAAAGGCACCCACTCATTTTTGTGCCTAGTGGAGAACCATCATGACGTCGATTTCGCTTTCGAGAGCACCTACGACAGCCTGAAGAACGATGATATCTACCCCCTAGGATGCTTCTCTGGCACCAATGAAGATTAGCCACACTTTTCCCATTTACTTTTTGTGTCTATTTCTCTGAATATCAATTCTGTTCCGTAATTTATAAAAATACATGTTTATAACTTATGTTTATGAAGTACTATTTTACAAAAAAAAGTTTACCATAAGCCAGTCCGTTAACTCTCTCGACAAGCCCCGCGCTGTCAGGCGATGGTAGCGCAGAAACGAAGCAAACAAGTGCCAAAAGCAGCAGAACCTGTAAAAATATAAAACATTTAAGAATAAATTTTTTAAAACAACGTGTTTTAAATAAATTAGTTGCAAAACAAGTTAATTTCATTATAAAGGAATACAATAAGAGAAATTTTTGATAAAAAAAAATGTGAGCCACTTTCACCGGCCGGCTTGCTAGTCAAAACTGGATGCCCGCCGCAGCGATTGTTTTGAGTGTTGCAGTGCACAAGTTTAACCAACTAAAGTGTTGTCAGCGCCTCCGGGCACAATCCAACTTGAACTTGGCCGCCGCCAAAGTAAACGTCGGAGAGAGTGGTCTGAAAATGAATGAGAAAACACGGCCTGTTTTCCTAAAAGTGCAGCTCCCGTGGCTTCACAAGTGACAAGTGTTGAGGAAATTAAATTACCGCAGCGTGTCAGCAGCACAGCTCATAAAACTTCATTTAAAGCGACGTGCAGGCAGCTGCTTTTAAATTAAATAGACCAACCAAGCTGGAGAGCAAAAGACAAAAAAATCTACTTGAATAAATTTACATAAGCCGGAAAAATTTGATATTCTTATCCTCCTATAATTTACTTAATTTAAAACTCATGCATTTTACATTAGAATTAATAGTTACAATTTTCAAACATAAAATGTTAACAAAATTGAATTTTAAAATAAAACTTTGTATTTGATTTTTAGTGCTCTACTATTTGCTTAAAAATGTTTTGGCATCAACATTTTTTTAATTTTTTATGAACTTTTTTTGTAGATAATATGGTAAACTTTTTTACTTTGTTCAATAAAAAAAATCTACTCTGGTATATTAAATAGAAATTGGTGTGTTTATTGTGCAGACTCACTTTCATGATGCAGGGTTTCATGTTTTGCTCCTCTCTCGGCACGGACGGACGGAAGCAGGTGAATTAGAAACACAATCAACACAGCTCTCGCTCCAAATTGGCACTAGCAGGTTGTTCTCAAATGAAAAGCACCTCCACCATTCCCAAGGCCCTCTCACTCTCCACACATTTACACGCCCGACTGACGACTCCTACTCATCATAATCTAACCCAGTGAAAAGCAAATCGAAAGCGCAGGGTGTGGACTTGAAATTTCCCGCAAAATTATTTTCAATTATATAGTTTTTATTGTGTATTCAATCAGGGCCATAGAAGGAACACTTAAGGACAAAGTTGAAAAATATGTTAAATGAAGCAAAAATGCGCTGGTAAATTTAAAATTTTTGCAAATCTTTTTTGTTTAAAATTAATTCAATCATTTTCGTTAGTTTTATTTAAGATTTTTGCAAAAAGAAGAAAGTGAAATATTTGAACCCTAAAGTTACTTAAAACTGCCTGTCTTGCGCTTAATGGTTTTTAAGTCACAATGCCTACTACTGAAATAAAGTCAGATATCATTCTGAATTCTCTTGTTGATGAAAATAATTTAATTTCGTTTTTAACTTAGCGGTTTTGGTTTAACTGAAACTGTGCGAGAAAAACTTGGCTTAAGGAATACAATACATATATACTAAAACTTCGGCCTTTAATTAAGAAATTAATTTTTTTTCGTTCTGTTAAAGAAAATAATACTGGGAATGCAAACTGGTGCTCAGAGACCCACTTGAAAGTATTTTTCTTATATTCTTTGCCGTGTGCGCCCTTAACTTTTCTTCTTCTCTCTCTCTCTGCCGGCAGGCAACTTATTTTACTGCGCGCCATTTCCCAAATGGTCAGGATAAAAAAGGTTCAGCAATCAGCAGCAGGGAAAAACACGTACCGTTGCTGAAACGCACCCCTTTTGCGGAGAAAATTATCAGCCGGTAGCTTTCAACGTGATTGAGACGGATAATATTTTATGGAAACGACATCCCTTTTTTATGCACTTTGGTATAAAAAGCGCCCTTTCATTTTTTTCCACCAGCCTGCAAAATTATCATATTTTTTTCAGTAGTGTTGATTTATTTTATTTCCTCTACTAGGGAAGTAAAATCATATTTTGCGCAAAGCACCCGACAGATTTAACTCCACTCTTGGCCTTCGGATCCGAGCTATTAGATATATTCTACTTTTTTTATGCATTGGATACGCTGTAAAGCACTTTATCGTGCAGGCGGCATCCATACACTTGGTTTTTTTTTATCCACGCTCCACTGTGCAGCAAGCACACACGTGACGCAACTGTCAGAGATGAGACCCCTAATGGAAACTATTGCGTTTTGACGTAACCATAACATTACCCATTAAAAAACTTGTTTGCTTTTTTATTGGATGCTCATACGAGTGGGAAATGCAGAATTATTACGATTTTCAAGGAGATGAGGCAAAATGTTTGAATTTTTTAAATTTATTTCAAGATTGTCGTGGCATTTATTTCTGCGGTACTGTGCCTATGATGAAGACCAGATTGTTGCAAATTTTAAGACGAAAAATAATTACAAAAATATTTAGAAAAATATTCAGTGAAAATATTGATCAACTTGAAACGAGAATCTTGATGAAAATAAGCTGGTTCTCATTTGATTTGTTAAATTTGATTATTATTGCCAATTATTGCTAGATTTTATTTTTACCTTACAGAATCGTTTTGCTTAAGTAATTTTTTCCACATGCCACCTTCAATGATTTTGCTAAAAATAATCAAATATTCTTAAAGTTATCTTCCAAACCAAGCCTCGGTTGACTTTTTTGTATTTTCTTCTTTTATCACACATACAGATTTTCAGTTACCTTTTTTTTTTTAAATAAATGTGATTGCTAAATTTTGCTCACATTTTCGCAATTGAAATATAGAGCCGCAGGCCATGACCTAAACGGACAATATATTTTTTCAATAAACATACATGCAACGAGGATAAGCCCGTTTTCACTTTCACGTAAATGTGCCTTTGCGAAATGGGATTAAATTTACAGTGTGTACAAATGGCGACGAGGAAAAACTGATTTCGGCGAAACAAAGGCTGCGCATCCCAAAATTATGTTGGTACACGGCTGCCGTCAGAGCCATGGGGCCTTATGGCTCGGGCGGAAGACATCTTTTTTTGGCCAACATAATAGAGCTGATGCGCGGCCTTTGCGGCGAAAGGAGGAAGAGGTGAACGGAGCTACGAGTGTCCGCGTCAGATGCCACCCCAACGTGCACACCGAAAAGTCCTTCCAGACTACGTTTCAATTTCTGTGTCCCCATGCAATTGTGAATAAGTGTGAATATGAATTTCTTCACCGTTAAATATATTTTTTTACTTGTCTCATCTAATCTACCTAGTTAAACACGAATATTGACATTATATAATTTGTTTTTTTTCTCTCAGAAAGAAGCAGCGTTGTTGATATAAATTTTATTTTCCCGTCATGTGTTATACTTTAGTTGTAGGTTTAAAAAAATTATTTTGATTAATGCAGTAAAACGAATCCAATATCTTTGAGAAAACGACAATAATACATAATATTAAAATTTTGTTACAAATAAATAAATTAATAATTACTAATAACTTTAATTTTGAGCTATTTGATTATTTACCACCTAATATCAAACTAAAATAATATGTAGTTCTATTTTCATTAAGTTTCAAAATATTCCCTCTCATGAGTAAAGGGGCTGGGCGGACTACCCCCACCCCCCACCGCAAGTCCCAACTTCCCTGGTGTTAATGTTTAATGTTTGTTATCTAGTTTAGACTTTGAGTCCGTGTTGCTTTGCTTTGCTCTCTCTTGTCGTGTTTTCTTTTGCTTCCCTCGTGTCGGGTTGCGAACATAATGCGATTTTTCCTCACTTCACCTCAAATACGTGTCCTCTGCCAACTATGAACTCAACAGTGCCCTCAGGCAGCTCACCGGAGTTAAAAAAGACGGCAGCTTCTTCTGCGATGAGATTTTTGGGCCCCACCGGCGGCGGAAATTCGGTCCACACGACCGCTGATAAATTCTGGTGCCTCGCAAACAAGGAAGAAGGACGGATATATCACGGTGAGTGCGTGGAATAAATGGCTTTTTATGTCTTTTTTTGTTGACGTGTGTGTTTTGAAGTGAAGGAGCACGTGTTCTTTTTTACGAGAAAGTAGTGCCAAGTCCATAAAACAATTCGACGAACTCCCGGTGCTATCTGTGCAAAAAAATAATGAATATCTTGAAAATTTTCCCATATTGCTTTGCTGGTCACTGAACACGCAGACAGCGTCCGGTAGTTTCACCTAATTAGCACCTTGCAAAAGTATTAAATGAATTTAAAATTAATTTCGTGAATTATGCTTTCGTCTTTCTTAGCAAACTTTCTCAAATCTGGCAGTGCCATTAATATTTTCAGATTTTAACTTTTAACTCTTATCTGAATTATTAGTGTATAAATTATCTTCCTTTTTAATCAGACCTTGAGAGATGTGAATGATGTAGAAGTATAAGGAAAAATTTAATAGATTAATTTGGATTTATCAAAATAATAACTTATTCTATACATATTATATATTAGTACAAAATGACTTCGTGAATCGTCATTTTGCCTTTTTGTCAACTCTTCAGTGTAGTGCTAAACTGCAAAAGTTAAGTTTTCTTTGTCATTTAAATTATTATTAAATTACATTGCCTATTATTTTACAATATTATTATTCAAGTCAATTCAAGTCTGTTTAAATATGCATGAATTTAGTAAAAATGCAAAATTGTTAAAGCTCTCACATCTTTTTCATGAAAGCTGCTTCAGTAACTTTATTTGGTAAAATAAAGTTGATTTTTACTTTCAGGAGTATTTTTAGAAAGAGGTTTCCATCTTACCAGTGCTCCTTTCTTTCACTTTCTTTCATTTAGTAATGCTGGTCATTCTAAATCAACTCTGTCCCAAAATCAATACAAGTTTAATTGCTTCAAGGGTTTAATTGCGAGTACGACGAACCATTGCAGTTTCTGTCGTTGGAGATAAAAGAGGCAATCCGATCAGCGACAAAAAGCAGCAAAAAGTCAGACAAAGCCAAACAATTAACAAGAATGGGATCTGCTGGAAGGCAGCGAAAAATCCTCTGATGGAAACAATTCAATTTGAAGCGAGACAGAAAAAGAGGGCCCTTTTAAATTACAAAGCGTGGAGAGGGACAGAGGGTGGCGCAAAAACCACTTATTTAATCCGCACTAAAAGAGTGGCAGAAGCGATAAAAAGCGTAGAACTCCAACAAGTCTCTAGGTCAGAATGAGCAGCAGGCACATGTTAATTCCATCGGCACAAACGCATTATTCTCCTCCTCCGGGCGGCCATTTATTCACGTCTCTCGGTCGTATATGCAGAAAATTGCAAAAGCTCTTCCTCTGATTGTGCCGTAAATTTACATAAACACGCGCAAAGGCCAGCGGCATTACTTTTGCGGCGGCTCCCGCCCGCTAGGCTTTAGCGCAAATGCGTGAATTTAAATAGCCCAGCAGCAGCAGATGCTGGCGGCGTGTTTGTGTTTATGTGGAGAAAAATCTATGTGAAAGGAGGAAAACATGCAAAATCCTTTTGAAAGGGGAAAACCACATAGATTATGCTTTGTGGGATGCAGAGGGGGAGAAATGGAAGCAAAGTTGTTATTGAATTTTGATTTCTATTCTAAAATCAAACTGAATAAATTATCTATTTTTACTCTTATAATGTGTTTTTCCTCTAAATCAGATTAATTTGGATGCTAAAATGAACAATGACCAGATGAACCAGATCCAAACAGACTAATAGAAAAATCCTGAATGAATTTAAAATTTTTATTTTAAATTTCTTGTAACAATTGTGCAAATTTTCGTTTTTTGTGTGTGTTAGATTGCTAAAGAAAAAAAAAACATTCATTTCTTGTTTAATTTCAAATTGCTTTTTATCATTTTGTTTCTCCACACCGATAAATGAAATTTCAAAGAAATTAATTTAACACAAAGATTGAATTGCCGCTCTATTCCTGAATTGAAACTGGTCATTCCTCTAAAGAAATGTTAGAGATTTATTAAGTTTTAATTTCTGCTATACTTTATGAACAGAAAAAAAATCAGTATCCTTCTGTACATGCACAAACATGTTACAGTTGAAGTCCATTGAAGGCTAGAGCCATAATTGGTTCAACAAAAAAATAATCAATGATTTATTCTTTTTTTTTTTTAATAAATTAAAAATTCAAATTTCACGGAAAAACACAATTTTTGTAAATTAAAAAAATTAATAACTAATTCAAGATCTTCTGGTCAAAGATTAAAAAAGTTTCAACGATTATAAGGAAAATCACCGCAATTGCAAAAGCCAGTTTGAATTTATTTTCAAGCTTGAACACAGTTAATCAAACATCAAAGTGAAAAAATGGTTTCAGTTGCAGACATTCTTTTGTTCTTCAGGGAAATAAATATGTACATGGCGGTCAGTCATAATCAGGTTGGTGATGCATGCGGCTGTCTCGGTGGAGGAATCCAATAAAAAAGTAGAGCGCCACTTTTGCGGCTGATTTATGGCCGACTAGCCCCACAAGCCGCCGTAATAGCCCTTGCCGTGGTACAGTCCGTGATGGCCGTGATGGCCGTACCCGTAATGTCCGTATCCGTAATAATAGGGGCTATGGTGGTAGTACGGGGAGTAGATGTGCGAGTGGTGGTGCAAACCTCCGCCCAGCAACCCCAGCAGACCCAGACCTGAAACAGCGGTAATTATTGTCAAATTAATTAAAAATGAAACTTGTCACAGTTTGTCACGTCAGCCGATTTCTACAAGAGAGGCAAATTCCGTCAGTCAAGGTGAATTTATGTTCAAAGTTTCCACCCCGGCTAATTAATTATACAAGCCGGAAAACCGCAACGCCAGGCGCTTTTGTTGTTTCTATTGGAATTATAATACGGTCGTTTAATTGGAAGTTGTATCAATTACTCGTGGTATTGAAGCGATCATTGTTTATTCTGTGAAATTTGAAATGTGTATGCTATTGTGTGCGCGCGCGATGAAGATCAATCAAAATAATAATTGGAATAATATGTTTTGATCTTTTCTTGGTTATTTAAATGGAACTGAATTTTTAAAGTCAATAGTACAAATTTGTTCTTGAATTATTCGAAAGATCAAAAATTAAATTAGTTTAAATTATACAAATATAAGAATTTGAGTCTGAGAAAGATAAAATCCACATTTTGTCCCAAAATGGAATATCAAAATTGGGAATATTGTAGGAAAATGTGACAGCTGTGCACCAATTCTAATTCAGCCTTACATAATTTGATCTCTGGTGACATAATATGAATTTTCCGAATATTTTGTGCCAAGATTCTGCTTGGGAATGTATTCAATATTGACAAAATCGTTGAATCACATTGTATTGTTGCAGAAATATTTCATAAAGAATGCAATTTGGGAGGGCAATATTAAAGAACTCTTTTTTTACAACTTCGTTGATCGATTCATAGATATTTCATAGAATTTAAACTTTTCAACTCTATTGGAAAAGTTGGAAATTAATCTGCGCAGCTTGTCTTTCTTTGATCAGCTAATACAGGCGATAAAAAAACAGTGTGAAATATTTAAAATGAAGAGTTTTCAAGGGTTTCCTCTTTATCTGCTCTTTACTATAGAAAAAATAAATAAAATTCTTCTCAAATTTGGAGAAAAGATAATAATATTTCACCTTGTTGGCCTAAAGGAAATTTATCTACATAAAAAATATTTAAAAAAAGATAATAGCTGAAATATTAGATCCATTACTACTTACAAAAGTTAACCAATCTAACAACTTGATTTTAAATTGGGATAAAATTTGTCTGTTTGAGCAAAAATAGAGCTCACAAGTGTGTTATTGACTTAAAAAAAGTTCCCAAGTCTGAAGAGTAACGCCAGCAAAAAGTTGGATATAAAAAGCAAGTTAAATCGTTGAAGTGTAAATGGAGGTAAATATGAAAAAAAGGAGAATGTAGTTTCAAGTGGCTGGATCAGTTTGCATTCCACAAATATCTATATCAAGAGTATGTTATTTGACTTCTTCTTACAAATTTTAATTACGCCAACCTTTTTGGTTTTGCGAACTCTCTCACAATCAGCTCTTGATTTCAAATGAAATGTTTTATGCAACCCGACTAACGGTCGTGTAAACGCGTTGCCTAAGTTCGTTCAAACATTACGCTTGTTGTTGGCGTCAAAAAATTCTCCCACAGAAAGCAAAAAATGCCAGGATGAAAATATAATATGTTAAAAATTGTTTTGTTCAACCTGCGTAGGCGCGGCCTTTCCACCAAAATATCCGCACTCTAAAATATTGAAAAAAAATAAACCCTGTATATGTGTCTGTCAAGTTCAAAGCCGAATTTCGCCCACGAATGAAAATCAATTCTGGAAAAAAAAATTCACTCCTACGCAGAGCAAGTTTTGAGCAAATTCAAAGCTCAAAGTTTCGGCGCGGAGGGAGTTACGCGATAATTTAATTGCAATCATCAGGGCGTGGGTGTCAGCTTTCAGTTTCGCGTGCGTCAGCGAAATCTCAGCCAGGGATTTGGAGAATAAGCAATTTGCTCTCGGTTGACATAAAATCGCGGACGAGTGCGCACCGTGAAAATGCGCACCGCTGCTCTCGCAAGTGGCGTTTGTTATCTCCCAACAGAAACGCAAGACTGCGTGGAAAGGTACGCGAATTTGGATTTTGGATACACCCCATTATTTATTTACGAAGAGGCACTCACCGAACGTTGGCTGCGGCGACGGCATCGCCGAGATTAGCGCCAGCGCCGCCGCCAGGACCACCGCGACTCGCAGCTGAAATTTAATTAATCGCATTAAAGGAGACACTCATGAATAATAATTCAGGCCGCAAACGATTTCCGTAAATAGGGAAGATTGTTTGAACTTTGATGGAAAACACGTGTTTGCTCTGGCAATTTATATTGGCGTACAATCGATACTCTTGAGTCCTTTGTGAGACTTGGTTTTATTTGAAATTGGCTTGATGGCTCTTGATGTTAACTTGCTTGCACGGAATTATAAGCAAGTAAGCACGGTTTGGCAAGCACAAAGAAAATAATGATTGTGTAAATTTTAAAGAAAATATCTGATTTTTATTTAAATGTTTCAGAATGAAAAATAGAAAGAGAGAAAATTTGATTAATTTAAATAATAAAAAGAATTGCATTAAAAAATGATGACATCAAAATTACATTATGAATTAAAATAAGCGCCTAGACAGGTTTGATTTAAGAATTTATTAATTAATTTGACGAATTAAGAAAATTCAATTTACAATTAGAGGTGCAATTTATGCCGGTGAATATTGATTTAAAAAGTTTTATTAAGAAATTCAATTGAATTTAATTACTGGTTATTAGAAAATGTTTGGACAGTGAAATCGATTTAATCTAATTCCCGTTTGTTTAACTTGTGGTATTACTTTCAATTTCAATTTTAAACTAACTTCTTTTTTATAATTAAAAATTGTCTACTCAAAAATAAATCTCGTTAATGATTGATTCAAGGATTCAAAAACCAAAATAATAATTAACATCAAAATTTATAAGACATTGTGCTTAGCAATAAATAAAAAATACACCTATTACACCTCATTTATGCTGGGAACATAAAAACATAACTCTGAATTTATTTTAACTACTTCAAAATTCAATAAAAAAGGTATTTTTATAGGTCAAAGGTAACGAGCCAATTTTCTCCCTTCCCAGATGTTGCTTGTTTTTGTATAATTATAAATTTCGCACCAACGATGTAAAGAGCAGCCATACAAAAAAAAAAGTTGTTCGAGAGGCGTACTAATTGGGGCGTGAAATGAGCAAAAAATCATCTTTTTCGCCTTTGTTAATTAAATTCCTCCGTCTCACAATGAAAATTTCAAAACTTTTCGCAGGAAGAGAACTTTGCACCGCCAACACAAAAACGCGAAAATTTTCCACATAATCATTATGGGGAGTGCGAGAGGGAAAATCAATAGGGGCGCGCGGAAATAATGCAAGCGGATAAATATTCGCAGTCGAGCCAAGATTGAATGAAAAACTCACCGTCCGTGTGCTGCTCGATATTGCCATGATGAATGTTTGAATAATTCAGCGCCAACAAAATGCACAAAGTGGGCTCCAAGCCTGTCGCTTGCCGCTTTTTATACCTGATTTTCGACAGCGGCATAAATGGAGCCTCTGTACAATGTCGTCTACCTGCGCGCCTGGGAATTACACAAACCCAGCAAGCACCCTCATCCAGTCTAATTTGCGAGAAAGCAGCGAGTTTATCCTGCGTCCTGCTGCTCGATTTGCGTAAAAATGAAATCGTTGTTGTTTAACTTATAATGGGACGACTTCCTCTTTGTAAAAGCAAAAGCACCAGCCAATGTCAAAGAAATCAAAAGTGGAATTTTTAATGAAAATTTAATAAATGTGCAAATGCGAATGATCAATGATCCATATTTACTCATTTCAACTAATGAGTTTCAATTATTGAAAAAAAAAATCAAGAAGAAATAATAGACTCATGAAATAATAATAACAAAGTAAAATATTTTTGTATGCGTAATATAAAAATTTTGATTTAATATAAAATAATTTGATTTAATTTTTTACCTGAAATGTACTAATTGTAAAAACCAATAATCTTAGTGTGATAAAAAAAACTCTTTCAACATAATTAGCCTTTCAAATTTCTTGAGCAGCGTTCAATCTTCCAATTCCTTCATTTCTCCGTGGGGAGCAATACGCCCTTAATGGAAAAGTTTAAGCCACCTCAATGTTATGTATCAGTTTGCTTTCACGCCCGGGGACAATTCCTAATAATATTGGCTCGTTTCAACGCAACGGAAATAATGATCAAGTTTCGTCGACCGGGAACAATAAACATGCTCCCCAAGTTGCGCTCCGTATTGTCTCAATCCGAGAAGCTTTTAGCAACTAATTGAGTCTTAATACGAGACGATCGATTTTGTTCTTTTGATGCAAATATTGATGGGTCTGCGCTATTGAATCGCTCTCCTGCTGAGTGGCTCCGTTTTTAATTGAGTTTTCCATCGTCATTTCCATCCCGGGAACTTTTTTTACCCAGTGCTGCAACGCAAGAGAATCTAATTTGCCACAGAGTGAAATACCTCTGATTGCGCACCGCCACTTTATACTTGGTTTTTCACTTGATGTTGTGCACGTCAGCAGGCGTATGATATTTTATGCATGATATCTTTGCTTCTCGTTAGTCACGAGGGGACATCACAACATTTGTCTCATGGTTAGAAAACTAATTTTAAGTAAAATTAAATTATTTCTTATTTCATGGAATCCAATGGCGTGCGACAGTCAAAACCTATAGGGAAATTAGGAAACAACTTTTTTTGGTATGAAAAATAGTATAAAAGTCACTACTGGAGAAAATACTTATTTATTATTAAAATTTAAATTCAAAATTTTATTGTGAAAAAAATTCTGAAACAGCCTTTGTAATCATCTTTTCTATCTAAATAATAATAATAATAAAAATATGAAAACTTTCAGTATTGATGATTTTTGCTAACCGTTCTTTAAATGTTTGTCTCTCTGCTGGCAACAAATTTGTTGAACTAAGATTTGAATCAATCCATTTCATTAAAAATACAATACCTGTTTGCAGAATTTGCCCAAACGTTTATTTCGTTTTCAAACTTTCATTCCACATTTTCATGAGAAAATTTAATATTTATGTAGTGTTGCATTTACAAAAATGATTTAAAATTTGTGCAGAAAATTCAATTTTTAGTGGCATTTTAAATTTTAATTAAATTAATTTTCTGCAATTTTTTAACACATGAAAAGGAAATTTAACAAGTAATATTTGAATTAAATTATGTGGTAATATTGTTTTAATTTAATCTTCAAATAGTAAAAACTAAACAGAATCTCTATAAAATATTTTTAAGATTTGAACATAGATTACAATAACCTTGTTTTAAACCTTCAGCCTTTGTTTGTTGAGCTTGAAAATTATTGCTGGTGTTCCCTGGAAAAGCCAGTGTGCCGTAAAGAGATTTGTTTTGTGGTGTAGCATCCGGCGGCGAAACAGATGGAAATGCAGATGAGCGCTCCGAGAAATGAAATGCATCGCCTCCACAGTATATTAAACATCCACTTTTTATTGAAAAGCGGCGCAACCTACTTGGTTACTCTACACACATACGAGGAAAAACACTTGGAACGAGACGATTTACAAAACAGAGCAAGAGAGCTAGAGGAAGATTTACATACAGACACAGTGCGAAAAAGAGAGTCTCGAATAAGTAAACACGCGAATGTGCTCACAACACTCCTCTTTTTCAGCAGTGGCTCGTGGAATATTTGGGCCCACAATAAATAAAACATTTTATTCCACAATAAAAAAAGAGCAAAAAAGTCCCATTCGATTGTGCACGGGTTTGGCAAGACGTAAATTTATTTCAATAAATTAATCGGGAATCGATGCGAATCGAAGTAAATCACGTAATGTGGTGTGGGAATAGCCACTGGACGGGGAGGACGGCGTTGGCTGCGAAATATTGATCGGGGGCGGCCGGCTGAGAGTAAAAGGACAATGCCACAGGTGCGGCGGCGGCGGCCGGTGGAGGCCTTTCCGTCGACTCTTTTTTCTTGGCCGGGCACGAAAAGAAGAAGCAGTAGTGGCCACTGTACAACTCGAGCGTGTTGTTGGAAATGTTCACAGTCACTTGAATTTTACTGCGCGTCCACTCCCACAAGTTGCTGAACAATGCCGGCCTGCGAAATTGAAACTTTTGTTATTACCCTGCGCTCCACACTACAGATTTTTTTAGCAAGGGAACGTTCAAAATCTTCCAACATTGGAATTTTCCGAGTAGTTTATTTTTTATAGTGATTTGAATTTAAAGTCGGCTTTTCCTTGATGAGTTTCGTGAGTTGTTTATTGTTCAAGAAAAAACAATACACAGGTCATGTATTATGGCTGCAGCCCGCAACCGAATATTGTTTTTTCTTAAACAATAAACAACTCACAAAACCCATCGAGGAAAAGCCGACCTTAAATTAAAATCACCATGAATCAACCCTTGATCTTGAAATTCTACCACATCCTTTTTATAGTTAGGATAAAATAGACTTTATTGTGAAAGTTTTATTTTAGGAAGCAGAGCTAATTTTATGCATTGCACAAATACACACATGAAGGAAAGGAGCAATATGTGGAGCGGGTTGCATAAGTTAAAGTTGTTCAGTTAAAGTCTCTAAAATTTTTAATTAATTACATAACTTCGTTCATTTCATTAATAAAATTTATTTAATTTATTGTCAGTTATGAGAATTGCTACTACTTATTTCAGATTTCAATGAAGTTTCAATCCTAGATTGCAGTAGATAGGCTATTAGGACGTGATTTGCATTGATTCAAAAGATAAACTGATATATTGTTACAGGTATTATTATTCTGGAATTTATTTTTATATTTCAGTTATAGAAGATTTTGTTCGTTCCCTTGCGGTTCGTAAAAATGCGAAGCGTTTTTAATACCGCCGTTACCTGTCGTTCCGCTAAGAGCCCAGACAATTTTTTTTGTTTTAATGCCTCGTCTGCAAACATGCCACATGCACAATCGGAAGAGTTTTTAAGGGTGAAGTATAATATTTATGATGTTTGTTATGAGGTGGAAGAGGGATTAAGGTTTTTATTGATGAATTTGTGCAATCAGTCACTTTTCACGTCTGCTCCTCGGTCTTGAGATCTTCTGCCAGGTTGAATCGCTTTCGACCCCTGCGAACGGAAAGAAGAGGGAGGTCATTGAGAATCGCTCGCGTGGATTTATCGGGCTGCAATAACGTGCGAATGAAGCGTGTTTGATAAGACAATGGATGCTGAAATTGCTCACGTTTCCTACCCAGTAGTTTTCTCTACCGATTACACACACCCTGATTGATTATATCACCTCTCTAATTGCAGATCGCGTTCTACTCTGCCTTCAAAATTTAATGAAGCCGTGCAAACGGAAGAATAACGCACACGAGCACACTCGGTCATTTATTTTGATCGGAAATTTGAAAAATATACAGGAAATTTAGTTTGACTGGGGAATAAAAATTAGTGATTTATTATAATTTACAAAAGCACTGACTAAAAATGATTGACAAAATATTTTTCTGATATATTAGCAGTCCAGCTGATAAGCACATTAATAGCGCACCTTAATAAATCTAATTACACACAAATGAAGGATTAGATTAAAATACAATTCAAATAAAACTGTAAACCTGACCTAGTGTTGTTGAATTTTAAAGAAAATGAAATAAAGTGAATAAAGGAAGCAAAAGAGATTCCTTAAGAGACCAAAATACTTTTCAGAACGTTTGATTTATTGTGTCGCAAAAATATCAATCAATAAGTAGGAATATTCAAAATTTAACTTTTTCAGTGCGGTTAAGCTCAATTTAAATTTTTCATGTGAATTAATAAATGTTAATTATAATTTATTTACAAATTATATGAATTATGTTGTTTTGTTATTTTTTTTTTATTTTGAAATATTTTGTTCATTTTCAATGGTACTGATTGTGAGATGCGTAGAACTGATCCTTTTGAATACTATATATTATGCATTTTGTTTTTTATTAGTTTTTATATTTACAGTTTTAACACTTTTTAAAGCGAATTAATTTCAATACAAATAATATGATTTTTCCGCAGAATAATAATTTTTTTATAACGAAATTTACTAGGTAATTAGATAAAATAATAATTTAAAAAAAAACACACACGTTTTAAGACAAAAATTTTCAATTAAAATTTATAAGGAAAACAATGAACGAAATTAGTACCTGGTACGCGTTGGTGTTATTTGTTGCTGGCGATCGGCGGCAGCGATCACAGGCGACGTCGCACGTGCTCTTTGATTTAACGCCTCTGGCGCCGCGTCCCTGCTGCTCTGCGGTGCGTTGCGGGCTGCTGGTTTTTCGGTCTCATCGGATTTGCTCCTCTGCTTTCCGCGTCTGCTGGTGCGTCTCGCACTACTTTTCTCGGCACCGCTATCGGTCTCGGCAGACGGGGTGGTGGCGGATTGTCTCGTCCTCTCAACCTTCGACCTCAACCGTTGCCTGCCGGACCGCGGCGAAAGGGTCACAGGCGTTGTTTCGGGGACAAATATTGTGGTCGTCTCGGGCAGCGGAGAAGCCGTCACGGCAGTGGACGAAAATAATTCCACGCCAGTTTTTATTTCAGCCTCCGGAGTTACGGTGACTTTGGCATTTTGCTCCGAAACCGGCGCTGGGGGAGATTCGATGGGAATAAGTGGCCTCGTTCTAGGCCGCTCTGGGGCTAAAGTCACATGCTCTGCATACTTGTTGATGGTGGTAATTTGCGAGTCGATGGCGACCGTCTCCACACGCTTGGGTGCTCGCAGTCGCTGCCGGGTTCGTTTCACCTCGGGCTGATTTTCAGCAGCCGGTCGAATCCGGCGCTCGCCTCGACCTTGGAAGATGTCCTCTGGGATGGCGGCGTGCACCCTCGCCCTCTTTCTGCTCTCGATTGGCCTGGCCGAAGTGCTTGGTTCCACCTTTTCAACAATCGTGCTGCTCAACTCAACATTTTCCGGCTCCCGGGGCGCTGCATTCCAAATTGTGGTGGTCACGCCCGTGTTAGGCACCGACGTGTCGGGAACGTACGTTGAACTGTACAGAGCGCGTTCTTCCTGGTTCAGTCGGTGCCGCTCAAATTTGACCGGACGGGCCACCTTGGCCGCTAGGGGGTAGTCCGCCGCTTCCTCGGGCTCTTCAGTCACTTCGTAATTGCGCGAGCCGTATTTACTGCTTGCGGAGAGGCGGCGAATTGGCAGAGGTGCGACACCTTTTTCCGGCTCGGCAACGAATTTCACGCCGCCCTGTCGCGTCGAGTAAATTAAAGGGGTGCTGATGTCACGCGTTTTTCTCAATTTAATAGGCAGAGGCGGCGGCATCATCCCCTCTATCACTTCCGTCGCTGGTGTTGCTTTTCCGCTTTTTCCCGTTTGCTTTTTCCGCTTGCCACTGTTGTTGTCTCTGAATTTTTTCATTTTGGCCTCGCTCTCGGCCATTTCTTGGAAGGTCGCGTTAGTAATGAAAAGGACCGGTCCGTTGTTAGTTTCGGACGGCAAAAGATATTTGGGGTTAATTGTGTCCGCATGCACATTCTCTTCCTTGAAAAAGGGATTTTCAAACGGGTCAGAGCCAAAGTACTTGGAGACCAGGCAATCAATCTTGTCACCGAGCCCACGCAAACGAGGTTCCCCCTTGGGATTTTTGTCGTCGGGCCCCACGCTCAGCACGGGGGATATGTCCGGGCATTCCTTGTAATTAGTGCTCGCGTAAAACGGCATGTCAGGGTTATTCTTTTTATCAGGCAAAAACTTGGGATTGCTTGCGTACCTTTGGGGAGAGTTTTTCGGCGCCGTCTTGTAAAACGGATACTTTTCGATATCCACCGTCACCGAGGCCTCGTTTTTCGTTGTGCTCTTGGGGATTTTGACCGAGGCGTGCGGCGCCTGGTCCTCTGGGGAGTCTTCATTCGTACGGTGCTCCTTTTTCTCCTCGTTTTCAAACTTCTCGCGCAGCCGACCTTGCTTCTCGTAGTGACCGTGGTCGTACTTTTGGTCCTCGTAGCCCTGCTCGGTGTACACCTCGCCCAATTTCTTGGTCGTGATGGCCTCCTTCAGTCGCTTGGCGAGAATTAACTCTTCCGGGGTGGACGCCTCGGACAACGCCTCTTCGCGCGGCACAAACTTGGTCGCTTTCTCGTGGCGAACGCTGGCGAGCACTTTAATTGGGACGAAATCGAGTTTCACCCTGTGATTGGGCGGCGGCGTACCCCAGTGAAAGGGTTGCTGCTTTTGAATGCGTGGGTCGTCGGCTGCCGGGTTTTTCCTCTCGTAATCCGTCGGCTGGGCACTTGCGAGCACAACGGCGGACAAGCACGCAGAACAAAATAAATACACTGCTGATGGCATTGTGCGGGGCTGTGCAAATAAGAGACGAGAGAGTTCACCAGAGCATGTTCGCACGGCTTAATAAACAAGTCAAAACTGAGTGGTGAATATGGCCTGCAAAAGCATATTATACAAAAGCCACCTCCATTCTCTCTTGAGATGCAAGGCAGGGCAAAAAGCGAGAGGCATTAAGAGTGAGAAAGAGATATACCTCTCCGCAGTACACGCTCCAGCTTCGAGAGCGGCGTCAGAAAAAAGCCTCGGCGGCGCACTATTGGGAAGTGGGGAAAGTGAGTGAGCCGTACGAAATCGTTCAATCAGGCTTCACACTGATACAATGCTATGGCCTACTTTTTACTCGATTTTTTGCCACTTCAAGTTTTAAATGCAAACCTTGTCATCTGATTAATTAGGCATGCGACACGGAATGCATTATAATTATATTGTTATGCAAAATTCTCATCGTGAGTCGTATTAAGTAATAAATCGGTCGTTGCCTCCAAATTTCGAAAGTTTTACAATTGATGGATGCTACGTGAAATTGTTATCTAACGCAAGATTTTTATTTCTTCCTGTATGATCAAATAAAAAAATCAATCTAGAACTTTAAATTTTTGTAACAAAAATAATTCAATCCAATTTGTTTATTTTTTTCCAAACAAGTCGGAACAATCAATTGTGAAAAATTGGTTGGGAGAAAAATAGGCACACAGTGCTAGTGAACAACTCACTGAAACTCATAGCCGGGTATGTACCGAGAGGCGATAAGAAAGTGATATTATTATTATTATTGATTAACGCATAATTATTAGAGCTCAAAAATGTTCATCAGCTTTGTTAAGTCGTTTCTTTTTAACATCAGTCCGTTTTTGGAATATGATTGTTGGCATTTCATAGCACCAATGTTTAAATACAGCTCCGCAAAGTATGGAACTTTGACAATAATGCGGCAAAGATAATGCATTTTGAATTAAATTCCGCTGCTTAAACCTTTTTATTATAAACAAATTATTCTTCAAGCAGATTTTTTTTTACAAATTACTCGATTGGAAATTCATGATCGTCACGATTTCATAGTCCTATTTAATGTAGCAGTAACTAGTAACTAGAGTTGAATTTTAGATTTTTAATTAAATTATAATGAAAAACTTTCAAATTCTTTAAACTTTTAATCTGAAAAATTTACTGCTGATAGTAGTTAGTTTAATTTAAAATTCGTTTCTAATATTTTAAGTTTTCTTTTTCAGGAAGATGCAATACCTGCTGTTTTTGCTCTTTGGTTTTGTCTGCGACAATTGGGGTGAGTTGCAATATGCGTTATTAAAAAAAAGTTATTACACGTGTTGACATCTCATACGTAAATGAAGATTAATTATACCAATATAAATGCATACAACTTAGAGATAAGTCATTATTAATGTTCATACGTTTTAAAATTTAACGTTACTGTTGTATTAAATTGCATCAAAAGAAGTTCACGATTTAAAATATTCTTTGGAATAGCACACACAAACATTCAATATAAAATGCACTGACAAAAGCTATTAAAGCTCCCTATTAGTGCTTTCAATATGAATATTCTATTTGTGAGGGCAAAGCAGGAAACGATTAAAAGCAGAAAATTTCATCAAATGGGTCCGGTATACATACCATTGAATAATTTAATTGGATATCGGAAAAGCAATTTCCGATGATTTTCTATATCTGCTGAATGGAAAAAAATTATGGGGCACACAAAATAATGCGGGCACACAGAGATTTCCAATCTCTTACGGTAGATCAACAATGCGCTATTTGTTCGAAGCGCGCGTTATCTAATCCGCATTGACGTGAGGTGATTGTGCGTAATTGAAATGGCGAACGAACGCAGCAATAAATTGGAACCGCCGCAATATTACAACTACATACAACTGTTTTAGCGCCGCAAACAACAGGCTGCTCTCGTCGTTGATGAAAACCGAAGGGCGGCGGCTGCGGAGGAGAAAAGTTTTCTCATTCACAGCAACGCTTTTGTTTCTTTCCCTTTTCTAATCAAGAAGCGAGCTCCACTTGGCCGCCACGCCAAGAGCAGAGCCCAAAACGATGTAAATGCGAACTAGAAATTTTATCCACAAGTGTGGGAAGAGTAATGAGTTAGCTCGTTATCAGAGAAAAAAATGTTGAATGGCTTTCGCAAAAACGTCGCCTTTGCCAAACGACACCAATTTTATTCTTTTTGTTTATGCAGGCACACACAATTTTTCAGCTTTCCAACTGTGTTTATTTGTTTGTTTGTTGATTCGCGCGCGCACTGAATTACACTTTGCTGATGATCGAGCAACGACTTTCTTGATTGTAAAACTTTTCCCTTTGCCGTCTTTTTCTTGAGCTCAACAAGCCATTGATTAATGAACTTTGCGAGTTCATTGTCAACAGACTGATAATAACTTTGCACCGCACCGCGCAAAAAAAAGTTATTCAATTAATCAAATAATCAACACTGAAAACTATAACAAGCCTTTAACAACTGCTATTTATCTTTACAATTACACGCCCTTAGCTTGGCAATGATTTTTTCCTTATTTATAATCAAGGATTAATAGTTGTGACCTATGTAAAGAATATTCACTAAAATTTAAAAAAGAATAAAAAATAAATAACAAGTATAGAGCAATCAGGAGCAATGAACGAAATTAAAAAAAATTAATCATAATTAACAATCGTTTTTTTTTTAAAGTTATGCAAATAACTTAACCATAAGTTAAATTTTTAATTTTTTTCGTAAATCACAAATAATAAGAAATACAGAAAATAGTTTTAATATTTATTTATGATATTCACACTTCGATTTATAATTAATAAACTTAACACGTTAGTTTGAAACACTTAAATTTGTAAAAATAATGTATCATGTACATCAATTTTACGAAGAAATAGTTTCAAAACAAACTATCCTTTTGTTTTTCAATTTATTTACTTTTCACAACGTGCCTGCAGATTATGTAAATTTCGTCACGCGGAAAATTTCTACCCAGGAGACTGAAAATACGAATCTTGCCCAAGCCGACTGATATGAAAGCAGCTTTATTATTAAACTTACAGACCCTCTCTGTTTTGAGCAAAAAACACGCGTTGCGATTGTAATACGAACGAGATAAACATGCTTCTCTTAGTATAAAAACCGTAGGCTGAACCTCAGAAGATATTCAGTTTCCAACACTGCAACCTCCTCCAATGTTCAAGCTCACCCTTTGCTTCGCCCTCTTCGTGGCCTGCGCCCTCAGCGCCGAAATCGGTCTCGCCAACCAGACCCCTGCCGAGCTCAACGCTGCCGACCGTCTCAAGCGTGACTGCTCCTGCTCCCGCTCTGACTCTTCATCATCCTCTTCCTCCTCTTCCGACTCCAGCAGCTCGTCCGACTCCAACGACGGTGAACACAACGCCAAGGGCTGGCACCACGTCCAGTGCAGGCACAGATGGGGAGAGAAGGCTTCCTGGGAGTCCAACAGCGATAGCTCCAGCTCCAGCTCCAACAACCGCATCAGGTGCAACTGCTGGGACTCTAGCAGCTCCTCTTCCAGCTCCTCTTCTTCCTCTAGCTCGTCCTCCTCCTCCAGCTCCTCTGACTCTTCCGACTCGTCCTGCAGCTGGAGCGACCGCCACCACCGTCACCACGACTGGTCCTCTGACTCCTCTGACTCTTCTGACTGCAGCAGCTCTTCTGACTCCAGTGATTCTTACTCACGCTCATGCTCTAACAACTGGATCCACTAAGAATCTCTTAGATAGACGCTTATACTGGAGCTCACATTTTGGAAAAACACTCATCTAAACATTTATAAATTGGAAAATTTTTGGCAAACAAATGGTAAAATTAAAAAGCAAACAAAAATTATAGCATTCAACTTAATATAACTTTTATTCAATCTACCTTTAAACAGGAAGTAATAATTAAATAGATATTATGAACATTAATTTAAACATAACACAAATTTATTACAAGAAAAAAAATGAAGCTACAAATTAATTAATAAATTATCGATCATTTTCAAATTTAAATAATTTTGAAGTAGTGATAACAGATATTTTTACCAATCAAGTTCAGTCTGCATTAAAATATCTCATTTTCAAATTGGGATCTGTAACAACGAGGATAGAATTCGTTGAATATTTATTGCAGCTAAATGTCACATTTGTGCAAAATATTATTATTATTTCTTTTAATTTATTGGCCGCAATTTATTTACATAATTATGATTATCATTAATCTCTTGATAACTTTATAATTATGCCTGCATTGTTTTATACTTCAATCTTTTATTTTTTTGGTATATATTTTTATAAAATAATAAAAGTGATCTAAGCTCAAGTAAAGTTAATTTGATCAGAAAGTTATAATGTAAATAACAACCCCAGCTGCCGATTTTCGCATTTTATCCTCTAGAGAGGCTAAGCAGAGGATAAAATCCACATAAAACTCGTTTCCGGCATAAGTAAAAGTTAATAATTAGTTTATTATTTCTGTCCTTTACTTTCTTTATTAGAAAAATTGATTAAATTATTTGAAGTGCAATTTTTTGAGTATTATTGAGCTCAGTGTGTCATATTAACTGTGTCGTAATGCTTTACATAATTTTTGCAATTATCTGGAGCCAAATCGGCATTCTCTCTAAAACTGGCTAAACAGGCGTGGGCGCTTTTTGCCGCTTTCCGTCCATTCACCTTAATAGCCCAATCGCAAAAAAAGTTTTTATAAACTCTTTGATCTAATTTGCTGTGCGTTTTCGGCTGAGTCATGCCGATAAATAATTTATTTATTGCGAAATCGCATTTCACGACTTACACATACTTACAGCGGTGCATTATCTCAGGTTATGCAAATCCACTCCGGAGAAAGCAGAAAAGAAACTTCTGAACTAATAATAAATTTATTTTACTCTCCTCCCTCGGGGTCGATGCTTTTACTCCACAAGTCGAAGCTTCAATTTTATACAAGGCGAACTTTCGTCCTTTCGTGTGTGCGCGCGGGCATATTAAGATCTTTAATGGCCGGGAATAATCCAATTTGTGCGCTAACTACGAAAATAATTGCGAAGGTCGGGATAGTATAATTTAATGAAATCAAACTTAACCGCACGCGATCTCGCGCTGAATTTCGTCTCTTGCCACACTCGCCAGGATCGATTCTTTCGCGGGTTAGCCGAGCGGAACGGAAGGTGGAGCCCGGCCAATACACCTTTCACCGGTAATTGCATTAAAAAAGAACGCAAGACAGCAAGTTACTCGCAGCTCATGTATTTTATATTTCATGCTGTCACGCAAACCGCAACCACGCGCCGCAGTGTAAAAACAAACAGACACACATAAGTTTACGTTTTTTACTCTTGCAGCAACAACCTGCTCTACTGCTTCATATTTTACTGGCGCTTCAAATGCATATTTTATAAACCCACCCGTTGGCGTATAGTCACATCTTCACGCCGAAGCATGTCTAGTCCCTGCAGAATTAATAAAGCGTGCATGTGAATGTGGTTCACAAGAAAATTGTTTGTAAAAAGTGGAGTTTAAAAAAAAGATAGTTGGTTTTTAATACTATTGACCGTTATTTTTTTCATCGTGACTGAGATAATCAAGTTAAAAATTAATTTTTGTGGAAAGAGATTGGGAAAATTAAATACTTCCAATACAAAATTTTGGAGTTGTGATCAGATATTTATTTTAACTGTGAAAGTAAAGAAGCTGGCACTGGATTAGATATTAACAAAGTCTACGTTTTCTTTCTCCTCTAATAATAATAACAATACAAAAATAATAATCAGAAAACCGCCTACTACCGAAATTCATTTCCGAGAAATTTAAATTATAGTTTTCCAGACTTTCCTAATTTAAAAATTTAAAGGTCAAAAGTTAATTGAATTTTTTATTTCGCTTACATTGTATACAGTACGAGTGATAAAAAAACGAGGCACCTTTGACTTTTGCGATCGAAAGACAAAATCATTTAATGTTAATTATTTGACATTAAATTATGGTCCTTCAGTAAAAAAAGTATAACAAAGAAGAACAGAAAATGTTCAGTGCTTTTTTGTTTTCAAATTGCTGTTAACAAAAAAATCAACGAAGCGCAATATTTTGCTGCCTAAAATAATTAAATTTTGAAAAACAGGGTAAATTATAGGCAGTAACATTGAACTTAATACAGTTTTAATGAACGTCCATTTGCAAGAATGAACAGCAATCAGCTGCAATAATTATAACTAAGAATGCAATCTTCGACCACGGCCACTGTCAATCCCAAAACCTGATGGCCGGCAACCTAAATTTTTGAGGATATTGCGCCACCCAAATTAGGATGTGAAACGCGCAGTAATTTTTTTCCTATTTACACACATCGGGTCTATCGGGTCCACTAATGATTTCATTAACGCGTCGCCAGAGCAAGCAATTATCTAAATGTCTCTGCTCTGCGTGAGCTTGACCCTGACAAGATTTGATGGTCCCGCCGCCTGATTTATTTACATTTTTATTGCCTGCGCTGCACAATAAATAATGACGAGATGTAATCTGACTTCCAAAATCGAGTCAGCGAAGGAAATTTGACATTGAATAAAAAAGTGTGTCGCCGGCGGCCAGATCGAAAATTGTTTCGCCACCGTCGGCCGTGATTGATTGGAATTTTCATGATTATTTTTTTTTCTGACCAAACCATCATTATTTTTTTTTCCCCCACTTTGGACACTAAAATAATGAGAAATGTTTTTGGCAAGTGTCGTCGAGTGTCATCGTTAATCGTGTTTGGCGCGGAGATATAATGAGGCAAAGGCCAAATTGCCTTTGGAAGCTGGCTCAGGTTTGCTTGCTTTCGGGGTCACACGTGACGTGCCTGCAATATTAATTTGATGAGTCCTGCGTGGAAATAAAATCGTCAGTATGCCTAGCGAGAGACCATCTGCGGAAAACAATTTCGATATCTCTAGAGCTATTGATTTAAATCTCCAACGTTATCATTTAAAGGGGATGGGAATTGGCCTTTTTGTTTTCAGCTCCAGTTAGTACGCAAATGATTACTTTAATGCTCCGAGGGATAATCTTATTTTCTTTGACAAGGATTAAATCAGTTAGCCCCTGGCTTATTCACATTCATGCAAATTGCTTTCGCCTTTGAACGAAAATCCGTTTTTCAATTTTGGGAGTTGCCGACTCTGGAGCTAAAACACTATTATAATGAGAGAACTAAATGTCCTAAAAGGACGATTTGAAACTCATGCAAAAATTATTTTTAGTCAAAGTTGCCAATGAAACTGGAATTGAGCTTTATCGCTCCCACATTTCAGGACTGCAGAGATGAGCCAGGATGATTGTCTGATTTTTCTTTCTTTTTTTTTTAATAGTATTTGTTTTTAGCAAGGAAAGTGCCTCTTTTGTGTTTCCACATGATACGCACGTCGTCAAGAAATTATTTTTATTTGCATTATTAATTGAGGCGGAAATTTAGCAAACAGCGGCTCAGGGGTATGAACAAAATAATGTAGGAGTTTCAAACGAAATTCGGCTTTGAAGTGGGTTTGTGCCTCATTTTTTGTTTCCACTTCAACTTAATCTAAACAGGCTGGCTCTTTTCAAAACATAACGATGTGGGCAGAAACTAATAACAAAATATTATACAAGAAAAAAATTAAGGACTCGTTATTAACATGCTCAAATCTAGTCTTTGCAAATAATAAGAGCCATTTTTTGTCAATAAAAATTTATGAAACATAATAATATTATATTATGTCGTATGAAAACATATAATAAATAAAAAATTTAACATTTTTGTGTTTTAAACAAACTTGATTTTGACTGAAAATAATTTTTTTTTCAACTAGTTAATTTCATGCAACATCACAAATTTGTGTAAAAAAATTAAAAAATTTTCTCCCAAAACATCTACAAACGTAATTTTTATATCTTAACCAAAGAGAGTATAATTAAATCAAATAATTATTCAACTGCGGCGTCGTTTGTGTTTGCGCTTGAATTGGTGGTGCGCGTTTATTTTGATCATAGAAATGCCAACAACAAAGCATAACTTGCTTCCGACAAAGGCATTGTCATTTGGACGCAGAGAGCAAAACTATTTGTGACGTCGAGGATTCGATTTGGCGGCGCTAAACAGTAATCGGAGGAGTCGCTTGGTTTGACATTTCTTGTGAGCAAAACTCGCGGGCATGAAATTGGCATGCCGGGCGCAATCAATCAATGTTTCGCTTTGGCCGCTTTTGATTGATGGCCGCGCGATCAAAAGTGAACGGCCGGCAAATGAAATTATCCATCGGCGGTCAGAAAGCAGCTTTCTCACACTTTGTCACATTCGCTGCCAGCAGATTCTGGTGGTCATTGTCCGTCCGGTGGCGAGCAATTGTGCGGTGATTGACGCTCTCTCTGCTCAACCAACGACTGTCATTGCCAATAGCGCCTCTCGTAAACCAGTGAAAGCGTGCTCGCTTTATTCCAGTGATTTCTTTTCGCCACTAAACGCCGCGAATTGCGTCAAAATACGGTCCCGACCTTGGCTTCTTTGCGCGAGAAAATTGCCCTCTCTGCAAATTTTATTATGACGTAATTTGCCGCGTCTCGAAAAAATTCAGAAGTTTTTTAGTGCAATTATGGCTGAAGAAAAAAAACGAAATTTAGCGAGGGAATTTTCCTGGCTGATTACTTTGTCTGCAAAGTTTTCCAAGACAAGACCTGCAGACTTTCAGGAGAATAAATCTTCTTTTTTCCTGTTAAAATCAGCAAGAAACTTCTTGTTCATCATCTTCGGTTCATCAAAAGAGTGAGAATTTCTTGCTTTTATTATAATTATGCCCACCCTTTGAAATCAGTTTTCAACTTAAAAGCAAGAAAAGTCTCTTCTATTAATTAGACCAATTTGCCAAAATGACATAATTTGATTACATTTTCTTTTTCAATTCGGAATGTCGTTCTTGTAAAAAAGTGTAGGAAAAAAGCATACCTATATTGCCATGTAGAATTTAAATTCAGGAATTTCTTGACGAGTTGAATGTCTTTATTGTTTTCTGCTCGTAGAAAAACCATTATCCTGCTCTACAAGAAAAAAGTTTCATACCCAAGTTTCAATTTAACTGAAGTTTAGGAAAAGATTATTTGTTTGTGTTGTTAACTTTGCAGTTTAATCATTAGTGGGCCATTTTATGCAAGTTCCACAAAATTCATTTGAGTGATACACAAAAAATAAAAATTCTTAACAAAATGAAATCAATATTTTTTTTAAGTCATTTTATAATATTTAAATAGCTAAATATTATTTCTAGTTCATTAATGCAAATTAGCATTTGTGTTGTGTAAAAGGAATTTTATTTTTTTCTCCGTTTAAAAGCTGTAAGATTTCTTTTTTGCGTAATAGTTTTTTCTTGCAAAGAATTAAATTCTGTGTTTTAAAGATCTGCATAGGAATTAAAAAAATTAATGTCTTGTAATGAATTTGCAAAGCAACCATATAATATAAACTTGTTCTTGGATATTTTAATTAAGTGCGCGTTAAAAAATCAAAAGTCAACTTTCAAAAGTGTATATCTCTGTTACAGAACACGAATAATTGGCTGGCCGGTAAATTTCCTCTCTAACCTCCAAATGGTTGTACATAAAACGTTCTTGCCAAGCTTTTTTTAAGAACCCAATAATTGCGTGCCTGCTTTTGACATTTTTTTTTTTTTTTGCTTCACTTTTGCACAAATTAATACTGTTTATCGATTGTAGCATGTCAAGACCACATGCATGCAAATGATTGATTGATATTTTTTTGCAACCAGAATAGATATTTTTTCTATATCTGAAAAAAAAACTCATATTGAAGATTGAGTCATGCGAATCAATCAACAGAGGAGGAAAACCAAAAGTATATCTCGTCTGATCATCAAATATTATGAAACAATTTCGGTTGACATTTTCCACATTCGACGAGAACCAATTTTCCCTTGGATTTCGTAATTACATTTTAACAATTGCTTCAACAACAAAAACTACATACACCTTGTGTGAATAATAATTAGCTGCGCTGGTTGTAAAAAAACTTATTTTCAAAACTCCCACACGAGAAATTTTGCAATTTTTAACATATGTATTTTTCCGCTTGGAAAAATTTAATTCTACCCCTTTGACACGGAATTTTGCTTTGTGAAACGCTTCCTTTTGAGCACGAACCAAATTGGTATTTTGCGCAAAACGTTGCCCTTTTTCCAGAGATAAATTCAAAGCTTTAATGCGTTGCAGAGCTTTTCAAGGGTAGCTCTAAAGTCAGATTGTTTATAGAAATTTAGAAAGCAACAAATACCGAGTCGTGCCGAGCAAACCGGTTGAAGCTCGTAAACAGGAGGCGCACAAAAAGCAAGAGCCGATTCATCAATTTGGCCGCTATGATAAAAAAGTACGCGCGTAATCCCATCGCCGACAATTCCACTTAATGGGGAAATATGACGAACGTCGTTTTTGTTTATATCTTTAACTGTTTTGAATTTGTTCTGCAACTATCAAGAGACTTGTTTAGTTTTACTATCCCGCGTTTCTTACATAGAGTTCAAGACTATAATAAAACACAAAAACTTTATAAATATCTTATAATTAATGTAGTTAGAATTTAAATCATCTAAAGACTATTCTCTTCATTTAGAAAAACATTGTCTACTTATTACAGGATCAAATAAATAAACAACAAGGCAGAGTTTGTATTATTAATTTTTAAAACTTCTTTTATAGCTATTATTTCAATACACTTGAAATTTTACAGTTTTACTTTTAATAAACATCATTTTTTGGTAAATAAAATCTTTTTCAATTTTTAATTTAATTTTTGCCATAATAATTCTAAAATGTCTGCTTATCTTTAACGGTCGAAAGCAGTCGAAGAGAATAAAATTTTACTATTTTTAGATAAAATTCTTATGTAGGGTTGTTACGATTTGGTATTAATTGGTTTGACTTTGATCTAGAGATTGATTTCAATTTGATCACGATTTGTTATGGAATTCCAAGTCACAATATTAAAATGATTTATTTCAATTCAGAAATGAAATAAAAATATTATGGTTATTTAAATACCCTGCAGACCACAGGTTACCTTATGAGGCATTTTTTTCTTCGGGGCGTAGTTTTAAATTCCATATTCCACAAAATTTTGGGAAATTTTTAGTCAACACAAAATGTAAATAAATACATAATTAGACTGCAGTGTTCCCTTTTCCTCTTTTTATATAATATCATGTTTCAAAGGGCTTCATAATCTGTTGAAAAGCAATTTTTTTATTCTATGATTTCACAGGTTGTCGCTTTTTCCGTTACACATTAATTGATTTGAGCGCATCATGCGTAACCTTCCGTATTGCTCGTCTCTCAAAAAGAAGAGAGATGCTAATTAAGTTTATTCGACCATTCTTTCCTAGTCCACGGGAGCGTAGAAAACGAAAGTCCGCGCGCACGTTCAGGCATGAAAACGCTGCTAATTAGCCACATTTTAGCCCCTCTGATTTCCCTTACTGAATCAAGCTCGAATCTGCACACAATCATGGTTAATTAGGCAGAATGTAAAAAATGTTCTCGAATTCAAAGATATCTGTACACGTTAGCAAACAAAGAGCAGAAAAAAAAATAAATAAATACATTTTGAATCTCAAAAATTTCAGAATAATATATATATAAAATATATACAAAATTAAACGTAAACTTAAAAAATTAATTTTTCTTATAGTTGCTGGATTTTGGGTGGGTCCAGAATATAATATCATAATATGTGTTTCGAATTATTTTATTATAGAAATTCCTGTAGTTGTTGTTGTGAAACTTATGTAACCTCTTGGCACTCGAGGTTTTCTTCTCACCAAGAAAACCATTTATTTCATCTATCATCAAAAAGTATGATTTGTTTGTCCAAAATTTAAACCAGCTAGGGTACACAGAACTTTTCTTGATTTTCATTTTGTGTTCATGAATAATGTACATGTTAATTTTACACAAAATTTTAGCTACAAAATTGATTATTTACTTCACTTTATATAATACAGTGTATTTATATTTTTGGAAATTCAGCAAAACCAATTAAAAACAAATAATAACTTCATTTCCACAGCATTAATTGCACCTTAAATAAATCAAGCATATTTTTTCTTCATGGTTTTGATTTTTATTTAAGAAAAAAAAATACAAACTTTGCTTCCATCGTTTCTCCAGTATTTGTGTTTTTAATAGAAAAAAACTATACCAATTTGTCCTGCACAGACAACTTTGGAGCTGGTTTAAATCTAATACCACATTGACATCGTTCAAGTCCTCGAGTGTCGCATGAATAATAAATTAAGAGAGGGTTGATTCGCGCGAACACCCTTTAAGTATAGACAAACGCAGGGTCGATTATTCACAGGCACGTTCAGATGCGTCTCACCGGGGGACGGAAGGAGGGCTCGATGGGCCGCCAGTCGTCCTCGACGTAGACCACCGGGCCGCCGCCGCCGGTCCTTCGATCGGCCTGTTTCTGCCGCTCCTCGTTGCGGAAGAAGTCGATGATCGGGTGGTAGCTGTAGTTGATGCGAGAACCTTCCTCCGACTCGCTCGACTCCCGAACACGTTCGCTCGCCGGCGGCCGTCGCCGCCGGTGCGTGGCCGTCGCGCCAGCCTCGTCCAAGTCAGGTCTGCCAACAAATTACATCAATTTTTATTTATTTTTAGAAAACAATACCCGATAATTAATTTTTTATTTTGAACAGGTTTTTAGCGAAATAGGCGCAAATTCGGTGATATTTTCTTGCTGATATAATAAGTGAAAATTTTTAATAAAAATAGTTTTTACTGTTTTAGTTTCTTTAAAAAAAAATCTACTTTTCTGAAGGAAGGTGGAAATGCGTATTTTAAAATAGTATATTAGAAAGGTGAGAAAAATCCAAACCAGAATTTATTATTCTAATATAATATATATAAGCAATTAGCGATTTGAAACCATAAATTTACAATATCAATTAGCTATTGAAAAGTAGCTTCACTAAACATGATTAAAAATAAAAGAAAATAATATTTTCATGAAAGGATTGAAATCATGAAAAATCTTCTAGCAAGAAGAAAAAAATTTAAATTTATTTTTCCTGGTATGCCCAGAAAGATTGAAACACCAGAAAAAATTAATGGGGGATATCCGCATGCTAATTGTAAGTTAGTACCAGCAAATGAGGCTCACTGCGGCGGATGGGGTCTTTTTGATATCGCAAGATTCGCAAGTTTTAGCAAAATTCTTGCTAGTGGTGGTGCCGTTTTTTCTAATCATTCCTCTTTTTTTCCATTTTTTTCTTAATTAAACTATTGTTTTGCAACAATTGTATATTATCAATGTTATGTAATAAATTTAGAGAAGTAAACCACAATAATAATAATAATAATAATAAATCCCATAAGCTAACTTAGTATGTGAAAATAGGTTGTTTAATTAATAGGTTTTCCAAAATTTATTTGTGAAGGTTGAGTATTGATTAGATAAAAGTGAAATTATTTTTAAATTGAAAACTAACACTCCATATGGATTTCATGAAAAATTGAAACGGGGCATACCAGGGAGAAATAATTTTTCATTTTTTTTTTTATAAAAATAAATATATATTTTTTAATTATATTTAGCGCAGTTTTTTTTCATTGTGCAACTTTTTAACTAACTTTAATATCCTATACAAATTTAAAATCATTTTATTTCCTGCCTAACTGCTGCCTAAAACTTGTAATCAGATATTTTTACAAAATACTTTTTCATTTTATTGAAAAAATAATTGACCTTTGTTTTGGTTTTTTCCTAATCAACCTGATTTGTTCAGCCCGTCATGTTAAGAGGATCAAGGATCGTTGTGGATGGTTGTCTACTTCAATAGTCGGTATGTAACGAGTTCACTTTCACAGGGCCCAGCGTGAACGAGAGTGATTTTGCCGTTTCGAAAGGGAAAACAATTTACAAGCTTTTGCCGGCGGCTTGCGCAGCGCAACAGCATGCGGAACTCAGTCAGTCGGCGAGTTTTTGAAAATTCAATATTTGCACAGATGTTTATTTGATTTGTGGTTTGAATCAAGAGTGGCTCGTTTTATCCCTAATTCAGCGTATGATACAAACTAAATATATCCCCCCCTGTCAACAGGCATCATCGCGGTTGCGGTCAAAATTAATTAATTACGTTGATACGCTGGGTGAAGTTGCCTCCAGGGGTGCCAAATTAGGATTGCTTGGGACCTTGAAAAACCATACTCAAGTATAGTATGAAATTCCTCTTTAGAGGAGGAAAAGTTAATTGTACTTTCTGGAAGCGTACCAGGTTTTTTTAAATTATAAATATGCTAAAGATTTTTTTTTAGGTATTTGATCGTTTTTGATATTTGCGTCTAATCTAAATTCTCTTTAAATGCCAAGTTCATAACATAACTAACTTTTTCTAATACGATCAATTATTAATTCATACTGTAGGGACGTAAATATTTTATCCAGCCAATTAAAACATGAAATATTATAACATTATATAGTTTAAAATTAAAAGTCATTCCAGGGAGGAACATCAGGAAGATTTTTAAAATGATATTCTTGTGTCTGCTTGTTCTCACAAACTGTTTGTTTTCTTCTTCCTTTAAACGCCTAAAGCTATTTAAAAAGAGCTTTTCTTCAATTGAACTAGAATCAATAAAATAGATTTTTATTTTGTTTCGTGGCAATTATATTATTTTTAGCTACATCGAAGCGAACATCTTGAAGAGCACTCACTCATAATAATTTATTGAAGATGCCACTTGCAGCTACTTTTAAATCAACGCAGAGATGTAATCTAGGTCGGCTTATGAATGATTCAAATCTCGCGAGGTGCGCTTCTCCTTTCTTTTATATTATAATCCATTTTTTCACTATTTCTTCGCGACTGTTTATTTTTCCTCTTATTTATTTTTTGCTTTTGTTCAAGCAAAAGTATAGTGTGTGCAAATAATGTCGCCCGGCGGGAATCACGGAGAAGTCGCGAGCTCCGTTTCCCGGCGCAATAAACCCGAGGATAAATGTGTCGCTTTCCCTGGCACTTCAGCTAGAACCCCTGCCGTCGCAGCGGGTATGCAACCTGCCAGGCGGCGGCGCTGTGCGGGTCGCCTACGCACCCCTTCCTGTTCAAGACTCGGCAGCTCGTTAGCTGTTTGTCTTGTAAAGTTGCATAAACCCAAGACGAAACTCGTAAAATTACATGATAACATAACAAGGGTGTTGGAAAATAGAAGGGCTAATTTTGTGGTGTTAATCCTTTCGGACGGATTAACGAGCCGTCACTAGAGTCTGCAAAGGGCTTTTTGTGCGTAGCCAAAGAGTCAAGTCAATAGATATAGCTTCATGCAAAATTAACCCGCTCTCTCACCACCAGACCAAACGCCCGGGGTTGTTTTATCTATCACGGCAACGGTTAGTTTAGCACCCGCTTTCGCAGTTGTTTTTAGCAACAGGATAATAAAGATAAAGGGAACATCGCTCCACACCATCAAATAATAAATGGAAAATTGTTTGCTCACACGTTGCGCACGTGGTTTTTTCTCATTTTCGTTATTCCGGGATGAAAAAGTTGCACCCGTGGGGCCTATCGCTCAAAAACACGCCCTGTTCAAAACAAACGCACTGATTTATTCGGCTTGGGAAAAGTTAAATTTAGATTCCCTGATATTGTGACGGTTTATGCTGAATATTCAAGATTTAAATTATTACATAGTAGATTAAAAATAAATGAATTACATGCAAATTTTTTTCCCAAAAATTATAATCCATTGCGGATGAGCGTTCATTTAATTGGAGGTGAGTTAAATAAAAATTGATAAATTACCAATATTTAAAACAAATGCAGTTCTCTACAAATATGAATAATTTATATCATTTTGTTTTATTAACCCGTAATATCAGTTAAATGCCTTTTTAAGAACAAAAAATACTGAAATTATCGTAAGTTTATATTGCTGTTGATTTTTTTTATCAATATTATCCTAGATTGATTTGCCAAAATAGTTGATAATGTAGTCTGATTTCGCTATAATTCCTGTCATATTTATGTCACTATTATTTATGCTTAAGTCTTTAAGCTTTTGGTAAAACTTGATTGACAGATTAAACTATGTGTGATAAAATAAATTTATCTATTTGAAAGCGCGCCTACTAATTCAGTGGTTGACGTACATGAACAGCAACTTCCAATTTGCGCACCTCTAATTGATATTCCGATCGCGTGTTGCTGCTTTTGAGAGGACAACATCAAATTTCTCATCAACCTAATGGAAACAAACTAACTCTGCAATGCAATTCCGAAAAAAGCTTTCAAAGCCAAATTGTTTTCACTTTCATGCGCTTTTTATGGTATTTTCCACTCAACAAATGGATGGTTATGTCATAAAAAGCTCATTTTTAACTACCAAAATTGACGATTTCAGTTATTAGCAATTTCAAAAAATTGAAAATTTACAATTGAATTAGAATAAAAAAGGTCTAATTGAACCTTCAAACATTTTCATTATCCAAAAAATATAAACTATATAGAGAAAACGTTTGTGCTTTTGTTTCAATAGCACTCTGAATTTACTTCCGGGCAAACATTGACACTTGGTGCTATTCCAGCTTTTACTGCATTTCAAATACCACCATTTAGGTTAAAAATTTTTTGATATAACATTCAATTCAAAGTGAATTCTTGTTCTTTTCAATCACTAATATTCAAAATTGAGCACCAATTAAAGGTAAATATTCAATAAAATATCTTATCCCAAGACACTAACAATAAGACAGGACGCTAAAAAAAATTTTTAAAAAGTTTTTTTTTTTAAATCTTTTCAATTGAATCTTTGGATTTCAAAGTAAGAATATCGTTCGATATAAATAACGTAGTTCATACCATTTGCGTTGGTTTTTCACAAAACTCTGAAGGGTTTTTTTTCATTCATGAGATGGGCATGCAAATTTATAATTAATCCTCCTCTTTCATTGAGTATTTTGTTTTTGAGATGAAAACGTTTAAGATCTAAAAAGCTTTGGTAAAAACTTCATTACTTTCGGACTTTTTAGCCGTTTAAAAACTTCCACTTGAGTGTCTTTTTTTTAATATGCATAGAAGTTGCACCGAAAGCAAAAGTGTTCGAGTTCAAAGGGGAAACTTTCTACTTTTTATTTCAAAGAGGACGTACCTAATTTTTTCGCCGGGCCTGTTCCGTTTGCGCCCCTCTTTGGGGTGGAAGGGCGGTTGCGTCGTGTATTCGTGCACTGGTGCCGGCAATCGGTGCGGCTTCAAAGGGGTGTTTTTGGCCGACGAGGGACGCTTTGTGGTGTGCGGCGGCATCGCTGGTTTGGTGGGCCACGGCACTGGAATGTGCATCGGACGCGCGTTGTGCGTCTCAAAACTGGACGCGTCTTCCTCCATGTACTCGGGCTCGGAGTCGAAGGCCGGCGGCGGGCCTCGCGGCTTCGAAGGGGTGGTCGCGGGAAACACGGCCGGGCCATACGCAGGCTGCACGTGGCACGAGCAGCATGTTGGCACCTGCAACCAAACAAAATCCCATTAGCGAAATAAACGCAGGGATTTATTCGCGGTGTGCGAGCATTTGCATAACGGCGTTATATATCACCGGCGATCCCCAGAGAGGAGAGGCGCGCAGTTAGGAAAAGTCGCTACCCTTATTACTCTGCCATTTGGAAACCGACTACCAAAATTTACGGCTTATTATTATGAAATTATTAGCTAATTCATGGTGGATTTGGTTCCGACTTATTTTATATTATTTACAAAGATTTAAATTTTTTTATTTGGATTTTTTTAATCTGCTCTAAAATTCATTCAGCGATTCAGTCTTGTTGAATTTTTAATTTTAGAAGTATGAAAGCTAAAAAGTATTGTTTTCTAAATTTCAAACATTTTGGAACGTTATTAAAAAAATACATTTTATAAAGCAGAATTTAAATTATCAGACACTTCTAGCAAATGATTTTTTTCGGATATTTTAGGGGAAAAATGATTATTTACAAAGGCACCTTGTCTTCTTTTAAATCTAGTGCTGTCATACATTATTTAACCTAGAATAAAATTACCCTTGTTATATTATTTTACAATTAAGGACTCCTTATTGACATAGTCAAATCAAGTCTTTACAACAATAATTTCCAATTGTCTTTCAACAATCGCAAAAATCTGTTTATATTGTTGTAAGGACTTGATTTGACTATGTCAATAAGAAGTCCTTAATGTGTTAATAGCTAAACAAAAACTTCTTTGAGACCTTTTCAAGTAAAAAAGCAAATAAAATTTGATCCCTTAATTAAAAACGTATTTTTTGTAAAGAGACTTTTTACGTGCAAAAAGTTAAGATTATCTATTAATTTTGAGTGTATGGCAAAATAAGAGCCCTTAATTGGTTTTTGCATATTTTTTTTAATTATCTCCTATTTAACATTCCATCATACTTAAAAGATGTTTTCAAATTATGCTCTTCATGAATTTTCATCAACTTTTCCAAAACCATCTGCAAAATATGGTCTCGTGTCCTTATAAACTTTCAGAATGCATGCGCGCCTCCCATTATGATCTTTAGTCAAAACACTGCCCCGCAAATTCGTATTTTGAGACATGGTGTTGAGAAACTGTTGGGGAAGCAACTTTGCGTCAAAAGCAAGATTATAGCAACCGCCTTGCGACCCAAGAGTTATATTGCTGGTTTACACTCGGGCTTTTACGACAGTTATTTTGGCAGCAACACTCACAAAGCAGCATTAATTAGGCAGCTTTTTGCGCACCCTTAAATCCAAAATTAACTATAAAAAGGAGATTCTGGGCAAACCGGCTTTGGCAAACACTCGGTGCGGCAACGATTAATCTTTTTGGTCGGTACGTGTTTTCCGTTGTTTCCATTTACACCGCCCATAAATCCCATAAATCCGCTTTCGTATTTCCTTCCACTCCAACCCTTTCGCTCGCTCGACGGACCGACGAGGTAATTAAAAACGCACGCAGATATAAGGCTCACTCAGAACAGGTGAGATCCGATTTGAGCCCGTGTGTGTTGACACAAAATATTCGCTGCTGACTTACCTTGAACAAGTCGAGGAAGAGACCCTTCTCGTAGTCCCAGGCCAGCAGTCGGTGGTGGGTGTAGATTTGCACGCACTGCGAAGCAACGCCGTTTGCTAAATAGTTGCACGACTCACCAGGTTCTCTGTGAAAAAAAACACAATATAGCAGATTAGAACCATAAATATGCACATCAGTACTCTGGGGAAATCTTAGTTGTTATTCATCGCGATTACGTGCAAACCTAACCGGCCAGTGGAATAAATAAATATTCATGGAAATTCTAAGGTAGTTATTTTCCTCCCACTTCACAATCAGTGGCACAAATTGTATAATTATAGTAGGTGTCTTACACATTTTTAAGTTCAAATCTTGTTCTGCAAAAATGATGATATGAAATATTGAAAAACCTTTAAAAATGTCTCTGATAATTTGAATAATATCATTAATATTGTATTACGTGTGTTTGTGGAAAACTTGGATTATTTAAAAATAATATTTGATAATTTTTTTATTTGGTGATATAATATTAATCTGAATTTGCACTTCAATTATTTTTGAAAAAAGTATCAACCTTTTCAAATATAACGGTGACTTCTCTGTTCCAGCATCTTAAAAATTAAGTATCAAGAAAAGTCGTTTTTGAAGGTAATTTTTTTTATTTATTTTTAATAGTAATTTCTTCCATCAAATTCTATACAAAGTAAAATTTTATACTAAATGATGTATTTTATTGTATTATTTTTTTTCTAAAATTGAAAACGGCAGGGATTTTTAAGGAAGGTGAGAAACCTTGATACGAAAGTAATTAATCAAATAATATATTTTTCCTGATTTTTCCTTGAAACAAATTTATGTGCTTTAAGTGATATGCGGAAATTTGTACCAATGGCATAAATTCAACACATTAGTCATGCAAAAGTCCAATGAGAAGTAGAAAGATGGCCCACAAATTTAAAAACGTCTCTTATTAGAATAGTCTTTTTTCATGAAAAAAAGTGAAAACGTATCCTCCGATCCTGCGAATTTTTTGTTCTTGTTATTTTGCAAGTTTCCCATTTAGAAGAAAAATAACAAGCGGCGTGGGTCTAAAATAAATTGGGTTTTGGAGGAAAAGACAGACAGCTTTCTTTGTTTTAAACATGAAAATTTTTCGGAATTACTTGCTATTTTTGCCGAGGTTTATTTGTTCGTAAACGCAACAAAGGAAGCGAGTCGATGATAATTTGGTCCAAGAGCAAACAATAGTGGGAGCGAGAGAGATGCTGCTGGAAAAGTATGAATAATTCATCTTTCATGCACGTGCGCGCCGTGAATTCAGTCTCTCATTGTTTTTCCGAGCTGCTGCCAGAGGTTAAGAGAGAGGGTAGAGTGAGAGAGCATCTTTCTCTCTCTCTCTCTCTCTTTTTATCACTAGCAATGGCATGCTCTCGGAAAAATAAAAGGGAAATGCGCTACAGAAATGCAAAGAAAGACTAAAATCGATGGACAGTCGAGCAAACACGGTCTGCTCTTCTTTTCAAGGGCCGGCAACTGCTTTTCCCCGACTTTCGGGACGGCGATTTTATGGCACCCTTGGAAAAGTTCGACAGAGGGTTGCAGCTTAAATATCGCTTAAAGTTCTCCTAAATCACGCACTCGGCCAAGGTGGCAACAGGAGAGAGAGAAAAACAAGCGCCGTTGATGTTGCATCTTTTGTCTTGAGATAAGTCTGCTTTCTCGTTAATTAAAAACAAGACGAGTGAAATAAAGAACGCCTCTTCTTTTTTTGGAAATGTTTACCGGATCAAAGAAAGTGCCCACTGCGCATACAAAATTCTGCCTCTGAATTTGCACGATAAATTATTTTTTCTTCTCTTGCCTTTTCATTATTTCTAAACCCGCAAGTGAAAAGAATCTTAAAGCAAATTCAAGGAAATCCAACCCAATCTCGCTTTTAAGCTCTCCTCCGAAGTTTGGCGTCTTTCAAACGTCGAGTTTGAAAGCGAAATAATACCCAGGCGAGGCACGTACCTTAATTCCACTCGGTCGATCGGGCTGAATGAATGAGAACCGATTTGTTCCTCTTGGAAGAGGTCCGGATTGATCTATCAATAGATTTCTTACGACAAACACTTGATTTTTTTTCCATACACAGCCGTCGAATGGCTCCCTATTATTGATTATACAACCCACCATTAAAAGGGTTATCAACACAGCCACTTACTGTCAGGACCAGACATGTTGAAGTTGGCGTAAGATAATAAATTATGAAGCAAATAAAAAACATTTTAACAAAATAAATGGGACGATTGAACAGTAAAATGTATTTTAAATTTATTTAGTGAATTCTCATTAAATTTAAAAATCTAATTTTGTATTATCCGTTTCAAGAGATTGTACAAGCCATGAGAGGAAGTTAAATTAAAACAATGCTTAATTTTGAAAGGGGGATGAAGTTAATTACTCCGAGTTTTATTTGAAAGGAGATATTTTTCCTCCTTCAGTGAAGTAAATATTTGGTTAAAAAGGAGGCTTGTATAGCAACACATCTTATCCGAAGGGATCACTTTTTCCTTAACCCGCCAAACTTTTAAGTTTTGAAAAATTTCAATCCTTAACAGTGCAAATAATCCGTTTATTTTGTTTTATTTCAATAGAATTTTTAAATGGCTAGTAGAACAGATTTGTTTAGAGTCGAGAATACAGAGTTGTCTTAAAGGAAAATAATCATTTTTTTTTATAGAAAAATAAGAAATAAGAGAAGGGATTAAAATTGACTCACGTGCACAGCTCGATCCGAAGCGTCTGCGAGTGCTCGTCGCCCGTGTTTACCAAGTACTTCCACTGGCCGTTGACGTTGCGGGCTCGCTTGGGCCTCGCGAATTTGGTGATGGATTGGCACAGGGTTGCGCCGTTTTCATTATCGCCGCCCACGAGGTTCTCCTCCACGTCCTGACGCCTGTCGCTCGTCGGCTCGGTGGCAATTTCCCGTGCCAGAACGCCCAACAGCGACGTGGTGCTGCGCTTCATGCTGGCTATTATGGCATCCCTGCGAGCACCGAGAAAAGAAAATTGGCTGCCAGCGTCTTATTTAAAAAAAAAAGAGCGACGCGAGAGAGAAAAACCGGCGGCTACAAATGAGCTGGATCATCATACTGTATCCTTTTCCCAGGGTTAAATCGATTATCCCTTTACTACTTGCAGACGCAGACGTTTGCCACAATTCCAACTTTTTCATTATTGGGTTCAAAATTTTTATTTTATTTTGATATTAATCTGAATTTACATTTAATATAATAATTAAACGTATTATCAATATTTTTGCTAGGAATTAACATGAATAGTTTAGCAACAAATTATTTCAAGGGATCACAATATTTTTAAATTAAAATAAATTTAGACGTGTATTGAAAATTTTTGTCAACATTTTTAAGCCATTTTGAAATAAATATGTATTAAGACTTTCCGTGTTGATTTTCAACCAGGGGAAAATTCTCAAAGATCAGATGAGGTAAAACTTTAACCTTAAAATCAAGATTGTGAATTTCCCATTTTCAGCAAAATTAACGTTCTGTTTAAAGAGGAATTCCCGTTGTCTGCCTCCCCCAGTTTCAAGAAGTTTTCTTAAACTGCAATTTAACTTGTCATTTAGCAAAGAAGTGTGAGAACAAAGCGCAGCTGGACACAATCGAGCCGGATTATCCCAGCGCTAAATTGATTATCCCTTTAAAACTTTCCAGCTCAAATTTGCTGCAACTTTTTTATTAGTTGGGAAACTTCTTGTTAATTAGAGTTTCAATTAATCCCCCATCTGTCCAGGACTCAAGATGGAATAACACTCACGTTGGGTAGTTGGGAACTTCCAGGCACAGATTATTGGAAAACAGATCGCACTCTTCGCCCTTGGGCAGGGGTGGGGGTCGAAGGCCCACGCTGACCCTAGCCGGGGGCTGCCGTCGCCTCTTTGTCACTGTGAGTGAATTTCGTGTGTCAGGTCAGAGGAAAAAAGTGCCAAAGTCGGGATTAAACTCACTCAGTTGGAATTTCCGGTGCTCAGAGAGGAAGGCCATGAACTCCTCCGGCGTCATTTTCCATCTCGATTCCAACGCCTGCGAAAACAAATTTGCCGTGAAATTTGATCAGTTTCAATTTTACTCAACACATTTTTTTTTTTTTTTTTTCATTTTTACCCGACTTTCATTCCGGGAAAGAGTTTCTGAGAAATTCGATATACAAACGTGAGTTCTGAGAGAGAAGTAAATAAAGTTTGGAGAAGCAGGTTGGGCCAAAAATAAAAATATATAATATTGTGATATGTATTGCGAGTGTTGTTGAGCTCTTCTGTACTCTATTTCCAGCCGATAAAAGAGGCCCAAGCGTCAGTAAAAGTTCCACTCCGACATAAAGCATACTTTGATTTTTATCGCAGCAGAAAGTTTTGATTTATTTGCAAACGCATGAGCGAGGGCGTTTCAAACTTTATTGAAGTCCGCAATTGCTTTGTTAAGAGTATTAGAAAGAAAAAGATAGTGAAAGTAATTAATTTGAAATTCTAAAAAAATCCGTTATTTTTATTTTCTTCTGCTATAACAAGTTTTTTTGGAATTATTTATTAAACGTCATAATCTCATCATGACGTGAAAAACAGGCTTGCTCTAGTGTTATTCTTATAAAAGTTGCAAATAAAAACAAATTCTGTAACACAGCCATTCTCAATGTTATTATCATCAACTTCCTCCAAAGTGCTCATTCATTTTATAAAATTAAATATGTATTATTTTTTCCTATTATAAGGAACCTAGATTTTTGTGATAAATCCCGGTATGGGTATCAATTGCTTTTGTGATAGACACAAATTGCAAATCAAGGAATTTAATTTAATTCTGAGGAAATTTAAAGTATCTTTAGTGTTTCATTGGGCACTCTCAAAAAATACATCTCAAAACTTGAGCTATTGCAAAAACACTAATACTGTTTACTGTATGAAACAAAAAGTGAAATTTTGTAATTTATTTCATCTGCTTAGGAATCAAATGAGAGGTGAGCAGCCCTCGTTATGGAATAGCCCTCACTGGTTGTGTGGTAAAGCACATTTCCATCTACTTTTTTTGAGTGCAAAACTTTTTACGGTATTCATAAAAACTTTCTCGTATCACTCGCCCACCTGCGGCAATTCTTCTGGCATCGTTTCGTTTGATTCTTGCGCAGTGTCGAAAGAGCGCGACTCCGGAAGGGAGGCGATGGCCTCGATCGCCGTCCTCTTGGCCTCCTCCTGCGCCTCCCTCTGGGCCTCGGAGGCGCCTTTCTGCAGTAAACTCACGACGTCCAATTGCGGCAGCAGGCGCGGCAAACTGGCGTTCACCATCGGCTTCGGGTTTACTGGGGGCGAGGAGGTGGCGTTGCTCTGGTGTTGTCTCGCCAGTTGCTGATGTCTCTGTGCAATCGAGTTAATCAAAACTCTACATTTTTTGCTGCAAGGACCTTACCAATTGCGTCGCTTGAATGAATGCTTGTGAGACGTTGTGCAGCATGTCTGCCAAAGCGTGTCTCTGACCGCGGGTCAAACTTCTTAAAAGAGGCATAACCTGAGAGCAGTTTTAAAATTAATATATATCTTGAAAAATGTGCAATGGGAGAGGGAAACCATAATATTTAATTTTTAATTTTTTTTAAACAACATCATTGCATTCAAAGATTTATCAGGTTAAAATTTTAAACAGTAACACGCAATTGAAATTAAGAATTATTAAAAATAAAATTGTCGATACAAAAAATGTTCAACTATTATTTAAAACAGTTTTCTATGAAAAACTTTGCAGAGAAATTTTTTAGAAAAGTATTAAAATACAAAGCTTTTATTTTTATTTTTCAAGAATTAATTAAGCATTAAGCCTCATTTCTTCACGTTTAAAATTTCAATTTACCTCAATCAGTCTTTGCTGGCTCTCAGGTTGTTTCATAGAGGTCATCATGACCTGCTGAAACATCGCACGTTTGTTCACATCAGGCTCGCGGAACCCAGTCACACTACCAGGGTAAAGCAGCTGAAAGAGTTTTTATAAGCTATAAATAAAATTTAATTTTTTTAAGATTTTTGAGACACTTTCATTCAAGATATTTTTGGAAAACATTTAAACAATCACTCTCTTTGAAATTTTTAAATTTAAACAACTTTTATTTTTTTATGAACGGCTCAGTTTTGTGGGTTTTTCTAAAGCCGCAAAAAAGGATATTTATAATTTTGAAATTAATTATGAAGATAATTTTAAGTCTGTAATGTCTTGGGTGTTTATTTCAGTGGTTATTAAGCTGACCATTATTATAGCAATCAGTTAATATTTTACTTTTACTATTATGAGCGTCCTAGTTCGGTGGCAATTTTAAAAAGACGCAGGTGGATGCAGGTGATACTAAAAACAATCAACTATGCTCAGATTTCCCTGGCCACTAATTTAAAGTTTTTTATTTTATGTCGGCAGACGACCTGCTTTTTGCTTGTTTTGGGCTTTTGCTAACTAAACAGAGTTTAGTTTCCTACTCACTTGGGACAATTCTCTCTGCAGAGGAACTTTGGCCTCTGAAACGTCGGTCTCTGAAGGCACCTCCGTTTGCCCGCTCGATTCTTTCGGCACATTCTGCTTTCGTCTGGCCAAAGTCACGTTTGCTGCAGGCGGCTTTGCTTCGGTCTGTGTTGGATTTGCTGATGCCAATTGACGTTTGGTTCGCCTCGGCAACGAATCAATTTTCCTTGCCAAGTGATTCTTAAAAGTTTCCACCTGCCTCTGGGAATTTTTGTTTTAAATATAATTTAACGATTAATTCCTTGGAAACATTTCACTGTAGGGATGTGCACAATTTTCTTTTGATTTTAATTAAATATAATTTGTAAAAGGTTTTTCATGGGAAATAATTTATAATAATAAATTTAAAATGTGAATTGTTATGAATTTAAAACACAAAACCTCACACAAAAATTATTTTTATATTTTTTGTATAAAAAAAATAAAATTATAAAAATATTGACGTGAACTTTAATATTACTTGAAATTAAATTAGTTGAGATTAAAAAAGTTAAGTTTTTTCTTGTTTATTTTCTATTTGAAAGGACATTACTAATTTACTAAGCTTATCTAAACGATAATAATTTATTAGATATTTCTCTTCTGCTATGTATCTATTTATCTATAAAATTGATTTATGTACCGATTGAGCAATTTTCTTGAGCACTTTGGAGTCACTTGGCAACTCCACTGCTAAGGCATGTCTTTGCTTGCGGGTTAAACTCGTCAAGAGAGGCAGCGCCTGCAACACGTGAGCAAAAAGAGTCACTTGAAAGTACTCGTTCACCAACTTCACTAACAAGAAGAAGAAGCAAGTGATTTCATTACCTCAATCAGTCTCTGCTCCGGTCCCTCCATTGAGGTCATCTCGAAATTCTCTTCCGCATCTTGCGACAACAACGAATTTTCTGTTGCGTTAACGTAGAGCAGCTGAAACAAGACAAAAGCGTTTAGAGAAACTACAGAGGAAATCTTTTCGATTAAAGTTAATTTTTTCGGTGCAAATTAACTTTCGCTCCGGAACGCGGCGGCGGATGTGAAGACAGACGTAAAAATTTGGAATTGAGATTAACGAAAGCTGAGGAAATGCACCTCTATGGTGATTAAATAATTAATTTGTTTGTTACATACTTGCGCGCGCGGTGACGACGCACCGTGAAAAGATAAACGAAAGTTTCTGGTACTATATTATGCGTGTAATGATGTGGTTATGCAGGGCTTTAAATTCGGAGACGACTGTTGCGTGATAAGAGTTGATTATTTACTTTTTAAAGTTCAAAACGGTGTTACCAATTAAATAGAAAATATTGGGAATTTACTGGAGCGTTAAGTATTTAATAATAATCAGCAGATCAGTGATTTAAAAGTGGGTCTTTTTTTTACAAGGTCTCGAGGAATTTAAGAGCTCCAGGATAATTTGTTATTATCATTTTTCTTCTTAATTATCTAAAAGTCTTCCATATATATATATATATATATATATATATATATAATATATATAGAAGAAATTGGTAAGAATAATTTAGAGACATGTTAATGGTATTTTTATTTTTTCATAGATACACTTTAAATAAGCTAAAAGAAGCCAATCCAATAACCTAGCTGGCCTGGAGCTACATTAGCTCTTTAATTTAATTAAGCCAATAATAAAATACCAGACATTTTTCTGAACAATTTGCATTATTGAATTGCAAATTTTGGGTACCCGCTAAAGTAGTGGATGGTGAGCAACAATGTGAATGCAACGAATTAAAAAATGATAATATTAAGTTTTACCAGATCTGCTCCTATTTTGTTTATAATAAGTTACCTCAACCGCGCATTTTAAATTTAATTAGCCGCTGTTCAGATATATATTTCCAGACAAGGTTAAGCTTTGGGATCCCTCTCGAATTTATTATTATTATTATTATTATTATTATTATTTCTAAATACTTGGAATTAAAACATGCATTTTGTAGAACTATTTTATAAAAGTGATGAAATTTTGAAATAACTTAGAAATATAAATGGGTGCACTTTTCTCCCAGTTTAAATTGTATATTTTAAAGTGTCGGAAGTTTCAATAATAATACAAGGAAAATGACGTGGTTTAATATTTTACGTGTAAATAAAATACTAAATCTGCATTCTGAAATCTTTATCACAAAAGCCGCTAACAGCATTTTGTTTTTGAACATATTAATTGATCCTTTAGGTAAAAAAATCGGATTCACTTGATTTTAGAAAAAAGACGACTGTAATACGGATTAATTTTTTCTTCTTTCACATTTCCTTCAGAAGCTGTTTGATTGTAAAAGCTGTCGTTAAAATCTACTTTATGCACACAAGATGCTCTGCGGAAAAAGTGTACACCAGCAACCAACACCATCTTTGACGAATATAATTTTGGTACACACATTTCCCCCTCAGTGCTCCAAATATGAGTCTTGTAAGGCGCACTGTAGACCTTAATGAAGTAGTTTTCCACTTTTCATATTAAGTTGTTAAAAATTTCCCGGGAAATTAATTTCTGAATTGCTCTTTTGGCGTTCTTTCCTATTATAACGTCCATAAAAAACGGCCTCGTTTCGCGTGTTTGCAAAATGGTCCAGAGGGGAGTGCAATTATCAGCAAACGGGGCCACACCGTCCCAAATGCTTTTTAATGCTCCATCACGCGTGTGCCTTACGACGCAAAATTGTGTGGCGTCATCTCGCGAGCAGCAGCTTGGCATCATTTCAGAACAGGATCATTTTCATCCCTCTTGAAATCTCCCCTTCAGCTGCTTTGGCATCTTTCCCGGATTTGGCAGCTGGGCTTGACTGTTCCAAGCAGGAAAACGCCATTTCACGTGAAAATGCACATACATATTTCTCATTTTTCGCTCATAAAATATGCATCGAATCTGTATGAAGATGGAAAGGATGGCGGAAAAGTACCACGGGTGTACCGTTTTTATTATACGCGCGCGTCAGGCGCCCCGCAGGCAAGGCTTTCCTCGCAGATTAACAGTTACGCACGATGACCGCAGCTTGTTTGATGATATAATGGCGAAATTATCTCAAATTTGCAAGCTAAAAGTAAAGTTAGGATTGTGGAAATTTTTCTTGAAAGGAATTTTTTAATAAAAAAAAATCGGTCTTTCTCTCTTTTCCTGGAAAAGTTTATTTAGCGTTTGTTTGTTTGAAAGGAAACTGAGAGTACACCGTGGGGAATCTACCCACTTTACAAGTTGGAGTCAAATTTTTGTTAATTAAACTCCATATTTAAATTCAGTGTGTATCTGTTTTGTTTTGCTGTGTTATTTAGGCTTCTTTGAAGAACAACACTGTTAAAACTGTTCATGTCAACAGTCGGAAAATTGAAGAAATATTAAACGACATAATAAACAAATGAATTAAAGTTTTCATTAAAACAAACTATCAGTACCTTTTGTATGTAAATTCCATTATATTATTGCATTGCAATTAAAATTCTAAACCCAAATGTTTGAGAAAATAAGGGTTACTTGTTAAACATTGTTATTATGTTTTTTGAAGAAGAAAGCAAAAATAAAATATCCAAGTACCAAATTTTTACATTAAAATCAACAAGGTCTTTTTATAAATATAATAAATTTAAATATATCAATCTTAAGGAGTAGTTATGATTTTTGGTAAAATCCTGTTGTTTAAGAATTAATAAGTTTAGAGTTCTTAAGAGATTTTTAAAGACAACATTCAAAATTATGTAAGAGATTTTGTCTTACCTATTATTTCCTAGAAATCATATGGTACTAAAGCTCTCATTATTTATTTATCAAGCAGTAAATATACATGATTATTTTATTAAATAAATGTTATTTTTACTCTTGAATGTAAGCAATTATATATTATGTACATTATAAGTTTCACAAATTGAGGAGGACTTTTGACGGAAAGTCATATTTGCTTAGAATGGACGTACAAAGAAACCTTTTTTCATTTCATATTGAAAATCGTTCCCTTGCGTTTTCCTTTAAGGAATATGAATAAATTGGGTAAGGCCGCGCGTGTGTTAAAATGAGAAGAAAGCCTACGGAATCAGCAAGCAGCGAACCTGTTTCCGTCATAAATAAATCATCATTTATGCGCCACGGCCTCTGACAAAGAATGGAAAAAGGGCGCCGAAAAGAAAGTGCGTGCGACGCAAAGAAATCAAAATTCAAAAGAAAAAAGAGAATAATACGACTGTTGCTTACCAAAAAGCAAAAAATCGACGCCACCGAGCGAAATGATGCCATCGTCTCGTTGATCGGCTCTTCTTCTCTACAGCATCATCCCATGGATCCTTTGACACATCAACTCACAATTTTATCACCCGGAGAATAACACCGTAAAAGACGAAAGCACCACGTGCACCTTGCTCGCCGCACCGAACAAATTCCTTTGCGGAGCACCTTCGAGTAAAACCAACGGTCGGCCAACAGGTCTTCCTCCTCTTCCTCTGTCCCACTCGCGCGGCCAAGACCCACACCGGCCACGTGACCTCCTTCCCACTATCACGCTGCTCGGCTCGGAAGATGTTAATAATTAATTAACGTGAAAGACGATCTCACGTCATTAATCCCAAAACTGATGAGATAATCATCATAAAACCCGCATGCAAATGAGACAATAATAATAAAAAAATATCAATCGTCTGATTGTACCATTTTTTATCGATAAATTGACCTACAAATTAATTTTAAAAATTGGAACGCTGGAAAAAATTAATGTCAAATTTAAAGACGTTAGAGTCTTTATGCTGGTAAATAATTTACGCAGTTTTATTATTCTGCTCTATTTTGAACTGTCTCATTTATAAAATTCTGCTTCCAACAGTAAAAACTCAATTTATATAATAATTTATTGTTTGTCCTAGCTAACTAGCTCTCTTTATCAATATAACTTTAACTTAGAAAAGATTGTAGCACACTAAGAAACAACTTTAAATGGCTTTGTAATACTATTTTTATCGCTATTATTAATTTCTATCAGTGGCTTTTAACATTTAAATGTTATTGTTAATTTCTTATTAATTTTAATAAATTTTTACAGCTCCAAATTCTTTGATATAATAGGCCGCTGTTATTTCTATTTCATTGAAAAAATATGTCATTATTATAAACAAATATTTTATGTGCAGCATCCTGCACATAAGATTGTAAAAATTGAAATTCAAAATATAAACCCATAAATCTTACTTAGAATTAAAATAAAATGTTAGCATCCTTCATTTTATGTTAAACCTAAATTCAGTATTTGATATAGATGTTTATATAAAAATACTTTTTTTAGGTGTAAGCGACGTTTCCTGTAGCTTTTTTAATTACAACTTAATCCTAAATAGTTTTCTTTACTTCACCTTTATTTATTTATTTATCATTATTATTTTTTTAATGACCATTTTCGCCCTTTCAATGAATTTTTTCTGTGCAAAGTAGAAATATAGAATAGAAAAGTCTCAGCTGCGGATAATGTGCACCAATTCCGTTTCATAACTCAATTCAGATCTCTCGGCAAAAGTCGTCATGTGTTTGTGTAATAAAATTACTGGGAGCGGAATGCATTAATTCGAAAATGCGCTTGGTCGCTCGCGACTCATTGAAGGAAAAGAGAAGCGGGCTGGCTTATAGGAAGAGAGTTAACGGGACACTCGCCAGCCGCTCTCGCATTCATCAAATCACTGTACTCACTAGTTAGGGACGCTATAAAATATCAACGTGCACTCCTCGTAACCTACATTCGCATCGCGCTACTTAAACGATTTATGCTTGGAATCGTTCTTCATTTTCAACGCTCTCGATTGATGCACTTTTTGCTCCAATATTTCCATTTCTACGTGACTGATGGAAACTAGGATGAATTTTTTTACGTGATTGAAACCGTGGATAATTTTCGTTGCTGGAATCGAGAAAAAAAAGAAATCGGAGCTTTCCTTTTCGATGAAATTCAGCGTCGTCCCTTTTTGGGGATACACGCGGTGTACAAACGGTGCATGCAAATTAATTCCTTGTCCTTTGTATTTTCGAATGTTGTTCCGACGTGGAGGCCCAACCTGCATCATGCAAAGCACCACTACGTATTTTGCTTTTGTGTTGCTCGAGTTAATCACAGCTGGATCCGCCCACGCATCCAAAATTGCAAATTATGATATGAGAGGGTGCGCATTTTGATGAGTTTCATCAACGCACTGTATAAACCTCACTTTTTCCAAGCAAGTAAAAAATATAAATTAAAACAAAATCACAATTAATTCTATTTTGATATAAATTTTTCCTCAAAATACATATCACTTCAATAATGTTTTTTCAAATAGTAACAATATTGCAATAAAAGGTAAAAAAAAAAACTTCAAAATAGTGAATAAAAGTCTCTAAAAATATTTTTTTTTTTCACGAAACAGTTACAAATGTCAAATTACTTTTACATAATTTCAATCAGAGTTTTTCTGAATATATTAAATTTTGGAGCAGCTTGTATTTCAAATATTGAAAAATATAAATTGTTCTGAATGTTTGAATAAAAGGATCAGTAGCAAAGATTTTATTAAAATTTATGATGAAATTAATCCCCAAAAAATAAAAAAATAAATTTAATTAAACAGAATTGGAGAGTGTAAGCTAAAACTGATTATAATTGCAGAAAATAGTATGTGTTTTAAATAATTTTAATTTATTCTTATAAGTAATTTCTCCTCTGAAACTTGATCTTACTATTTATTTTTTTCTTTCAACTTTTTTTTTATCTAGTGTGGTTTTTAAAAAGCGTTTACTTTGATATATAGCGAACATTTTCGGGAAACTTCCACTTTCGCTTGTATCCAGGCTTGTCAGGAACCAGTTAGTTGCCAATTAGAAACTGACAGGAACACACACTTGTAGTGCCTCCTCACTCCCATCAGGCTCGGATAGTCTTTTTTATTTATTTGTTGATGAAACTGCTGAACAAAAAAATCTCCAGTGTCTATCGACTATCTGCCCAAGCAGCTTTTGTGCCGACATATATATTTACAGACCCGTTTTCTTTCTCTTTCCCGGCGTCGCTTCTTTGCTTTTCCCAAGGGACGATTTGACATTTGAGAAGAGAGGCTCAGTGAACTGCAAATCACGTGGATCGTCTCTCTGATACATTTGATCATTGCCTACCTGTGCTTCGAACACGCACACACAATTTACAATCGGAAGACACTCCTGTTTCTTGTTTGCATTGTTTGTCAAACACAAGTCGTATCAATCATCGGGCTCAAATTATTCGAATGAAACTCGCTCGAATAATTGTCTATTACTTTCTTTTATTAAAAATCCAATTGTTTAAAAATCTCTCCGTGTCAACTTTCTCACTGATACGGAAATCGAATCACGTGCGTGGTGAGTCACACTTAATTCTAATGAGTAGAATCGCCTGCCACGCTTCCAAATTAATATTTATAACAGCTGTTAAAAATTAACCTTGCACCTATACATATATGATTAGATTGTTATTTTGTATATTTCAACTCCACTTTGAAAGCGAAATTTAATAAAATAATTAGAGTTAAGTTGGTGTATAATCTACTATGTTTGTTAAATATCGCAATATATTGGTTGAGTGGGCATAAATTATGGCCAGAAACAGGGAAAACGTAATCAAAGCCGTTTTCCAAATACTGAAAAAGTAATATAAAATTATGGATGTTTCCAAGCTTATTCTTGTTTTGATTTTCAAGGAAGACAAGTCACTAATATAATTCAAATTGTTGATTTTTTTTAATGAAAGTATAGTAAGAAAACACTAACAATAAATAATTTTAAACAGTAACAATATAGAGAGAAAAATTTTTGATTTTATGTACCAAAATTCATGCTCACATATTGCGATTTGCTTTGATTCCCATTACCCAAAAATGCAGTTTTCAGAAAATTACATTATAAAAAATACCGATCCTTTAACTTTGAAAGTTTTGAATCACTATTGATTTTTTTTTTAAAAAATTCCTATTTTAAGCAATATAATAACACAAAAGAACGAAGTTGACTTGCAAATATTAGCTGTGGATCATTTTTTGATTAATAAACGCAAAAAACCCCCAAGAAATTTCATCATTGATCGATTCAATGACCTGCATTTTCAGAAAACAAGAATAACGGGACCAAACCATCATAGCTGATCCCTAAATTACTTGACTTATACACTTTATTAAAAAAAGAAAATGAAACGAGATTTTTCAATAAATCTTTTTTCGTGAAATTACTTTAAAAAATAAAAACAGTGCTCCACACAATTTATTAAACTATTGGGATTTTCAAAATTTTCAATGATTAAAAATTTTGAAAAAAGTCTGGGAATGATGAAGCGAATTAGATTTATTAATTCACAAATAAGTGAATAAAAACTAAAAGAACAAAAATGATGCAAATTTTAAACTTTTAAATATCAGATCAGATTTTCATATCAGTGGTGCAATAAATTTTAATTATTATTATTAAGTGTTTATTAAAATGCCAGTTTTGAGTTTTGAAACTACCTCAAAACTGACTAAACCAAGTAATCAAATGTATGAAGAAAACAGCCTCCATATACAAATAAATCACACTAAAACGAACTAAGAATAATTCAGATAATGAGGTTAACTCTGTGTACTAAAATTTGCAAGTCTACAAAACAGAACATTTTTTAGTAAAATTGATTGATTACGTAAAATAAAAACCCTTGAAAATGCAATTTCTCTGAGTAAAATGGTAATGAATATATAATCTATTTCCCAAAATACCTGAATGGAAATAAATATCTGAGCATTAATTTTCAATCAAAAAAAATAAAGTATTAAATACAGTATCATGTATAAGTATTTGAACCTGCTCGAATTACTTTTAAAATTATTTCAAAGTTCAAAATCAAAGGCCTCGTTGATCCACGCTCGCGAGGCCGAGGTAACGTTGACGATGCAGGGTGGCGTGAAGTCGGCGTACTGAATCGTCTCCACCATGGAGAAGTACGTGGCCGCCCCGGTGGCCGCCACCCCGGCCAAAATGACGCCGAACAGCAACATGCGTTCGGCGGCCATCCACAGGGGGTGGCGCCGCGCTCCAGAAAGGGCGTTCTGGCTCAGGTGCAGGTAGAAGAGCGGCGGGAAAATGAACATCAAAGGACCCGTCAGCGCCCCACCTGCAAACAACAACCCTATTTCAATCCGCCGCAGCAATTAGTCATCTCTTTCGTCCGCAGCTGTGCGCTCCTTTGTCGTGACAAACGGCGCCTTACTTGTTGTACAACAAACTTCGTGTGTGTTTTGCACACGCAGCAAAAATTATTTTCACAAGGAAAACAAGCTCTGCAAACAATGCGTGACCCATTTCTTGCTACGCGATCTGAATTGCGGAGAAAAAACGGATCGTCGCACTTTGTCCGAAACTGGAATGGCCAAGAACTAGACTGGTGGTTTATTATTTTATTTTAAATTCTTCCATTTTTATGACAATTTATCGTTTGCGGATTTGATCATAGTGATTCTGTTTGTGAGAACATTTTGCATTTTGAAGACCACAAGAAATAATTTTTTGACTTTGCCAAACATTCTAATTTAATTCAATTTAATTTAATCTGTGCACTTTTTGGATATTTTATTCTTTAACTTCAATTATATTGCAAGTTGTACAAAATAATTAAGTACAAATTTCAGTAAAGCAATATTTAAGAACAAAAATTATTAAGCTTTTACTAAGTAAAACCGATAATTGTCGTAATGAAATTTTTCGGACAAAAAAGGAGCATTCAAGATTCGTGAATATGAACTGATAAACTTTCCGCTTTCGGGCAAAATGTGGCGATCTCCACACATGAGGCACAGGTACTTTGAAATGCAAAGTTATGCACTTCATTTTCATTATTCTCGGAGAGAGGTGTAATTAAAAAAGTTTCCTTAAAACTCCTTAGAAGTATTGTTTTTACCTATAAGTCCCATGATGAGGTCAAACCTGGGCACAGTTAGGCCTAGACCAACAGCCAACATGATGAGTGTGCTGCGAACTACACATCGTTTCCAATTGAATTCTGAAACATCAAAAATTAAAGAAAAAAATTTAAACAATTTGTAAGTTTAAATAGTTATAAAAAAAACGATTGTCAATGTTTATGTTTATTTAATCATAAAATTTTAAATTTAATATTGAACATTCCTAAAAAGTACTAAGCCATTTTATAAATTATATAAAAATAAGATTAGTTTGTGTAGATGGGTAAAAATTTAATTTCAAATGCACTCTAAATTGAATTAAATAAAATAAACTTTCACAACATTTAAATTAATAAATAAAATTGAAAAAAATACGCTGAAGTTGAAAAATTCACTTTGCCTAAAAGAATCTTATAAAGGGGAAATTTGAAAAATTTATTTCAACAACTTTTATGTTATTTTTCTGTATTTAAAAATAGGTAAATTATGTACATACCTCTGGGTATTCCAAGTTTGTCCTCGACGTCCTGGAAAAGGGCGCAGCCCCCCACCACCATGGACAAACAGATCTGCAGAGTGACCAGGAGCACGTCCGCGTACAGAGGAGCATTGGCCGGCATGCCCTGCAGGAGGTTGGGGGTCACGGTTGACCCGTAGCGCCACATGGCGATCACAGTCGTGGTCAGAAATAAGCTGCACGTGACTGTGAAGCAACAAAGTGTCAAAAGCAAAGAATTAAGTTCCCGAGAAATTGACCCTGGCTGTCACGTATTTGGTCACGTAATCAGCGAACGAGAAAAAGGATACGGAATATACGGATGACTCCAGAGTGAAGAAAAAGTATATCCCCTATTTCTGAGTGAGTCGCCATAATTGATCGGAATATCATTCATTTTGTATTACTTCTTGCGTTGGTCAGCAAAAGTCCTTATAAAAAGTTCAAAAGTAAATTAAATTGAGATAGAGTAAATTCAATATATTGCAAAATGTAACGGTAAAATATGATGATGACACATTTATTAAAACTTTATTATCAGATTTTAAAATATTCAAGTTGAAAACTTGGCAACCCCCGCTTATTAGCAAGCACCTTTTTTGCCAAGGGGAATCCCTTTCTTTACATTTTGTATCCTTGTTGAAAAACTTCTCCCCTTTATTATGCTAATTCCGTGCACTCATTCACAATTCAAATCAGGAACATCTCCCTCTAATTATGATAAAAAGGAGCAAAAAAAAACTGTGGAAGTAAAAAAATACAGAATACAAGAATACAGGAAACAAAAATGCGTAAAATTTTCCTGTGATTTGATCATTAGAGAATAATAATAAAATCGCGTCTTATTCGTAATTTTTCTTAATTTTTTCCCGTCTTAATTATATTAAATTGTTCAAAATAATAGAAAAGAATGTAAATAAAAAAATTTTAAATATAAGAAAATATTACTGCTGAATTCCAAAACTAAAATTTTTCTACTAATCTTTTGCCCTTACATTCCCATTTCATTTAATTCAATTATTGATCATCTTTTTCAATTTTGAATGACTGTACCAATCAGTATTCTCCTTATTTTGCTAGTGTTTTTATTTTTCGTATTCTCTTGCCTTTTTCTGATCAATAAGTGGTTCCGCTATTTATATCTCAATCCGATCGGATTGCCAATATCTGCAGAGTAGCCTATTCGCGCGTTCTGTTTGAAAATGGTATTGGACGTTCAAGAAGAGTGCAAAGCAGGTTTATTTCGTGATTGTTTTATATATATATATGCATTCTTTTTTGCCAAGCGGGAGATCGAGATAAGCAGTTTTGTCTCCAGACCGGAGATTGGCAACCCTCTTTCCTAATCCACACCCTCGCCTGTCAACGCAGCACTAACAAGCATTTCAGTAACTCCATCATATCTCGCAAACAATCTCGCTTAGAAGAAATATGTTTTCGTACCGAGAAATCCGCACGTGATTGCTTTTCCAAGCTCGTTTTTCCGCTCCATGTCAACCTGCACTGTCAGAATCATCGGGTGGATGTCGAACTGAAAATTTAAATTGCAAATTAGAACGTCGCTTGTTGTCAGAAGACTCGGTATTGATTGTTTCCGCAATTAGGAGGGATTTCACAATAAAAAACTTCTCCCCTTTCTTATGCTAATTCTGTGCACTCATTCGCAATTCAAATCAGGGACATCCCGTTCCTTAAATTAAAGTTAAAGAAAATTTACAATTTGAGCAAAGAATACAAATACAATGCAGCGAGGGAAAACATTTTGCGGGACGTTTGAAAATTAAAGTTTTATGTTATCAAGCTCTATTGATAAGGTTGGAATCAATCTGATTTTCTTTTGTAAATTCCTTTTCTAAATCGCCCAAATCGTGATCATTAATTTTACTGCTATTTTTGTGATCTTTTTTACTAGATATCAAATTGTAATAGATTAGATTGGTATGGGTTATACCAAATAATTCTACAAAAAATACAATTTTACGCCTGACAGCATCGTGTAATTTTAACTTCTTTTTTTAAACTTAAATATATTTAAAAATAAATCTTAAAAGAACCTTATATTATATTTTATTAATAAAATTTTTTTGATAACTTTTAACGTGCTTTTAAGGTATAAAGTTTTTTCAACAAAATTGTCATTCCATCAAAGCATTCATTTTGATTTGGTGTTAAATATTTTTTATTCTGAGTATTCTTCATTTTTAATAAAGAAAATAAGCAATACTCCTGTGCAGGCACTCCAAGAGTCATTAATCAAACTTTTTGTTCAATAAGAGCTGTTGTTTATCCTATTCACCTAAATCCTTCTCATAGAGCGGCTTTGCCTTTGCAAACAGCTCTCTACGATATTATGGCACTACGGTTCAATGCACATTACTCATGTAAATAACGGTATAGTAAAGAGACCTCGCCAATTCACTTCACTGAATCACTTGCAGAACAACCAACAAAACTATTAGATCTATGTTGAATTGACCTGCATTTCTTGATGAATTTTCAAGTAAAATATCAGCGACTTTGTTTCTTATTTCCTTTTGTCTATCACAGTTGGCTGAAAAATTGAGCCAAAACCCAATTAATTTTTAAGATTTTTTTTTTTTTTTTTTATCAATGTGTGGTTTTCTGGATTCTATACACTGGTATTCCTTTTAAAATATTATTAATTTTTTATATTATTCTAATTTTTATAGAGCAAAAAAGTCCTAAAATTCACTTTTTGTGTTTTTATATCGTTAAAAATTCCATTATTTAGCGGATTAGAATTTGCAAATTAAATAGTTACTCACTTGAAACGCAATGACTCCGTAAGCGACAGCGATCGCCTCCCAGGATATGGCGGGGACAGGTGCAATTTCGAGGTCACGCGTGTCGGTGATCATGGTGACCCAGGTCAGCACTCCCACGGAGCCCACGGTGAAAACAGACGTTCCGGCGAGCCACCTTAATTAAAACGACGGAGGGTGTGTTTGTAATGAACATCAGTGGATATAAAATTAATTAAGCCACGAGAGGTTGTGCAATTACAAGGCAAAGCTCACTCACTTCATGTCCTTGGGGCTGCCGAGCCACATGATGGGACAGAGAGCGATGCCGACGAGCACCAACCAGTAGCAAAAAGAGAACTCGAAACTCCAGTGAGACATTTTCAATCCGATCAGCTGCAGGTTCTGCGAGGCTGCACGTCGAGGGAAATTTATTATATAAATTAATTTTATGTGAAAAAGAGATTCTCAAGAGCATTTCAAATTAATGAGAAGCACTTTAGGTTTTAAATTGCATGTTCTGCGCAAATGGAATTTATTCCGAAAAAGGAAACTCAAATTTCCAAGACCTTTAAGGATTTTCAGTGCATAAATTGCTTGTTATAAAAGGGCTTAAAAACAAGGATTCAGATTTGAAAACATACATAAAAAAATAAAAACTTATTGATCAAATTAAAAAAAGGGAAAAAATCGTAACAGTATATTTAAATAATAAATGTTTATAGCAAATTAAAAAGATTTTTAATAAATTTAGACGACAGTCACTTATTGTAAACTTCAAGGGGGCAAGATGGATTTGATGAATTTTCATTTATTTTATTGAACCCGTTTCCATGTTTGCCAATTTAATTTTGTTCTGAATTAACATTATATTAATGTGCTACTTTATTTTGTGCAAATAATATCCTTTTTCACTCTTCTATGTGGTTAACTTTTTCCGATCAATTCTGCGCATAACATGAGCACTTGCCTACAAGTAGGTTTGGTATGCAGCCACCGAAAACAGTAATATCCAGCAAAAAGGAGACGAGACGACTCGCTTTCAGGCCCAAGGCCTCCTCGGCGAGAGCCGCGTAAGGGTACCTGCGGAAAGATAAGGAAGATGAGCAAAGAGAAATTTTACTTGAAGAAAACCAGATTAGTTGCTACTTGACGTACGTGTATTTGATCAGGCGGATATTTGAGAGAAAAAGTGATCAATGGCAACTTTTACTTTTTATTCTTTATCCGCAAATCTTCTACAGTTTCGCAAAACTTTCCAAAATTCCACGGACTCATCTATAGCATTTTCGAGATACCTATCAGGGAACTAATACCGACCTTCACCTCTAAATTTGGTGCGCAGATTGGCCCTTTGAAAACTCGTTTTACGCCAATTAATTAATATCCGCGACCAGAACGTAAATCAATTTGGATCATTATCAATTTGACGTGTTAGTGAAAGCGCCCAAATGCTTGTTAAACCCACACATTTTGTAAATTTTAAAGATTGATTATCGTTTCATCAGATAAACTCTTGTTATGTCTTCATGATCGCTAACTCTCATCAGTTATAAAGAAAGTTCAGCTCACAAACAGGTATCAAATGATATGCAAAATCCGGCGCTATTTGATGATTAAGAGAAACATGTTTTAAAAATTTTTTATCAAAGCAGAGATAATATTTAACCAATATATTCATAAATTTTTATCTAAAAAGTTATGAGGAATTTGGATAAAAAGTCAACTTTTTACTTAGTGTGTTTTTGTGAGTTTCATGTTCCATTAATAATCTATGTTCTGCTCAACACATCTTATATTCAATAGATAGTTAAGTGCAAATAAAACACATTTTAAATTAAACATCCTGTCGTAACTAAAAGTATGTTTATATATTTATACTGTCTTTACATAAACGTTTGTTATGAAATGCTAAATAAAAAGGTTTGAAATAAATTTAATTGATTTTTTTTTATATAAATTAAGCTTATTTTACTTTTTTACAAATTACATTGTTTTGAAACCAAATATTGAACATTTTAAATTACTAAAGATGATAACTTGAATTTAAGATTTTCTTTTTATGCTGCTTAATTGATCAAAATTTAAAAGTTTAAAACATATTTCATGTTTTACAGAGGGTCTTGTGCTAAAATATTGTTCGATTGCGCTTAAAATTTCACAGCCGACATAAAAAATGTGGTGAAGATTATGGCGAAGAGAAATGAGGGGTTTGTTTGACCTGTTTGACCCATTAAAACCATGTAAAGGATCAGATTTGACTTGAGAGTACAACAATTGGCAAAAATGAATCAATGCGCTGATTTGACTTTATCATAAGCTTCTCCTTGATAATAAAATAATAGCATATTTATAACAAACCTGCTTTTTAGCATGATTAGAGGGTTAATCCGCTCGGCCATGACCCAGCATCGGCCCAACAGGCGCGCCGTGTAGATTTGCAGCGTGAACACGGAAAGAGCTACAGGAATCCCAATCCAACCTATAACAAAAGCTGGTCACATTGAGGGAAATTCGATTGAATGAGAGAGAAATAAGCACAACTTATAAAAAAGAAACTAAAAAGTGGGTCCGGAGCAAAAAGGGAATAAGTATGAAATTTAATATCACTCATTTCCCTGAGGGATTTCCTGTGCCGTTTGTGAAAAATCTCTTTGTTTCTTCGCCCTTATTTGATCAAAACAATCTCTTTTCGCCGCCGCAAGGTTGAATCCCCAAAAGAGTGATATGAGATATATGAATTCCATTATATCTTGCGTGCCTCTGATCTTTTGGTTGCAAAAATATGCTCAGAGGCTTTTGTGCCTCGGCACGACAAACAACTGCCGCAATACTTGCAAAAAGGCTTCTTTACGTTTTTTATTCCACATTTTAACTTCTAGAGCATTAAACTTCGAAAAAGGTTTTAATAGTAAAAACCTTTAGAATGGCTAAATTAATGAGAAATTTTTTAGATTGAATATACATAAAAAAATTGAATGAAAAATTCAATTAATCATCTTCCCATCTCCCCTTTTTAAGTGAAAAAATCAATATCAAAATTGTAAATTTGTCATATTTTTTTTATCTACAAAACCCTTTTGTGGTGAACTGTTTAAGGCTGTTTCGGCGATCATCGTAGGTTACGCCCACTGAATTTGCAAATATTTTGAAAAAATGACTGCAAAATATTTCCAACAAATTTTTCTCTTTTATTTGCCCATTATAAGAGCTTTTATGAAAAATTTTTCCGACTTTTCCGGAAAATGGCTGAGTTATAAGGGGTTTGCTTTTCCGCTTGTATCTCATTAAGTATAAGTCCTACGTTAAAAACGAGCATATATTCTGAATGCTGATAAAATTTCCAATATTTTTTACATTAACAATTATTTTCTATGAAAGGGTTAAGTACCCTGAAATCAGGGTAAAAATACTTCAATGCCTGCCCCTGAAGGTATGCAACCGGAAAATTAAATCTGAGATAGCCAAAATTTGATGTCACTCATAGGCACAAACTTCCCCAAAGGAAATTATTTTTGCATTTTCCATTTTTGAGAAAATCCAAAATTTCCCAAAAAGGGTCAAATAGGGTTGGAAAATGCGGGAAAGCCAAGAAAGTGTGGTCATATGGCACATTGGCCGATTCGTTATCACATCCTTAATACGTGTCTAAATTTTCAGAAAATTTCATCTGCCCAAAAAAAAGTTACAGCCGATTTTCAAAAATAGCCCTATCTCGGAAGCAGGAAAACTAACAAAACCGTTTTATATCCATTAGCCAAAATTTAAAAAGGCAAGAAACATATCGTTTTTATGGTCTCATTCGAAAGCTATAGTGGCTAACTTCACGTTGGTATGAAAAAATTTCGGTTTCTTCTGACAGATATTGAGATATACCGGTTATTGTGTAATAAAAACCGGTATGCAAGTTCTAATTTCACCAAAATTTGGACTTTTTGCGACGAAAAACATGTATATTGTATAAATTTAGGTTTGTGCATTAGTTTATGATGGAAAAATACGATATTTATAATAATACCACTCCTCAGTCCAAAATTATAAGCATTTTTCAAAAATATTTTACATACCGGTATTTAATTAACTATTCAGAAAACCGGCCTAAAATCACCGACGTTGTGTGGCGCGATAATAATATTTTCAGAAAAAATAAAAATATTTACAATTCTTCTGCGCCGCATTATCGTAGAAACACCCTTAAAATTACTAGATGGACTATTATCATAATTTTTAGGCAAGTTCTTAGGCCAAAAAAGACTATTTTACTATTTTATTTGTTAAGTTGGAGTTAAAAACCTGCCATTTTGCAAGGAAAATTGACTAATACTTGAATATTCCATGTTTTCAAGCGGACCTTATTTTGCGGCCAAACGTAGAAATGACATAAATTCGAAGTAACGCCGTGACTGGTATGCAACCCGCTTCTCCTCTCTCACTCTCTTGAGAACTTGAAACATATTATGCGAGAGGGCAACTTTTAGCGGGCTTTGCATCGCCATCAATTTCAAGTTGGAATCGAATTAATGCCAGACTTGAACAGCCGGAGGCGATAAATTTCCGCCCCTCCGGTCGTAAATTGCATTCAAAATGTCTTTAATAAAAATGTAATTAATTATTCCATGGCCGTGCATTTGCATCAATGTTGCAACTTTCTTGGCAAATCGCCTTTTAATTTTTTGTTGTCACTGACCGCAGTTAATGATGGCTCGAGGTAGGGCGACGATTGGAAAGACGCCGAACAGGTCGACGATGCACAAAGTGGCAAAGAGGAGCGACAATCCGCTGCCCTGCTGTGGCAAGACCTCGCCGAAGGACGTCTCGTTCTTGTCCGGGCTGCGAGCTCGGCGCGCCGGGGAGGTTTTCTTTTGCAGCACATCAATCAGCAGGGGAATGGACTCGTTGCCCTCACTGTTCTCAGGACCCATCCTAGAAAAACACATCTTTTATGAAAAACCAAAGGAATTTTCTCAGTCAATTCAGATCTTTAAAAAATGATCAAGATTTACAAAAATTGCACCAATTTAATAACTTTGAGTTTTCGTCTAACAATAAAATTCATTTCTGAAACTAGGAATGGAAAATTGGTAGTGAATAAATACCTAATAAACCTATTTCTTGGAAACTCTTTTAAATTTTCTAATAAATATATATTTATTTAAACTTTATATACATTCTTTTTTTAAATTAAATTATGAATGTTTAAAATCATATTTAATTCATTGAAAATCAATTATTTTTTAACGAAAACACATCTTAAGGTTTTTTAGCTTCAATCACCTAATAGGAATAATGAAGTTTCTCCTTAATACATTATGTATTTTCATGAAAATCACTTGTTTCGTATCTCAAAATATTCACATGAACAGCCTAAAACGCAAAATTTTTATCTAAAAAAAAATAATCAAATAACCCACATATGTATATTTAGTTAATCATCATACTTTGTCACATTTATTTATTTATTTATTTATTTATTCTTCATTCATGGTACATACAACGCAAAAAGTACACTGTTCATATTTTTTTAAAAGGTTCTAATATTAAGAAACAATGTTGTCATATCAATTCACGAATTGTCTGTTCTTACGAAAACCTCACAATCCTAGTTTACTATAATCAAGAATAATCGCTAAATTTAACCCGTTGTTCAAACTGCATGGCAGGTCAAGTAATCTTAGGCAAGGTTTAGCTTTTGGATCATCCTTATTTTTATATGTATCCTTTTTGTAAAGAGTGTTGAGCTCAATTTTATTGGCTTCAAACTCAACTTTGCTGTCAAAAGAGCAAAACTAGAGGTTTGGCTTGTTTACCAATTAACTGTAAATTATGTGCCGCTCTAGATGTAAAAGGAAAAAAGCTTCTAGAATTGCAAGAGGGCTTGAGTTAAATTTTAAATTTTTTTTCTAATTAATACAAAAAAGTATAAAAAAATAAATTCAATAACTATTTTGGGAAGAAACGGTCGAAGTTTGAGAGAAATCTTGATTGTTGGGCTGTCTTGATTATTTATTGTTGCAAAAAACGATAACATAGTACAAAAATGACTGAATTAGCACAACAACTTCTCTCGTGTACAAGAAATGCAACACTGATAAAAACGTTTTGTCAGTGTGATTTTTCAACATCAACTTGATACTTGGCCTTCAGTAAAGGCAGTGACTTTTTATTTATAGCACAATAAGCGTGGCCCCGCCCTCAAAGGGATGACAGCCCAGTATAAAGTAGAGGTTGCACCGTGAATAAATTGAATTGATAAATAAATCACGTGGACTTATTTTTAGAATTGGCTAAAAAAGCACGTAAGCAATAAAAAAGATGCGACTCCTGACTCGCCTGGGTTAAATAACACTTCATAAATTTAATTGTTGTATTGACACTTGACAATCGGAATTTTGTGACTAGAATAAATCTCAGTACTGCCCAACGGCCCCCAAGCGCGCGATGATCTTTTTTTAGCTTTTTGCGCGGGCGAGGTCGCTTTCAAATGAAGTTAAATTTACTTGAAGATAGTCACATGATTATACTTTCGCGTTACCGTTGGCCATTTCGCTATTTTAGGCCATGGTTATTTGAGAAGAAGTATTACTATAGGATTCTCTTCATGCTTAAAAGGGTCGCCAGAAACCGCAATATGCAGACAACGTTTGTCACACTTCTGGTGGCATTTCATTATTAAGCAGCCACAAAGTATTTAGCTATTTAAATAATTAAAAATGACATATTTTGCGGTTTTGTCAGAGAATACATTAAACGAAACAAAAAGAATTGAGGCAAAATTTTATACATTTGAGAACATATAGAAAATAATCAAGAGAGTTGGTTTTTTAACATAAGTGCGCAAAACACACTTTTAATAAATATATACTATCGAAAATCAAGTTAAATCTTTTCTCTCCTTCTCTGACTGATCAATTAAACAAGATCCCGCCACAAAATTTAGTATAATTATTGTAGCACAAGCAAGTGTAAATAGCTCATTGAGCTGCCGAAAAGTTAATTGATTTCAATTAGATTGTCAGATATAATTGAATTAAAAAGGGCTCACGCAATGCTATTTTTTATCCCTGTTAGTAAGATGAGAATGCCATCAGGATATTATTGCTTACAGTGTTGTGTGGCTCACCGAGTGCTCGCCAAAATTTTCATATCTACTAACAGAAAAAATGTTGATAAATTATCTGTTCAAAAAAATTAATGAATTAAAAACCACTTTTGCAGCATTTTTCTCAAGTGGATTTTTTCCATCTTCGTGCATGATTGCAATTAAAAAAGAAAAAAAAATAGCCTTCTCATCATTTCCAAAGACGCGATTTCATTATTCATGAGTTTATAGTATTTTCTACAAATTCCACTGCAGGATTAAAGATTTAAAAACTTTTATTCATTTTTAGCTTAATATCCTCTTCCAATGCCAAGATAGAGATCAAGATCATAGCTTTGTGTATAAATGTGTAATTATTTATCTATACAGTACAGTAAAATATGTACATATTATGAAACGATTAACAATCTATGTTTTTTAGGTGAGATCACATCCTGATTTTGATGAAAAGCTGGCATACAACGTGCACTACCCCTAGTACCCAGCGGTAAAGTAAGTTACAAGTCATTTTTCATTGAATTTGGGATTTCTAATCTCAATCACATTTATTAAAATTATAACTTTTGTTTTGTTTCAAGAAAAACGTTTTCTGCTTTAACTACCCGTGACAATAAATTTTCCCTATTTTCATGCGGATTTTAATGAAAATCTCCCTCCATCCTGACACTGGGAAATGTAATAAGCCATTCCAGACGCCTTTAGTGCAAGTTGCATAATTATACCCTCTTTCAAATTTGGGTCGGGACGTAGGGCGAGTCTCCCTCACAAACATACAACAGAAGAAAGCACCCGAACTTAGCAACCCCGGGGCTAAAATTTTTCCGTCAAGGTTTTGCCTGACCTTAACTAAATTCCCCGTTTAATTAAATCAAATAAGTTAAAATTTAATAATACAATTTCTGCTTGCATTTTGCCTGTAAAATTACATATTAGCAGCCCAGATAAAAAACGAATTTTCCCCTGAAAATATGCAGAGCTCAATCTAATTAATTATTAATTAACGTGTTTTCAGTAAGTTACACAGCAATACATATTCCTTTTTTTTATTCACACTGCGGCGGATGGGGTGTGTTTTTGGTTTTTTGAGGATGTTTAACGTATATAAGCAAACTTTAATGCTTGCCTCAATTCCAAACATTGTTTTTCTTTCATAGGTAAAATTATTTGTAAAATTTGGATAAGTATACAAAAATTATAAACGTTTCAACCTCATCAATATAATCTGAAAAGAAGGTTTTGCGAGTATCAACACGTTGCAAAAAAATTGCAGTGACATTTTTTGCGGCGTAAAACCTGTTCAGTGTTTTTAGCGTGAAAAGCTGGAAAAAACGCCCTCAACTTACCTCAAGCTTTGCTGCGAATTAGTGGCCGGAATCTCGATTGCATCACGTGCTCTTTGCTTCGCGAGACCTGACAAGGGACACGACCGGCACCACCGCCTGCACAAGCGACTGCATACAAATGAGAGCAAACATAAGACACACACAAAATAATATTCCCTACCAATCGGGTAATTCGATCCCCCGTGTGAAACCCTATATGAGCCGCGATGTGGAGAAGGAAGGGCCACGCACCAACGCGATGCGATCGCCACCATGGACGCGAGCCTTAATCAATACAAATTTTCACCACTCCACCAACATCGACATTAAAGCCAGAATTGATTAGTGCGAATTATTTTAAGTGACGTTTGTGATTGAGATTGAGTACTTTGGCTTCCGTTGATGCTTCCTGCCGAGTGCTTGTCCGAATCAATTACGGCCATCCTAACTTTGTGTGTATCGTTTTGTATTTCATTTGAAACTAGTTCTGTTGTTGTGTTGATACAGGGGTTTGTTTTCAACTCAAACGGAAGCAGCAAAATTCACTGTTTACCAGGAACCGCGCGTCAACATCCATTTTCCGTGTTTCGGTTTGTTTATATAATTGCTCTCGCTGCTATATTTGCGTGCAAATATTGTCAAAGTGTGTAGCCACACAAAATTATAGGGACTACGTGAAGCAGGAATTTTTTTCTGATTAATATTATCTGCAAATCTATTGTTACATTTCATTTTAAAACATGTTAAAAACATTAATTTTCCTAACTTTTTCAATTCTAGCAACAATATCTCCCAAATTTCGCATTTCTAAATCCCTGAAAAAATTTAGGGACCTCAGTGACCACTGTGGTAAAGATTTTTATTCTTAAATTTAAAATGAAAATAAATTATATAACTGATATTTAGGCCGCTATTGAAAAAATCGCTCACCTTAAGGGAGAAAAAAGGTTAATTGATGAAAAGTTACTCCCGCCGTTTTTTTTTCTTCCATAATTGGTTTCTATCACAAAACTCGAGATAATGAGATTTCGTCTACTTTTGAATTCAATAATAACATTCGTTATTGGAGAGCTCTTTTAAATAACATAAAAGGTGGACTGGAGTGAATTATATTTCAGAATTTGTAGAATCTCAAATTTTGCACAACAGCACATTTTTGCATAAAATTTCAGCAGACTAAAAACTGCTAATTTTTGTTCTATAAAAAGATCTTGTTCTCTTTTAGGTCAAGGTTATACTTCATGAGCCTCTAGAGCCTCGTGACTTTAATTGCCAAATGATAAGTAACTATTTCAAGCTGCATTTGTTAATGAATTTAAAAAAAATTAATAAAAATTAGTTTGAAGACTCACACGAAGCTTTACAAAATAAAAATTTGATAAAAATGAATGTTCAGCGTTATCATAACACTCTCATTTTTTGGCTTTTCTGAATTAAATAGTACAACTCAAACTGGCCTTTTTGGATTTGTGTAATGTTCCCCTCATATTTTCGTTTTCCTGCTAAAATTCTTGGAAAAGCCTGAAAATTATTTCGGGAAATATTTAACCGGGAAATGTTTGCATCAAATTTTGGTTTAGCATTGGATTTCATGAACTTTGTAAAATCAACACACACTTCACCAGCATAAATTCTCATTTTTTCCTGACTCAACTTCAAAATTTCGAAAGTGAAAATAATTGAGCTCGCTGTTTCCACGCTTTTCTTGGAAATAACTATGAGGAAATTTTCAATTTCCACGAGAAAATTTTGCGATTCGACGTGGCCTCTCAAAAATATTTTGTACCTTCCAGATTCATATTGAAATGTAAGGACACATTTAAGAGCTTTTAAGTGGTTTAAAAATACTTTCAGGTCATACACATAAATTTAAACTCCTATTACATCTAATTTTTTCATACTGGCTGAAACATATGTGCTGGTGCAAATGGATAAGAGAGTTAATTATAATTTACAGATGATCGAGTTCAAAGTTAGGGAAAGTGTCAAACGCTCATACAATTAGGAGACTTAGAAATTGCAAAACTTCCCATAAGTAATTCATTTACAAGATATTTCAGTATTTGTGAATTACTAGGACTTTTTTCTTCCAAACTCCTTGTTCAAAATCGATTTTTTTAGTTTTTTTGATGATAATTTATAAATATGGAACCATTTTTATCAGTAAAATTCTATTTGAAAATTCGCAAATATACTTTATGCCAATTTTCAAGCATTCACAACGCCAAAATTTTACAAAAAGAACAATTATTGAATGTTGAAGTTACCGATTTTTATACTTCATTTTAACATTTATTTGTTCCTTCTTTGAAAACATGTTAAAGGTACCTTAATTGAATAGTAATTAACCGTTCTTGTAAAAGGGAAACATACGTTTTTCCTAGATTAAAAAAATAATAATAATTAAAAGCAGAACTAAGGTCTAGTGAGCAGCAATGAACGCTTTTAAGTTACAAAAACTCGCGTTTTAATTAAAATGGTTAGTGTTGTAGAAAATAAGTCTGTCAACATGGAATGATTAATTGGACCTTTTTGACACATTTTCCATTTTGCTGTTTAATGAAATAAAACACGATCAAATAACGTTTTATTGCAAAACAATAATTTATTTCCTAAACCATAACAGTGCCACAATCTGCGCCTGTTGCGTCAACAAAACGATGACATTTTTCGGTCTGTATTAAACTAATTTTTCAGTTGTATTTATTTGACAAATCAATCCTTCCTCATTCATTGTGGACTCTCTTCGCACGCCATCAGCAATTCTCAAAAAACAAACAAAATAAAAATCGACTAGATAGTAAGTGTTCATTTTACAACATTGTTTTGCGTTGGATATAACTTTTAATCTCTTGAACTCTCTTGTTCGCACTGTAATAATTCCATATATGTATTTTTATTTCATTATTTCATCCGATATCTATCAATTCACAGCTCCTCCCTTTCTTGCTTTCTTTCTTTCTTTCTTTCTTTCTTTCTTTCTTTCTCTTACTTAATAATGGAGCTTTGGAATCTTAGAAAAAAGCTGCGGTCACATGCCGCCAGGGTCGGAGAGCAGGTGTCCAGTCGAGTTGGCCATCAACGTGGAGGCCGACGACGGAGGCGGAGGATTGGCTGCCTGCACGTCAATGTGTCCCCCGGCGGGACACGCGATGTCCTCGTCCTGCAGCCGCCTTAGTTCGGTCCTCAGCTGCGCAAAGTCGGGACGAAGGTACGGATCGGAGATCCAACAACTGGCGATGACGCGGAATAATTCTGGCCTGCAGTGCAGCGGCCGCTCCAGTCGGTAGCCGTCCCGCACTTTGCGCATCACTTCGCGGGCCCCCATAGTCGAGTATGGAGTGGAACCTGCGAAATTTATCATTTTAACTTAACGCCTATGCAAATTTTCGGTGGTCAGGAAATTTGACTTGCTAATGCATTGTCAAATTCACATTTAATCGTTTTAGATTAACTTGGGTAGGTTTTTCCAGTTAGTTTCCCTGGAGAAATTTGCATGAAAGGATAAAAATTTTATTAACTAGCGTTTTACATGGTTGGAAAGAGCGGAATAACAAAAGCTTAGTGCGTTTTTCAGGAACGAATTGAAAATTAAAATTTTATAAAGATAAAAAGAAAATGAAGAAAAGTTTAAATTTCCAGAAATTAATTTTCATTGTAAGTCTCTTCAATGCATTTATAATAATAATAATTGTTATTTTATAACTAACTTTAAGTTACTTTGATTAATTTTTTTATAATGAAAAATTTAATTGATTTGAGGAATTTTTATAATTTTTTTAAAGGAACAGTTATTTGTTTCAAATATATAAGAAATAAATAAGATTGCTATATTTAGCTTCATTTCTCATATTTTAACTAGAAAACTCCGAAAACGCCTGAAAATACTAATGATTTATCATGGTTGGCAGGGTCATCAGTTTTTCTTTGCTATAATTTATAATTTATTTTCACATTTACCCAAAGTGACAATTTCCCACATCGTGATTCCAAAGCTCCAGACGTCTGATCTGTGGGTGAAAATGCTCTTTTCAAGAGATTCTGGTGCCATCCATCTAATCGGTAGTGCGCCCTTCAAAGAAAATAAAAATTTTAAATTCCGCCTTCTTTTCAATTGGAAAAATAAAAGACAATACCTTTTGCTTTGGCTCGTAAACCTCTCCAGAGGAGTCTCGCGCGTGTCTGGACATGCCAAAGTCGGCGATCTTGCACTGCTTATTGTGATCGACCAAGATGTTTCGAGCCGCCAGGTCACGGTGGATTATCTGCAATTTGCAAGCATGTTTACAAACGGGCTCATTTTCTCGCAAACGCACAGTGCGAAACATTTAAATTTCCATAAAATGGGCAGCCGCCATTAAAAGGCTGACGCGCGCAACGTGCTTGATAAAGCAAAAGTGCGGAACGTGCCGCAAGAGTGTAATTTCAGTACACATTAATATTAAAACGCAAAGCTCCTTTCGCAAAGCAAAGAGCAAAAAATAATGATGCATAATGAAATTAGCTTAGGAGGACAAAAAGTGCGTACGCCTCTAGAGACGAGGTATTCCATCCCCTTGGCGATGCAGTAGGCAAAGTGGGTGAGGTCCCAAGAAGTGAGCGCCTGTTCGCCGCCGTCGTCGTCACTCGACGAGAACTGCAAAAAATCTCGCCGCGTTCGATGGTCCCGGAGAAAAGCCAGAAGTTTGCCGTACATCACGTACTCCATAATGAGGAGGTGCGGCTCTGAAACAATTAGAGGCAAACAATTTTATGATAATAATCCGGGCTTCCGGGGCTTTGAAGTTGGAACAATGGTTCTTTTCCGTAGCAGAAAAAGAAATATAAAATAAATATTTAATTGTTAGCTTCCGTTTTATTTGGTATTTCCATACCAAGAATAACCAACCTGAAACCTAACAGATCAAAAGGAAATACAAATATTGTTTCAAAACAAAATATATTTAAATTAATAAAAATAGACACTCTTTACTGCAATTGAGTATGCAACTTGCATTACACTACCTTTATAAGTGAGTTTTTAGCTTTATTTATTAAATCTAAATTTACTTAATTACCCTACTAAAGAGTTCAAAAGTATATATATTAGTAATAACCTTTACCTAAATTAATATAACTAAAGAAAGATGCTCAGCTGATAAGATATGCTGTCAGGGATAAGCGCTAGATGTGCTTTATCTCCCCTCATTTGACAATTAATGTTAAATTTTGATTGTTTGAGCTCCTGAAATTTTTGAACTTCAGTTATTCTTATTTCTAGACTAAACTGCTTCTGTCGGAACAACAACGACGAATTCCCTTTTTTTTCTTAGCCCCAGCCAATTGTAATGATTTTTGTCTGGTTTCAACACAGTAGTAAATTACTTGAAAAATTATTGAAACGAGTTTCTTCGTTGCAAGAGAAAAATTAAAAATTAAAAGGACAAAGTCAGTTATATCTTGAGAATTAGATAAGGCTTCTAAAAATAGGATAACTAACGTCATTACGCACTCGTTTAAAAATTATAGCAGCTCAAAACAGACAATTGAGTTTAACATTGTCGCGTCTAGTTCGTTATATCCCTGATGGCGTATCTTTGTTGAATCAACTCTAATTAGCATATTATTTGGTCGCTAGAGAGACAAACACAGTTTTGTAAACTAGTCTTCCCGCTGGGCCTATTTGACAAGATATTGCCTAAACATGCCCCTTAATTGAGTTCAACCACAGAATTGCTTGGAAAAAAGACAAGGAATCGATTAAAAATGTTAATTTAGTTTGGACAAAATATTAAGCAAAATTTTTTTTTTAATGTGGAAAAAAATATATTTAAAATTTATTCATTACAAATTTTATTTAAATAAACTTGACTAAAAAATTAATTTAGAACTCAATAAAAATGAATCAATACCTTGCTCAGTACAGCAGCCCAGCAGGGTGACCACATTGGGGTGAGACCCGAGTTGCTGCATAATGGCCAATTCCCTCAGCAGGTCGGATTTTTCACGCTCGCCGGCGCCGGCTTTGGTGCTCTTGACGGCGACCAGTCTGGTGCCTGTGATGCCGCAAATGTCCTCGGCCTCCGCCTTCCAGACCTACGAGAAATCACATCGATTATTTAAATTTCTTTAATTTCTTTCCTTTTTTCAGTCTTGCGACTGGAGGAATTTATTTCCTCTCCACATAAATAACAGACTCACTTGTCCAAAGTTTCCCTGGCCCAGAACGGTCTGCAGCCGGAGTTTATGGCGTGGAAAATGCCACTCGGGATGTTGTATCGGCGTAGATAGCGGGCCTTTATCTGTCGGCCAAACTTGCTGAATTCTTGACAAAATTCCTCCCTCGCCCTTTGGCGACGGCCTGCTTAGTGTCACGCCGGCCATGCTGCTGTCGCCTGAATAAGATGAATCGGACTCGTCCAGCATCTGCAAAGCGGGAAGTCAATTTAGCAAATAAAGTTGAGGGGATGAGTTAATTTTGAAATTAAAAGATGGATTGATATTTTGTTACTCTTACTGTGTAAAAATGGAAAAAAAAATAGAGAGAGATATTTCATATATCAATTAATTGTTATCAGCTTATCTATCAATGAATCAGAGTATCTATCAAGACAAAAATTTTTCCACCACTGTGAGGATCATTATTGAAGATTATTCTTTACTTCTTGCCAACTAGTTAATCTATATATCATTGTACTTTTTTAAATTGCCAATCTTATTAGATATAAATATGTTTATTTATTTATTTTGGTTTAATAAATTCAATAATATTTTATATAAAAAGTAAAAAAAATTTGTAAAACCAAATATTATTAAATTATTTTTAATAGCTGCATATTTTTCCTATTTAATAGTTAAAGCGTTTTTATTTTAAAACTGTTTAAATTTAGTCTTACTCTGCGTCTTTTGTTTGCCAAATGCCTGGCTGCATAGCTGACAGCGCCGATGAGGGCGACGACGCCCAGTGAGAAGAGGACGTAAGAGATAAGACCGACACTTGACTCGTTGTGGCCGCCCTGACCTACGGTATTGTGCGTGGCGCCCAAGAAAGGCCGCGAGGCGTTTGTGGGCACCGGCCGACCGCTCGCAAAACTGACCCCTTCCGTTTTGTAAACAACTTGCGGTCGCACTTTGGTTGTTGTCTTTTCGGTCGACGTTGAAGTATAAGACTTCCTGGTAGTAATCGGCGCCCGTGTGGTAGTAGTAGAAGTAGAAGAAGAAGCAGAAGTGGTAGTAGTGGATAAAGAAATTGGGCGCCGCGTCGTTGAGGTCGTCGACTCGATTTTAATTCCAGTGGTGGGCGAAAGGGTTGTGATTTCTTTTATAGTTTCTTCGACGGTGCTATTTTGCACGCCGGTTTTGTTGGAAATACCTTCGAGCGTGATTACTCGGGTGCTGGTCGTGTAATTGTTGTTCGAGGGCAGGAACGTCGTGAGCATTTTGCGAATGACGTCCTCCGCCTCGTCTGCATTGGCAACAATCGTTGGCAGTCGCAACAGTGGTCTTCGCACCACACTGGCCTGGACGGAGGAACCGTTTCTTTGGGGCGTGAATAAAGTTTTCCGGCGCACAAGGGCGGCGTTCATCACCGGGTCACTCGAACTGGCGTTTCCTTCGCTAATCACATCTGCAGCCGGCATTCGGCGCAAAATTTTCTTCCGCCGCCGTCGAAGCGCCACGATGTCGTTGTACGACTCGCTTGAATGGACCCGAGTGGACGGTGTGGTTTGGACGAAAGAAGTGCTGGCCGGCAGAATTTTTGCCGAAAATTGGTGTTTGCTGATTGTGCTGGTGGACGGCGGCGGAAGGGTGGATTCTATAATTTTGCTTGTGTTTGCCAACGGGGCGTTGGTGGTGGTCGTCGGTGATGGAGTGGTGCTCGATGCGGGTTCGTTCGAATTGTTGTTTTGCGCCTTTGTTGCCGCCGACGGCGTCGTGATGGTCGACTTGAATTCGTTAAAGGAATTCCTGGTGGCGGAAACGATCAGCTTCTGACCGAATTCCAGCACCGGCGCCGCCTTTGTGCTCGAAACTGTTACTGGGTTGTGCCTTTTTCGCGACCTGTTCGCGTTATACGAGGAAGTAGAGGTGGTTGTTGGCGGAGTTGAAGAAGTGCTGTGTTTATTGTTGCCGCGGAGGACGAAGCGGCGACGCGACGTCGATGGATTCTCGGTCGAGATAACTGTGCTCGCCATAGTTGACAATTGTTGGGCGAGCGAGTGAGCGTTGTTGTGATTTTCAGGCAGCGACGAAGCCTCATCAACTTTCGGCACATCTGAAAGCAAAATTTCCAAAGTTAGAATTGATGCTGGAATTGAATTTGCAATGGGAATTCGAAAGCAATATAATTATTCCAATCAAGACTCATCACTCATAATTGGTGGTTTTGTAAAGTTAGAATTAACCATCAGGACTATAAAAGGAATGGGTATATTAATTCGTCAGTGTATTCGTGATGAGGGTCTATTGTTTGATGGTTTCATGAATTGTTGATAACTCTCAATTATTAATAGATTTTGAATCAGTTAAATCAGCCGCGTGATTTGTTAGTCTGACTTTTGATATTAATAGTATTATGCTGATTGCCAGGCCGATCAGCAAAATAAATAGAGACCGTCTATACGCAATACCTTAATCTCTATGGCGGTTTATTCCTGTTTTATTCTCTGACTCATTAACTACAAGTGAGGCGAAAATAAGGCGAATAATTTATAATTAAAATAATTAAGTAATATTATCAAATATTTTTGAAAATTTAAGACCCGAAAAATGCTACTATAGAATTAAAAAATAAAAATAAATAAAAGGAAATTCTTTGTGATAAAAATTGGCTAAATCGATGAAATTTTTTAAACGAAATACTCTCTACTCTTGTGCAAAGTAGTGCTTTTTTAAATATTATGGATTTTCCCCTCATAATGGAATCCCGTTTATAATTTAAATCAAATCTTGGTGGTCAATAATACATTAATGTTATTTAGAAGTAAAGATAAGTAAGCGGTGATGTAGGAGCTTTTTTGTGTAGATTAAATTATTTTATTTCCTGTTTCATTATTTTCGTTTAAATCAAATGTTTTTTTTTTTTACTGTGAAAAATATTATAAAAAATAATGTTCAAAAAGGTTTAAAGATTGCAGAAAGAAGAATAATTTGTTTTTAATATGATATTTTTTACAATTTTTCCCATGAAAATAATCTAAACAAGGAAAATAATTAATTAAATTAGGGCAAACGAATTTGAAAACGTTTCAGTTTTAATGGGATTTTACTATAATTACAGCATCTTTTTAATTAAATGAACGTTATATTACTGTTTTTTAGGTAAAAACAACTCAATCCCAACGCAAAGGGAAACTTTTGCATTAATTAAATTGTATACGGAAAACCTCCAATAAATATTTTTCTGAAAATCAATTTAAAAATTAATTGTGTATAAAAATAAATATACTATTAATTGGAGCTTTGCAATTTGAATAAATTTTTATTATTTTCCCAAGTAATAGAAGAATATGGGGCAATAACTCTTTCAATGGAACTTGGTGGGACTAATTCTTGCGTTTCCTCTGCAAAATGACCGTCGCACAATTATTAGGTCTAAAAGTAATGCGTGGAGCAACATTATTTCTGGCAAACAATCTCCAAAAGCAAAGCACCCATTCTTCTTTTATTTACTTGGCGCGCAGCATTACAAAATTTTCCTCTTTCCCCGCGTCCGCTGTTTGTTATTATGAAACTAAAACATTGCGATTTTCATAGCTCTCTGTGAAATTCAACAGCCATGCCGCAACTGATAGTATGGAAGATATCTGCACGGAATCCAATTAAGCGTCAGACAACCATTGTCGTGATCTCTCGGATATAAATTTATTACAACATAATTTTGTTTTTGGAACTGATTTACGGCCGGACTAGACGGAAGCAATTCCTTCTCATTCAAACTTTGCTTCATTGGAACAAATAGCGTATCTCCTGCGCCTTGTTTTGCGAAAGGTATTTGTGTTAATTTGCGACAAGCGAGTGCATTTTCCGCCTCGGCGTGCGTTCTTGTTTGTTTCTGGGGCATGGCGCATTACCATATTTTTGCATCTCTCGCAAAGCAAAGAAGGGCCGCGCGCTATTATATCAGCGTTTGCACAATGCCAACGCAAATAGACGCTCATCAATACACGAACCGACCGACACCAACACAAAGCGGCATAAATTATTGTGCCAGTCAAGGCGGCACTTCACGTGTGTTTCCTTTTCAGTGCGAATCAAGGATTCTCCCATGCCAAAGGGGCGACAAAAGCCACCATTACAAAAGCAAACTCATTTTGAGAGTTGAGAATAATTGGTGCTACCCCGTGTCACTCGCATTACACACACGTTGGCCTAGGCCCCTCTTTCTTTCAATCTTTCTTTCTTGCCCAACGCGAGGCCTGTTTGCCTTAAGTGGAGCAATCTTGTGTCAACAACGCTCATTTCCAAGATAATCTTGATTTAATGTGCGAAAAATAATGCTCTGCAAACACAATTGGCGGCCATCAGACTGCAGATTAGGCGCAATTTCCCACAATTAACACACAACTCTTTTGCTTTGGAGTGTCCTTGAACAAATTTTCCTTTATTCTATTTGTGTTTATTATTTGCATTTCAGAGAATTTTGATAGCAATATTAGAGAGGATTGTTTTGAAACAGAGAATTAAAAATTGAATTATGATGGCTAATACTTTTAGCTTAAAGGAATACGAATAGTGCATTTTGCACTAAACAACAAATCTGGTAAGTACTTTTATTATTATCCGACTATTGTGCATTTTAGGAATACAGCTCTAGTCGAAAATATTTGATTTGCAAAACATACAGTATTTTCAAGAAATTTCAATTTTCCTTAAAAATTTTGTGGCAATTCAAATGTCAAAAGTATTATTCAATTTATATATTTAATTTGCTAAAATTTGTATTTCACTGAATAGTGAATACAATATCAATTTTGAATACATGAAGTTTTTTTTTTAAATACTTTTCAAGGATGAGCTCAACACTACGCGTATTGTTAAAAATATTTTCATTGAATTTTTATTAAAAAAAAAAAAAAAAAAAAAAAAAAAAAAAATTAATTGGTTTTTATATTTATCATTTTTTTTCTGTAATTGAAGTATTATTATTTTTGGTTTAAAATTGTGTTTGATAGTTAATCCAAAAACAGATAAAGCTCTTGCGAATATTAAATATTAAATAATATTATATTCATAGACCTGTTTAAATATTGTGAATTTATTTAAACTGCTAAAACAGCACCTTTTAAGTTGAGGATCATTCAGTTATGATCAAATTTATTTATGTATCACCTTTGCTTATCTTTTTTATCAGATTAAAATATTCATAAAATAAATTTCTGGAAAAATAAAAATCAATACTTGAATCGAAGTGGTTTCGATAAATTATATTTTTCAATATTAGATATTCTACAGTTCCAACTTGTGTTGTGTACATTGTACATGCATGTCAAACTATTACATTTACATGAAACATTTGGGTCATGCAGGTTGAATATGAATAACTTTAGTTGCAAATTGTGTTTATTGATCTATCACAAAGGCAATTGCTGCCCATAACGGGATACATCATTTATACATTCAAAATTATACAAGTTAATATAATTGAGAGAAAAGATGATAATTTTACATACAAATTTTTACAATAACAAAATACAAAACAAAAAGAACTTTACTATCAGAAGGAATATAAAATCATTTATGTAATTCAAAATCCCGGATATTGTTGCTGGAAATGATATAATTTCACATTATGATACTATCACATGTATGCATGAGTGATATAATGAGAAAGGAAAACAAACAAATAGTCAAAATAGAAAATAAATCATATCTGCTTGGTTTCAATAACCGTAACAGCCCAAGGAAACAAAAAGGTGTTAATCTAATAAGGAACTTTTGGCAGCAGCCGTGCTCTGATTGTAATAATTATATATATCCAAAAATTTAGAAACGGCTGTTAAAAGAACACACACGGCACCAAGCACGCCACATTATTGAAACATAGTGAAAGCGAGAAACGCCTAAGCCCCGAGGAGAGCTTCTCCCATAACACATCGCGAGCAGCGCGCCTTAGTCGCCAATTAAAAGCACACTGTGTGTGTGTTTTGGGTTGCCAAACTCCGAAGATAAAATGATGAAACTTTAGTGCAGCTCCGAGCACTCGTCTCTTTTTATTTCTCCTGCAAGAAAGAGGACTGATCGCTGCTCCAGATAAAAAGTTTAATGAATGCTTTGGCGAACGAAAATCAGCAGAATTATACAAACGAAAATTATACACACCGGCGCGCGCTGTAATGATTATTGATCGAAGGATTATTATGAATTATTACCAATGTGAAGAATTTTTGAAAGTCTGCTGGTGTTTCGACAGGAGATTCTCGCAACTTTTGGGACATAAAACTTTTGATCTAGATAATTAATTAAATACGCGATTATGTAAATAGTCTCTTCTGCGAATTCTATAAAAAAAAATTGTACTACATCTCTGGGGAAAACTAGAGACATAAAATCAAAACTTGGACTTTTGCATACTAAAGAAAAACTAAATTTATATATATGTTATCACCACCCAGAGCTATGATAAATATACGATTGTATTTTTTTTTTTTTTTTATTTGGGTAAGTTTTAATTGAAATGAACAATTTATATTTACCAAACGTGTAGAAATTGGTGGCGCTGTTAATATTCAAAATAAGAGCAAATTACAAAATTTCCATTCATCAACAGCGGTTATTTTTTTATAAAAGCCATTTTTTTTTTAAATTTGCCCGTAAATATTCATTTTGGCTTATACAAATTTGAATTTTAAAAAACGACCTAAAATACCTAGCAAAATTCAATTCAATTCAAAACCATTTTATTTCATTTAGGCTCATTGAGGTCAAAACAAAAATATAAAACATATGAAGCGTTTCAAACTTGTCTGAACTAAAAAATTGCAAAATAAAATTTGGCGGACAAAAGCTATTTTTTATTTTTTGCTTCTGTTACAAATCATTTAATATTCACTTCTTACTTTTTTAAGCTCTCATTACTCAATAATTGTGTCACAAAATCTGATTGTGAATGGTATTTGATATTCACATAATTAATAATAAAAATATATTTATAATAATAGTTTTTGAAGACTCACCTCAACCTTTTCTAGTTTAAACGTTTTAGTAGTGAAATTAATAATTTCCCTCTATCAAACCTCAACTTCACTGGGACATTTCTTCATACATGTCATGCAA